GGAAGGGGATTGACGGCGGGGCCGCGTTGAGGGAGGCAATGGGGTGGGTGTCTGCGCACTATTTCTCGACCCAGGGCTGTAGGCTGCCTGTCTCGGGCTTGGTGGTGGGAGCTTTGGAGGAGCTTGCGGCGGCGGCGGCGGCCTGCCGGGCTTTGAGATCGAAGAAGCTGGCCATTGTGACGGTTGGCTGCGGGGTAGTGTTCGGCGAGTAGGTCGAGGTTGTTGGTGGTGATGGCGCGCGGTGGTGGTGGTGGTTTTCGCGAGACGAGTCGCAGACGCGTCGGAGTTCGTGTCGTCGCGCGTCGGGCTAACACGTGATGACGCAATGCCTCCCAAGCAGAACCTAGTGCTCTTTCCTGTTGAGGAATTTCCACTCCCATCCACGTCCATCTTTACTGGCGGGATATCAGTACGTGTTGAGGAGTTGCGTATGGCATAACATACAGTCTGAAAGTAATATCGCGGACATCAAAATGGTGATTCGATTAACACAGGACTTGTTAACAGAAATGCTAAAGCGGGTGAACGTTCTGAAAAAAAAAAGAAAAAGAAAACTTCCAGCAAGAGAATTGAAGTGGCCAGACGGCGGTCGTGGCCGGAATTTGAAAAGCTTCCGCTCCCAAGCGCTTTTTACTGAAAGATGGAGGAGCTGATGCGCAGTTGGCGATCACGCAGCAGACAACTCCCTCGATCCAGAAGAAAAAGAAAACAAGCCAGAGGTATTGGAATGGCCAATGATGTTGAGCTTAAACACTGTTACCGATGCGGAGTTGATATCGTGTGTTAGGAGAGTCTTGGTGGAATCATCTGCGACGGCAGTGAGGACGAGCCTGTCCGTGAGTAGGGCTTTGAGCTGGATGATACTGGAACTCTCGATGCACAAACCGCAGATAAGAATAAAAACGGAGAAAGAAATGTCATCTTGTAGCCACGAGCGATGGAGAGAAGTGAAGGAGACCATGGAATTCTCGAGTCAGCGAAGCATTCTTCAAGGTGGCGTACGTGAAGTAGCGTCGTCAGTGTCTTCGCAATACTCGGGTGTATAGCTAAACATCACTCAAGAAGCTACACTTCCCAAAATGAGGATCTACTTTAGTAGTTAGTGATGGTTCAAAGGAAGCTAGGCTAGGAGCAAAATCACGAGCATAAATTGTCACGCATTAGCTAGGGAAACTCTATTTGGTACCGAAAGGTATTTGTCATTTCTTTTTCTAAAGATGCACATATTGGCAAGTCGTTCTTTCTGTCCTTAGTCCTGGGGTTCATGCAGACCTCGATGAGCTCAGACTATGGACCTAAGTGAAGACAGCTGGGTGCATTGAAACGAGCGAGACCCGCCCAAGTCGTACAGGCAACTGGTTCGCGGCCGCCATGACACCGGTTCAACATAGTGATGGTCAGCTGCTTAGGAAACCCGGACCGGACCCCCCTGCTGACCGGGCCACTGGAGCCAAAATCCACCAAGGTCGGCAGAGATCTCAATAGTCTTCCCCTGAGCAGCCGGAACCGTGCGGGCAAATGCCGGGAAGTATCGCCAAGCACCGACAGTGGTCGCCCACAGCGATGAGTGCGCGAGAAGCCGTGTCATGCTGAGCTGGAAACGAGGGGAACGCCTCCAGATCGAGTCTATGAAATCTTCGGCCATGGTGTTTGGCGTCGCCTCCAGAATACTAGCCTTGGTCACATCGGTGATAGGCAAAAGCTGCAAGCCGGAGTCATCATCGTGGATGAAGATCTCGTAGGTGACCCTCGTGCCGTGGTAGTCAAACCACAGCAGCGTGTTCTTGATGTAGATTGACACAGGAGTCCTGCTGACCATCCAGGCGTGGAAGTCGTAGACGGTCCCGAACCGAATGGTGTTGCCCTGGTAGAGGAACAACCTCGCCTCGCGGTAGACATTCCTGCTCACACGAAGAAGCTGGGGAGTCGGGCTGCGTAGCCCCGGAGCTCCCTCGCGTGAGCGGTGCGGCCAGTTCCACATCCTCAGGTGGTAGGAGTGCATCCAGATGGGCTGCGGCGGAGTGTAGATGACCAGCTCATCGACGTCCTCAAGTGCATAGGCGTAGATCCTGTTCTTGATCTCGCCAGGAAGGTCATTCCACCGGAAGTAGCTGCAACGGGGCCTGGTCGCAATGGTGGAGGCCTGGCTCCTCAACATGAGGAGAGCCTCCGCAGCTTCAGGCTTTTCGGCAGCCTGGTAGTTGTCCTTGGACTTCTTCCGCGAAGCATCTTGGTCATCGTCTTGCGTGCTGGCCTTGCGCTTCTTGTCTGAAGACATCTTAGTTGGTTGAAGATTTCAAGAGGTTTTGTTCTTGTAGTGTCTGATTGTAGGGGTCGAGTGTGGTGATGATGTCTAATTCGAAGAAAAAGGAATTTATATAGGTTGGGGGAGGTAGACAGTGCATGATCTGTTCAGTAACAGTAAGTTGTTCAGCTCTATGGATCCGGTGTTAAACATGGAGAATGGCTACAGGTGAAGCACAACTCACAATCATTTGCAGTGACCAAGCGAATGGCGTCGTGTTAACGATCATATATAGAGCGTGTAAGTTGTACTGCCACAACTTCTCCGTAATGAAACAACACATAGAACTTAGAGGTATGGGGTTTTCGATCCAACCGCATACGGACATGAATAGAGCACTACCGCTACATTGGATCAACAAGCTCACAGTTACGACTTAGTCTTCATAGAGGCTGCCACGCCTGCCTACCGAGGATTATATATAAAAGAGGTAAAGTTTAATTGAGATCTGCTTGCGATGAGATGGTGCGAAAAGAGAATCTTAAAGCTGAGCTTGTTGATAAATCACCCTCTATCTTTATACATATCAGCAACAAGAGACTGACAATAAAACAATAGCAAGAAGAATTTAGAAACAGTCGCTGCAGTCAATTTTCTCGAAATGCCCATCCGTCAAGGGTTGTAACAAAGGGCCAGCGTTTGCAAGCGTTCAAACAAGCGGGCTTGCAAGCGGGTGATTTTACCCCGCTTGATTGCAAGCACTTGGAAAGCAGAAGCAAGTGATCTTTATACGTATATCGGATAGATAATAGGCGTGGGCATACCTCATCTTCGCTTCAAATTTCTATAAGAACCTTACACTGTGCTAAGCATCGTAAATGGAGCCGGAGGGGGGCACCGAAGGGAAGGGGGGATGGCCGGGACCTCAACACTCAACACCATGCCAAGCATAATGGCGTATAAAAACCCCGTGGAGGACCGGGCACGGGCTTCTTACCACTAATCATAACATTTAGATGCTAAGGATCGCGCTTGCAAGCAAACAATTAAGCTTAAGCGCAAGCGGGGCCGCTTGTTTGATCGCCTCAAGGACAGCCTTTTACTTGAAAGCGGGGTCCAGGACCCCACTTGAGCTTGCGAGCGGTTCAAGCTGCGACCCCTCCCATCCACTAGAGAGTGCACCTCTGCGATTCTGGGACTGCCGTCTCCACCAGCTGCTTAGCCAATGAAGCCAGGGAATTTCGTCAGCTTTCAAGGTTGTTTAAAGTGCCAACGTAAGAAGAGAGCTATTGGCTCATCGTGGGATACATGATTCCACCCGGAGGACTTCCGGAGTTAGTGGTCGGGGGGAAGGAGATAAGCACCGTTAAATCCACATCGACCTTTTACAAAGCATCACTGCTGATAAACGCCCGAAATGGAACACTCGCGGTATTATATTTACAGAGACACAGAGGCAGCATGAAAAGAAGTTCTTTCTACAGTCCGAGTCCAACCCCCAACGTCCCAATAAACCACCCAAACATCTGACCTTAATCACACCCAAACAATGGCCTCCCCCTCCTCCTCCTCCACCACCCCTCCCACTCCACCACGCATCCTCCTCACCGGCGCAACCGGCTACATCGGCGGCACAATCCTCCACACCCTCCTCACCACGCCGTCCCCCTCCCACGCCCTCCCAATAACCTGCCTCTTGCGCTCCCCCTCCGCCGCCGCCCTCCTCACCAGCACCTACGGGCCCTCCCTCGTCCAGCCCGTCCTCTACGCCGGCCTCGACGACCTCCCCGCCGCCACCGCCGCCGCCGCCACCGCCGCCGACATCGTCATCAACGCCGCCCTCGGCTACCACGCCGCCGCCGCCCACGCCCTCATCCGCGGCCTCGCCCAGCGGCAGCGGCAGCACCCCCCGCAAACAACCCCCCTGCACCCACCCTACTACATCCACCTCTCCGGCGCCTCCAACCTCGCCGACCGCAGCCTCTCCGGCGCCTGGACCGCCTCCCCCCGCACCTTCGACGACTGCCCCACCTCAACCTTCTCCATCCACGCCTGGCAACGCACCCTCGACTCCACCCACCCCTACATCCAACGCACCGCCGAGCTCTCATCCGTCGCGCTCGGGCTCGAGCTCGGCGTGCGCACGGTCGTGATCATGCCGCCGCTGGTGTGGGGGCGGGGGACGGGGACGGGGAAGCGCGAAAGCACGCAGGTGCCTGCGTACGTGCGGGTGGCGGCGCGGCGGGGGCGGGCGGTGGTGATGGGGGACGGGCGGGGGGAGTGGGACCACGTGCACGTGGAGGATTTGGGGGGGTTGTATCGGCTCGTCGTGGAGGCAATCGTTGCTGGTGGTGGCGGCGCTGGGGCGGGCGTGCCGGTGGGGGAAGAGGGGGTGGTGTTTGCGGCGGATGGGAGGCAGTCGTGGAGGGAGGTGGCGGAGGCGGTGGGGGAGGTGGGGGTTGCGGAGGGGAGGTTGAGGGATGCGGGGGTGGATGAGGTGAGTGTGGGGGAGGGGACGAGGTTGTTTGCGGAGGCGTATTTGGGGGAGGGGGTGGATGAGGAGATGGTCGAGTTGGGGTTGGCGAGTCATGGGCGGACGGTGCCGAGTGTGGCGAGGAGCCTGGGCTGGAAGCCGACGAATGGGGGGGAGGAGGCGTGGAGGAGGGGGCTGAGGGAGGATATCAAGGTGGCGTTGCAGTCGTGCTAGTGGGGGTTGGTGTCTGATAGTCAATCGTGGGGTGCTGCTATTGAGAGAAGGTGTTTGAGGATCAGGTATACGGAGATGAGCACGGAAGTGGTGTCAAAGTCCTTGAACGCATTTCAATTGTACCAAAACCCATAACCTTCGGTGTTGAAGAGTCAATGTCATATAGCTCCCCTGCCACGTATCGACAAGTAAACCAAGCACTCCAGCTGCATGATGCGGAGAACTGAAGTGAATTCCGTGCCTCAACTACGCCGGGGGAAGAGACGGTTAGCACCTTTTTCAGTCTAGGAAGCATCGCTATGCGCCAGCTCAAACCACTACCCGCGCCGCAGCGAGCCGCTCCGCACTCCATGCCCCCATCCCTAACAATCCCTGCGACCCTCTTGCGCAACGTTCTCTCGAGCTCGTCGGATGGCAAGCCCGAGTTTGTGGTGGAGTCCAGCGTCACTTGCGGCAGCTTCAGGATTTTCGCCACCTTCCTTGAACCAATCTTTTCGAAGTAAGACATCCCTACAAGGTAGATGTACCACAACCTGTCCTCAATGCGCACTTTATTCTTGGACCAACGTCAGGCTGTCGAGATCCATACCGACAATGTGATCGGAGACGTGGTAGTTCATTTGGTCCATGGGCAAGGTCAGCCTCTTCACGTACTTGTTCGCGTTCGCGCGACGCCTGCTATGGTTAAAGAAGTGATACATGATGGTTCTCGAGCCAAAGTAAAGCTCGTTGCTGTAGAGGAAGCTGATGCCTTCATTGTAGGTCTGCTTGTTGGCGAGAAGCAGGTTCGGCGCGAGCTTGTGTTTGCATGTATCGTGACTGCAGGAATCGTGGTCGTTCATGAGGGTGAAGATCATTTCCGTGTTGCGCTTGTAGCACGCTAGGGTACCGAAGTTGTAGAGGCGGCGGCCCTTGATGATGGCGACCGGATAAGGAGAAGTCAGAGCGAGGTCGTAGATCTGGTTCCTCAGCTCGGCGGGCAGCTCAGCCCAGACAAAGGCGCGGAGCGGCGGCGGCTTCTTCGGGACTGTTAGCGCGTGTGGAAGGACGATCGGACGCGAAGGTGCTTACATTGAGCGCGCTGTCGGCCTTGACCTCACCAATGTCATGGCCCTTGTCGGCATGGCCGTCATTGTCGTTGGCGCCTACGTCGGACAGGTGAGGTGAGAAGCCATCCATCATGTCTGAGCTTGCTTGCGTGAAGTCGCTTCAGTGCTGAGCTCGAGGAGTTGGTGGGAAAGGTGTGCTGAGTGGCGGATGGGCGGTTGTTGTTTGGGTGAGAATGGAATCGCTCCTGTGGCGTCGTTCAGGGCCTCGCGTACGCGTCGCGTCTCGATCACGAGGACACTTGAGATCGAGGCAGGAGAGATGATGTCGAGCACCTGGTGAGTGTGAGATTGTTGCTGGCTGACTGACCATCTCATCTGGTTGCTCCCCAGTCCGCTCTCGTACCGTTCAGGCCACGTTATGGGAGCAATTGCCATCCGTGGACTGCCTTCCGCTCTCGATGAAATGCTCGTTAGCAATGAGCAGAGCGCGATGCTCGGATCGGCATACCTTCGCGGTACATCTCTTTATTCGCCAGCAGCAGATTGTCCGCCCTTGTTGCAGAAAATACACTCTGGATCATTCGAGAAACATGGTTGGCCATCTAAGGGTTCCATCAGGATTCGTAATTACGAAAGCTTAGCTGACGTTGTTGACCACTATACTAAAAGAGGAATCAAGGAGAATCATAATGCTTCCTCTATATAAGAAATCTGAAAAAAGGTTGTATCAACATCTGTAGACGACGATTACAAGTCAAACATATTGCTCATTGACTTGGCATGAAACATGGTAAGCGTAGTGCTGTCAACTAAAGGAGCATTCGCTCTGCAAAAAAGAGCGCTTGTTACAGATTCCAAAATCACAGTGCTATTGAATTCTGTTGGACAAGCACGTATATTCAATAATGTTGAGGCTCATCAGGAGGATGATCGTCATCATCAACCCAACAGGGTCCTCTTTAGCAACGTGTCATCATGGTTAACACCCTTATTGAGCCTTGAGAGCGCTGCCCCTTCTTTCGCTTACCCATCACCCCAGATAGCAGCAGCGTATGATGGGACATCCAGGTTGACCAGCTTCTGCCCGTGACCATCTGCGATCACCGTCTGACAGATTCAAAGGGCTTCAAGCCGGCTCATAGATTCAAAAACCTCCATGAAACACATCCCTCAACCGGGGTTTGCCCCGGAGACTTATCAATTCTGTATTTCCCTCCCATTATCCTCCAGACGACCCAACAGTTGTCACTCCCATTTCCGCCTTCCATCATCCCTCAAGAGTCCCAAGTATTGAACGGGAGAGCCGGGTACATGTTGGTCTCCTCCAACCCTTCCTTCATGGCCTCCCTGACGTCCTCTTCCGCCTCAACGCGATCCTCATCTGTGATGCCGGTGTCCGTCGAAGCGCGTGCATGCTTTCGCGCACAGTGAAGACCAGCCAAACGGTCCGACACCTTGATCAAGGCGTCCACGAGGCCGGGTCCGCTCTCCTCGCCACGTCGGCTGACCAGCTGGCGGAAGCCTCCGTACGCAGCGAAAGCGCGTGCGTCTTTGGCGAAGTGGGTGGCGTCCTCGTTGTCCAGGGTGATGGTCCTCAAGTTGCGGCAATGCTTGGTCAGGATCTGCCATCCCCCGTCGATGCGGAAGAGGAGGATCTGCTCTCCGCGGCACTCCGTGGGAAAGAAGGTGATGTGGGTGAGCATGTCCAGTGGCGAGGGGACCGCAACGGGTCGGGGACGGGCGATGCTGTGCTTCATGCGCCTCATGTACCTGTCGAAGGTGTAGGGATCCCGGAATACGAGATTGTTCCGGTGGTACAAAATGGGGGCGGCCTCATTGTGTATCTGGCTGTTGACTGCCAGCAAGTTGGGGCACAACTTGGCCTTTTCGCCCTTACGGCTATGGGGAGAGCCCCGACAGAGGCCCATGTCCCGGGTTAAGGGGCCGTCGAAGTAGGATTCGACGTATACAGGCGCGTTCGATACGAGTATATACTCGTATACCTCATTTCGAAGTTCGCCCGGGAGCTTATACCAGCCGATTGAGGGCTTGGCGATTAGGCTCGTTTGTTGTTTGGATGCCATTATAAAACTAAAGAAACTTCAAGGGTACTCAGTATATTGGACATGATTCGTGATGAGTAGGATAGTACATACCAAGATGCTCTTGTGGTATAAAGCTAGGAAGCAGAGTTTGCTCAGTGCGTGGCAGTGCGAGTGGCAAGATCAGAAGTAAAGTCGACGAGAAAAAAGTGTGTGTGTGGTGGTGGTGTAGTTAGAGGGCGAAGCAGCCTTTAAAGTGTTCGCCGCGCTGTTGAGCACTAACACAATTTTGCCCACCGCGCAGCCACGGTACCTTAGCAACCCAGGGTCTTCCCAACCTAAACAACGCGGCGCGCGTGTTATGCCCAGGAAAAACAGGGAAACCGCCCATACTCCCTTGTCCATGGTACGCGCGACCTTCCCGCCAGCCCCTCTGAGCTCGCTCGTGGTCGCGCTGGCACAAGGCACCTTTATTCAGGATGCGGTAGCTCACTGTCCCAACGCATCGTTTGTAATTCGCCAGGGCAGCCTTTTTGGTCCAGCATCAAAGAGAATTCAAAACCAGCTATCGGTTGACCGATGCTGTGGTACGCTAAGTAATAAGGCCTGCCATGCCCTAGCGATCAACAGTACGCACATGTATCAGTTGCGAAATAATCCAAGTCGTCAGCAAAGGCTGTCGCGACATGCTCTCTTATAGAACTCTCCTGCTACAGCATTTTCCCGTGACAGTGAGCAAGCCGTACGTCTGCTTAGCCCTATGAACAATAGTTTTCTCTGCAAACGCAAGCGGTTTTGCAAACTGTCATGCATCTACCCAGTAAACGCTCTTCTTGGTGCTTACTGCGCCTTTGTGCTTGATGGCCCACACATTTGGCCGCTTACTTGCTAGCGATCTGCGCCTCCCAACGCTTGCCAGATGCACTTGGTGGGAGTCATGGTATGCTGTCTTGGGTCGTGAGATGAAGTTTGCATATAATGTTTGGGAAAGTAAAGCGGCCGATCTGTATGACCATTCATTCGGCCGCGCGGTTTACTCTTGCCATCGGAGATTTCGATCAAAATCAAGCTCGCTCGAAGGCTCTCTCGACTACTGCACTTATGTACCATGGTTCAAAGCTAAAATTTTGAGGCAGCTTAGGTATGCCGTAGATTGGAAACGGTGATCGCAGGCAGTTACAGGTAGAAGCTAGTCGACTAGATGTCCCATTATACGCTGCTACTACGTGGGTTTTATATAGATAAACGAAAGAAGGGGCAGCGCTTAAAAGCTTAACAAGGGTGTTAATCAAGATAACACGCTGCTAAAGAGGACCCTGTTGGGTTGATAATAACGATCAGCCTCAACGTTATAGAATATACGTAATGTCGAATAGATTTCAATTAAAATTCAGCTTACACGATGGCTCTATCGAGTATTAAACGTATATGCCATGGTCTCTGGACTCCTCTGAACCTTCAATCCTCACGACTTCCCTTTCCCAATTCTTGAACACGAGCGGCCATCACACACGGTGGGATCCTGGCTGCGTTCTATTCGTGACGGCCCATTTCCGAGGGTTAGAGCCTCATCTGTGCAGCGCAGCTTTGAGTGGATTGTACCTGAGCAATGTGGTCTGTGGCCGAGAATTTGAAGAGGTCGGGGTCGACGAAAGCACACCAGCAGCGATTCCAGAACAAAGTTGGTTGCCCAATGTTCGCTCTTCATTCTCACACATCATCTATTTTTGTGTGTGTGTTCTAGAATTGCCGTACCGAGATGATCGCGTATGTACGACTCGCGCCACCTCGCCTCCCCCCTCCCCTACTCCTGTTCCCCCTCCCATTCCTAACCCTAATCCCAACCCCAACTCCAACCCCGACCTCTGCACTTGCGCCAGCGCCAGGGGCAGGCAGGGTGGAGGGCGCTTCGGTTTGCTCGTCGTGTCTAAGAAGTAGTCAATACAAGAGGCGCCATCGTCAGCTCCCATGCCGAAGGCGGCCTTCAGGCGACGCTGGGTCTTCGCCAGCCTGCGCCTCGACAGGGGGGTCTGCCTTTGCCAGCGGAGGCCTTCCTCGCCGTCGGCTCCGACGTCGAGCCTCTGCTGCTCACATGTAAAACACTGCTCCTTGGAGAGCAGCTATACCTTTTGTGCCTCCTTGAGGACCCGGCCCGCCTTTACCGCGGAGAAGTCGATATCGACCCTACGCGCCGTGGTATTGACGAATGGAAGGACGTCGGGTGAACACCCAGGATGATCGGTCGTAGCAACCACACGTCAGGGCAGGCGAAACGTGAGACAAGAGACAGACGATAGGGAGGTCAGAGAGAAGAGGTAGTAGTTGGTTGTTGTTGTACTATGCTGCCTAAAGAAAGTGCTTTTATACCATAGTGGACTCCGGCCGGTGGTTGCAGCCTCAAAGCTCAGGCCAAACTCCCACCGCTTCTGCTTCCTGAGCCTAGAGACCTTACCCTGTTAGGTACGACCGGATCCTCCACTACCACACCACCTGTATATGTAAGGGTAAGGCCAGCGTTACGGAGTTCTATGGACGCAATGACCATGATGACGAATCCCTGCGCACAGGGACATTGATCTAGTGGATAAGTACGCGATCAAATGCGGCTGAAGTCAAGCACGGGCACGTGAGATAGCAGGAGAAGATGATTGAATAGAGGCTGCGGCAGAACAAGGAGAAAGAGCTGCATCAGCAAGGGGACGAGTATTCAAGGTCTTCGTAGGCAGGTTTGAAGTGCTTGCGTCGGCAGCCGTTTCGGGTTAATTTGACCGACGCTAGACGACGAGAACTACAGTGAACGCGTAGTCCGGGGCCACATGCTGATAAGTTTTGGGGAGAAACAGGCCCCTGCTCTACTTGTGGGTGCTTTAGCTCTGGCTCCGCCTCTGGGAGAGTCGTGTCATTCGGGGACGAGGACGTGACGGTGCCGCGCGTCACGGTAGCAAGGCGGCGGTTAGCAATGGAGCGGCCATCAATATCAGCAAGAGCTTGCGCGTATGTGATGCAGCTCTTCGAGGACTTTGAGAAAAAGCTAATGTTGTCCGCCAGAGCAGCGACGACTGGTGAGCTACGCTTGCCTGCAAAATGAAGACTCCCGTTCGAGCTGGCACCCTTGCGTCGACCGTCTTGGTCCTGCTGGCAATCTTTACCATACTGCACCACTCCCGATATCTGGAGGGGCGATGGGCGTATGTCGACGGCCTCAAAAACGGAATCGCCGGAGGAATGAAGGGCCACCTGGGGACCGGCGAAACCACGAGTGTTGACGCAAAGTTCATCGGATTCGGTACACCAACACCATTGTCGACACCGCACCCTCCCATCCCGGTCGTGGTTGCAGAAACGCCGACCTGGACCTCGGAAAGTACAGAAACGTCGGCCTTGACTACAGAAGCGACCCCGGAACCAGAAAGGGCCAAGAGTTCTGGGGAAGTCGTATCGGGAGACGGTAGCAAACTAGTAGGAGAGACGAATGAACCGCAGCCTTCACTTCCGCAGGACGGGAATGAAGATGTCGAGGAAGAGCCGTCGACTAGCGGATTTTTTGAGGGGTTTCCGGATAAAATCGTGGTGATGGGAAAGGTGGGGGAAGAAGATACAACATGGGTGACAGAGTATCTGCCCGAGTGAGTGTATGGGGAATGAGGGACAAAGTAACCAAGGCTAACAATCATGCAGCTGGCAAAATGCAGTGTATACTGTGGATGATTTGAACGCGACACTCCATACACCGATGAACAAGGGCAAAGAGGTATGCAGAGAAAAGTCGGGACGAAAGAACGGGGGGGCTGATAGAATTATAGGCAATGGTGTATCTTACATACATTATTGAGAACTACGGCAACTATCCGTCGACGGTTGCGTTTATCCACAGCCACAAGGATCGATTCTGGCATTCTGCGGGTATGCCGGCGAGAAGTAACATGGTGGCGCTCAGAGCACTCAACATCGACTATGTCCAACAAACAGGCTTCGCCAATCTGCGGTGTACACTGGGCCCTGGATGCCCGGCAGAGGTCCAACCGTACCGGCAAGACACACCGGCCAATCGGCTGTATGAGAAGAACATGACGACGGTGTGGGAGCTCTTTTTCGGGACACCATGCCCGGAAGTCATCGCAGCGCCTTGCTGTGCGCAGTTTGCAGTGTCGCGCAGCCAGATCATGGCCAGGCCGTTGGAAGACTATGTGTTGTACAGGCAATGGCTGATGGAAACGGAGCTCGACGACGACAACAGCGGGAGGGTGTTTGAGTACCTGTGGCACATTCTGTTCGGGCAGGAGCCAGTGCACTGCCCGGAGTATGGGGTCTGCTGGGCGAATGTGTATGGCGGGCTGAGCATGGCGGACCTGCACCACCTGGTATACGCGGGAGACTAAGAAAATGGAGAGATTGATGCAAAACCGGCGTGGGGCTAGCCGACGTCATGCGACGTGGATCCGGTGGACGCGTGAAAAGGCGGCGTGCCCCTCTCTGCTGCCCCGCAAGCTGCGAAACACCAATGGAGGAACAAGTGGATCGTCTGGTCCGCAAGACCTGGGGTAATGTTGCCCTCACCCTGCTCCCGGCGCGGCGCTGCGCTAGTGGCTGACAGCAGCAGACAAATACCACCAGCTGCCGCGGTCGCAGCGGCTGCTCATCGGCGTGTCGGGCATTCCTGGCAGCGGCAAGACAACCCTTGCGGCCGAGGTGGTGAAGCGCATCAACGCCTTGTATCGCGCCGAACAGCCGGGCACGAGTGCCGGCGAGCCACCCATTGCCGCTTTCGTGCCCATGGATGGCTACCACCTGTCGAGGGCTCAGCTCGATGCCATGCCGGACCCTTACACGGCACATGCCCGCCGTGGAGCCCACTTCACCTTCGACGGTGACAGCTTCCTCGTTCTGGTCAGGGAGCTGCGCAAGCCACTGGCTCCAGAAAGCCACACGTTGTATGTCCCGAGCTTTGACCACGCCACCAAGGACCCCGTTGCCGACGACATCGCCATCGCACCCACCACCCGTGTCCTCGTTTTCGAGGGCAACTACTTGACTCTGGACCGTGAGCCTTGGCGCGAGGCGGCGCTCCTGATGGACGAGCGTTGGTTCGTGGAGGTCGACTTTGACACGGCCAGAGACAGACTCATCAGCAGACACGTCAAGGCGGGCATTGCCAAGGACGAGGCCGATGCGCACAAGCGCGTCACCGAGAACGACTTGGTCAACGGGCGCCAGATTGTCGATGAGAGAGTGCGCGTGGACGAGTTCCTACAGAGCAGGGAGGACGAAACATGGAGACCCGAGGCCCAGCGCGTCGGCCAGTAGAAACAATGCAGTCGTAGATTGTGATGGGGTATATCAAGCCATTCCAACGCCATTCGCCGTGCCCGTGTGTGCCTCAGTCCCGCGTGCTTCTCGCCTTCTTCGCAGGGCGCTCGTCCCTGCGCTCGTCCCTGCGCTCGTCCTTGCGCTCGTCCTTGCGCTTGCCTTTTTTTGCCTCTTCCTTGTGTGTTTCGTCCTTGCCAATCTGCTCGTCATCGACGGCGAACACCTTCCGCTGCGACTTGATCTCTTTCTCCTTGTTCAGCAATTCCGTCACTCGGCCAAGCTTGACCGGATCCTTGCGCAGGATGAACTTGAAGTCGTCAACCTTGATCTTGGCGCGGCGGGAGTAGGACGCGCAGAGAGCGGCTTCGTGACATGTCTCGATGATGAAGCTGGCCATTAATAAATCAGAAACGGTGCTCAGCCAGACGGACAAATGCGCCCAGGCCATACTCGGTGATGATCTCGTCCAAGACGCGGACGGTTTCGGGGAGCGGGTTGCGGTCGTCGCCAAACGCAATCAAATAGGCCTCGACTGGGCGCTGGTCAGGAAGGAACATGCAGCAATCGGTAAGAATGCACACGTACGGTCACGCGTGTCGAACTGTTGGCCTTTTTGGCGCATGCGCATGCGCGGCTCCGTCATGATGGCGGTGCTGGCTGGAGGAGAGGGTGCGGGTGGTGAAGAGGGTGCGGCGCGGATGAGGGTGGATGCAGCTGTGGCGCAGGTACGCGCTACCGGCTAGTGGAAATAATGGTGGCCGCGCTGTGACGTGGAGCTTTGGAGCTTTGGAGCTCAACACCTATGCTTCACCCTCCTGCCCATGCACCAACCCATACACCGCCATGGTCGCAATCACGCTTTCAGGGTATCTCTGGCCCATTCTCCCCATCTCTGCACTGTACTGATGCTCATCTCCTCCTAGGCTAAGGTCCCTGTTAATCTTCTTTGGCCCGATGCTTCTGCCAAAGGCCATCCAACTGTGCAGATCCATCCGTGCCTCTCCTCGCAACCCTCATGGTCGCGTCCGTCCCATACCCCCGGCCGTCGCCGCTTCGCTCAACCTGCTATACGCCTTTGCCATACTCGCCTTCGCCGCTTCCCTGCCGTACTTTGCTCCCGAGAACGTCTTTCAAGCAACCTCCTCCCGCTTGCAGATTCCCACCGACACGCTCTTTGTCCGTCTGGGCAAGCTCCGTCCGCTGAGCGCCGTTGATGAGGCGCTCAGGTCCAAGTTTGTCAACATCGAGTCCAGACTGTTGTACTTGGCGTATGGCCCGTCTGTGCTGGCCACCTGTCCCTTCTGCACTTCGGACGAGCCCTCGAGCTACTTCTACTATGCGTTGCCCTCCATCATCGCACCCCATCTCCTCCATCTTGTTGTGCTCGGTCTTGTCACGTCTTCCGTGATCTCGGGTTCTGAGGGTGCACGATGGAGGACTTGGGCTGCGAGTCTCGGTGTGGTTCTTACAGCGCTCGAGGTGTGGGCGGTTGGTACGTATGACTACACGCAGAACGCGACCGCCCTACGTTTGGGCGATCTGGAGCCATTCTACTGGCGCATACGGACGCTGCGCTACATTGCATTTGCCTTGATGGACGGTCTGCTTGGTTATGCTATGTACCTGACATCGACCAACCGTTGGCTGGTCATACCGCCGACGATTTCGGAGCGCATTGAGGAGAACACGCGCATGGTCGAAAGTCTCAAAGGCAAGCTGAGCATGCTGGCTGCTATGAAGAACACAGTGGCCCGGGATAAGGGGTTGCGCGAGCGCAACTTGGCGTACTGGGTGGACGAGGGCCAGTACATGGGCGAAATATTCGAGGACAGGGAAGTGGTGGACGGGATGCAGAACGCATTGGAAAGGGCGAACGTGGAGATGATAGAGAACCAAGCTGGTGGGATGGCGGACGGCATCGTGAGTGTCATTGAGAATATGCGCAAAGGAACGGGCGTGTAGAATAGTCGATAGAGGCGGAATCCATCAACCGTCTTGCCTAGGGCATCGTGACAGCTGGCATAGGTTGCTGTGAGGACGAGGAACGGGAGGGCAAGCAACGTCTGCATGTGCAGGCCGGGCAGCGAAACGATCGAAGCCGGGGTCGGAGTGGCAGGGCATGCACATGGCGTCAGCCCTACGCATTTTCGCCGCAGGAACGGCGCCGGCTGTTTTCCGCCGACGCAGTCTCCCGCCGACGATCGGCCCATTTTTCCAGTCATACTGCAGTCCATTGTCGTCCTCCACCACTCTCTCCAGCACCGCCGCCGTCACCACGCCAACATGTCGACTTTTGGCACGCACTTCCGCGTCACCACGTGTGTCTTGCTCTCGCCTCCGCCACTTTCCCGCGAGCTAATCCGTCCCGCAGCTATGGCGAGTCGCACTGCCTCTCCGTGGGCTGCATTGTCGATGGCTGCCCGCCAGGTATGCAGCTCACCGAGGCCGACATCCAGCCTCAGATGACCCGCCGCCGCCCGGGCCAGAGCGCAATCACGACCCCGCGAAACGAAAAGGACCGCGTGGAGATCCAGTCGGGCACCGAGTTTGGCGTGACGCTGGGCACGCCCATCGGCATGCGTGTCATGAACGAGAACCAGCGCCCCAAGGACTATGGCAACAGCACAATGGATCTCTACCCGCGTCCGAGCCATGCTGACTGGACATACCTTGAAAAGTACGGTGTCAAGGCGAGCAGCGGTGGCGGCCGCAGCAGTGCGAGAGAGACGATCGGTAGGCGTGCGTCCGGTGTCGTGGGCAGAAGACGTTGCTAATGCTCGTGTAGGACGCGTCGCTGCCGGAGCGATTGCTGAAAAATACCTGAGGCAAGCGTACGGCGTGGAGATTGTTGCCTTTACTGCTTCCATTGGCAATGAGTTCCTCTTCCCGCCCTCCCCCGAGCACCCGACCGCCTCGACGAACCCCGCCTTCCTCAAGCTGATTGACGAGATCAACCGCGAGACGGTCGACTCGTTCCTTCCTGTGCGCTGCCCCGACGAGGATGCCACCGAGAGGATGAAGCAGCTTGTGGAGCGCTACAGGGATCAACAGGACAGCATTGGCGGCACGGTGAGCTGCGTGATACGGAATGTTCCTTCTGGTCTCGGCGAGCCCTGCTTCGACAAGCTAGAGGCCATGCTTGGGCATGCCATGCTCAGCATTCCCGCCACCAAGGGCTTCGAGATCGGATCAGGCTTTGGCGGGTGTCAGGTCCCAGGTTCCATCCACAACGATCCATTCATCAAAGCGGATGATGCAGAGGGTCGGCCAAGGCTGACCACCAAGACCAACAACTCAGGCGGCATCCAGGGCGGAATATCCAATGGCGCGCACATCTACTTCAATGTCGGCTTCAAACCGCCAGCCACGATTGGTCAGGCGCAGCAAACAGCTACGTATGGGCAGGAGGATGGCGTTCTGGAAGCGAAGGGACGGCACGACCCATGTGTGGTGCCACGTGCAGTGCCGATTGTTGAGTCAATGGCAGCACTTGTACTTATGGATGCCGTTCTGGCCCAGCAGGCGCGACAGACAGCTCGCAGCCTGCTACCCCCTTTGAAGGAGACGGTACCGCTGACTGGAGGAGGGGCTCAAGCCAATGGGGAGGGCGCAAAAGTCGAGGCAGACCGGTAGGGAATGAGACAGTCTGTCATGGAAATGGCCTTTTGTATGCCAGAGTCGGCGTCCTGACTGTCAGTAGGACTGGCTGGAAAAGGCATAGGATGGGCGTCAGAAACGGTACATCGGTAGGCAACACCTGGATGAAAAGCATTGGAAGTCATTTTCGTGACCATTGTTTGGCCCAGATTCGACTGGTTCCGTCCGTGTACAATTATCTTCAGTCAGCAGCGATTTACTTGCAAGCAACCACTTTCACGCCTGCAACAAGTCACTGGGGTGCGCAGCTCGCGAGTCCTAGTTGCCAAGACCCGATTCCAGGGTGCATGTGGAGGGAGGGGCCTGCGGGTAAGCTCCGTGCAGAAGGGCCGAAGACAGTGCCAGAAACCCCACGCTAGGCGTCCGATTTATATGGGAATGGCGCACGGTGCCGCTCGTCCGCGGGCTCACCCGCTGCGTAAAATTAACCACCTTCATCATTGGCATCGCACCCTAAACCCTGTGCTGTGTCATGTGGGCGCGCTTCTCTTGGAATACGGGCAACTGGAGAGCCGGTGGCCTGTAGGTCCATCGAACCAACCTGCCAACGCCTCGTTCTCCATGACATCGGTGGGTAAGAGCGACCATGACTCGCTCTTTCGCTCTGTTTCCCGCTGTCCTGCTTCCTACTATATTGTCCACGTTTTAATCACTCATCGGAATCACTGCTTTGGCCTCATAGTTTTATAGCGGTTAACAGAAGTCTAGCTATCTTAGGGAAAGAGATCTTTTCTTACCGTTACTGGAACCTCATCTGTCTTAGCTGGCGCGTATACGAAGAGCAGATGACTATGCCTGTCGCCGACTGCCAGCAGATACGAACGATGCTATGAAAGCTTTTTCGACGCCTTTCACTAGACATGTGGCGTCGCAATCCGTACTTCTAAGATGAAACGTAATTTGACCTAGTGCAGTCTTGATTGATTAACATAAACCCGATTTTCATTACTATACATAGTTCTAGAAGCTAGAGTTACCTTCTCCTTGACAATAGGTGTCGGTCCACTCAGTACTTCGTCGAACTTCTCCAGTTCTCCATACTAAATGAAAGACTATCGTGTTATAGAGATTACAACTAACAACACCTAATATGACGACGTGATGTCTTAGACCCCTAAGACTTGGCTATAGTTCTATAGTTTGTACGTATTACTAGCACCACAATAACCGTTTTAGTAAGGAAGCTCTTGGCTCTTGGTCGCGGCCTATGCGCGAAAAGTCTGGTTTGTTGGCCCATTAGGTAAACATAGCCGCGGAACCCAATCCAGAAGAAAAGAAACACACTTAGAGGGAACAGCGATGACTCTGAATGGCAATAACAGCTTTCCCCACTAACTGCGAGCGTAGAGACATGCTTGACATATCTAACAAAAATGTTTTGCGGTATTACGTTACTGCAAGCATGGCGCTCGTCAACGTAGCACTTAGCGAAGACGGTGTAATCATACGTGGGGGTACATGCACGAGCTAATAGGTTTGGTGGGGCTGGTCATCCTATGCTGGAGATGAGAGAGATCTTACCTCTATGCAGGGCGATTCGATGCCGTCCAACAAGTTCAGTCCCAGTTGCGACGGCTTGTGCGTTACCCGAAGCCCGCGGCAGTGGCCCCGAGCGAGAGTGTGCCCGAGCAAGTAGCGGAGCGGGGCGAGCCGAACGCTGTACCATGAGTAGCGTTCAAAGTCTAGGTATGCTCGGTGGGTGGATCTATTGAAATCAATGCGCACGAGCCGAACCGAGGCTCTCGCAGGTAGCGTCACTGAATCCAAACTGGATTGCATCGATCGAACCAGGGCTCAGTCTCGGTACACAGCCGAGGCAACACTAGTCAGCTTGCTGTCCGTGATGCCACGAGGCCCATGAGTTCTCATCCAGTGTTCAAGAAGTCATTCGGCGAGTACCACATCGGTAGCCCGGCGACGCCGTGAGCCCACTGTGTTGGCTTGCTTGACCAGATCCCAGTGCGAAGGAACGTGGATGCCACGCGGCTGGATATTGTACAAACGCGAGCGATCGGCGTGCGCGTGCCGAAATGCTCGGGCCCACGCGAGCAGAAATTGCAATATCCGATCACTCTGTTGTGTATCCTGTTGGTTGTTCTCATTTGTCCAGGCTCTCAGCCACGCTCCCCGTTATAATAATCGCTAGGATTAGGGTTGCTCGACGCGGCTCGTGACGCAGGCCCGTTCGTCAAGACCGCAAGAAGACGAGGAGGCAGTGTCTTTACACGGGCCGGCCATCTTTCCACCCATTGTCAGGCTACAGTGCGCACTTTTGCGCAGCTGTGGCGCATGAAGCTCTCACCCAGTCCGGGGCGCGTCTGCCGTGGGGAAACGAACACTTCGGGTTTCGTTCCCTCTGTTGAAACCGGTCAGGCGACAGTGTTCGCAACGTGAAATGCGCCATCATGGCTGGCCCGGTCGAGTTAGGGACGTCTGACCCACAGCAACCCCTCGCTGAAGCCGAATTCTGGCTGATGAGTTATCCCCAATGGCTGAATCTCAATGGTGCATGGACAGATTTCCCGCCGGTCAAGTTGTATGGCAGCAAGTCGCGCCCGGTATGGTCGAGGCCCCCAGTATCGCAACCGCTTGTCGCTGATACACACAGGACCCAAGACCCCTGCGGCAGGAACGCTGTCAGCTTGTCCGAGTATACTGGTGTTTACTAAAAGGCCGCTCTGAACACTTACCTTGGACTCGAGAACGACGATGGCCATGCATCTAGGTCAGCGATTTCCATCAAGGGCTTATACCTGTAGGGCGATCAATCCTGTCTCACAACTCGACCCAGCAATTGAAGGCGCGCCTCCTCAGTTTCCCGAAGTATCGCGACCGATTGACCTATCATACGACGTGCTAGAAGACCGGTTCGTGCTCGAAAGCGCAGTGCCGCAAACGAGAACTGTCGTTGATTCACCCAAGTGATGCCTATACTCCTTAGCGGCCGTCGATATCATCTATGGGGTCAGAGGGCATCTCACCTGTCGAAAGGGACGAGAAAGACAGGAGAAGGAAGTCGGAAAACGGTCTCCCTGGGACCTTGGTGGTTTCGGTCAAAGTGGGCAAGGGAGCAACTCCTCAGGACCCGTCGCACGTTTCAATACGTGTGAGGCTGCCGTCGCTCCGTGCTATTTGGCCAGTACATGGTTTCACTGTGACGCTGCTGCCTTGGAAGCCAAGATAAGCTGCGTGGACACGGACAGGTGCGCCTCCAACTGTCCAGATGGCAGAAAGGCTCGAGATCGAAGTGAAAGGCATACCAGGGGGTCAAAGCTAGTCGGCCGTGGCCGCATATTCGAGGGGAAGTGACGCATGGGAAAATGCCAGCGGTGTGCCCACTGATGACTAGCGCGCCTCTTCCACCAGGCGTCAAGTCTTGATCCAGAGCTTTTCATGTCGTCCGCCCTTTGCCCTGGCTCATTGCCCATTGACCGTGCAAGATGCATGGGGGCGGCATGAGAACAGCCCATTTGTCCGGAGAGCCAGACCTGGTGCTAACCGGGCCTGACTCCACACAGGTCCACCACAGCCACCGTAACGACGTCGCGCAAAGCTCAGCTGGCCACTAGCCGATGCTGCGTCCCTTGATGATTGGAGGACTTTGAAGCGTACCGAGCCCGCTGCGGGAACGGCGCTTGCATCCGGCTCGAAGCCCCCTCCACTCAAAGAACGCAGTTGCAGCGCCATACGGCCATGGAGCCAACCAGGGTATAGGCAAGAACGCCTTGCCCGGGTAGACATGGCAAGGAAGGCAAGCTGAGCCTGAGGGGCCCAGGGGCACTGGGTGGCCGCGTAGCTGCGACCCGGAAAGCGCCGCCCCAGGCTCTCTATGACTACTCCGAATTCTGGCAATGCAAGGAGGGCGGCCGAGCAGAGTTGTCGACAGGCGGGCGTGGGACGCAGCTGAGTATGCGCTTTCTTCGCCCCCAGTGCAACAGTGCATCGGCCTTCGGTTCAAGCCTGCCTATTTCATGGCAGTCGGTGACATTTGACGGCTTGTGTTCCACTCTGCGCCGATCCCAGAGCCAATGAAACTCAGCTCGGCCGGAGGAGACACACGTCCAACGGCGCGGGCAGGGCATCTCACGGACACAGCTGGTTCGCCGGTCGAGGCCGTGAGCGCAGCGCAGCAGTCTCCACCTGGAGGCTGGAGCTGGGCCAAGCACTACGTGAACGCCCAAGAAGGGCGCTGTGAGAAGCATGCACGACATTGCCAGGAGCGGACAAAAGGTTGTAAAAGGCACGTGGAGAGGCTTTGGTCCATGTGCACGCTGTTCTGCGGAAGTGAGCCGAGATGAACGCCTCTCGTCCGCTTGGGCCCTGACAGCAAGGGCAGACGAGGGCGCTCGGCATTGCGCGGGCTCCCAGAGCCATTCGGCCCTCGAGGATGCATACGTGGTGCTTAGCCAGGGAATACATATGGCGTGCATGATGCTGTGGTGTCCAAGGCGTTGCCGCGTCTAGCTGTGCCGATGCGCGGGCTGAAGCCTGGACAGCGCTGCCGCGCCGATCGAAGAGGGTCGTGTCGCGTGTCGTTCATGTGCCAGAGCGGGCCAGCACTGCGCATCACCACGACGGGCAGCCCGAGGAAAGAGGGGCGACGGCAGCCCCATGGCCGGCGGCGTCGTGGGTGCCAGCGGTTGCGCCGGGGACGGACTGCTCCTGCTCGCCGCGAAGCCGTCGCCGCCCGCACACGCACGCTCGGGCGCCGGCGCCTATCTGCCCGGAGAGCGCATAGGTCTCGCGGCCAGGACGGGCGCTGTGGTGGTCGCGGGAGGGCCGAGGTGGGAGATCACGTGATGGGTGAGCAGAACGGAAGGGCGCGGGCGCGGGCGCGGGCGCGGCACAGCACAGTCGGCTCCGTGCAGCCCGGCCGGGGCGCGGTGAGGGTGGGCTCGTGGCAAAGGCCGGTGCAGCGGCGGTTGTTGGGTTCGCTCGCGCCTGCGGCCATCCTTAGCCGTCGACCCTGGGCCCATGGCGGCGGCGCGGCGCTAAAAAGGCAGCAGCGGCGGGCTGCCAACGGGCCGCGCCCGCGCCACACGCGCGAATAATAGTACAAGCGCTCGTTGTGCGCCTCAGCACCCGCACCCGCGCTCCTTGCTGCCGTGCTCGCCTCCGCGCTACCCGCCGTGCGACCTGATGGTAGCGACACAGGCGCGCTGCTCTGGCTTGCGGCGCAGCTTAGGCCGCGCGCGCCTGCCCGGCCCTGATGACAGGCTTCAGCTGCCGCGGCGCCTTCTATATCTGGCGCCAGTGCCCGCGCACCGCGTCCGCGGAGGCCAGCCGTCACACGAAGCCGCCCGCTTAGCCGTCTGCCTGGGCGCTTATTACTTAGGCGGCTGATCCGCACGCGCTGCGCTCTTCGTGTTGGATGTTCGCCGCGCGCCTTCCTTGCTTCCTCTCGCCAGCGCGTGAAGACGCCCGCCGCGCCGTGCAACCCGCCTGCCGCTGAAGAATCCAAAAGACGCCGTCGATCCGCCCGCTCGACCACCGAGCCATCGTCCCTGCCGCATCCCGCTACTGCTGCCGTTCCTGATGCCGCCCTCGCTGCACAGCGGCGTGCGGCTGGACGAAAGAGACCGCATTTCCGACACCGCCGCCTCGGGCTTCACCGCAGTCAACGGCCGCACCTCCCCGCGGACGCTGAAACTAAGCGGCAATGGATCTGAACGCCGCCATTCACGAGCTTCACTCACTCCCGAAACCGATTGTGTGCAGGACAGGAGACCCCTCTCGCAGCATCCAGACCCCCCCGATGGGCCGCCCACCCCACGTCCGCCCGAGCGCGACATGCGCCTGTCGAGCCCGGCCAAGCGCAAACGCTCCCTGTACGAAGATGAGGAAGATGCCCAGGACGTAGACACGTACTCGCGGCAGGGAGACTCTAGCAGTCCGAGTTCCGCGGAAGATGACGACGGTGATGAAGACGACGACGACCTCATCCTGGTCGATGAAAACGGAGAGCCGGCGGCGCAGACCAGAGACTTTGCTGCCATGTCGCGACGCCAAGTCAGTATGTCTGACACCGACGCTGACGCCGACGCCCCGCAGCGAGAATATGAAGCTGGCGACGCATCGAGAAAGGGGGACCAGCGCGGCGATGAGGCACAGTCTGGCCAATCTAACACTGGCTATGGCAGCCCGACACAGGTAACCAAGGCGGGCGTGAAGGTCAAAGCAGGGCCAAGGAAAAGAGTGTTCAGTAATAGAACAAAAACCGGCTGCCAGACATGCAGGCGGCGCAAAAAAAAATGCGACGAAGCAAAGCCCTCATGCAACAATTGTATACGTGGCGGATTTGTGTGCGAGGGATACTTGCTAAAGTCACCCTGGCCAAAGTCGGGAGCACACAATGGCCACATGCCCATGCAGACAAAGCACGGCTATCCCGAGCCTCTGGGCATTTATCCCAGACCGGCGGTCGACATCTATCCGGGTCCTCGACCGCCACTGTCTCTCGAAGAAGCGCGCAGCCGATCGATTATAGTGGGAGAGGAGCGGCCAAGTGCATCTGCCTCGAGCTCGATCTCGTGGGCAGCGGCTTGGCCGTCGCCATCGCCATCGCTGCCGAACCGCGCCGCCAACGGCTATTCCGGAATGGCGCCTCCGTCGGACACGTGGGGGGCGCTTCAGAGATACCAGGAGCAGAACTCTTACCGGCACGGACAATCTGGCTCTTCCACCATGGCACCGCCATTACCGCAGCCGCAGCAACTAAGCGCTCCTCAGTCAGCCATGACGGCGGCACAGCTAGCTCCCCAGCAGCAGCAGCGCCAGCCATCAATACCACAGCATGTGAGTCAGCCACTGTCGCACAAGCTGCTGTCGGAGAAAGAGAAGATGTTGTCGGGTGGCATCTACACTCCATTCGCACCCAGTTTGCTCAAAGAGCGACAAAAATGCAAGGCTGCACTGTGGCGGTTTAATAATGCAGTAGCCACAGGAGCAAGCCTAGACGAGAGCATGCGCCTGTTCAGGGACGTGCTGAGGCTCCCCAGCCATGACGGGCCGAAATCTGAGGACAAGATGCAATCGGACGACACGCCGCAATCTGACCATGTAGGATTCTTGGGCGAGGGCTGCTGGATTGAGACGCCGTTCCGTTGCGACTTCGGTTACAATGTTCGGATCGGTGACCAGGTTGCGATAGAGGGGGGTTGCACCATCTCTGACGCGCGCACAGTGGTGATCGGGAACAGATGCATTTTGGGACACAACGTCAGCATTTACACATCGGACTGGGACAGAAGCCCACGAGATCGGCAGGGGGTCAAGGGCACGGCGTCGGCGATGGAGGTTGTGATCGAGGACGGTGTGTGTATCGAGGCCGACGTGACGATACTACCCGGGGCACGTATTGGTAAGAACTCGAGAGTGGCGGCGGGGTCGCTTGTGGACAGAGAGGTCAGTCGGCCGAAGACAGCATTGATGACGAGGTTGGCTGACGATGTCTAGGCCAAGTTCCCGGAAAACAAACTCATAGCCGGGCGGCCGGCTGTGGTCACGGACCGATTGATGGACGACGCGCCGATTGGGCGGTCGTCGTTGTAAGAGCAGGTGGGCAGGAGCATGCGGAGGGGGTGGTATAGGTTTAGATGGCGAGCACCAGAGGCATGTGACGGGGCAGGCGTGATCTGGAACGGCTCGCAATGTACATACAGCGACGGCGCAGGAAGACAGAGCCGCAAGGCAATTGGCCATGTTTCGGGCGGGTGCAGGGCTGGGACGGGGCGGGCAGGTCTGGCCAGCAGAAGACGAGGTTTGGTAGAAGTGCTCATAAAGTCGGGGGCCGAGGCAGGGATATCCCGGCTGGCGAGGCCCCGCGCTCGAGCTCTGCCGCCCTGCGTCACCTGCCGCCGCCCGCCTGCCCGCCGCCCGCTTCCAACGCCGCATCCAAGCCCATCTCATCCGACCACCGCAACACACCCCCCACCCACCCACCACACTCCGCCCTCCGCCCTCCGCTGCCATGCCTCCCGACTGCCGCCTCGCCCGCCGCCTCGTCCGCGCCGCCGCCCCCCACCGCGGCACCTGCCCGCACGCACGCTGCCGCCCGCTGTCGACCCACCCCGCCCAGCGCCGTCCCAAGACCGCCATCTTCTTCCCAGGCAAGCCCCGCCGGACGCTCCTGTGCGCCGCCGTGATGCTGATGCCCGCGTTGTCCAGGTCAGGGTGTGCAGCGCGTCGGCATGATGCAGGCCTGGCTCGATGCCTTCCCGCGCACCGTTGCTCCCATCATCGACGAGATCGACGACACGCTCAACTTCCGCCTGTCGCGCCTCATCTCCGACGGGCCCAATGCCACTCTGACCGCCACCGAGAATGCACAGCCCGCCATCATGGCCACTTCGGTGCTTATCCTGCATGTCCTGCAGGCCGAGTTCGGCTTCCAGCCCCAGCATCGCGTCGACTTTACCCTGGGCCACTCGCTCGGTGAATTTGCCGCCCTCGTTGCCGGCGGCTATCTGTCCTTCACTGACGCCTTGCGCATGGTGCGCCGCCGCGCCGAGGTCATGGCTCGCTGCTCCAAGGAAGCCTCCGCTGCCATTGGCGGCGGCGAGGTGGGAATGGTTGCCATCGTGTGCGAGAACGAGGAGCGCATGCGCGCCCTCACCGACATGGTCTACGACTTCCTCGGCATGGGCTCTGACGGGTCCAAGACCGATTCCGCCGAGGACGTTCCCGCCGTCGACAAGGTTCTGATCGCCAACATCAACAGCAAGAACCAGATCGTGCTCAGCGGTAGCATTGAGCGCATCACAACCCTCCTGACTCACCTGCGGCAATTCGGCGGTCACGATCCGCGAGCCGTTCGTTTGAAAGCCGATAGCCCGTTTCACTCGCCGCTGATGAAGCCTGCCGAGGAGGAGATGAAGCGCATACTGGCCGGCCCATCCGAAAGCGCTGGCGACCGGGACATTGTGACCTGGCCCGGTCACATGCCATGCGTATCAAACGTTACTGCTCGTCCTTTCAAAAGTCGCGCTGAATTGAAGGATCTGCTTGCACGACAATGCGTCGAGACAGTTGATTGGTGGGGTTCCGTCCGATACTTGGATAAGGAGGAAAAGGTGCGCAGATGGCTGGGCATCGGCCCTGGCAAAGTGGGCCGTAATCTCGTCGGAAAAGGGATTGATGCACCAAGAGGCTTGTCGTCGGGAACGGTAAAGGGTGGTGGGGTCTGGGGCATCGATGATCCACGTCACGTCGAAGAAATTATGAAGGCTCTAGACGAAACGGAACAGGCATACGAGGACTGAACGACTTATCCCGCCGAGTGCCTGCACTGAAATAATGTTTAGTCTAGGGACTGCGAGGAGAGTTTGGACAACATTTCTCCTACTACTGATCGCCAAGTCCTACGACACCTTTTCCCCACCCCAGCGGCCAGTTTCTTAGAGCCGTTGTATCGACAGGGAAAGATTCAAAGAGCGTATTGTATATAAGTTGATACGACTGGGATCAACTGTACAGGTGAGCGAGATATTTTTCAATTCTTGGACGTGGGCTCGCCCGCCTTCAAACCTTGCTCACCACATTTACTGCGCCGCTAATCACCACGTCTTTGTTGTGTGTTCTGCCGGGGCTTTCTTCTGACATAAAATGCCGGAAGTTACAGGTAGGAACTGTTTTGCGAAAGGTGTAGAAACATCGGAAACAGCTGTCTTACTTCCTATGGTTGGCCTACAAGCAATGACGCCGAGGGTGAAGCGATGGGTATAACGAAGGGACTGGCAGCAAGTGCGTGGAAACATAAACGGCGGGTTTTCTGAAAGACGATGCTACGTCCCTAACTGCGGTTCATTCTCTTGCATTGAGCTACGAATCGATGAGACCAGCATCGGCCGTGCAGCGTTTACGAGCCCTGCATCCTCTGCTGTGGTATCCATCAGCCATTCATATAGACGACTCATGGTAAGATCGACATCTCTACACGTGATGTAGGCGTTCCTGCCAATCATACTTTGACTGAGCTAAGGTGCTGCAATATAGAGACCCGCATCTCAAGGAAGAAATGGAATATCAGCGTACTTCATGTTTATCGGACATTTGGACTCATACCAACTTGAATCTTGGCGCCAGTGATGGACGTGTTTTTGGCGAGATCTAGAAAGGCGTTCGCGCAATCTTGCAGATCCGTCTCCCTCTTCAGAGCTGCTCTCTCTTTGAGAGACGCAATGCGCTCCTCGCCATATTGATTTCCCTGGTTAAGAGGACTCATTAGCTCTGATGGTTGAAAGTGATCGAAAGTAACGTGAGTCAAACCCAATCAGTCAACAAGAGACCAGGCAGTACGGCGTTGATCCGAATCTTGGGGCCACAAACTGAAGCCAAACACTTCATCAGGTGAAGCTGAGCGGCTTTGGTCACCGAGTAACTGCATGGCTGATGATTAGCCACAGTACCCCATGGCAGGAGATTACGTCGCATCCTGCTCTTCTCAGATGTGTTCTTGGGAGGAGTCGCAATCTTGCTCTATGGGTAGCCGAACACATGTCCGGACGAGGATGCAAGGCTTGAAGGCTACAGACACATCCGGACGTGGCGGTAGACTACCCACGTGAGTAGGGTGCAGAATCTCATACAAAACAAGTCTGAGAAGGGCAGAACCCCTTTGTAACCAATCATAGGACTCACGCCATTGAGCTGCCGCCCTGAGAGACGCCCTGGTGCGAAGGTTAGAAGACTTCGTGCACTATCCAGACATGTAAAGGGCTTGTCCTCACCGCTATAGATGACGTGATGAGAAACACACCCCCTTCCGGGTTCTCACGGAGGATGGGACCGGCGGCTTTCATGAGTGCAAGCTTTGATTTCACGTTGACGGCGAAACACTGTCAAGACCAACGTGGTGAGCGATGCCCTTCAGAGTCGAGCCAGAAGCAATGAGGTACGCGCTTACTTTATCCCAGTCCTCCTCGTTAAGCGCCTCGAGATCACCCCAATTGTCCGTGAACTTCGTGTACCCCTACGTAATGAGTCATATCAGAAGCTGGGCATCGGAACCATCATGTAGACGCTCCAAGGTCCTTGTAATCCAATAAAAACTCGTCGCCTTCAAAAGGAACACTCACGGCATTTCCGATGAGAATGTCCAAGCCCCCGAGCGTCTTGACTGTCTCTCTCACACAGCGCTCACATTCGGTAGCGATGCCGACATCCTATAGAATTCAAGTCAGCAATAAGAAGTGGGAGTCTCTCTGCCAGGGCAGACCCCTTACAGCCTTGATTATCGTAGATTTGATGCGGTACTTCTCTTCAACTTCCTGGGCGAGGTCCTTCGCCGCAGCCTCCGAGCTTTGAAAGTTGATCGCCACATTGCACCCCTGTGCAGCGAAGGTGCGGGCGAGGACGGCACCGAGGCCTCTGGGGAATATTATGTTTAGTAGTTAGCTGTAATGGCTCGGGGCACTGATTCCGATCCGGATTATGGGGTCTGCCTCGTCGAACGAACCGACGAGTATGGAGTAGGATGATGTTTGGAAGGAAATGTGCAAATTATTGTGCAAGTGATCAATGCATGCCTGCCTCGCACGCAAGACTCGATCACTCACCTCGAGCCACCAGTGATCAAGACGTTGCGTCCTTGCAAGTCGTACGGCATTGTGCTCCCTGTCCTCAGTCAGTCACCTGGGATGGTAGCCTATCAATCTTGGTCTTCTTTACTTTCAACTCCTCTCTGGACGCATGGAACGGGACGGAGCGAGGTGATAATGTACGAGTGCGTTGCAGATAGGGTGCCACTGCCGTAGAACGACGTTAACTTGTGGTAGAAGATATTGAAGCAAGAAAGAGGCTGCGCGACGTGGTGGAGGCGTGCGCTCAAGAGTGGGATGACGTTAGAATAGTGTACGGGCCGACCGGCGGGAGGGCTGACGAATCTCTGCGCCGCATGTCCTTGCTGGCCATGCCAAGTGATCGGCAGGGTCCGGCGCGCGTGGCTGTGACGTAGTACATGCTATTCTAATAGCTGGTACACCAACCGAGATCACATGCCTAGATAACGCTCCTTCAAGTGGGACATGCAGATATATCACGTAGTAAAGGCACTACTTTAATACAGACAATCAACAGCCCAAGCAATTAGGATACCGTGTGGCCCTCTGCACACCTGATGACCTCGCAATTTATGTATTATCGAGCTAAGCACGCATTGATTAGCCTTACCTGTACACGCAATTACATTAAAAATAACACCCTCGTACGTGGTTATCAAGAGCTCGCATCCAATAGAGCTTTTTTCAACTTGCTCCACGACTTAACCAACGCCCTCTTACTCTAGGTATCGATCCGGGTAAAAATAAGCAAAAAACAGCGAGCGAACACGGAAATAGCGCAAAACCTGGTGGGCCGTAGGACGTTATCCAAGAACGGCGTCTAGTGCAAGCAGGAATACGAGAAACACAAGAACTGGGAATGACTCTAGAGCTCATAGACCCAGCACCCATGAGGTACGACCCAAGAAACAAACACGTTTGTACCGACGAACAATGTAACGCGACAGGCAAGGAAGTTGTGCAATTCGACAGGCTGGGGATTCAATTCCCCAGGAAATCCCAGAACATCCAGATATTTTTTTTTCTCTAAATTGACGCCCAAATGCTCCAACGCTCGACGATAGACAAAAAGAGTACCTCTCCCTGGACTCTAGTGCTCAGGGAAGATAATATTAGACAAGGAATGAAAAATTGGTGGAGTGGAGGCCCGTTCGCGCTGGGTGCGCAGGGCTTGTCAGTCTTTGATGATAGGCTTTCCAGCCTTCTGTATGCTATTGCATCAGATCGAGTGGGATTGATACTCGAAGAAAATGGAGGAAAATGAGCAGTGGCGACAGTGACAGGTCAACGCACGGCCACACGGCTTGTCTAGCTTTGCATTGTGGCCTTTTTGGCGGATTTCCTGTGATCCGCAACAGGGCCGTCGGAGCTGTCGAAAGGAGATGGAAATTTGTAATGATCGTGGTCAGGGCGAGGGGGAAGGTGAAATTCGTGACGATTCGTCTCATTTGCCGCCAATCATGGAAGGGATTGGCTTCCGCTTGGCCTTTTGTTGAGGGACTCTTGGTACACCTTGGATGACCCTTGGCTCCTTCATCAACGTCGGATCCAGCTTGGCTGGCTGACGGGTCACGACCGAACGATAATCCCCAGGGAAGCGCGCAGACGGTGGCGTGGCGACCGCAGAGCGCCATAGATGATCGGAAGTGTCATTGAGGAAGTCGGTTGAAGATTTCGAGAAAAAGGATGTGCGTCCGCGGTTCTTCTTGGACAGAATTATCTGGTCAAAGAGCTTGATCGACGGGTCGTCTGAGCGGGTAGACTCTCGCTCGTGAATGAATTCGTTGAAAGCTAAACGATTGGCGTGGTTAGCCGTGTCTGGTCCAGACTTCAAGCGATAGCTTACCCTGGGTCTCGCGCAGCATGGCAACGTATTCTTGGTTTTCGCTCGGCATGCTCCTCAAGAAGCCATCCATGTTAAACGAGTATAGCAATCCAGACTTCTTTTGATCAGAGCTCGGCGCTCCCAAAAACCGCCTATACGTGTACAAGAGGCTGGCGAAGCACCGGACGAAAGCAGCACGCACTTGGTCGGGTAGAAAAGCAGAAGGGCAGACGAGGCATATTTGGTTCAAACACCTGGGATGAGCAATAACACTGCAACCTGTTCGTTGTTAGACACCGTAGAGAAAAGGCAAAGCGGACAAGTGACTTCAACCCACCAGTGCACCTGTACATGCCATCATCTGCCTTGTCATCGCAGATAGAGCACGTCGCTCTGTCGTCATTTGGCCGCCACTGCATGCAGTGACCCTCACACCACTGTGTCGTATCCGAGTTGCGTACAGGGGCCGAAAAAGCGTTGGGCATGACTGTCGAAGCAGCGAGAGTCGACTGCGCATAAACCGACGGGGCGTACGAAGAACCAGGGGGTCGATACTCGGTGCCGAGAGTCGAGGTGGACAGATTCGACGAGTGACCGAGGATGGGCTGGCTGGGACGACGTAGGGTGTTCATTCTCTCCGGACCAAACTGCGGCAGGGAGTTAGTACTTTTAACGGACGCGAATTTATGGACAGCTTTTGAAAATACCGAAGAGCTCCGTCGAGAGGCCGCATCGAAGTGGCCGGAGCGCTTCTCGCGGAGGCTTGCTTGGAGAGCATAACCGGAATCGCTCCGGGAGATTGGCGTTGATGGTAGGGGAGGGAATACCATTGAGGTTGGAGACCTGCTGCTTGGCGACGGGGGTGAGTTGTTCGTTCTGCTTGTTGAGCTCGTTGACGGTCTGTCAGCACCGCCTCTGCTGCCGCCTCTGCTGGCTCCTCTACTAGCGCCTCGGCTTTCGGCTCTCGCTTGGAGGAAGGCGTTGAAGACGCAGAGCCTGGGGGCTGTGACGGCACCAGCAGGGCCAAATGACGCTGAATTGAGGCTGACATAATGCGCGAGCGTAGCCCGAGGCGCTTTGTGCGTGAATATGGATGTGTTCTCGGAAGAGTAGGAGTCGTAAGGATATGCGTCCATGGCGTAGGCCGGGGGTCCAGTGGGGACGCCGTATTTGATGTGATGCGGTGCAGCCAACTGCAACAGCGAGATCAACTTCCTTCGTTGCTGGCGAGGCAATGCAACAGGAGGCGCCGTGCTCTCGATGACATCCTGATCGAGGTCGACAAGCACGAAATCGTCTTCGGGTAGCTCCACATTCTCGTAACGGCGTTCGATTCCTACAATGTAAGGACAGGGGGCCTCGAGAGCTTGAATCAAGCGGACTGGGAGGACGGGGATGAAGACGCCTGCCCACGTAAACGGATACAGCAGGTGAGTGATCGCTGCACTGGCAAGATGTAGCATGCTCGTGTGCGAAGACAGCAGGATGATGCGACCCTCTGAGAGTACGTACTCGAAGAGAGTGACAATGTTCTGGATCGACAGCGACCGGAACAGAGCATAGATATCGGTGTTCCTTGATCCCGGTAGTTCGTTGACAGCCTCCTTCCGTGCATACATGCGTAGTTCGCGAACGGCAAGTTCGACCTGCGTAATCGAAGACATGGGGCTGAGCGCCTCAGCACAGAGGTTGACGACATAACGTTCGAGCGGCTGCCACATCCCAACCCGTGGTGAGCTTGCCGGAATCCGAAGGAGACTGCCCTGATACATGGGCACAACAACGGCTCGCAGCCATTCCTTCCAGAAGCTCGTCATGCCCCCCTCCCTGCCCAACACACCGTACGCCCGGGGAATCCAAAGACCGGTTTCACCATCGGTCAGACCATCAATCTTGGACGCAGCGCCGTGCCGGACAGGTCGCAGTAGATCATTCATCAAGCCAATCTTCTCTTCGACGGCACTGATGTCATCCTCCAGCCGTTCCCTTTCGTCTGATCCCGAGGGCACCGTGGGAAGTTGAGCCAACAGCCTCGAAAGTTTTGCTCTCTCGGCCGCCAAGCGCTCTCCAAGACTCCCTGCCAGCTCTCTTTCTTCAGGAGTCATGTTCGCCTTTCGCCACTCTTCGCACTGACGTTCCAGCTCCTCGGCAGCCACGGGGTTAAGCGGCACCCACACGGTTAAGCAGATACCGTGAAGCTTGGAGCCATCGCCATTAGTCATAGCAAAACCGTGCCACGTCGACCTGGGGCGTTCGTCCGACGAAACGACGTTCACATCGTTTGGGAAGGCGAACATGGGAACATAGTCCGGGAAGGGATTTCTTCGCTTCAGCTCGTCTACCATGGCCTTGGGCGGGTAGCGGTCGAGCAGGACCGGCTCGTATCTCCGCTTCAAGGGATGCATGTTGGGTTCGTGGAGGAAGGGACGCGGGGCGGGAATGACCGAGTTGTAACCACTCATTCTTCTCGAAGTGCGGACCGAAGCTGCGACAGTGGTTAGCAACGGCGCGCATTCAACGCATGGGAACTTACAGTTGCGCATCACGCTGGAATTGCGCTGGCTCCGGCCGATGGTGCTGATCCTCCTCCGAATGCTCCCAATGCCGGCGCCGAGACTGCTCGCATCCTCGTTCACTATCCTCTGGGTCTTGGGGCGCGGGCGCGGGCGATCTTCCTGCTTGAGCGTGCCGGCGCTGAACTGTATTTCCTCGAGGAACGTCTCGCGCTCGGCGGCGAACTTGCGCAAGGCCTGGTCGAAGTCGAAGTCGCTCAGTCCGGAGCCGCCAATCTGAGGAAAGCCCTTGATGGTGGCGCTGCTGCGGTTGCTTGCGGTGGGCCCCGGGCCGCAGTCGGGGCCTATGACGCTGCTTATCGACTGGCGCGTCTCGCGTTTGGAGAGCGAGGCACCGTCGGACGAGGTGGGCCGTGGCGGGGTCGGGACGGCCTCTTCCTCGACCTCGAGCGCGGCATCCTCCTCGATGGTGGACTCGGCGGGGGCGATAGCGGCGCCGTTGACGCGCTGGGCGTCGTAGACCTGGGAGGACTCGATGCCGGATATGAAGAAGTAGTCGGCGAGGGGCAGGTTGGCCGGGTCGGCCGAGGGCGGGGCGGGGGCCATTGTGTGTCGCGATTCAGGACGGGGTGCAGGGCATAGAAATGGAGAGCAGCTCCAGGCACAAAGAGCGGCGTGGTGGGCGGGGGAAAAGAGCGGCGGCGCTGGGGAGGCGCAGAGGGGGAAGAAGGAGAGGCAGATGCTGCAGGCGGCGTCAAGTCATGTACGGGCACCGTTTGTGTTGCTGCATGGACGTTCTGCAGCAGGCGGGCGCGCGGGAGCTTGCTTTGTGCGACAGAGGCGGAGGGTGTTGCGTTGCGAGTGGGCCGGCGCTGTCTCGTCTGGATGGCGCGGCGTGGAGGCTCTGGGCCGGCGGGCAGCGGCCTGGGGGGTGCGCGGGCGGGCTTGCTGGAGGGGGACAAGCGGCGGCAGCGACAGGGCGCTGGGGCGGGTCAGGAGTGGTTCTGGTGGTATAATATTAAGAAGGCCGCGAGCAGCGATCCTGGCCTGCCTCGGGCGCATCGCGTTGTCAAGCTTCGCTCGCTGTTATCTCTCCAGGAAGACCGGGCTGGCACTGATCGCCCAGGGACCGCCCAGCAGCGCGGCAGGGAACACAGGAGCGGCTGCCGCACGCTGCGGGCCAGGGCTGCGGCGCCAGCACCAGTCAGCGTCGAGCAGCGCGGCCTCGCGACCACCGCACTCACCACGACCGCAGGCTGCGCTTGCCGTATTGCTCCCCACAGCGCCGCGCGCGATATTTCCCGGCGCCCGCTTGCGCAGGCACACGCGCACATCAGCATTTGACCCGCTGCGGCCGGCCGATGGCGCCGCCGCGAGGGTCTCTGTAGCGTGGTGCTCAGTTCGCCCGCCGCGCCCAGCGCGCCCTATGTCCCCAGGAGCCCCGACCACCACTCGTACACAACCGCCCAACGCGGGCCCTCGCCCGAGTCCCAGACGGTGCGCCATTGGCTGCGCACCGCAGACGATGCGTCTGCTGCGCTTGGCGGGCCTGCACACAGGGCAGCGTGGTGATGATTGGCGCCGTCTGCTCGATGCCATTTCCGGACGCTGGCTCTGGGCCTGCCCAACGGCCGCGCAACGCAGCAGAGGCGCCGCATCGCAATCGGCAGCGCGGTTGGGGCTCAGCAGCACCCCCGCCATCTGCACATGATGATGCCACCCACCAGGCTGACGAGGGCAAGCGCGCTGGGCTGGGCCGAAGGGGCGACTTCCCCTTTCCGCCGCGGCCCTGCATGGACCACGACTGTCAATGCTGTAGCGGCGCTTGGCGCAGCATGCGACGACACACCAGCACGCCGCCCTGGTGCGCGCACGCCGAACATCTCTCAAAAAGGGGGTGCCGCCGCCTCATCACCGGCCTCCCCACACCCGCCTATATTTATCGCGCTCCCGTGGCGGCACCGCGCTCCTACGTAGTAGTAGTAGTACACTGTACGTGAGGAGCGCCGCGTCCGTGCTGCAGTGCAGAGCTAATCCGGGCGATTGACGCAATCAAGCCCTGGGTAGATCTCCTCAAGCCACCGAGCACCACGTTTTGCGCTGCCCGCTGCGGCTGTTTGAGCATGCCATGTTTGAGGTTGAGTGCAGCGCCAGTGCCGTGGGCCCAGCCTTAGCCCAGCTGCAAGCCCCCCAGGCACGCCGCTGCGCCTGTCTGTTTGTTCTTGCATCTACCAGCCTTCAGGCACAAGCACATGCCTGTCGCATAATCTCTTCTCCACCCTCCCTCTCTACCTGCCACGCCCCTACTCCCAGCACTCCCAGCACTCCCCGCCGGTAGCCCGCCCCCGCCCCGAGCATGTCTGCGCCCCTCTTGCTGTTCTGTGCGTGTCAGCCTGTGGTCTGTAGCGTCCTTCCTCCAAACCCTGTGCGTGCCGCCAATCCGCTCCCTGTTCATATATAGCGAGACAGTGCTCGCACGTGGGTCCTGTGCTGCGAGCACCAAGCCGTCATGTGAGTGTGGTGGTCATGTAGTCGTCTCTCCCTCAACGTGAGCGCGTGAAGAGAGGTCCGATTTTCAGCGACCCTCGGCCGCCCAACGGGCTTCGCCATTGTACCCAAAGGTTGCGGACAAGCATGCGTCGCGACGATGCTTTTGCTGCCGGTGCTACATCCTCCTCCGCCACGCTTTCCTGCTGCTCAAGGATGAAGGCGACCTGTGAGACATCCCCAGGACCGAGGACAGGAAGATGAGGCGGCTCTTCCGGAGAGGCGTTGAGTGGCATATTCATAGAACTGGCCTTGAACGGTGGCTCGGCGTTGACGATGACCGGCTGCAATCCCGTTTCAGCAACAGGCCATCCGCACGGTTCATGGGCGCCCAGCACCTACCTCAAGGCTCAAGCTTCCCTCGCCAAGATTCTCCAGTTGCGCCTCCAGCACAAACTTGCCCAGCCCGCCTTTAGAGGCGAGCTCGCTGGTCTTTGTCTTTACGCTGATAAGCTGCTGAGCCACGAATTGGTAAAGCTTGCGAAACGTTCGGACCCGGCCACCAGCCGCCTGGCCATCTCCGGCCAGCTGGGTCTCGGTATATGTTACGGTGACGGCCAGGGTGTGGGAACCTTCTTCTTTCAGGTCGAAAGTGAGGATCTTCTGCACCGACTGGCCTGCGCCGACGATGCCTTGACTTTGTTCTGCATCGCTCTCATCTTGCGGATCTAGCTCTAGCGGAATACCGCTAGGGGCAGAAGGCGTCTGCATCTCGGCAGCGATCTTCACAGCGCTGACCGTCCTGCTCTCGTCACCGGGCAACAGTTCGTTGTTCGCGCAGAGTGTGCATGAAAAAGCTTCGCCAACGTATGCGCTCCCGAACGCCTCGGGTAGCTTCAAGAGCGGTGACACCATGAACGCGTCCTTAGGTTCGGCGGTGGGGTAGGCAAGAGAGGCATTGGATGGTATTGTGAATTCATCGGGCTCGGTGAGCTGCGGGAGCGGGAAGCTGTGGGCTAGCGAGGGCCGAGAGAGGCTATGACAGGTCGTTGGTTACTGGGACCACAGAACAGCATGGGGAGGCATATGGTTTACCGCAAAACTTTGAGACTGACTGCGTGCGGGCCCTTGAGGCCCTCGCTCGTTGAGTGGGAGCGTTGGTGGGCCATGGGCGACGAGGTGGTCCGCGGCAGAGGCACAGCGTTTATTTGGTGGAGCGCCCGGCAGACAGGTTTCGCGGGGACAGCGAGGTGAGGGCGTTGTCGGGGATGGGCAGCCTGGGTCCAGTGTGGAGGTAGCTGTTGACGTGCAGGGCGCTGGCGGATGCTGCCGTGTGCGCCCCACCTTCCCGCACGGCCATCTCGGACAAATTTCGACGCCCTGACAGAGCGCAACCAGCCGGTTCGCTGCCGCCTGTGCGACCTCCCACAAAAAAGCAAAATGCCAGCTGAAGAGGAGATGAGCGGTGACACCAAGGACCGTGTCGCTCTGCGCCGATCTGCGGATCTTGTGTTAGTTCTCAATACCCCAAAAGGTCGTTCCACGACGCTCTCTGCACGCTACTGGCCTGGGCTGTTTTGTCTGACCTGCTGTTGCACAGGCCGAGGTGTTTTTGCTGCGCGAGACATTCCTGCCCGGACAACCATAGAAGTTTGTCCAGTGCTTCTTTTACCTGCCGATGAGAACGAGAAGCATATTAGGCACACCCATTTGTACCATTATACGTAGTAGGTGTTTCGTGAAGCATACTGCGGCTTCAGACGGTGATTGATTGAGGCAGCAACTGGCCGACGACGACGGCCGAGGGCAGAAAGCAGATGACCCAGGCCATCATATTCGGCCTAGGCTCGATGTTCAATCACGCTCGAGACCAGAATGTCGGCTGGGTGCGGGACTTGGAGCATTCAGTCGTGGTTTATCAAACTCTTCGCGACGTAAGAGCCGGCGAAGAACTGTGTACGTGCAACTGAAGGGCTGGTGGTCTTGTATACAGCTAACGATGCGCAGGCATATCATACGGGGATCGCTTAACTTTCGAGGATGCAGACGCCCCGCCTGTAGTTGATGAAGGAGATGGTTCAGACCTGCTAGACAACATACTCCTTGATGCATAAAGCCACAATACTGGCCGCCTTCTTGAATGTGCAAACGAAAAGAAAACCACCCTCAAAACGTTCCATAATGCATTGTATCAAAGGGATTGTCAAAATCCTCGTACCTGCCATGTGAGTCTTCTCCATTACTGCTCCAAGACGCCATGCTCCCAGACTCGTAATCGCATAACGTCCACAATCATTGCGCCTCGACCTTCGGCGGCTCCGCATCCTGCTGCACCGTCTCGCTCTCGTCTCCAGACTCCTCCTCTGCTGCAGTCCTAAGCTCATACGCAAGCTCAAAGCATTCGGCGAGAAGGTGGTTCACTGCTCCTTGGCCGTCCGGGATATCGTCCCCAATCATGAATTTTCCATCTTGCCGCATGTTGTCGATGGAATTCAGCTGCTCGGCTCGTCAGCATGTGGCCCATATGATGTTTATGGAGACATACCTTCATGCTGTACGGGTACAGGTCGCGAGGGGAAGATACGCCGCCAGATCTCCTGACTTCCTCCAGACATTTCTTCAACGTGTTGAGCTGGTTGTAGATCGGCAGGAGAGCCTCTGAGACAGGTTCAGAGGAGATGATCAGCGTGTAGATCAGCGCATAGCTTTTCCGAAGGAGATATAGCAGCGTCTGATGATCTTGGTAAGCCACGTCTCCAGAAATAAGTGAGGTTACTGACTCTTTGGGTGTGAAGGTCGGCAGGTCGACCCAGTGCGTCTAGGAAGTTACCTTCCACCCGACTTTCATCGATCCTGTCTAGCTGACGTTGAAAGCTGTAAAGGTCGGTTTCTCGCAAAGACCATGCTTGGGTAAGCTGCAATTTCTCGAGCTGAGTCCGAATGGTGAGAAGTTTCTTATACACGTCTGCAAACTTCTCGTCGATCTTGCCTTGCCTATATTCACGAGCATGTGAGCCTTTTAAGGCCATGAAAAGGTACCTTGTGTGGGACCGACCTTTGCTCTATGATATCGTGCCAGAGCATGCACCTAGTGAGGAGGTCTTTTACCAGTTCATCTCCCTCTGGCGCTGACTCCATTGGCCTGATCTGCATATGTTCGATGACTTGTGCATACCGTTCCTGCTCAGAATGGCGTGCGTCAAGCTGATTTTCGTCTTGAAACTGCTCCGCAATTTCTTTCAATTGCTCATGGAGCTGTTTGACTTCAGCTGCGGGGTACTGAGAGGATAGTCAGTTGAGATCGGAACAGTGTTTCCGTAGATTCGGTGAAATGTGTGCATGGAGGTTCAGACGAAATCCGAGTGAGTGCATAGGACACGGGAAGCGCGCCTCCTCAAACATTGGAACGACGTCAAATTGAACGTTATGTTTAATAAAGAAACCTTACCTTGGACCGGGTGTTGCATGCCGAAAGAGATCGCAATAATGATACTAGCTTCTCGTAGGTTGGCCTCAGATCAGAGCTCAGCTTCTCGAGTGAGTGTTGCAGCTTTCCAAGGAGCCCTTGGCACACATCCATGCGTGCTTCGAGGAGGGTGATGAGATGCGGACTGTACGTCTCCTTGCCCCTTTCTACGGAAGTGCGGTACTCGTGCAACCGGTGCTCGATTGAGTCAAGATCCTTTGGAGAGAAAAAAGCAGCTTCGTAGAGGTGGTCAAGCAGGCGCTGGGTCGGGTAAGCATCTGAAGTAGACGGGTGCGGTAAAGACTTTCATAGTTACCTTCATGGTCGAGACGGCGGAATAGGTAGCCGGGGCTTCATGGTTCTTACCAATGGCCATGTAGGCCAAGGATATCAGTTGGAAACAGTCGTCCAGTACCGTGTCGACTGCAGGCCAAATCAGTAATCAATCAGAAACTCCAACGGGCGGCTCGCCAAAACGGAAGCTAGAGGGCGACGTGCGGGCGGGCGCGGAGCAACGTGACCGCAAACAGGGGCAGATGGAGATGACAGACCTCTATTCTGTTCGAGGCGTTTACGGGTGCGGAGTTGGTTGACGCGTTCGACCTGCTCGATAATGCTGCCATACAGGCGGATCACATCCTCGGATTTGACGTAGGTGGACTTGTCGGCACGCAGCAGCTCGAGCTGGGTGCGGATGCTCAGCAGCTGGTCCAGGATCGGCTGTTCCTGGGGATCCAGCGGGGCACGCACCGCGGGCGAGTCGGTCATGATGGCGCGGGCCTAGGCGGGGGTTGCAACGTGTGGTGCGGGACGGAGAATGAGTACGGCGGTTGGCGACGGGTCGAGTTATGTGGGAAAGACCGGTTGACGTAACTGACGCCTGGATCGCCGCGGTGCAGCATCACTGATGCGGGGCGCGCGCCAAGCCCTCGCTAGCTGGAACAACACTTTCGCCGCGCACCGGGCCCGACACACATGCTGCTCAACACTCCGCCCAAAAAGATCGTGTCCCGAGACTTCGACAGCGACGACAACACCAGACCCGCGACATTCCCCTCGCCAACACCCCCATCTACAACAATGTCGACCGCCGAACTTGCCGCTTCCTACGCCGCTCTCATCCTCGCGGATGACGGTATTGAGATCACCGTCAGTTGCCGCTCGCCGCCGGCCGCCCGCCCGACCACTGCTAACCATATTGCAGGCCGACAAGCTCCAGACTCTGATCTCCGCCGCTAAGATCGCCGATGTCGAGCCCATCTGGACGTCGCTGTTCGCCAAGGTACGCTGCGCACAAGAGCCTGGGATTCCGGATGCGACGGTAGTTCTGACTTGAAGATAGGCGCTTGAGGGCAAGGACGTCAAGGAGCTTCTGCTGAATGTTGGCTCTGGTGGCCCTGCTGCCGCCGCACCTGCCGGTGGTGCTGCCGCTGCTGGCGGTGAGGCCGAGGAGGCTAAGGAGGAGGCCAAGGAGGAGGGTACGTTCTTCTTCGCTGTGCTGCGATCTTTTCGCAAGGGGCGCGCGCTAACAGTGTCTCACAGAGAAGGAGGAATCCGACGAGGATATGGGCTTCGGTCTCTTCGACTAAGCGCCTTCTCCTTTCGTCTGCGGGTTTTGCATGTAGCCAGGGCTGGCGTTTGTCCATGCAGGTTTAGCTGGAGCCTCGAAAATCAAAATACCACATCCCGGCACAAAAACTTCGACGACTGCCATCCTATCGTGAATCGGTTCGGCTGTGGCTTGCAGCGGGGTTTTTACATCGGAGCAAGGATTTGGATCTGGGAATTCGGCGGGAGAAAATGTCATGGTACGGGAATGGGAACATGAACACGGAAGACGGCTACCGCATCGAAGCTAGGCAATAGATGTCTGTCTCTTGCTCGGCTATATTTAGCGTCATGCATTTGGCTATGCGCGCACTCACTGCAGCAAGCGTAGTGGTGCGTAGGTCAAGTTATGAACGATCCAATTAACCTGAAGCCCGAACGGCCTACCTGGCGCGGATCCGAGCGAGACCCATTTGACCGGCCGCTCGAACAAAGCCTTTCTTGCAAGACCTGAAAACATGCTTTTGGCATAGCCTGTTTGGGAAAACGGCACATTGTGCATATCTACGTATCGGTAACTCACCCTGCAGTATATCGGAACTGTCCAGATTAAGTTTAACTATCGGCGCATTGCGTGCGATTCATCCTTGAGACTGCTTGCAATTCCACTTCCGGAAAGTACGACTCAATGTTCCGCGAAAATCCTAGAACCACCCGCTTGCTGTTCCGTCTTCCTGAAGGCTAGTTGCTAAACCACCATGCAAGAGCATACCCGACTTTTGTATCTTGTCCCTGGGCCTGCCAGCCTGTTCCGTTGTAGTCCGCCACCGCAATATGAAACAAGTCTACGGTGCGAGTCCGAGTTGTCACTTCGCATGCCACGAGGGATCACTTTAAGAAAAAGAGCATTGATGTTTAGGGCCCGATTTATGCATTATTTTCTAAACACCTATGCAATCTGGAGCTAAGATATGGTACTCCTGGACGTTGAGTCGGTTTAGCGCTCTTTTCTGTGCCCAGGTCTGCGCAATTATGGGGTATGAAGCATGGAAGATGGTACTAAATGCTTTATTGGCCTCTGGTATTAGTAAGAACAAGAAAAGAGGTCGAGCTGATCAGGCAGATGGTCTCGAAGCCTGGCACCCACACTCTCTTAATGAGCAAGCTAATCTTTCTTCATCCCAAGTGTGTGAGCAATGCCCGCATAAATCTTAACCAACCAGTAGTGTCGATGCATCGGTAGGGTTCACAGTTGACCGCAAACGTTCCTGACCCTGCAGGCGTAGTCCGCGACGGGTTATAGCAATTTTACTCTTCTCATACATGTCTCATAAGAGATATCGTATCCTATTTATGTCGGTGATGATGCTCTCGTTTAGGCCGTATCATGCATGTAGTTAGAACTCATAGGCAGCTCCAAAGAGTGATGGCCACGTTCCAATGTCATGTTTTCGGAAAGCAGTGCGCCTGAGGCTTGGCTCTGATTGGCTGCGGGAGCTAAGCGAGAGAAGCAGCGCTTCACGTCGATGCCCCGACGTCACGTTCCTCTGCAAACCACTCCTCCACCTCCCAGCAGCACCCCACCACCTACTCCGCCGCCCTGTGCGACTTTGCCTGATCCGAGCTTTAGAGCCGCTGCGCCCGAGCTCCGCAGCGCAAGAGACCAAGATGGACGTCCGCGTACTCAGGCCGTCCGACATCCCGCATGTCCAAACTGCCAACATCACGAATCTCCCCGAAAACTACTTTTGCAAGTACTACCTCTACCATGCTCTGTCATGGCCGCAGCTGTCATATGTTGCTGTCGATGTAAGTCACTGTTCATTGAAAGTCACCGTCTCTATTTCCTCATTGCTACCTTTCTCGTCTTCTCCTTTTCCACTGCAAGGCGGCATGTAGCTTGGTGGAGTGGCAAGCTGCACCCGACTTGCCAGGACACATGGTCGCAAGAAGGGTGCCTCCAATTTGTCTGTTGCGTCGGTGAATGTGATTCCCTTGTCGGCTTTATCTCGCACGCATGCTTGTGCTGGCTTAACTGCCAGCTGTACTGACTGGATGCTGACATAATCGGCCAGGTTTCACGCCCGCCTAAGACCCCTTATGATCCGCCCAAGATTGTGGGTTACGTGCTCGCAAAGATGGAGGAGGACCCTGCCGATGGCATCCAACATGGTCACATCACTAGTCTGAGTGTCATGCGTACCCACCGTCGTCTGGGATTGGCCGAGAAGCTGATGAGGCAGAGCCGTAAGTGTTGCCTCTCCCCCCCACCTGATAGCCGGAAAAACTATCCGTTGTATCATCTGAGCTATTGTTGGCACGCCACCCCTTTCACTTCCCTACTTCATCATCCATTGCGATTCATGGCATTGATTGTTTGGGGACGCACTGATTTTTCTGAAGAGCGCGCCATGGCCGAGACTTTTGGCGCTCACTACGTTTCTCTGCATGTGCGTGTTTCCAACAACGCCGCATTGCGCCTGTACCGCGACACGCTGGGCTTCGAGGTCGAGAAGGTTGAAGCCAAGTATTACGCAGACGGCGAGGATGCATACAGCATGCGCATGGATCTCTCCGGCATCCGCCAGGCCATGATCGATGAGAGCATCAGTGATGCGGAAGACGAAGGCGAGCCGGTCGGCAGTATGGGCGGCAAGGATGAGGAGGGGGCCGAGGGTAAGGGCGAGAAGAAGAGGAAGGTCAAGGTCGGACGGGGCTTGGGCGTTGGCGACTTAGTGGAACGGAACGAGAGCACTCATGCGGCTTAGAAGCGGTCAAAAATCAGACTCCATTGCGTGGGATCGCCCCAAGGCTCCATGTTCGGGCTACCGTGATGCTGCGGGTATCTATGCTTCTCCATCCCAAATGATTCGTTGCTTCCCTAATAGACTTGCCGGTCTGCAAAGCCTTTATGTGCTATTTCGAATTCAATGGCCAGCCGTCACTGTGCTGACCAGCTAAGTGTGAAATGTATGGTGGCGCGCATTCTGCTGTGAACCCATGGCAAAGGTCTAGAACCTGTCATCTTTCAGGCTTCGGAGCACTGCTCACCGTGTATAGCTTTGAGTGAAGGTAGTGGTTTGATGGCCAGGTAAACAAACAGCCCGGCGACGTTCCTGACTTTCTTCTCAGATATGGTTCGTTCACGTCCTGTGGGCTCGAAGGCCTCCTCTTCATCACCTTCCCCAGCAGATCCATCGACCAGTTCGTTTGCAGACGCATTGAGATCATGTACATGCTGTCGTCTGCTCGAACGGACATCCCCGCGGCTTTCGAGTTCTTCCATTGTGCCTTTCACGCCGGTGTACGCCCACCATGGTCTGTCCGCGTTGTCCAACGTGCGCTTAGCAATCTCGACTACAGTGATGAGCTTGCTGGCGCCTGCGGCGTGCGCCTCGACCAGCACGACGCCATCGAGGTTTTTGCTCGCATCGGACGGCCGCACATCACCTCGCGTAGTATCGGCATCAGCGGCGGAAGGTGGCTTTGACTCAAGCGAATTCGAAGCGCCCAGCGCAGACATGACGGCGCGGACTTTTGCCTGGATTTTTGAGCCTGCCACGATGTGCACGGTTTGAGCAGCAAGGGCAGCCGGACCGGCAGACGTGCCGCTCGGTGTGACGGTGGGCGCAGAGGGAGCAGATGGCGAGGCATCATCGATGGAGGCAAGGCGGCGACGCTTGTTGGAGACCAAGGCGGCGGGGCTGGCGGGCGGGTGTTGCTTGATCTTCTTCGCCATGGTGGAAGGGTTGGGGAGCGGGCAGTTAGACGGGCAGGCACGCTGGGCGGAGGTGCGGTTATGACGCGCGCGGTTGCGTGACACAATGCAGGGTTTGAGTGCAAAAACGGGCGGAGGCGACGCGGGGCGCAACCGCAATCTACCTGAAAAGCCGCGTTTCTGCAAAGCCGCCCCGCATCGCACCCTTGGCGCCCGCCGTGCTCTACGAGATGATGCGCGAGTGGGACAGAACAGAGCCTGCAGCGCGCGCCGACCGCGAGCAGGCGGGCTGGCAGCAGGCGAGAAGGCGCGCGGTTGCGACCAGGCGCTCCAGACGGCCTTGCGGCCTTGCGGCCTTGCGCTTGACTTCGGGCAGAGCCGGCGGCGGCGCGGACGGGAGGCGCCAGTAGCCAACGAAGGAGCAGCAAAAGTCAGCGCCGCACATCAGACCACCACGACGCGACCAGCCGTCGCCAGCGCGTCTCGTGCCTCGCATTTCCCGGCGCTCACCTGAGATGCTCCTCTGCGCGCTATATAGCCATGCGCACTGCCGCAGCCATGGCGCTGGAAGAAGCATCCTCAGCTCCTATTACCTCACCCAGCGTGCTGCACCCGTCCCGCCCTCCGCAACCTGAAACCGAGCAAGAGCTCCCCATTTCCCGCCTCGCATAGCTCTGAATCAGCATACCTGCGCCTGCGCATACTAAACCCGCGCCGGCCCACGCTCGCCTTGCCCCTTCCTTCCTTCTACCAACCCGCCTGCTCGCAGTCTCCGCCATGGCGCCGCCCAACATGTACCAGCGTCCCGTCCAGCACGTCGATCGCAAGGAGCTCTACACCAACCTGGAGGCTCGGATACAGTATCTCCACACTTTCCTCGACTTTAGCTCTAGTATGTACCCTCTTGCGAGCCAACCGTCCAGCATATCCCGAGCTCTTCTCCGCACCATTTCCGCCATGAAATCAGCGTTCCTCAACCCAACCCCTCCCGGCCGCCCGATACGAAAGCACCCATCTTTTCCATTTGCTGGAAGTGCTTGTGACTGACCAGCAAATTCCGACTCCAAACAAAAGGCGATATCGAGGCCCTCCAGACAGGCCACAAATACATCAAGGCTTTGATCCCGGCCATCGTCAACATCGTCTACAAAAAGCTGTTGCAATATGACATCACCGCTCGCGCCTTCGAGACCCGCAGCACCAGCTTCGAAGGCCCCATGGACGCCGCACCCGACGAGAACAGCCCGCAGATCCTGCATCGCAAGATGTTCCTGCGGGCCTACCTGGTCAGACTGTGCTCCGACCCCAGTAAGATGGAGTTTTGGGAATATTTGGACAAGGTTGGGTATGTGCTGCCTTCCCACGACTCCTTTTCCCGTTGACTATACTGCCGGGTCCTCTGCATTCCTTTGTGGAAATTACGGGCCGCCGGCGTTGGGACATGGGCTACCGTCCTGGCTCGGCTGTTTCAAGCAGCGCACCGGACTGGCTGGCCTATAGCCCGAGAGAAGCGCCTCCTGTACAGCCCGCAATTGTTGCTATCTCCAATGCACCAGACATGGGCGAAATGTGCTAACTGCCTGCACAGCATGATGCACGTTGGCCGTGGCCGCCAGCACCCTCTGCATGTCGAGTACATACATATCGCCGCACTGCTCTCCTTCATCCAGGACGTCCTGACCGAGGCCATTCTGTCGCACCCGCGACTTCACATGAACCGCAAGATTGCGCTTGTGAAGGCGCTGGGCAAGGTCATCTGGATCCAGAACGATCTGTTTGCCAAGTGGTACGTGCGTGATGGCGACGAGTTCGCCGAGGAGATCGAGGAGGTTGTCGTCGAGCGCGAAGGCTACCTGCACGGCAAGAAGATCATCGGCACATCCGACGAGAGCGACGCCGAATCGACAACCTCTGGCAGCACCCAGGCTGCAGCCCAGGCCGGTCCCCCGGCTGGAGTGTGTCCTTTCACCGGAAGAGGAATGGAGGGGTTGAAGATCAGCGAGAACGGATCATCGTCGAAGGTGAATAGTGATGATGCGGCACAACCACAGTAGATGTCACATCAGAAGCAGTACTGTTATTTCATGCGCCCTGAAGGGTGTCGAATCATCGGATAGGGGCTATTGTCGGCGTTCAGGTGATCATACATATTCTCGAGCTAGGGCTGTAGGGACCCGGACTCGGATCTGACAGATTAGGATAGTCACCTAGCATAGGTAGAAACCATTGCTTTGTTTGTCTTGCAGCTTGCAGAGTAGTAACATTCTTTGCGGGTAGTCATGTCGAAGTCTCCAATGGGCTGCGATGGGTCGAGGAGCGCGCGCCGCCTGTTGGGCCCGGTTTGCTGACAGGACTGCCCGCTGGCGTCACCTGTATGCAGTCAACGCTGTTGCACTCCCCGATCGTCTCCCCGTTATCTTCCTGCTGCTCTGCCATGCGCGGACGCTTGTTTCTATTTCGAGCGCAAGATGGCAACCGAGCGCCCCCGGGGGAAATGCGGCGTCCAGCGGAAGAACAGGGGGACCGGTCGTTGGTACAGAAGAATTTTTAACAGAACATTGGGGTGTCGTTGGGCTGGCTTGCTTGTCTGAGGGCAGTTCCCCACGGCGGGGTCTTCTGCCGGCAACATGCTCCCCAGCTCATGCAGATGCGCAAGGGGATGCAGGTACGCTGTAGTACAACGGAGCCCAGCTAATCACAGCTCTGGCTTGCCCGGCACAGGCTCGGCCACGCCCGAGTGCCACAGCCGAACTGTGGCGCGCTGCTTCATGCTCTGCGAAACAGACCGCTCGCCGTCGGCTGAGCGCAAGTGGGAGGTCTCCCCACTCATTCATCTGAAGCAGCTACTCAGGCGTTTTCCTCCCGGTCGCCGGCAAAGCCCACCGCGCCGGACGCAAAGGTGCGGAGAGCATGGGCAAAGCCGTCGGCGAGCCTCGCCGGGCAGTCTCCTTGGCCGCATCGCGGACGCTAGCGATCGGGATGCAGACAATACTTGAGGCACAGGCAGTGCAGGGCGAAATTGCCCGCCTCCGGAGCCCCATATGGCGCAGCGAATTGGTTAATATCGGCGGGCGGGCCTGGCCTCGGCCAAGCGCATCTGCCTGAGACGGCAGCGAGATCATCATGCACGGCTGATCCCCCTTGGCCAGTGTGCGAGTGATTGGCGGAGCAGGGGGCAGGCGCAAGATAGGCATCGCGACAGCACGGGGTCGGCTTCTCAGCAGCCAGCACAGTGACGGTGGCATCTGGCAGCGGGCGCGCAGGCGGGCTCGCGGTGCATGACGCCGGCGGCGGGCCAGCACAAAGGCGGCAGGGGAGGTGCGGCATCCCGTCTGCATGTCGAGGCCAGCGACTCATGGAGCCAGGCGAAATTGCGAGCGGACGTGCGCCCGCTTTCGAGTGCGCCAGTGCAAGGAGCGCCGGAGCGGGCCAGCGGGCTGCCAGTGTCGGCGGCGAGACAGCTCCACGGGCAAACGCGACGTCGGGGAAGCCAGAGCCTGGCGCGACGGGCGCTGCCTGAGGCCGAGGGCGTGGTGTTGTCGCGCTGGGCTGGGCTGCGGGCTGCGGGCTGCAGGCGCTGCGGCGGCGGGCGGGCCGCATGCACCCGGCCCCTGAGCGCTGCGGTGGCTGGCAGCGTCGCACAGTCGCACGAGCTGCGCTCCACGCCCGCAGGAATGCGCGCGCGCACGCGGTGCTGGTGCGGGCGATGCGAGGGCGAGGCTTCTCGAAGGCTGCTGCGCGCGGGCGCGATACGACCTGGCCGGCGCTCCCACTGACGACGACTCGTGGCGGCCGAAATGGCGCGTCAACGGCCTGGCGGCGGATGGCATCTGGCGGATGGCATCCCCTGCGCACACCCGCCCAAAGCGGCCTAGCCAGGCACCGCGCACTGAGCTTGATGCGTCTCGTCTCCTAATTCGCGGCCGGCGCTATCGTCAGCACCAATCATCCCCCGGCGCGCCCCCGGCGCCAGATGCGAGCAGCAGCCATACCTGCAGCCCGCGCCCGCTCGCTCTCCTCTTCACCTCCGACTGCTCTCTCGGCGGCCTCACTCGCTCTTTCGCCCCCTCCGCCTCCTCTCCTCCTCCTCCTCCTCCTCCACCCCTCGTTCTTTATCCCACCTTACCCAAGTCATTCTTTTGCAAGGGCCAAATTCTCCAACGCCCCTGTCCTGCAGTCGCTCGTTGTTCTGCACAGCCAAGTCGGGTCCCAATTCACGACCGCTTCCACGATCTTACGCTGTTAATTCGTAATCAATCCGGCCGGCCTCGTCAACCTCAACTTCCCCGGATCCAGTCTCCCCGCCCCCAAGCCCACCGCGGAGCCGTATTCTCTGGCGTATGACGAGCCCCCTCGCCGCCCCATCATGACCCGCAACAACCACGCTTCGCACCTCGCATTCCACCATGCGCGAAAAGCCGCTGCTGCCGTCGACCATGTCGCCCACCTGGACCTCGGCGTCTTAATCCCGGCCGAGAAGGAGGTCCACGGCTCCCCCAAGACGCTGCATGAGAGAGACGCCAGCCCGGCTCTTGCTCCCCGTTCCGACTCTTGCAGCTCGAGCCGCGAGTCCGATACGTGCCAGAAGCCCACCGACAGCAGCACTGCCATCATTCTCGCTGCCATGTGAGCACTGCTCCTCTTCAGCTATTCTGTTTTGCGCTGCTTGCTGACCCATTGCAGCGTCCCTATCGCCATTGCCATCCTTGTCCTTGTCTTCCTCCACCGCAGGCACATGAAGAAGCAGGCCCTCGAAGACCTTAACGACAAGCACAAGTCTCTCGATTTCGGCCTGGACGAGCCCCCCAAGACCGCAAGCGGCAAGGCCCCGGAAATGTCCGTCGTGGATGCCGAGAAGGAAATTCGTAAAGGTGGCCGCGGCATGTCGATGGATATGGAGAGCAGCCCGTACCTAATGCCTGGTGGTGTTCAAGACTCCCGCGAATCGTTCCACTCCATGTCACGCATCAGCGACAACCACGACCCCTACCGCCCCGTTACCTTCGTTAAGGACGATACCATGTCGCTGCGTTCGGCCTCCAAGTTCAACGATGGCATGTCCACCTACAGCAAGTCCAGCGTCGGTACCGATCGCATGGGTCTCCTCAAGAACGCCCAAAGGATGTCCCGATCTTCCCCCATGTCCCCCGAGGACAGGACCATTCCTGAGATCCAGTTCCCCGAACCTAGCCACGTCAAGCCTCCGCCCAGCCCAGCTGCTGCATCGCCTATCTCTCCCGATGCCGAAACTCCCGATCTCACTCGCGACGCCCTTAACGGTAACGAGAAGCGCCGTTCGCTGAATGTCGATTCGAAGCGCACTTCTGTCCAAGAGCCTAGTCTGCCACAGATCTCTGAACATCACGACTCCGAGCCCCAGGTTACTCCCCGCAAGCCCAACCCTTTGAGGCTTGAGTCCATGATTGCTTCGGTCCATAACCCTCACACAGACAGCATCATGAGCAAGTCAAGCGATTACGGTGATGGCTTCAAGATCACTCCTCCCTCGCCCGGTCAGGATGGCAAGGTCGCGAACCGCATGTCTGTTGATGCCTACGGAACTCCGTCCACGCCGCCGCAGGGTCTGGCCACCCAGGCCCCCAAGCCAAACCGCATTTCCATGGGCTTGCGCCCTCTGCCATCGGAAGACCCCACTGAGAACCCTGAGGAACGCGCAAACAGGATCCGGTCCTTCTACAAGGAGTACTTTGACGACTCGAAACCCGAACCCGCTGGCCGTTATGGTGAAGCCCAAGACGACTATAGTCAAGAGTACATGGAGGGCGCCATCTTCGATTCCGAAAAGGGTCACTTCATCGTCCCCGGTCAACCTTTCGCCGAACCCCTTACTCGTCGTGCCATGACGCCGCCTCCTCGTGCTCCTCCGCGCTTCCGCGGCCACGGGCCTCCAGGCGGATCGATGAGTGGCGGACGTCCCATGAGCCCTGGTTCTATGCGCAGTGGAACACCACTGTCCATGCCTCGCGGTAACTCTGCCATGAGCTTCCGTGGTCCTCCCAAGAAGCCGCTGCCACCGCCGTCCAACCTTTCATCGCTCCCCACGCCCGCAGCTATGAAGGACGACGCGCACATCTTCAACCCGATTGACTTCGCACCTCCGCCAACCTTCCGCGACATGCAGGCCGGCCGCCGTCCTGATAGCCCGTTGGGTGTTGATCGGCCGTACTCCCCCAGTGTTCGCCCGCACACGCCGCTTATGACAGCTTTCGACGAGCTCGCTGTCATCCCTAGCCCGTAAGTTTTTGCTGCCTACGTCCTTCATGCTCGGGTTGAGAAACTGACTTTGCCTCAGGCACGCCCTCCGGAAATCCGGCACGTTTACTTCTCTGGACTTCATGGCACCTCCTCGCTTCAAGGGAGTCGACAGTGGCAGTGATGCCGCTTCCGTCCGCAGCGGTGGCAGTGGCATCTCGGCGGCTCAGGCCCATGCTGTTCGCGCCGGTGCCTATCGTGTCAGCCGTATTGAAAGGGGCTTGGTCGGTACCCAGGATGATATGATGACTTCCCTCAAGCCAAGTTGGGATCTGCGCGACACCAACAGCCCCGCGCAGGTGAAGCCCAGCTCGTAGAGCCCGTCAGCATTACACGCAAGGGCTTTCCCGGCGGACACGGGAGAGTGCGCGGCTTTGGTTTTCCTTTGATAATGGCACATCGCCCCCTAAAGCAATAAGCGCGGCTCGGCCCGCAGCAGAGCGCGAACAGCAACAAGCCACCAAACTCAATCGATAACGACCTCTTTCGTGGGACGGCCTACCTGCCAAAAGAAAAGCTCCTCATCACACCCTTTGATCGTAATATGTTCCTTTCCTGCAAAAGTCTTACTGTCGTCGCACGGTTAGCCTCTGACAACCTGGGTCGTTGCTGTTCATGATGATGACACGACTCTCGCACCATCTGTACATCCGCATTTGGCTTTTTATACCCCTGCGTACGCGGCTTTCAGCCTGGAGATCATCGGGAATATAGACGCATTTGTACAGCCGCCGGAGGAGCCATCTGCGGTGCTTGTGTTCCTTTCATCTCTTCTTTCATCCTCTAGACATAGTCAGTGAGCCGCTATCTCGACTTATTGTCTTATATAGGGAGAAATTCTGCGCTTTCCCTTGCATCTTTTTCTCTGCTTGCTCAATACCTTGTACGATGGCGCAGCTTGGAGTCAAACAATAGTACTATTAGCGACGGACCCGGGAATAACTCTACTGTTCTTTTTCTTCCATTTTCCTTTCATTTTTGCACAACATCGGTCCACATCTTCGCCCCTATTGCTGCCAAGCCACGGACCTGAGAGACGGAAGATTTTTTTTTTGAGACGCGAACAAACGGACTGAGGCCGAAGATCGTCTGCCCGTGCTTGTTCTACTTTCTGATTTCCTTACATTCGCTTCTTCCGTTTGTCTTCATCCCATGTTTCGTCAGCAAATCCCATGTGATATGCCTGACAGAACATGGGGTGTTCCGGCATCGGCGATCCATCTCATGGCTTTGTTGAATATACACATATAGACTATAGGGAACAACCTCGGTGCCGCGGTGGTATTTGTTGAATCAAAAGGGACTTTCTCATCAGCTGCAAGTATATACCGTGTTATACTCGAGTCTGTTCTTTCGACACGCAGGGGCTTCCTGATGCCGGCAGTCGCCAGTACGTAAGTCGTATAGTTTAAAACCTCAGGCCGTCAAACCCTAAACGCCAAGCCAACCCGGAAAAACTGTGGACTGAGAGTCACGCCATCCAGACAGAGTACAGGGATCGTGCAGTAAAAGGCTCTCTGCTCGAAAAGCCTGAAAGAGTGCTATTGGGGCTTAGAAGGCCCCAACGAGCTCCACGCACGCCCGCTTGAGCCGTCCCGTTTGGTGTTATGCAGAATGGGCAGCCTCACTGCTTCGTGGGCAATGCCTACTTCGTTTGACGCTGTTAACAAACCCAGCCATTACTATTTCAGAAGTCTAGAACTCTCTACGATCATGATTTGCGGCGCAGCTCTCCGCGCATGTACAACACAGTACTAAGTATATGGGGTGGATGCGACAAACCGGAGCAGGAAGTTTGATTGACCCGCCAACAACCCCACCCCCGGAACGCAACAGTGGGGCAGAGTTAGGTACTATCGGCAAGGCCCGCCAACGGTGCCACTGTTGCATGCAGAAGCACGGTCTAAAATAATGCCAGCGCTTACGAACGGATTCGAGGACCATGGTTGAAAAAACGCATGGTTCCGCCTCGGAACCCACCAGTATGTTCGGCAACACTCATTCCATCCTTTTGCTTGCTATTGCGCATCACGACAATAGGAAGTCACAAAAGACGCAGAACACCATGCCGACCCAGAAAGCTCTCAACTCGGCGGCCTTCTCGCGGGCAAGGGGGCCCAGTTCACCGACATTGCGTCTGTTGACACCCTTGGCATGAATACCTCCGAGTATCTGGCAGCTCTGGGGCCCGCTGTTACGCGCCTGCAAAACCACCATCTACTACATCCATGAGGGGCGACAGGACGAACCACAGCTGACGGCCGGCGTCAAGATCGCTATGACCGTAAGCGCGTGTCCAAAGCCTACCAGAAAAAGCGCGCTGATTCGCGTCCAGCACTCACTCACAAACGCACCGCCGCTTGACATTATGATAATCCCGGGCCCGCCGCCGGTTGCTGTGAGCTGCCGTGCCATCGATGCGTAAATTTCCTCGGCCGTAACGCGCGGCACCGCTGTACTTTTCATCAGCGCCGGCATATTTCTAACGGTAGCATCGGGAGTGCTTAATGGGCGCGTCGCGACGACTCCTCTGGCAGTGCTGCCGATGCTACGAGCGGCTCATCCGCAAGTGGAGTGGGCAAAGACGCAGAGGTTCGACAAGAGCGCGGGAACTGGGAACACAGGCGATATATGGGCGAGCGGCAGCGTGGCAAACGGCGTGGATTTGGCCTATGTCTTCATCCGGGAGCGGTTCCCAGAAAGCCGGACGCTTGTGGATCTGAGGACTTGGCTGGCCGGCATCGGTGAGAGGGAGCCCGAGTTCAGCACGGAGGAGAAGGCATTGGATGAGGCGTTCAGCGGAGCGAGCTCGGCATTGCAGTGAGGGCGGGCCCGAAGCAGAGGCAATTAAGCGTGTGCGAAGCGGGGATGCGGAGAGACCGGCGCAGGGCCGGAGCAGCGGCAGGGTTTGTGCTGGGAGATGATGGGAGATGCAGGTTGCGATGGCTGGCATGTGATTCGCCGCTCGGCTGGCGACGCGATCTCGGCCGGCGCGCTCGCCAATCAGCAGCCGGCTGCTCCTTCCCCTTCGCCATGACGCTAGAGAAAAACGCACGGTTCGGCTTCCGACTTTCTCCATCTCTTCCTGTTGCCGGTTCCTTTATCGCACACGCGCCGCTCCTCCCCACGCGACCCTCTGTCCCCCAACATCCTCTCTGTTCCTACTGCGCTCTTGCGCGCCACGCTCCCTCAGTCCTACCTCGCGTGTTCAACCCCCCTTTCTTGCCTCACCCGCACCGCCGCCAGCCCTCGTCGCGCCGCCGCCGCCGCCGCCGCCGCCGCCGCCGCCGCCGCTGCCACCGTCGCTGACTCCCACTGATTGCACCTGTCGCCCAAGTCTCGCCCGCTGCATCGCCACCCCCAACGCGGCCGCCATGAAGATATTCTCAAACAGCCACGACTTCAACTACTCCTGGGACGAGGTTTCCGTCAACAACTGGCGGAAGTATTGTCCCTGGAACGAGAAGACGCCGCATGTCATCGCCGTGGATACCCTCGCGCGCCACGTTGACCCTGCCACCGGCATTGTGAGTTCCTTTGACTCCTGCGCCATGTTTGTTGTTATTACCCGAGCTGACAATCGCAATTCCAGCTTCGCACCGAGCGTCTCATCACTTGCAAGCAATCAGCCCCCAAATGGCTGGCCTCGTTTCTCGGCGGCCAGGAGGTGTCGCACGTCTACGAGACCTCCTACGTCGATCCCAAGAGCAAGAAGGTCACCATGACCAGCGTCAATATGACTTGGTCTGACCTGTTGTCTGTGCGCGAGACCGTCGTCTACAAACCATCCGCTGACGCCCCCCACGCCAAAACAACCTTCGAGCAGAACGCTCAGATCGTTGCTATGTGCGGGGGCTGGCAAAAGGTCAAGAACGGTATCGAGCAGTTTACCGTTGAGCGCTTCCAGCAAAATGCCGCAAGAGGTCGCGAGGGCTTTGAGATGGTTCTGGAAATGAGCAGGAGGGCCTTTGCTCAGGAGCGGGAGCTTCGGAAAATGCATGCTGCCAAGATCTAACCACCACACCGTATGGCGTGGCTTTCGCTGGGTGCAAAGGCGGCCTTTGCAAGTCGCTCGCCGCTTCCATCGTCATTCTTCGCCTCGTCTCCCGGGCCGATTCGTCGGTGACAGCGGCGACGCAGACATGCTCCTCTCCAGTCCGTATTTGGTGCATTTGAGCAAGGCGTTTTGATTTTCTGGGCAGGAATCGCGGAGGAAAAGTTCTTGCTTTCCCTTTCTTTTCGTCATCTTGAGAATATAGAGCATCGGTGGAGTTCGAACATCACAGGGTGGGAATGTTTATCAGTCAGTTTACCCTTTCTTCTTTCTTTTTCTTACGAACGGTCACGCGTAGACGGCTCTTTGCTTTACGCTCTATTTTTCTGATTAAGGCAATGCTTCTTGCTTCTTCTTTTTTTTTTTTTTGCGTAGATCAAGACGTTCACACACTTACCGCTCTGCCCTCCATACTACTCTTCTCGCCGCTTACTTAGGAGAGATTGGTTTGGGCTCTTCCCAGAGAGCGAAGACATAGACAAACGCTGTATAATGATGAATAGAGAACATTAGAGCACATTCAAATTCGCGCATTCTAGAAATTGGGTCGGTCTCGCCGCTAACTCTGTCTTCGATGGCACTGCCGTCGAAAACGAATCACTTGATGAAGTGTAGCTATCTATGGGGGCATAATATTACGGCTGAAAGTTTGGAGCTAGTTTTTAGTTACTCAGATTCCCCGCTGCAGCCTTTCATCGAGGCCAGCGCCTTGCTTCGTCGTCATCGAGGGAGAGGATAGGAAACGCAGTCTAGGTGCTCATGTCATGGTCCAGATGGCACGCTGATCATCCACTCCCAAACACCCGCCAACATGTCATCCCTGTCAGCCCATGCACGTGAGCCCTACAACTCGGTCTCCCAGACTACCGCTCCTACCCTTGACCCTTGCTCCCAAGACCCCCCTCTCCTCCGTCCCTCCCTTTCAGCCGTGTCGCTGGCACCACTAAAGACGACAATGAGGATGAAGGAGAGGCTGCCCGGGGTCCCCTTCCGAGCACGTCTTTGATGCTCTTGGCACCATAGCCATTTACGAGTACCTCCTGCGGCACGCCTACCGGCTTTGTCCAAGAACTTTCGGGTGTGACGCTGTCATCACCACCGTACAACTCCTCGTCATCCTGTACAAGCGTCCCGTTACTCGCGATGATGTGTCTGTGGTAGAGCAGCTTTTCATCCTCTCCCTGAACATCGGACGCCGAGAAGGCAACGTCCTGCTCCGTCGTCCCTGCGCTAAAACTCTGCGCGCTCGGCGAGGAGACGGAGAGGTACGTCGCAGTCCCGTTCTGGCGGTCCGCCAGAATAGTTCCCGTTGCGTTGGTGCCGTAGTCTTCGAGTCCGAGCGGGAATGCCGACGCCCCGATAGTGGTAATATACTTGCCACGGTCAAGGGCGGCATCGATGGAGAAGTTAGAGTCAGACTCGGCATAGCCGGTGTAGGCCCAGAGGGGGTATGAGTAGGTGCGTTCAAATATGCTGGACGACAGGCCGGATGCAACTCGGTCAAGACCAGTGGTCTTCTGGTTGGTGATCTGGACATTTCCAACATCGGAGAAGTTTCCAACATTGGAGAAAGAAAGCGTCTGTGTCCAGCTCACATTGCTTGCGCCCGCGGAAGTCACCACTGTGCTGTAGACACTGAAGTGACGGGAAACAGCGACAGTGTAGTCAAGGGTTGCATTAGTGCCGTTGGGACCCGTGCCGCCCGTAACAGAGCTTACGGCAATGCTGGGTGCTGGGACGATCACTGTGGGTGCAGTGCCCGTCGTAACAGCGGAGGCATCCCTAGCCAGCCATAGGAACAACTTGCCAGTCACGACCCAGTAGCTGCCTACAGTTCCGCTCGGGGAAGCCTCCCCGGTGCCCGTATCGTTCAAGCCGGTCACCCGGATTTCAAAGGAATGGTCCAGACCGTCGCAAAGTAGCGGTAGCCATGGGGTAATGTCAATTTGGTCCTCTTTGAGATCGAAGGCGTCGATGCCGACGATTGGGCGCCAAAAGCCGGGAGCGACACCACCAGTGAAAATGACGGGAAACGGCCACACAACACCGGCTAAGGCGCCATCAATGTAGAGCTGCACTTCGCGCCAAGGCGAGAAGCCGTATAGGGTTGTTGCGGAGCCGAAGGCTGAGACATCGGAGGATAGCACGTTGGCCCACCAGAACTCCTCGGTCGACTGTCCGTTGGCCGAGATGGAAAAGACGGCGCGGTCGACGTTCCGGGGGAGAGATAGCGCGTTTGTTGCATTGTCAGCCGGCAGATTGAAGGCGCTAGCGCTATCGGTGGAGGATCTGCGGGCTGAAACAGGTAAGACGACGTCTGCTGGCGTGAACGACGACTCAGGGTCTGCATAGAATGAGGCGGTCAGAGTCGTGTTAAACGAGCCGGTGTACGTGTCATCGATCAGGTTGCCCAGGTCGAAGATGATCTTCTGAGGCTCTCGGAACAGGGGGGTCAAGGCCGACATGTCCTTGATGTAGGTCCACACGATGCCGTTGGGCGTGGGCTCGGCAGTCGAGGTCCGGAATATCTCGGTGTCGTTGAAGTACATCAGAGCCAGTCGGTCAAACTGCCGGCCGCGCGAGGTGACGGTCAGGTTGAACGTGACCCGGTTAAAGTCGCATGCAGGCGGGACGTACGTGCCTACGATTGCGGGTTAGCCCTGCATTACTTGCCGACGGTTAACGGGTCGGGACGAGGGGCGGCCTGTGATGCCGGTCGGTGCAGCGGACGAAAGAAAGGGCAAGGAGCATGCCGGGAAGCCAGCAGCCGGGGCGGCTTGGGTGGAAATGCCAGGGCGGAGGCCCAGATACATCGCCAATCAGTGCTGGCGGAAGCAGAAATGACACGCATGGCAGCAAGGATGGGAGAGCGAATCGACAGTTTGATAAGGCTTGTACGGAGGAGCGCTGCATACCAACAAAGGGATCGCCGTAGCTGTAGGCAAAGACATGGACCATCAACGTCTGCTGGCAGGCGGGCTGGGCCGGCGCCAACAGCGGCGGGTCGGCCTCGAGCACGACCAGCTGCGAGGAGGCGTTGGCTGCACGCACAGCCAGCTCGCCGCCGGGCAGGCGGGGCGCGGCGGCAGCGGCCGCGGTTGGCAGGCGCAGGTCGAGGCAAAGGGCTAGAGCTGCAAGAAGTAAGACGGAGGCCAGACGGCCCAGGGCGGCGGCGGCGAACGGCGGCGGCGGCGGCGTCGGGCGGGTCAGGGCGGCGGCAGGCCGGGCTGCGCGCGATCGAGGCCATTGAGGCCCTGGCGATGGACGGTGGTGGTGCATGTCGACGGGCAGTCGGCTCAGCCGCGCAGGGCGATCAGCAGGTGCGGTGGGGACGGCTGCCGGCGGCGGCGATCCCATAGGCTGGGCGAGGCAGCTGGACGACAGGCGCCGGCGGACAGGCGCTGGCGGAGAAAGAGAGCAGTCACAATGCGCGCGGGCTAGCCTCTGGCGGCCGGGTCGGCGATGCGGTAGTGGTTCCAGAAGCGCTGGATGGCCTTGGTGGCCAGCTCGTTGCCCGTCTGCTGCTGGTGGTAGTAGTTGAACAGGCTGTACTCGTCGCGCGTGAAGATGTAGCTGTCGGGCTGGGCGCGGAGCTTGGACCACACGCCGTCGAGCTCGCGTTGCAGGAAGTTGGCGACGTTGGGGTCGACGCCGGACTCGGCCTCGCGCGCGATGTCCAGCGCCTTTTGTAGCGTCATGGCGGCCGTGCCGTTGGCTATCTCGCCATTGCCCATGCTGGGCCGGGTGTGGAGGCGACTAGGACGGGCCGGGAAGGTGCGAGGGCGGGCCAGGGGAGAGGACGGAGGCAGCGCGGGAGCTGGAGCTGGAGCTGGGGCTGGCAGAGCTGGAGCTGGAGCTCGCCATGCTGGGCGGGCGGCGGGCGGCCTATGTACACGGCGCTGGTTGCGGACGAGGCAGCCCCACGCCGAGTGACAGAGCAAACGGCGCCGAAGCTTGGGCGCTCATGACGCAGCAGGGGAGGCGGCGGACGGTGGTGAAGCGAAGTTGGATGTCGCGCATCCGACGGCGCAACGGCGGCGCGTGCTTGGGCGACCGGCGACAGCACTCGTGCTGCAGCGCGCGGGTAGAACCGACAGCCACCCGGACAGAAGGCCTTTGCGTGGGCAAACCTTAACCGCGCCATGGGCCCCTGGCTGCCCGCGCCCGCCCACCGCCCACCGCCCACGCAGACGCACCGCCGCGCGGCGGGCTTGGCCGCTGCTGCACGCGCAATGCACGCCGCCGCCAGCAGGAAGAGAAGCCGCCTGCGCGTGCTGGGCCCTCATCTCCGGACGTTGCGATGCCTCACCATCCAAATAAACTTTGGCCGCTGACTCGCTGCAGCCCCGACGCCCGTGTGCTTTCGGCCCGCCGCCGCCCGCCAAGCCCGGGAGCTTTTTCCACCGCCTCAGCTGCCTGGACCGACCACCCGCCCAAACCACCGACATCCACGCCTGCGCCTGCTCCATGCCCGTCAACATGAAACCGCTGCGCCTCGCCGCCGCCGCCGCCGCGCCCTTGCGCGGTCCGCCGCCCGCCGTGCGCCTGCGCTTCCAGTCGCTCCTGCCCGCCCGCCAGCTCACCACCCCCGCCGCCCGCGCCCAGTCCACATCCACGCCCACGCTCACGCCCACGCCGCTCGCCCTGCCGCGCCGCCTGCTGCGCGCCTCGCATGCCCATGTCCGCCCCGGCGCCTCGCCCGTATCTCCGCTGTTCCGCCTCCTCCGCGGCCCCGGCGCCCGCCGCTCCCATACCAATTCCTCCAAGCCTCCCAAGCTTGATCCAACGCCGAACCTCGGGAGCCCCGAGGCCACCCCGTCGTTCTCGCAGCGCATGCGCAAGCTGTCGCGTGAGTACGGCTGGGTAGCATTGGGTGTGTACCTGGGCCTGTCGGTGCTGGACTTTCCCTTCTGCTTCCTCGCGGTGCGGATGCTGGGTACTGACCGCATTGGCCGGTGGGAACACGCCGCGATAACAGCCTTTTGGAATCTTGTACACGTAGCTTTGCCCGACGTGCATCGGGCGAAGAAGCCGGAAGGTGCCGTAGAGACCGAGGCTGGCCATGTGCTGGATGGCGCCGTCAGCGACATGGCCGACGTCGCGGCGGCGGAAGAGGCCAATGCGGGAGAAGAGGCCAGTATGTGCTTCTTTGCCACTCGACTGACCATGTGTGGTTCCGGCTGATGCAGTTGCAGCTATTTGGACCCAGCTCGCCCTCGCCTATGCAATCCACAAGTCCTTCATATTTTTCCGGGTGCCGCTCACGGCTGCGGTAACGCCCAAGGTCGTCAAGGTCCTGCGCGGCTGGGGGTGGAACATTGGCAAGAGGAAGCCGAAGGCGTAGTCTGTGACGACCAGCCTAGTGATGGGGTTTGCGCGGTGCCTGTACAGGTGCACCCAGGCGCAGCCAATGTTTTGATAATAGACGGTTGAGTATCTGAAAAGACGACGTCTTCTGCAGCCTGCTGTGGTTGTACGAGTTGCATAGGGCTTAGCAGTGCATCGGAACCGGGGCACGTTCATGGGCATCGGAGTTACACTGCTGGAGTCCTGCGTTTTGTGATTTTGTTTTTCTAGAAGGATAATCCCCACTCGTTCGCAGCATAGCGTCCATGTGGGTTGCTGCATCTGCGCAGATTGGCGACGCGTTCGTGCTCGTGCTCGTGCTCGTTCAAGCCAACCACCATACTACTACTCCCCTGCCTGTCTATCAGGTCGCTTGAGTTTTTGCGGCTGGAGTGACGTCAAACTGCAGCAAATCTTACATTGGCCAGACTGGCTCTGATGCGAACGCGTACATGGCCAAGGCATGTAGTCTGTTTGACTCATGCACGACCGGCCCGCTACAAACGAAGCCATCAAACGGGAGTGGACAGCAGCGCCCATTGAAGCTGCCGCACTCCGAGCTTGTCTGATCCCACGGCCCTTAGCGCTGCGCCTCTGTCCGCATCGCGAGAGCAATGCCTTTGCACGCTAGCGTCAGGCGCATGCACTATCCTTCCCATGCTATACTCAAACACCCTAATGCGGGTCATCAAGTCGGCGGCCCAAGCGCGGCCCAAGCGGGCGGGAGGAGGTGGTGGCGATGTTGCAGGTGCAAGCAAGAGGGCATCCTCAACCACTTCTCCGACGACGAGTGTGAAAGTTGCCGTCACCGGTTAGTGAGTGGCGGGCCGGTGATTTGGTAGCACGCTGCAAAGACCCAATTGGACATCTGCCCGTCGTCTTTAGCAACAGCGAAGCAAGGAAGGCTTGAAGGATCGCAACCACCCGAGGTTATTCCACTTGTATGTACAAACATTGCACCAAAGCCACTGTCGATCGCAGCACCACGCTGATTGCCCATGACGAAGCTGCGCCGCATTGGCTTTGGTGTGACGGCGGAGAGCCACGGCTGTCGGAATTACGCCCTGCTGCCGTCGGATTTGCTACCTCACCCCCAACGCGTCAAGAGACTAGCGCCACCGCCTGAGCCTATGGCGCATGCTATCATCGGCCCGGGAGGCGGGCTAGGAGTCTTCCGTGCTAAGTCCCGATCATTCTGCACGCCTCCCGAGAACCATCTTGCGGGAAGAACTAGGAATCTGTCGCCATCGCCGAGCCTTGGATCCTTGTTCGCGCTCGGAATCCTTGCGGAGCGCCATGACACAAGGTCCCAACCAACCATCATGATGTATCGTATATCCCGACAGAGCATGTGCGCGTCACCAAGCACAAACACGGAAAGCCCCTCGTACTTGGGCCATCGACGTGTGCCCTCGCATGAACGAGCTTCTGCGTACAACACTCCTCCTTGATCTACCATCTGCCGATTCTCGGTCTCCCGGACTGTGCCTCTCCGGTCATTGAGCGTGAAAGTGCGCCCACCCAGTCTCCCACGCTTTGTAATTCTCAATGCTGCCGACTTGATCTGCTTGATGCAAGCGAAACCTTGGTCGTCTATCGCTGTTGAGATCTCGACGACACTAACACGGTAGTATCCGCTACGTAACAGCTAAAACTAGCGCCTGTTCCCAGTTCCTTGTTTGTTTCTAGTCAGTGTAATGTTTCGGTGCAGCTCACTTGCTGATGAGGATGATCTCATAAGAAACGATGTAGTGACTGACGCGGAATTCAGTGATGTAATGTTTTGCAATCCAACGGTGGGCTGTCTATTACAGAAACACTACTTCGGAAATCACACGCCTCGATGAAGAAACTGTTTTACTCAGACCATTGCCGTTCGGCAACGTCCGCGAACGGCGGTTTGGTATTTACTAAGGTCTAGCGGCAAGCTCAAGAAGTGAGTGCGCCATTCGTGCCGCACATATAGCGGCAAGGAAAGGGCGGAAAACAGCAGGCGCCTCCAGCACTGGTCCCTGGCTGTATGCTTTTCCGCCCGAATAATCAAGCAAAAACGCCGGTGCCATGGACTCCACCTCCTTTTCTTCGCCTTCGCCTTTGACTTTTCTGATCCATCAATGTAATCGAAGAAGCCAGAAATAAAAAAATAAAAAAAAGAGGACAGGCGCTCCTTCACCAGCGGATCGAGCACTTTCCAAGGCCTCGAAAAGTAAGAAATATGAAGGAGAAAGAAAGTCGCTGGCAAGGAACACCCAATCATGACAAACACAAAAATCAAACCATGAGCCGGTCTCGTCCCTTTCTCCCCAATTGCTCCCCCGCTCCATATATCCCAGACAACATGAGATCCCGTAACCGGCATAAATAGAGATCCCATACCTTTAAAACCGTCCGTATTGTAGAAGGGCAGAAAACAAGAAAGCGCTGGAGAGGTATCAAGTACAGAAAGTAGGAAAGCAAATCATAAGCACCTGCTGCAGCATAGAAACATAAGAAAAGGTCGTAAACCCCCTTTGATATACAGCCCTCCTGATCCCGGGGGTGGAGAATGAGGAGGCAAGGACAACGAAAGTGAAACAGCCGAAAAAAAAAAAAAGGAACACCGAGTTGCGCCACTGATGACTGCGATGCTGTTGAAATCTGGACAAGATTGCTGGAAGAGGGCTTGGGTGTCTCGATGCTGTTGCGGGACATCACAAACTGCCCCTCTGAGTCGTATTGTGTTCAGAAGAAGACTTGAACGTTGAGAGTGCGTTCAAAAAGTCGAATCGCTCTCTTGCACTGCTTCCACTTCCATCCTTGAAGTGTCTCACACTCTCGTTGTCCGCAAGTGGGCTGGGCTGCTTGGCCTCCCTGGGCTCCAGCAGAAGTGACCGGCGGTAGTAGCTTTGCACATTGCTCTGATCGCTATCGCGGACACGCTCAATCTGCGTCTGCATCCATTCTTGCATCTCTGGGACAGGTGCAAGGGGGTATGGAACTTGGAAGCGCTGCAGTTGGCCAATGATCTTTGCGGTGCGCATGTGTTTGTCGAAGTTGATGACGCTGATGCCCGAGTCGGCACCCCCATCGCCAGGCAGCTGGCGGGTCGTCTGGTTGCCGACGTCGACGAAAGTCAAGTCGGTGAGGTAGATACCGACAAACGGAATGCAAGGAGCGACGTGGTTTTCCAGACGCTTCCGGAGGACGGCGTAGTTGCGGCCAACATTGACAATTGCACGGAGTTCTTCGAGGCGGCCTTTGGTCTTCGCCGAGACGACGTCCCAGGTCCGCTTCAGTCGCATGACCATCGATGAGTTCAAAGAGCAGATGATGGCCATGAGCGAGTCGTAATTGTTGAGTTCTAGGCACTTCGTCGCGATCTTCACCCACTGCTTGATGATGACGGCGCGCTTCTTGGGGTCCTCGAGTTGGAGAATGGTGTCGGCGACGAGATTAGCGAGATCGGTCGAGAGCTTCGACATGGCGCGAACATTGACAGCTCTTCCATTCTTCTTGGTCCACTCCGATGCAAGCAACTCTTCAGGTTTGATCGTGCAAAACAGCTTGGACTCGATAAGCGTGAACTGCCTGGCCATCTCCAGCGGGTCGAAGTCCAGAATGCTCAGGGTGATGGAGGCTCCATTGCGAAGATTTCGCAAAGCGTTCATTTGACTCTTGGAAACGATCGGGTTAGGTACATTTGGGTCTGCCGCGGTGTACACAGTTGCCGAAGTGCTCGTCTTCCCCAGAGAGGACGTCAAGTGAGGGGTGGGGGTTCCTGGCCGAATTTGGCTAACCTTCGCCACCAGCTCTGCCAAGCGCTTTCCAGCTGAGGGCAATGCGGTTCTGAGCTTTCCTGTTGCGAACGTCAAGATGAGGCCGAGCGCCTCGGCGTCAGTATCAGCTTGCCAGTGGCTCTCCAACCAACCCTTGAATACGTTGTGGACGCGCAGCCAAACAGGGACAGCGATCCCGCTACTCTCTCCAACATAGTTGAAACGTTCGATCAAGCAGTGCGCAAGCTCAACCGGCGTCGTAAAAAGTCGAAAGGTGAGGTAGAACGTAGTGACGAACATTGCGTCCGGGGTCGCTTCGTGAGTAGTGAGCTGCTCGACCAGCGCAGGCAGAGATCCACCAGCTATCTGCCCGTCCTTGTAAATGAGCTCATGCACGTATGTCTTCTCCATCAGCTGTTCCTCAACTCCGTAGGCATCCTCGCTGGTCGTCGAACGCAACTCGGAGACGCTAGGGTAGCTGCTGATCATGCCATTGACCTTTGGGCTGGACGGGACATCGTCAGGAGTGGTCGCCCGTGTGGAAGTGTGCGAGATGATGCTGGCCGCATCACCGCGCAGGCTGTTGGGATACGTGCTCGTTGAGTCTGAGGCGTTGACGCTATCCAAGCCGGCATTGTTTCCGGCAAAGCGGGAGTTGACGCTGTTAGTACTGGGAGATTCGTCCACAGTGCTACCTGAGAGAGGAGGCAGGTGAGGAATGGGGAGTTTAGCCAGAGAGGGCAACGAGTCCTTGGAAGAGCGGAAGGAGGAAGCAGTGGGACTTTGAAGGCTTGGGACCTGCGTGTTGGCGGATGGAGAAGGGAGGGAAGCGGGAGGCTCGGGCAAGGGTTTCTCGTCGAGTGAAGTAGGGCGACTCGCGGCTTTTGGAGGGGCCGGCAAGGGCTTGGTGATGTTGTCCTGCGAGGTGCGCTCGTTGGTCGCGTCGAGAGCGCCGGTGAGGTCAAGGCTCTCGAAGATGGTGTCAGAAATGGTGGCTCCTGTGCGCTCAAACTCAAAGTCGCCAATTCTTTCGATGACGATTTTGGCCTTCGTCACACAGTCGCCAGCAGCGCGAACACAGTTGGTGGCGGCGATGACGATTTCCTTGCCTTGCGCAGGCATGCATTCCTCGTTGTGGGCCTCGGTGTGCGCAAACATGTCTTTTGTCGCTTGCACGAGCTCAGACAGCTTCTCATGCATTGCGTCCCTTGCTTGGGAAAGGGGTTCAGAGCGACGAGCGTCGCGCTCCCATACCTCTTCGACGACGCTCAAAAGCTGGCGACACGCAACGACAGACTGTTGGGTAGTGGAGAGGAGCTCGCTTGAGGAGCGTGACTGGAGGTGTAACCCAATGAACGAGCCAATCGAGCCCAGAAATGAGTCCTGGGCGGCAGAAAGTCGTTCCGATGCAAGGTTGTGTCTGCGTTGGCCGCTCACCTGACTTGTGTACGACGCTCGATGGGAGATCGAGACGCGCTTTGATGGCGTGGATTTCGAGGGAGACAGCGCTGGCAAAGACTGCACTGGCACAGAATTTGTGATGCTGGTGTTGGTGCGAGGAGTGTTAATATTGCTCGCGCTGGCCGGTTCGTCGCCCGTTCTCGCCGCGTCTGTGGGTGACACAGCAGTAACGCTCTCGGGTGGCTCAGTTGCACCATCCTCGGCTGACTGTGATTGCTCAACGTTGCTTTCGGAAACATCATGTGGCGGCGTGAGTGGCCTCTCGGCCTCGTCCATTGGGGCATCAGCCAGCAGTTGTGACGGGGTCTGAATTTCTTGCGCGAATACGTCGAGAAAACGGACGGCTCGGGTAACTACTTTGAATGCTTTCAAAACGAGCTCGTCAAGGAGGTCGTAGATAGGCTCTTCGGCAGGGTCACTCTGCGACACGACCTGCTGCAAGTGCTTCGCTGTCTTGACGAGTGATGATAGGTCGCTCAATAGACCTTTCCGCATCCGTCTTATGCCGATGTGTGCTTGGACAGTTTGATTCTCCCGCGTCAAGCAGTCGGATTTCTCCTGCAGTAAAGTTAGCCCACAACCATCAAAACGATTCTCCAGCCGAGGAGACGGCCTCACTCGGGACTGACCAAGAGGAAACGGACGCCCGCAATCATTGACCTGACGTAGTCCTGCTTTGCAAACACCATCGTGTTGCCGCTCTCCCCACTTCTCACAAGGTCCCAAAGGCGAGTGAGTGCATTTAGAAGATTGTGGATTGATGGATGGTCAAAAGGCTCGCAGTAATTGGTGGGAAGCCAGCCACGGGCGCCTGATATTAGGAGAGTACCGTCCGCCCAGCCATTAGGGTGTATGGAATGGACCAGGATGACGTCTCCTTGATTGATGGGAACTGTGATAGAACATTCGTCTCCGACGGAGGAAATTGTGGATGAAGGGTGGAAGTGGTAGAATGCGCGCAGGTAATTGGGGAATGATTCCGGTTCTGCAGTGGCTATCTCGGCCTCGAGGTTGGCGCGGGGGGTTAGTGGTGGTGACATTTGGAACTGCGACGTGATGGAGCCGGTTGTCCGTCGGCTTTTGGGCGAGGACTGCATGCTCTGGGCGCCATCGCTGTTCCACGTTGCCGAAGGCTTCTTCTTGATGGTGAGCGGCGCAACGCACGCGCTCGTGCGGTCCATGCCTTCTCTAAGCACGATATCGGACATCTTGGAGTCCTTCTTCGCGTGCTGGGCCTCCCGCCTGCGAGTATTCTTCGAGCCGGAATCGTCCAGCAGAACACTTGACAGGGACAGCGAGGACAGGAACATAAGGCAGAGTGCGCCGCAACGTTACGAGACGATCAGCATTAGACGGGCCACCTGGTTGGTCGTGGAGGCGGGGCGGTGGGATTAGATGCAAATGGAAGGCCAGAGCCGGCGAACTTCGAGTGGCAGGGCGGCGGCGATCGAGTCTGCTGAGGTCATGTTGTCAGCTGTCTGTGTTGTTGTTGGTGGTGGTGGTGGTGGTGTTGTTGTTGTTGTTGTTGTTGACGATGATGATGATGTTGTTGTTGTTTGGTGGGTGAGACCCTGTGGTGGTGGCGAGGAATGCGCCTACCCAACAGTGAGAGAGAGAGTGTGTGTGTGTGAGAGAGAGAGGCTGAAGAATGCAATTATGCGCTCCTGACAACGGGAAGACACATAACCACGAGCGGCGGGAGGATGACGGGCGCAGATGGTAGGAGAAGTGACCAAGGCCCGGCTCGACGGGCTCGGGGCTTGTCTTGGCCGGCGCAGTGCTCGTGTGCGCGGGTCTGGGGGAGCGGAGGAGCGTACGGTGATTGAGGCGTGACCACGCAGGCAGATCAGCGGCGGTGGCCGAGTGCGGAATGCTCGCCAGACACATGCGCGGCGGGCGAGTGGGAGGGGCAGAGCAGGACTGAGGCGGCGGAAAGGTGCTCGGCGCGCGCAAATGGTGTTGCAATGGTGCAAGGTGGAGGGGAGCTTTAATGGCTTGCGGCGACGCAAGGGTCTGGGGGCACTTCGTGACTGTGGGCGGGCAGGCAGGGCAGTCAAGGGCTAGGTCGCCTCGAATCGCCGCCAGCCCACTTTTCCGCCGGCGAGGAATTGGCCCAGGCGATCAGATGTAGTAGGAGCGATATTGGGAACGGGTAGCCGCGCGGGCACGCTTCGCCCTGGGGACCGACCAGGGTCCGCAAACGCAAACGCAGCATGGGGTGCAGCCCGAGCACGCGCGCCGTTCTCGTCCTGTCGAATCCGCGTGGCGCACATCAAGCATCCTCCGGCGGCCGTCGACGCGACCGCGCGACTCTGTCGTGCTGCCCGCGCTGCCCGTGCTGCCCAGCCGTCGCGAGCGCGCGCATGCGGCATCGGCGGGCGCGCAGGTCGCGACGGCGGCCGGCCTGAGCTGCGCCTGAGCTGCGCCTGAGCTGCGCCTGAGTCAGCCCGGCGATGCGGTGCGGACGACGTCTCGCAAGTGTGCCTGCGCCCTCGGCAGCGCCATGCCCAAAGCGCGGCGGGCGGACGCGCCCCCGTCACAGTGCCGGCGTGCGCGCGGCGTGCAGGCTGCATTGGATGCCCTGTTGCAGGCGCCGGGGCAGGTCCCCGCGGGCGCGCACAGGGCCCCAGAAGCCTTCAGGCTGCGTGACCCGCAGACCCGCCGCGCGCGCGGCGCAGGGGCAGCACCCGCGGAGCTTTCTGGCCCTGTGGGCGTTGCAGAGCGCGACGGAGCGGCGTCATTTCGCAGTCACGGATCGACCGCCACGCCGTCCTTTTGGGGCACGCGCGAGTCGTCACCGCACGCCAGGCCTGCCAACGGCCGCCGTTCCCCGCGCGCGCCGGCAGCTTCGCTTCGTCCTCGTCCTCTCCAATTTCCTCGCCGCGCCCCTTTGCACCCGTCCGCCGTCCAAGCTTGCCCTGACCCGCGCCTCATCAGAGACACTGCGGGATCCCACCGCCCCTAGCTGCTTTCGGCAGCGATGGTCGCTGCCCCCCACCCGCACACACCCGCTGCCTGTATGTATCACCTCCAGAGCTCTCCGTCGTCAAGCATCCGTGCCGCCGCCCAGCAGCCTGGTTCTGCTCGCCCATCGCCGTCGCCGGACCTGCAGCAAGCCCACACGTCCGCCGGGAACTCGACACGATGAGCTCAGCGCCCGCATGCCCCCCCCCCCCGGCCTGCCTCTCTCTCGGTGGCCGGCCCTGATGCCACAAACGTGCTCCGTCCGCTGCGGCTGCATCGCAGGGCAGCCGTCAACGCGCCGTTGCCGCCTTGACTTTTTCCATTGCTGCTCAGCTCGGCATTGGCAATCGTCATCACTGCTCTGTTCTTGCGTTCAGCTTGGTGGAGACACTACCGGAAGCGGGCTCCACCATGGCCTCACGGCCTTGCCCTCGGGATGCCTGGGTCGATCACAAAGGGGTGGCGATGTCGGCCGCCCGCAGGTCCCACTGCTGCAACGAGCGAGCCTCGTTCCATTGTCCAACGCCAGATTTAGTCATAGCTGAACAGCCTTCTTCCCGTTTGCTCCAGCCATGGCGGCCCAGATGGATGACACACATCGGATTACGCCCACCGGCCGTTGGCCGAGCTGTGTATCTATGTACGACGAGTCAGCCATCTGGTATTAGCCGACACCCGCCTAGGCCGGCAGGCTGTCTTGTCTGTGCTGCGCCTGACGAGTAGGTCGTCTCGATTGCCGGCCATGCATGGCCATCAAACTTGTCACCGGATACGCAGGCAGCATTGGCGCGTCCCTCCTCGATTTTTGCGCTGCCTTCTTGGCAATCGGCACCGGGGACCTGCATTGACACGGATGCCGCGGCTGGCATAACACTATCGTCCATTTATCACGGGTACCACGGCTTTGTCAGAAAGTAAGTATGCGGGGTGAGGGCGGAGTAAGAATGCTCAAGCCCGAATGGGTCCCGCACCATCATGATTGCTCCAAGGACCACCCCTGATCTCGACCGCGCAGACGCGAGCGTTGCTACTACCACATTCTGAGCCTCGACGTGCGCCAGGGGGGTTTTTATTGAACGCCCTACCAGCACGCCCTCCGGTCTAGAGAGCGCACCAGGCAGTCAAGCTCTGTGAATGGAAAGGAGCGTTTAGATCTGTTGAGAAACGATGCTAAAGGAACCGCGTCCAGTAGCTGCGATCTCGTTGCGCCTCCCGAGCACGCACAGAGCACTGGCCGTGCGGGCGTGTCGTCCGGCACTTGGCTGATCGTCATATGGCCGTCCAATGCTCAAGCCGCGGCGCACCCCGTTCTCCTGGACGCCCGTCATCGTTTCCTTGCATCATCCCCAGATGGAAAGACGGTTGCATGTCGCTCGACGCTGCCGGGCTCCGGGCTGCGACGATCGCCAGTGCAGCGCTTGACGCACGCGGCACCCACGCATCCCATTGCATCTCCTCACGAGCACCACACAATGGCACGAACCGCGGAGACGCGATCATCATCTCCCCATTCAATACATGGAGGAAGGCGCAGAGGGTGCGCACTGAGGCTTCTTGCCTGTTTTCGTGGCACTACAGACGAAGTCGGGTCGCGCATGCGCCGCCGCTGTCTAGCCGTCCCGATGGGGAAATTAGGTGGCCGACGACTGCGTGAGCTAGCTGGCAGGAGAAAGTGATCGCCCGCCGCCCATGCGAGGTTCCCTGGGTCGATGCCACCGAATAAGCGGCTTCCTATTCTGTCGGAGCACGTAGAAAATATCACACCCGAGCTGCTTTCCGATCTGTGGCCACCCCCCCGCAACGCTCTCGTCACCGAGTCTGATACAAAGCCCTGCATTGTTGCTGACACCGCGAGGGTCTTCCGTCGCCGGGTCAGTGTGCCCACGTATCATGACAACTAGTCAGACTAGCATACGAGGCCTCTTCCGCTCCAGCCAAGCGACTGCGACTTGCCGACATGCAATCTTTTTTTTTTTTTAACTGGGCCTCCCACGGTCCTCACGCTCCCCGCTTGTGCAGCTGTCGCACTGCCAGCTTCTGCCCCGACTCCGCAATCGACGCCTCTCCCACGTGGATGCATTGATCGGCGGGCCAGTACCTCCACAACCACTGCAAGCAGTGTCCGGCGTGCACGTCGCCGAAGTCGGGTCCTCACGGTGCAGCGGCCGCGCCATGCGGAGGGCAGTCCACAGCGTGGCTCGTTGCTGACTTCTACTACTCATGTGCAAGTCCATCCAGGCGCTCCTGGCGAAGCAGCGAAAATCTGTATAACGTTATCCAGCGCTGCGATTAGTGATTGCCCGGCCAAGAAAATGACTGATGGAGACGCCGCCGGTGTTGGGCCGATAGCATTCGCAGACGCCAGCCTCGTGCTTGAGTCGCCGCCAGACGCGCATGAGGCTGCCAGCTTCCGAGATATCACCAGCGGTTTCCCCGGACACGCTGACCTCCGGGATGCTCGTGGCTCCAGCGGCTCCACTGTCATGGCCCACGGTTTATAGCCCCAAGCCAACCATGCGGCTCTACAAACTGCTAGGGACCCGGTTCCAGGGGCCATGATCGACACTGTGTGGAGAAGAAGCTCTGCCATTTCTCCGCTCGGGATACGTTGCAATCGCCTAGATCATGACGTCGTGTCGTGTCAGTGCAGTCGGCAGTTTTCTGATGAGACGAGGGTCGAAGTCTGATCCTGTCCGATGTCTACCTAACACCGGGCGGGAAAGGCTTGAGAGGAAGCTTGGCCGCCCGTGTCTCCAGTAATCGATATCTTGATGACAAAAAATCGGCGCCGATCGCTAGGGCAACCCGCCGAACGCCGCATCCCAGCTGCCAGCAATAATGCAATTCCAATTAGTCTCTGTCGCTTGCACACGGCCAAGATGCGAGGATAGGCCCATGCTGTTACGGGCGCGCAAGGCTTGTGCGCACTCGATAAGCCGGCCGTAGAGGCCCGACAAGGTCGTTTCATGAAACTCCCACTTGGCTACCGTCGCTGCCACCGCCACACGGGCTAGAAAATGAATACGCTTCGGCTCGCAAAAATAGGCATCGTTGGAAGCCACACCGAGACCGGGTCTGAAACGGCCCGCGCGTGTGTCTACGGAATCCACGGCCTCACCAAGCCCCATTTGTGCAAGTCGATACCCAATGCACGGCGGATCTCGTCTTCTGCCTCCTCCAGGTCAACACCGCAAGTCTGGTTTGTGCCCCTCCTCGGACTGCCCGGAAACAGCCGCAATGCAAGTCACAATCCCGTCAATCCACGTCGAGTGTCTTCTGTTGCCCTTGGCACACATGCTCGAGACGGTCAATGTCTGGGCACTCGACCACAGTGACTTCTGGCTATACCCATTGGCCGAGGTGGTAGTCACGCGTGGAGATAGCAAGGCGCGAAGCGCGCTTGCTTCACCGGCGAGGTCATCTGCTGGCAGATGCCGTGTTCCGATGCCATGCCTATCACCAGCAACACCCACAGCCCCTCTGCGAGCGACCATCGGGATTTTGCGAACAGCCGCAGCCCAGCACACAATCGCCACCGCTTTGGTGTCTACCTTGGGGAGGGCAGGCGGCTATGAAGATGAAGATCTCCAGCTGGCGCGAAGACAGCCAATGAGACGGCGCAGATTTGCTGAACCACAACCATCACGCACACTCCGTGATATGGCTCCACTAACCGGTGAGGCGAGCAAAATTATTTCTTGGGCAACGAAAAAAGCCCTGTTGACGACGAGGCGGCCCTGTGGGGTTTATCTCCTCTGTCCGTAAATGTGCTCAAGGAAATTTTTTTTTTTTCTGGAGAGCTCACGCTTTCACAAAGGCCACTCACAGGCAGAGGAGGACGGAGCTACGAATGCTCTTCACCTGCATGTGCCAGCATTTCCAGGTCGAGCCGTCGGAAGGTAAAGTTCGAATTGCGGCAGCGTTTTGACATTTCTGCTTTCCGCCTACAACGCCCATTTCACCTTTGCACAAGAAGTCCTTTGCGGTCCCTTGGTTAACTCTCATGCATCAATGTCTTTTTTTTTCTTTTTTTTTTTAGAAAATTGTTCATTGCTGTATCTCAATGCTTTCGTTATGCTAAATTTTTCTCCATCGAGTCTCAAGTAGTACTTTCTCAGATCTCCAGAGACCTCGAACGTCCTCCGTTAGCAGCGCGCATGGATCCACGACTGGTTGTTGAAGTACGAGTAATTAGAATAGACAGCGCGCGGCACTTCAACGGCCGTCGTGATGTTCGGCGCCTTGGCTGGTTGAACAGGTAGATCGACGACGGCTGTACCCTGGTCGACATCGTATGCGCACCGGCCCGCTATTGCTGCCTCTGAAAGAGGTGGCGCTATGCGCGAGAGGGTCTCCAGAGCTAACCCGTTCATGCACAGTGCGTCCTACTCTCCCATCTTTTCCGCCCGACTCCGGATTCAAGCTGAAACACACCTACGGCGCACAGAGCTACGCCTCCAGAGCCCTGAACAGGTGACGACGTCGAGTCCGGCGAGGATGGTCAGTTGCTACGCAAGCTGCACGGCTCTCGGCACCGCTCCTGTTTGCGCGACCGTTACAGGCTGCATGCGCAGCGTGACAAGACTCCTTCTGTGCCTCAACGGGGTTTACGCTTTTCAAGTCTTAACCTTGTCTGCTCGCCATGTTGGGCCGGCCTCCACATCCCACGCTTCCCCGCCGCGCCGTCGTCGTATCTGCAAGCTTCAGCCGCGTGCCTTTCTCGCAGACGTTGTCGCCCCGAAGAAGTATTCCGGGCCGCTGCGCGTGCCTAGTTAGGGGGCCGGACTCGCTTAGTTCCTCGTGCGTGGAAACGCCGCGTCCGCATCGCAGCAGCATGCTTCCACAGCCCGCAGCAGACGTCCCTTTGAGCGTCTTCGGTGCCCTCTGGGTCCCTGCACATGGCGTTATGTGCCAGGGCAACGCGGGAGAAGGGAAGCACCGACGTGCGCGAGAGGCGCGGAGATTTCCAGAGGGTCTGGGTGAGCAGAAAAGAAGCGACTGCTCGTGCCCTTGGTCTGTTTGATACAGATTGGTGATTCGCACCCGAGGCGGGCTTCTAGAGAGTCCTGCACCGAATCTTCCATCAAGCCATTAATCTCCCTCCTCTCCTTTTCGGTGCCTTGCCTCGCCCATGCCATGCCCTGCGCCGCAGCCAAGAAGCCTCGCTGGAAGTGCCGTCCCCGAGGAGCTGTGCCTTGGCGGCAAGCCACCCCTAGCATCAACGCCAGCGCGGGATCTGCTTCTAGCTACCGCCGATCAAGGGTAGAGCATGGAACGAAATTGACCTGGGGCGTCTGCCGTCACAGCCACGGCGGCGTCGTGGCGAGGCCGCCGGGCCATGCACCTGCGCCCTGCACCCGTTGTGGACTTGAGCCTTCTCGCATGCATTTTATTGCGGCCGAGTCAGAAGACGGCGGTGCGAGCCAAGCCAACCGCAGGGCGCCAGTGTGTCGCATCCTATTTTGTCTTCCCTCCCCCTTCTTGGTCGGGGTGCTGCTTGCTCTTTTCTTGCGTGGCGCTCGCCGGGCCCATTCGCTAATCGCACCGGACCCGACGCTAAGGGAACGCATCGTTGAAAACGAAGCCCAAAGGGGACTCGAGCTGGACGACACGGCTGCCAAGAAGATTCAGGGCCAGAAGAACGAGAGAAGAGGAAAAGGGAAGGGACTAGTCACCGGCTCGCCGTCCCTGGCTGCCTGGCTACCGAACGTTCCATCGCCTCGGGACGATCGACGCCCCTAGCATATTAAACCATCCGACTCGGTGGGAACGAAGAGCTTCTAAAAGAGGAAGTACACTGCTGGTCCCGATGAGATTGGGGGGCGTGTGGTCTTGGCCATGACGCCGGGGGTCCATCGCCGGCGGCCACCTAGGTAATGCTTGGTACGTGGTGGTCGAATGCTGACGGGCTGGTGGTCTCGCAAACATTTTCCATTCTCAGGAAGCAAAAGGAAGATGGAGTAGAGGGAGTGAAGACAGTCGGGGCATGCAGACCTTGAAGAGGTCAGGTGAAAACGCGTGATGCGCGGGGCGGAGCGAACGAGGAGACCGCTCTGGAACTGACTCTGACATGTTGTCCTTGGGCAAGCAGAATGTAGCCAATAGCAATGCAAGACTGTGATCTCAAACTCTAATTTCAGCCTTTCTTGAGCGACGCGAGCCTATTTCTATTGGACGTGGTGTGATTGTGATGTGATGCGGTCCGCTTCAGCGCAGCACTTTCTCGGGCCAGGGCAGAGAAAAAGAGGAGGTAATGGAAAATAGGGCTGTTGCCGCGACAGAAGCCAGCCGTCATCGCTGCGACACGGCTTGGATGGCTTCAAGCCAGGCGCGGCTCGAGCGTCGCGCCGTCCATGATGGTACGAAGACGAGTCGTCTGGCAGATCCACCTTCCCTGGGCTGGATCGTCAGTCCATGCAAGCCTCGGAGCGGGCAGATGAAACCCCTGGACGCTAATCATCTTCGCCTATCCTGGATCGAGTCAGACGGCTGGCCTTCCGACAGTGCTGATTCAAAAAATTAAAGAAGGGCCAAAAGAAACCAGAGAGGACGCTTGGTCTTTTCTTGCCAAGTCCTCCCTGGCAACGGCCACCGTCGGGAAGTCTGCAGGTATATGCGCATGCGGACTTGCGCGCGTGAAGTCAGTGTCAAGACACAAATGTTGGCGTGTGCCGCGGTTCAGGAAACAGCTCAAGGTACCAGCGAAATGCCGTCCGCCTGCTTTTGCTCCGAAGACGGGGAAAGTACTTCTAAGGAAGGTTTGCTGCACATTCACCGACTATCGTGCCGTTTTCCCAATACGGTGGCTGGGTCCGCGTCTTCTTTGGCGACATCCTCAATCTCCTCATCGATATTCTGCCAGGCCGATGTTTCCTCCCGATAGTCATCCGGGACAAGGTAATCCGCCTCTTCGTCAGCTTGCCTGTGTCGCAGTTCGTCGAGCTCCCGTAGGCCCTTGGCCAGCTTGTCACGATCCTTCAATCTACCAAGAGCACGCAAGGACATGACGCTCAGCTCAACCCGTTGGAGCTGCATACGTCGTATGGTATCCAAAACACGTTCGACATCTTTTCGTCGAGCGTACCATCGAACGAACGAGTTCCAGGTGACGTCGTTTGGCTGCTGACCGTACTTGTCCATGATTTCCAGCACGCGTTCCGCAGCTTCGGGTTGATTGTGCCGCATGAACGCATTAACCAGAATGTCCCACGTATACTTGGAGGTGAGTGGCTTGGCAAGGAGGCGCGAGTCACTCATACGCCACAAAACCTCGGGTATCATGGGGAGAGTGCTGGCATTTTGACCCAGTGCGAGGATGAAGGCGTTGAAGAAATAATCGGTCTGTCCAAGTGGCGCGAGGCCGTGATCGCCAGAGTGTTCGATCTGGTCGTAGAAAACACGATAAAGGCGGCCAACCTCCTCCGGGTCATATGCAGAGACCAGTTTCAGGTAAGCTGCCAGCATGATGCCGATAGCTGCGGGAGGAGGTTTCATGCCGGTTCGCTCAGTGGCTTTAGGGTCGCCGAAAAATCGAGTGGGCACGCCCAATTTGATCAGAGCTGACGGGTTGAAGTATCCGCGGTAGATCCTAGCCAAATCGGCGAAAGTGACCTCTGTACAGGCCGGCTCGCAATGCTGGAGATAGACACAGTGGAGGATATCGGTAGCAACGATCCGGGGCCTCTCGAGTTTTGGTAGACTTCGCTCTGCGTCTCTCATAACAGACTGAAGCAGCTCCGGGGCTGCGTTGTCTTTGAGGCCCTTCAACAAAACAGTGTACGTATAGTCGTTCGGCTCGACCCCGTTATGCTGCATGAGCCGGTATACGGTTAACGCCGACTGCAAATCGCCGTGATCAACCGCGTTGTGCATGGTCACGGTGTAGAGGTATATGTTGAAGGAGACACCCATGCCGACAAGTTCCGACAAAATTTTGGCGGTGGCACTGTAGGCTTCTGCTTTAGCAGCACTGTTTCGAAGTATCTGCGCACAAGTAGCCAGAAAAGCAGGGTGCGTGGGAGGCGCTCCAAGCTCGATGGGCCTTCGTAATATTGCCAGGGCCTTGTTGTACTCCCCGTGTTTACCAAAGAAATAGGCAACTTGGTATAGTGTGTGCCACGAGGCCCTAAAACGGGCCGCCTGGAGCAGGTCCCAGAACATGGTGCCTTGCTCAAGAGAGCTGTGAGCCAAAGTCAGATGCACGAGTTTCTGAGAGAGCGTGTGGCCGAGGAAGGGTCTCTGTTTGAGGAGAATTGCCAGCACGGAAAGGAATCCAGAGGGCATCCTGAGCTCGCCACTTTCGGCCCCTTGGAGGTGGTTGCTCATGAACTGTTCCAGAATATCAGCAATGACATAGTCAGGTGCTTTCCGGCCTCTGCCCGTGGCTTCCAGGGTTGGCAGCACCGCGCCTTGATCATTGTCGAGCAGCCAGAGCATCATCTCGCACCAAATGTTTCTTTTTCCTTCCGGAGAATAGTCCATACGCATGCTAGATGCCCAAGCTTGTCTGATAGAAGCCGCATCTCGCCCAAGACAGAGAAGTTTCTTCACAGCCTGTTCTGTGAAGGCGTTGACTTCCAGCCGAGACGTTCGAAGATCCACAGGTAGCCTGACATCATGGATGGCATTGAGCTGGGCGAACTTTTTGATCCACCATACATCCTGTTGCGGGAATCCATCAAGGAGAGGCCAGGCGGCAGCCCTCTTGAGAAGCCGCTCGACATCCTCAGTAGGTGTGACTCCCTGCAAAGTTATCAAAAAGTCTAGCCGGCGCAGTTCTCTGAATTCTGCATTCATCAGGGTGTAGAACTGCGCGTCTTCCAATGGCAACCCATCAGATTGGGTTCCCTCCAGGACAGCCCTTTCCTCATCCTCCTCAACCAAATAGTCCTCCTCGGACGTGGAGTAGAAGCGAGTTTCCGGGCGGCGAGAGGATATCCATGCCCTGTGGCACCGCGGTCGTGGAGGAGAAGGAGCGAAGAGCGCACGAGAGGCGAAGGTCGCAAAGGGTTGTCGTGGAATCCTCTGTGGAGGGGCGTGGGAGCTCGGGCTGCCGCGGTCGATGGCGCACTGTCGGCACAGGCGCTCCTCCCCATCGCTTGCGCTTGCGAAGCGCGCTGTTCTCGGCGGGCCAGGGCGATGATGGTTCGAAGCGACAGCGGCGGTCATCCATCGCCGCATGTGCTGGGGCGGCAGGGCTCTCTTGAAAGCGCGAGGGGCGAGGAAGGGTAGCACAGGCAGCACGTTGCCTCTGATGGTCCCCGCATGGTGGGCGATTGGATTGCTGGGCATGGGGCGAGCGTCATCTGGGCATGGCTGAGAATGGTGCGGAGAGGAGAGAGCGGCGGCGGGGGAAATTTTGGAGCTTGCCTCCTCCGCCGCCGCATCAACTTCGCCGACAACCACCGCCCGAACAACAAAGGAACTGCCCGCCCACCGCTTCCTCGCCTCGGCCTTAGCCCCCATCAAAGCCCCCAGCACGCGGGTTTTGTCGCATCCATGTCCTCCCACGCCTCTCTCAGCGCCGCTGCCGACGAGCGCAAAGCACGTCTCGCCAAGCTCAAATCGCTCAAACGCAAGGCACCCGATGAGCCGTCCGACATCGAGCCCAGCGCCCAAGATGACGATCGCGAAAGTCCCTCCGCCCCGGATGTCTCCAGACTCTATCTCTCCGGCCGCAACTTCGATGCCGAAACAAAGGGTCCCAAGCTGGGCTTCGAGCTCAACCCGGCCGAGAACCAAGTGACGCTGGAGGCCAAAGCCGCCGAGTTGGCCGAGCGCACCAAAACCGAAGCTGCTGCTGCCGAGGCTGCTGACAAGCCGTTGGACCTGTTTAAGCTTCAGCCGAAGAAGCCGAACTGGGACTTGAAACGCGATCTGGACAAGAAGTTGGAAGTACTGAACGTGAGGACGGAGAACGCCATTGCCCGGCTGGTGAGAGAGAGGATTGAAAATGCCCAGAAGGAGGCAAGGAAGAAGGCTGGTGCGAGCACCGGCGAGCTTGAGCCCACAGATAAGGATGGCGAGGTAGTCGGCATGGAAGGCGCCATGTTGGCTGAGGCCATGCGCGAAAGAGAGAGGGAAGACGAGGCAGAGAGGGAAAGGGAGAAGGGAGATGAAGAGTTGGTCTGAATTTGAAGAAGGGTCATCGAGGCGTTATGGCGCCATGGAAAGTCTTGGAGGGCTGGCTGAATGGACTTGTTCATGCATCAATGGAGCACGGGGTTGGTTTCCTGGATTGATCAGAGGCTTCTGCGCAGTGATCACTCATTGTCAATGAGTTACATCCTGCCCTCTGCGCGCGCGACACCGACGTGTTGACGGTGTTGGCCATAGAAAACGGCAGAACAATTCCGGATTAAGCAAGCGGACATGGTGGTCTAGGGTGGGCTATGCGGACTGCCCAATCTCATCATGTAACAGAGCAAGACACAACCAACGGACAAAAACGATTCCAGGTTGAATTGACCCACAAGCAAGCTCATGCTGCATAGACTTCTGGACCTAAGGGAACTTTGGGTTACTTTTCAGTTGAGAGGCAAGTTTGTTTGATTTTGTCCTCTCTCATAAAAAGTTTATACGGTGGCAGTGACGCCTCACCTTTTTAAGACATTAGGAGGGGCGTTTGTATGTATAGACTTGAAATACAGTGTATGCCAATGGGTATCTAGAACAACACCTCGGAGCTTCTGTGAACCGAATGGAATCCTCTCAGGACCATTGTTTAGGGATGCTCATAAGGTTATAGTCGCTAAGGCTGCCATTTCCGTACGGTGAAAGATGAAATCCCAATGTTGCGCTCCGATTGAGAATAATGGCCCCGTTTCCGCCCCCAATTTATCTCCCACCCGTATTCATTGCCTGAGTCAAGGCCAGGCGCTTACTGTAAGGACTTAAGCTTCTCGCCCTGTTGCTTGCCGGCGGTGGGCCAGCTTTGCCCGGTGGAGGCCGACGAGGTCTGTCGGATGGCTCGTTCGGCTCCGTGTATTGAGGATTGGCGCGCCTTCGCGGGCTACGCGACCGAGGACGGCGGAGAGGACTGAGACGAGGGACCCTCGCACGTTGGCTGTACGGAGATATTGATCCTTCAAAGTCGCGGCTGGGGCTCCGGTGACCACTGCCGCTCCTAGAGCCATCATTGTGGTTGGACACGAATGACCGACTCCGTGGCCTGCCACGCTCTCCAGGACTGAACGAGCTTCGTCTTCTCCGAGTGTTCCGCTCTTTTGCTCGTGGCCTGTCGTCTCCGTCGGAGTGGTAAGAGCCCGCGGAGGAGCTCACGGAGCGGCGCCGGCGTTTGCGATCGTCGCCGGCCGGAGAGCGCCTGGAGCGTTTTGACGTTTCCTGTCGGTCCGGGTGTGGGGAGCGCGAGGGCGAGCGGTTCGTTGAAATGGTTGGCACGGATGAGGAGGAGTAGACGGATGCTGAACGGGAGCGCTTCCGGGAGCGAGGCTGTAGGTCGTCGTCGTCGTCACGGCTGTGCTTGCGGCCCCTCTCTTGGGCCTTGTTTGCTAAGGTTTCGTCTGCAACGCCCTTCCTGCCAACACGTCAGCGCCATCCGTGGAGGGTTAGGGGCTGAAGCTCACGCACTTTCGGAGCAGGTCGTTTGGCACGTCGCTCGTGAGTTGTGGCTTGAGCTTTGGGTTGAAGAGCTGCTGGGTCCGGCTGGGCCGGCTCACGTACGGGCGCTCCTGAGCAGAGGCCTTGCATTCATAGCTGTAGTGACGTGGGGAAGCATCAGTCGGGTCCGCGAAGACAGGCGGGGATTCGCATATCTTTTTTCAGGCACTTCTGGCAGGTGGTGCTCGGCGTTGCCTTGGAGCGGCCAGTATATGCAGGGCCGCGGAGCATGGCTGGAGCGACGGTTGATGTCGCAAGAGAGGTGCGGAGGAGGGGCGGTGCACTCAGGCAGAATGACGACGCTGGGCGCGCAATCCAATGCGATCGCGCGCTGGCTTGCTCCAGACCGACAGACGGGACCGCACTCTCAACGGCTCGACGTTTTCCCGCGCTGCGCTGAGTGGTACTCCAGTACGAGTAAAATACCCCCCGGCGCCGGCCCCCTCGCCGCGCAGGCTGTTGGCGGCCGCGCCCACACGGGACGGCGCAAAAGAGCATCGCTCGCGACGTTCTGCACGGACATGCGCTGTTGCGCAGAGCCCGGCGCAGACACCGGGGCTTGGATGCACTTGCAGGCGCAGCGTCTGAACGGACGGCTGCGCTGTCGGGAGCCAAACGGGAAGATTACGGCGGGCGTGGGGACCTCCTGCCAAGGCTTGGGGGTGGTTTTGCAGCATCCGCTGGGCTGGGCGCCCGACGAGACGAAGAGCCCTCACCACGCCCGCTTGGCCAACAAGCATCTCTCGACGCAGCTTTTCAGCAAGCAAGCCGTCCACGCTCGCGCTGGCGCATCTTCCCCGCCCGCCGCCTCGTCCCTCAGCTGTGCGCCTCGTGCCGAAGCACTGCTCCCGGGCTCCCGCGCTCGCGCTCCTGACTCCTCGAGCCTCGCCGACTGAGGACCCACTCGCCGCTGCGTGCGCCCACTTCAACTGCCCTGTCGCACCGCGATGAAATCACCGCCAACCTTCTGAGCCGAGCCCGCCAAATGCACGATGTCCAGCCTTATGGTCCTGGCTTTCACGACTTTCCTTGAGCATTCCGGTTCCTGAGATCACCTGGCTTTCGACATTTCCATTTCCCTTTGCGAGCAAACCCGCCCAGCTGCCCACCGCGTCTCCACGCCCCGGATTGCGACCGCCCTTCTCTGCATTCTACTGCCATCATAGCCCGCATAGCCCGCATAGCCCGCATAGCCCTCCCCACGCTGGTTGGAGAGAATGTCCTCTCAGGGCCCTGCCGCCAACGAGACCTCCAACCTAAAGCCGTCGTTTGCAAAGGTACAGTCTGCGCCGCCTTCCAGCCTCCAGCGACCCTACCTGGTGCCTTCTCGCTTTGCCTCTTCGGCCTCCGCCGCCCCGCCGCCCCGCCGCCCCCCGTCCATCAGTGGCGCCTTCACCATGACTGACGGCTCGCAGGTTGCAGCTTCAGCTTACATGCCTCATAATTCTCAAAACCTGGCTTCTGGCCCCAAGTCTGCCGATGGCCAGCAAGCTTCCGTTTTCCTGCAGAAACCGTCAGAAACCCCGGAAGCGCAAATAGCGGACGCCCCGGCGGAGAATGGAGAAAGAGACGAGAGCTCCAACCAGGAAAATGCTCCAGAAATCAATGGCTCCTCCAAGGATGTCCATGCGCAGAATGGCGTAAGCCCGGACTCCAATGCCGAGCCCTCGTTGCACTCGGTAGGCGGCGCAGTGAAGCCCGTGGTTGCTGATGACGATGCAACCCAGGTGTCTTCCTCCAACAGCTCAGCTAAACCGCCGAGCGTGGATGGCAAGAGTGTCGCGTCCGGAACGACCTTCGCGCTCGACGAGAAGGAAAGCATTCGCCCAGATGATAGCGCTAGCATCCGTGCCGTCGAGGAGGATCGCGAAGATGTCTTCACGCCTCCTGATTCCGTGGCAGCTGGATCAAGGGTTGGCTCCGAGAATGGCATTGGTCGTGCTTTCCGTGACCAACTAAACGAGATTTCCGTCATGGGCGCCTCTTCCCAGCGTGGCGTTCCCCCTGGCCGGAATGTCCAGATCATGGGCAACAACGATGCTGCTCAAGGCGGTCCCGGTCGCGCTGTTCCCCTGCCTCTCGGTGCTATAAAGGAAAACGACGGCACTTCTCAGCCGCAACCGGCACCTGATGAGAAGCTTTTGGAGGCTCTACAGTCTCCTAGAGATAGACTGTTTGTTCTCAAGCTAGAGCAGGATGTGCTCGATTTCTTAAGAAATACAGGGTACGTTGCGTCTTCTCAACCCTTCCTTTCCAGAGACTGACGAACTTTGAAGCGAGAAGGAATTGGACGTTCCAAACTGCAATGCGTTCTACCGAATGCTCGCACATCGATTTGCTGACTATTATCTTCTCGGCCACGTCGTCGATCCGGTCACGAGTGCCGTGAAGATCACCAAGACTCCTTATTGTAGAATGTAGGCAACATGCTCGATTATCACTTGATATCTATTAATGCGTTCGCAGGCCGCCGCCACTATCCAGCCTTCCGAGCTCCTTGTCATCGGGTCCGGAGACTCCTCCTATCATAGTGCCAGCTCGAAAGATTATGCGCCGAGGAGAGAGCGGGGGAACCCCATCGGGCACTAACACAACGTCCAATTCTGAAGGTCCTTCTAAAACAACGTCGGAGGCTGGCGCCGATAGTGGAAGTGACGCCGGTCAGGGGCCCAGAAAATTGACCAGAGAAGAACGTGAGGCCAAATACAAAGAAGCCCGCCAGCGCATCTTTGGAAGCGCCGAAGACGGGGATCTTGGTGAATCAGCCAACAATGAGAGCAAGGACATGTCGCGGTCAAGTTCCGCTGCTGGAAAGAAGAACAAGAAGAAGAACCGCAACAATGACGACGACGGATTTGAGGCAAGATCTCAGTTTAGCCCCTACTATCCGGGGCAATATGGAACACCGGGGTACCCGAGCGATGGCCCTCCCATGTACTACGGTCCATACACTAATATGGCACCCCCGTCAACCAACATGAACCCTAGTGGCACGCCGCCCGTGCAGTACAACACCGGCTACCCTATCATGGTTCAGCAGGACCCCCAGCAGCAATTTGCATGGCAATATCAACAATTCGGATCCACCAATGGGGGTCTGAATGCCGGACCGTATGGATCCCCCCCGGTGCCGATGAACTATGACCTCTCGCAGGACTTCCAACGCATGTCCTTCCAGCCCGGAAACGCATCTAACCAGACCCCGAAGATGTCGAATCCTACACTGGCTAGCTTTCCGGACGGATATAGGCCGCAGTCACAGGGCATGAACCAGCCATGGCAGATGTCGGGCCAGGTGCCATATCAATTTGCTCAACAAGGCTATGACAACAGACCAATGTCGGCGGGCCAAAATCCCTATCCATATGGCCAGCTACCCAACCCACAGTTCGGAAACAACCGCAACCAGCACCCTCTTCCCGGTAGCTTTAACCGGCAGCAGTTCAACCCGCAAAGCCAGGCGTTTGTTCCAAGCTTCCCGGGTTCTGGAATGCGCGGTGGACCAGCGTTCGGCATGCCAGGACAGTCGCCTCAAATGGGAGTCGTTGCTCCAAACATGGTCAACTTCCCCAACTTCAACATGCCCATGCATCAGCAGCAACCTCCGCGGCCAAACCAACCAACTTCGCAGCCGCAGTTCAACCGTCCGCCCGGAAACCCTCCATTTGTGAAGAATCAAGGCCAGGGGATGGCCCATCCTCTGCCGCAGCCGGTATCGGCCGCGCATAACCAAGGACAGAGGTCGGCTTCGGGCAGCAGTCAAAGCAGCATCGCAAAATGGGGCACCCCGGCGCACCTGCCGCCTAAACCTCCGCCTCCGGCTTCGATGCAGTCTAGCCAGAAGTTCGTGAATGGACCCTCCAACCGAGTTTCCCCGGGACAACCGCAGCAGAACCCGAACGGCACATACCCTATCCCTAGCATAATCGGAGCGGGCAATGGAGCGCGTGCTGCCAAGTAAAGACGTTGCATACGCCCCCTGAGCCATCATTGCTCTGCATTTCTAGGAGTTGGTCAGTGTCGGTGAGGAAGCCTGCTCGCGAAAAAGAAAAAAAAATCGATCTCTTGGTTCTGTGAGGAGGGGCGAGGCCTGCTTATTCGGTTTCGACGGCGAGGAGTCCAGATGTCGGCCTGGTATGTCGGCGAATCACGGTCAATCGATGCATCTTTGAGGCGTAAACGGCAGGGACGGATAAATTTTTCGAGGCCTGGATGATGTGTAAGGTGGGGACGAAGTAAAAGTTGAGCTGTGGAATTTTTTTTTCTATTCGAGGGCTGAACGGACGGGGTTGGGCTTCTTAATTAGATAATTCACGATGGTCTTGCTCTTGGTGCTTGGCAGTGAGTGCTTTGTCATGGCTACAGGGCCAGGAGATGCCGATCGGCAACGACTTCGTGGTGGGCAGCGGGTGCTAGAGGCGGTACGGCAGGCTCAGCGGCCACCAGCGCAACCGCCGCGACGTCGACCAGAAAAGTCACAGGGCGCGGCTCGTCGATCAACAACAGCCACCCTCGCCGCTCCACACAACCGCCAGCCATGCCAGCAAGACCACAAGTCCGGCTAGGGCAATCAGCCCTGCCGCTACTGCCCCGGCCGACCGCCTCGCCGCTCAATGCCTCGCCCTCGCCGCGCCACGCGCTCGCCGCCGCCGCCCGACCACAGCAGCAGCTCCAGCTTCGGCTCCAGCTCCAGCAGACCCGCGGCATCAAGTCCATCGTCGCGCACCCCTCGCCCACCGACCGCTTCAACCGCGGGCCCGGCATGCGCGTGCTGGACGCCTCGTCGACGGCGGCGCTGGCCCGCAAGGAATACACGACGCCGCTGCGGACGGGGGCGCTGGCGATCAAGAAGGGCATGACGGCGCTGTACGACCCGGCGACGGGCGTGCGCACGCCGTGCACGGTGCTGCAGCTCGACCGGTGCCAGGTGGTCGCGCACAAGACGCGCGCCGAGCACGGCTACTGGGCCGTCGCCATGGGCGCCGGCTGGAAGCACCCCAGCAACGTGACCCGGCCGCTGCTGGGCCACTTCGCCGCCCAGGGCGTCAGCCCGAAGCGGTGGGTCAAGGAGTTTCGCGTCCGCGACGAGCGGGGCCTGCTGGGCGTCGGGGAGGTGGTCGGCGCCGACTGGTTCAAGGAAGGCCAGTTTGTGGATACGCGCGCGGATAGTAGGGGCATGGGTTTTGCCGGTGTAAGTGACTGGCCCTCTCCTTTCCATACCCTCGAAGGAACGGAGGAGGAGATGCTGATGCTCTTTGTCCGTTGAACAGGGTATGAAGCGCTGGGGGTTCAGCGGCCAGCCCGCCTCTCACGGTCAGTCGCTCACCCACCGTGTGATGGGTTCGTCCGGTGCTTCGCAGGGCTCTGGTTCGAGAGTGTTGCCTGGCAAGCGCATGCCTGGCCGTATGGGTGGCCATCAGGTCACCGTGCAAAACCTCAAGGTCTTGAAGGTTGACGCCGAGAATGGCATCGTTGTCGTCAATGGTATGCCTTCATCTCCTTGGATCCAAAGAGTTTGTCCTTTGCTGACTGGAGACTTAGGCGCAGTTTCTGGTCCTAAGGGATGCATTGTCCAAATCCAAGATGCTATCAAGAAGCCGTGGCCCGATGTTCCTCTTGTTACTTCGATAGAGGACATGAAGCAACCTGCTGCGGCTAAGGCGGCATAAACTTAATATAGGCGTGGGCAGGGCTTCCTGTATAAAATTAAATCATGTACGTTTCAGGCAATCCGGAGGCAAACATGCCAAATAGTGGGAATGGAGAAATCTAAGTGGTTTAGACTTGTCGTAGAGGGCGCCTCAGCGGGATCACAAAACCCACATGCAATCAAGTTTTCCAGATCCAATATCAACTGCCTGTCTACCTATTTCCTCAGTCGGCGAAATCCACTGGTATATTCGCCGGTGCCATAGTAGGACACAGAGGATATGGGCCATTTAAGCCCCGCCGAGATGCCGATTCATTGTACGCGGGCACCTGAAGCAGGTATCCAGACGTAGAAAACATGTAAACGCTGCACCATAAGGTTACACGATCTACGTAACTTGCAACGTGCCGATCGGAAAACGATGGCTGTGTCGGTGGATCGCGCCGACTAAAAATATACGCGTTTAATTTTTAAGCACTTGTGAGCTAACAAGATCTCCACTGTCGGCTTTGATGGTATTAAAAGTGAGCCAACTTGTCGCTATAATAGTTGTGGACCTTGCAGACTCACCAGTAGCAGAAATATTCAATAATAGGTATGGCACTTCATTCTATACAACGCTATCTTCATGCACCAGATCCTTCTCATTTGCTACCTAGTCCACTACAGTGCCGTTCCCAGATTGAAGCACGCTCCAGCCCGCCTTCCACACAGCTAGGAGAAGCTTTATTATTTAAAATCCCCGGCTTTGGCCCTACGCCGTAGCTAGTCTTTCCCGCCGTGGGCTAAGAGTTGACGACGTCTACCTGATGGTAGTCATTTTGCACAGCATATTGCGGGGTTGAGTCATCATCACGGGTGAACATTGTCAGGTTCAGTGTCCATATTTCCCAAACATCGACTTCACCGATGTTTCGTTACGAAACAATTGCCACAATTCCATCAAATGTCCAACTTTTTTCACTTTTGTCGGGTTAGTTTCGTCTGTCCATTGACCCTCTGACGGCTGTCACAATCATAGCGACCACCTCCAAATTGTGAAGTAATCGACAAAATGATTTGAATTCTGGTAATAAAGTTGCATAATTTGTGCTCTGACCAAGTTGTGAAGATTCACGTTGTAAGCTGGAGCTGAGATGTGAGCCCGACTCTGCAAAGCTTGTTGATGATTTTTTCGGGCCATGCGCTAGAGGATGAGGCTTTGGCGATCAGCAATTTGTAAACTTCGTTATCTTATTCACAGCTTATCTCAACTGGAGGCCTAACGTCGAGCATGTCGATCTTTTCGTTGGTCCTAGAAAATGCTGTTGGGCCTTTACTGGATTAGGTAAGCAGTGGGGACGTCGAGCGAGGATCCTGTCAAGATCGTGAACTCAGGCCTGCGTAAGCAGTCATCAATAATCGTCCCAGAACTCGAATTCTCGCCACGAGGCATCGATGTTGCCATTTCGAGCTTGTCTGCGAACCCAGAAGGGGTGGTAGGTTGAATAGTCTTTGAAAGCTTGTCAGCGAGATCAGGATACGCAGCATGTGATTTACCTCGCTCGCCATCAAGCCCCAGCTGAGAAGCAACATTGACGTAACCTTCATGGTTCTTCTCGCCCGTCTTGAGGACTTTCTTCAGCATGTCCTCGTCTCCGGCCCAAGGCGTGCGGCAATACGGGCAAGTCACATTGTGACCGCCCTTGGTGGCAGCCCATTGCTCGAAGCAGGCCCTGTGCACATTGTTGCCGCAAGCAGCTTTGCACCATACGATTTCTTCACCAACGGGTTGGAATTCCTCGCAGCAGATGGGACAGTCGACCCCTTCCACAGGCTTACGGCCGTCCTTGTCGTTAGGTTCGCCCGACGGGATTGGCGGGGCTTTGGAAAAGATATCCCCGAGCTCAGATGCGAGAAAGGCCAGCTGGTACTGAAGGTGTGGGGGAGCTTTGAGCACGCGAATAAGCACCTGGAACCATCAGCCATTGCAACGGTGCCTTCGAAATTCGTTGAAAACCTACATAGGCGATGTGCTTGCACTGATTACCCTTTTCGGCGTGAGGGCACGTGCAGCTGGGGATGAGCGATATGTTGACAACGTAAATGTTACCGGTTGTCCCTGCAATGCTGATCTCTTCCTCTGGACAGGCGTCTGTTCCTTTACGACAGCGATCGATGACGAACATGCTGTTGTGTCGATCAGTATTGTTGGACTGGCAGATCCATGTGAGGCTGTGGGAGGGGGTCGGGCTCACCGTTGTGTCAGTGCTCGATCTCTCACCAAACAGAACGACTGAGGTGCCTTCTCGCGGAATCTGTAGATCGTCAGCTCGATTACGTCATATGCAAAAATAGACGTTGAGATCTTGCCGCTTGAGCCGCTTCTCACTCGCCGGTGGCGGCTTCGGTTTGGTTTGCTTCGTAGACACGGAAGGTCCGGCATCGTCGACAGCTGCTGGGGGCTGTGGTGCAGCAGCCTTGCCGCGGCGCTTCTTGACCGGAGGGTCGGCAGCCTCAGGCGGCGGGTCTTCGGCGTAGGAAACGGGGTTGCGTTTACGCCCACTCGAGCGTGGCTGTGGAGGAGGTTGGTGTGCTGCCACACCGCTCATGTTGGTGGAGCCTGGTGCGCCCATGATGGCGTGAATGGGGTGGTGTTGTCGGGTGCGGCTGGGGATGACGCGGCTGCAACGAGTGGAGGTGAGCTGGCCGTGGCTGGGGCGATGAAGTGGCAGGTGGAGGCCGTCACAGCCGTCAGCCGTGGAGACGCGTGGGGAAGGTACTATCGATAAGGCGCCAAAAAGCTTGGTAGGTGGGCAAGCGCGTTTGCACGTGATCCGCTCGAACCCTGGCCGCACATGGGTTCAATTGGATTTACTTTACGGACTACCGTCCCAACAAAGGACACCACACCCTGCGTAAGTGGCTAGCTAATGAATCCTGTGTCGGGGTGCTTGAGCCCCATGTTCACACCCAACCATCCTCATCACCTGCCCGCTTGAGTAGAGAGCTACGGCCATGGTAGAATGCGGAAGGTCCGATGTTCACTACCCGCTGTTCCCGGCTGCTCGCCATCTTCGCCGACGCCCGGGGTGATAGGGGCCCCCTTTGTGACCCGACCTCTGCTGATTCGCAGTGACGAATAATGCAAGCCGACGATTCGCGGTACCCCTTGGCGAATTCCGGGTCAGAGTCGTGCCATGTTTTGGGGCGCACCGCCGCTCCGTAGCGAAGCGTCCCTGATCGTCCGACATCATTTAAGTGGGTTTCGGATCTGCATTGCATCTAGGATCCAGCTCCGGATTAATCGTGTTATGTTTGTTGCTTCTATCTAAAAATTAAGAGATTTCGGTGATGACCAATGTGCTGCGCTCTAGGAGCTGAAACCAACCCGTGCCTGTAGCCCAAACGCCCGCTGACCTGCCCGACGCTTTTTTCGCAAACCCGACTGAAGTCCGCCTCCGCTCTGGAGGGCGGCTTGATGCTGTGCAAACTGGGAGATTCGTTACGACGTTTAGAGTTATGCCTTGCTTTTGCCGAACCCGAGGCGCTGCTTGAGCGTCTGCTTCTCCGGATCGCCATCCGGTGGCATGGTGTACGCCTTCTTGCTGCCCAGCTTCCTGCCCGTTCGGACATCTCTCCGGCTGGCGCAGCAGCAGCAAAGGCCAGACTGAATGATGAAGGCAATCAGAATGCAACCAGCCGAAGTCCACATGAAGCCGAACATCTGGGCCCCGAGGACGGCCTTGATGTTGAGGTCGTCGACTTGGGTAAGCGCGATCTTGAAGACGATGAAAATGGCCGTGGCAATGATGCAGGCCACGAAGATGCAAAGCAGCGTGAACAGTGATAAGATGGCGATTGGGCCCGCTGCCCATCGCGTGTAGACGGCCAAAGGCGTCAGGAAAATGAGCGTGGTGGACAAGCAAGTGCCCGTTAGGAACAAGCCAAACATCCACTGGGAGGCCACCTTGAGGATGTCAAGGTATTTCAATGCTTCCTCGGGAATGGCAACTGCGGTGTTGGTTAGCATCCGACTACGCTGAAAGGGGAGAGGTGCTTGTGACGTACTGGTTGCGCCTGCGAACAGCTCGTTGAGCAGGATCTCCACGGGATTGAACCAGTAAAGGCTCTGGGGGTGAGAGCAGTGGGTGACACCCTCATTGATGTAGCCTTCGCAAAAGTTCCACAGGCCGACCTGGTAGAAATCGTGCAGACCCAGCGTCTGCGCAATGCTGTTGAGCAGGGTGGCGTTGGGAATCGATGTTGGCACAATATGGCTGAGATCGAGCTTCATGAACCAGGTGTCGCGGAGAACGGGCTTGTCGTGGGTGTTGCCGATCTCGACGAGCAGAAGAAAAAGAGCGGACAAAAAGAAGAAAAACGAGGAGATGACGGCAAAGATTTTGCGGGTGCGGGTGGCCCGTTTCATCTGCTTCTTGGAGAGCGTGGTGTTGGAACGCTTCAGGCCGCCGCCAGGCGTGGTGTTCCAGGGCGTTTCCTCGAACTGCGGGGCGCGGGTGACATCCTGGCTCACGGCCACGGTGGGCGACGACCTTCCAGAGGCACCGGGCCCGTTGGAGCGCGACGAGGGCGTACGAGACGGCGGAGAGGACGGCATGGCGATGCCTGGTGGAGGAGGGAAGCGTGAGAGAAGGCTCTGTTGCAGTCGAGCCAGAAGAAGACCGGGCTGTGAGTGGACGGGCGGGCCAGGGTGTTGGGCAACGCCTGCAGCGCCACGGTGGAAAGGACCGACATTATGAGACGGGCGGGCTGGTCGCCGTGCTCTGATCTCAGGCCGGTGTTTGCGACGCGTCAGGGCCTGCAGGCCGGCGTTGATGCAAGAGGCGCAAAGCGGGTCCAGGCGGCGGCGCGGTGCCGTGATTGGCGCCGCCACCCTGCTGTGAGCCTGTGAGCGCGCACCAGGCACCCGACCACAGCCCATCCGTTCCCGGCCAGGTCCTTACGAGCCCCGTCCTCGGCGCGCCAGGCCGTGACGATGTCAGAGAGCAGTGCTGGCTCCCGCCTAGCGCTGGCTAGCTGCGCGCCAACGCTGCCCGTGAGCCAGCTGCAGCGCCTATCTCTCCTGACGCCCATGGGCCCGCCCTGCTATTTACTGCGTCTCAGACGTCATTCCAGCCTGTCTCTCAGCCGCACTTCTTTGCTCCACCGCCTGTGTCCTATGCGCTTCCCCGTGGCCCGTCTTGGCCCGCCCCGACTGTCTCTGTTTTCCTCCCCAGTCGAGCTCCCCTCCACTCCACCCTCCCGCTCCTGCTGCTGCTGATCGCCTCAGCATGCGTCTCTCCACCTGCTGGCTCGCCGCTCTCTTGTCCGCCGGTGTTCTCGCCCAGGGATCCGATGACAGCGACAAGTCGAGTTCCGCATCCGGCTCCGGATCCAGCGCCAACACGGTCGTCCTCACCGGCACAAACACAAAGCCCAGCGTGAGCGTGCCCACCGGCACTTACATCTCTTACTCGTCCACCGTTCGCGTGAGCACCGGCGACGATGACGGATCCGCCGGCACCAAGACCAAGACTGGCACCGCGGGCGCTTCATCCGAGGCTAGCATCAGCGAAGAGAAAACCGTCACGGTGAAGACCCAGCACACCATCACCTTGCTCACCGGCGCCGACGGCACGCGCACATACACGGGCGGCCCTCTGACTCCCACCCCTGGCAATTCCACTGCCTCCGAGACCAGCAGCTCCGCGGCTCCCACCAACACTCAGCCATGCAACGGCTACACGGAACTGTGCTCGCGCAAGTACTCCAACGTGACCGAGGTCTGCGCCCACAACTCGCCTTTCACGATCAAGAACAACGCCGCGAGCAACCAGAACTACGACGTGACCACCCAGCTGAATGATGGCATACGGATGCGTAGGTGGAATCCGGACGCTAAAGCGTGACCCGATGCTAACTCGACGCAGTCCAAGCACAGGCCCACTACAACGGTACTGGGAAATTCAACCTGTGCCACACCTCTTGCGATATTCTCAACGCCGGCACGCTCGTGGATTACCTCAAGGAAGTCGCCAGCTGGGTGCAGCAGCATCCTTACGACATTGTCACCATCCTGATTGGCAATGCCGACTACGCCACCGCGACCAACTTCACCACTCCCATCGAGGACTCCGGCCTCAAGGCGTATGCGTACGAGCCGCCGGTGATTCCAATGGGCGTTGAAGATTGGCCGACGTACACGGAGATGATCCTCACGTCGAAGCGCGTCGTTTTCTTCTTGGATTATCAGGCAAACCAGACAGCCGTGCCATATCTCATGGACGAATTCAGCCAGCTGTGGGAGACGCCTTTTGATCCGACCGACCAGGCGTTCCCTTGCACCGTGCAGCGCCCCCCAGACCTTCCTCAGGACCAGGCCAAGAACCGCATGTACATGATCAACCACAATCTCAACGCGGACATCTCAATCCTCGGGAACTCGATCCTGGTGCCAAACAAAGTCAATCTGACTCTGACAAACGCCAATACCACTGAATACGGCGCTCTGGGCCTTTCGGTCGATCAATGCACGGGTAAGCTCAAACCTGAAACTTCAGCCTGCACCCGAGAGAGTTTGAAACGCGGAAGGGCCGCTAACCTTGTCACAGACATGTGGGGCAGACCTCCGAACCGCCTGAACGTCGATTATTACAATATCGGCAACATCAACGGAAGTGTCTTTGCCGCCGCTGCGGATGCCAACAACGTCACGTACAATGGCAAGTGCTGCGGGCTCGACAGCACTTCTGATGCCGTGACCGACTCGGCAGCGCGACCGCTGCTTGCGCTGGCCATCTCCGTCTTCGTCGGCGTTGCCGTCCTGTAGAGAAGCTCCTTAATTGTCTAGCGTTTGAAAAGTCGCATTTTGGGTGGATTTCTTTCTCGGAACCTTCGGCGGGCGGATACGTATATTACGACACATTGGGTTTCTCTGCATATTGGCGACGGCGTTCTTGAGGGGTTTGTTGGCGGGACTGGCGACAGCGATCATAGACACACGGTCGGCCCCCGAAGGCATCAGTGCATTGCTATAGCAGCATCCTAATCTTAAAATCATTTCGCCTTTCCCCTCGCTCATTTTGCAGGCGAAACCTCGCATTTCCGAATTTATTGATGACTGTGCGTTTCTCCAGGCCAGCCACTCCACCTTGGGCGCACCGATGCCGTGGGAAGCGCCCCGCTGCTATTTGCGGTAACGGCTGCACGGCAAAGGCCGAGCACGATCCCGGGCTCGTATCCTCCGTATACCACCGGCGCCGGCACCTGCTTCCGTGGTGCCGCAGGGCGTTCCCGCCGCATCGCGTCGCCCTTCCGCGGTTGGTGATTGTCGCATGCAAAAGACTACGCGCTAGCCTCAGCCACCTCCTTCAGGGTCTTCTCGTCCAACCCCAGCATTGCACGTCGGTTGCCCTCCCACTGCGCCCACGCGGCCGCTTGCAAGAGGCAGTCGGCCAAATCGTCCAGTTTCTTGGGGTCGACTGGCGGTGACAGGCTGGCGACTGACGGGGCCGGCGCTTCTGACGCGTCCTTTGCGCGCTTCTTCCTGCTCCCTCCGCCAGTCCTTTTCCCGGCTTTGGACAGCCTAGACAAGAAAACGTCACGCATGCCGCGGACTTCGGCCGTGTCGAAGCTGAGTTGCACGTCGCAGTCTCGCCGAGCCGACGCAGACCCGCTGCTGTTCGCGAGCAACCATTGCTCGACGAGCTTGATTTTGACCCTCTTCTCGATTTTCGATTTGCTTAGCTTCTTTGGTTTGCTCATGCCGTCCTCCACCCCCTCTTCTCCCTCGGCCGCAGCGTCATCCTCGACACCCTCCCCCGCCTTCGATGCTGTCGAGCGCGAGCGAGAAGACGGACGCTTGAGCGCGGCAGTGCTGGCAGCAGTTTCGCTGAGAATCGCTCGGCCGAGCTCCGAGTTGTCCGTCCAGAAGGTGGCAACGCGTTTTGGGCTGACCGGGAAGGCGCTAGGGAATGAGGGCGCTCTCAAGACGGCGGTTGGCAGGCGCGCGGAAGTCTCTTCTTGCCTAAGCGTCTCGAGGATGGCCCAGATCATGCCCTCAAGCATGTTGACGTGGTAGGTCCACTCTTGAATGGCGGCAGACGAAGTGGTGCGGTAGCGCTGCTGCTCGATCAAAATGGTCTGCGGCGCGTAGGGGAGGAGCTTCCGCTTGAGCAGCGCGTAGGCAGCGCGCGAGAGGATGGACGGCCGAAATGACTCTTTGGCGGTTTGGGTGAGCTGGCTGCTCAGCCGCGCTGCAGGGTCTGCAGAAGATGCCTGCTCTTCCTCTTGCTGGGCGAGGTCGCTGACAGAGATGGGCTCCCAGGCCAGCACGTTGAGCTTCACGCGGGGGCTCCCCGTGGGGGAATTCTTCTTGGGCTGTTGGATGGAAACATCGCACACACAGCAAGCCATGTTGCGGATGCCCATGTCCACGCTGAGAATGCGGCCGGGTTTGCTGCCATGTTGAAGCTTGGCCACATTGAGGTCTGACTGGAGGCGTTCCGCGAGTTCTGGCTTATTGCCACCGACGCCACTGCCGATGCGTGCAAGAAGCGTTCTGAGCTGGGGCGCTGTAATGGCGCCCTGGACCTTCTTCGACATCAGCAGAAGCCCAACTATCGTCCCGACCTAATCTGTTCACTGTGAAGAAAAGGAAAGGGAGGGTCGATGCGGCGTAAAAACATTGGTAGGACGAGCCACCTGCTTTACTTCGTTACGATTGGCGGCTGCTTATCAGGACCTCGTAGCTGAGCGTTGAGAGGGCATGCTTGTAGTGATGCCTGTATAGTAGCAGGACTCGACAGAAACAGAAAATCGCGACGCGAGTGTTCGCCGGGTAAATCTCGGAGAGTAACGGAGGATTATTCAGCACATGAGCATTTCCTTAATTTAGGAAGTGAGCAGTCCTCCCGACTCTTATTACACCTGCAATCGTTGGATCACTTCGTTTCTGCGGCAACTAACCTGTGTCCCTTGCTTGTCGGCAGTAGACCTACAGGGTCGAAAGAAGTCGTCTAGGAGATGTTTGCAGAAGGAAGCCGCATAGACATCTCGAAGTCCACGATGTAAGAATTCTAGTCAATCTACACGCAAGCCAGCGGATACTCAGGTCCAGTTTAGTCGAACGTTCGGAGGAGAAGTTTTCCGTAATATAAATGTACAAAGTCAGGGTCGATGTAGGGGCCACGTGTCTGGAAGAGTCTGCTTCCTCTCCGAGCAAGACGATTCTGTCCCTTCTGCACTCACGAATGATCGAACCTCAGACGGGGGTTGGAGATGACTCAATGGGTGATGGAACAGGTGGCCGGTCAGCGTAGGCAGCAAAGCGCGTTAAATTGGACGCTGCCGTTTGGACAATCCTCTTCTTCCGAAAGCCTGCTCTTAGACTTGCATGTACTGTCGCCTCCACGCCTCTTTTTTTTTTCTTTTCCGTAAATTTTTAGTCCGGTGCTGGGATTGCTGACTGGGAGCACTGATGGTCCGCCGGTGAACATGCCAGCCCCAGAAGGGAGTGGACGGAGAAGCTACAAGCCAGCGGTCGACCAGGTGGGAACCCGTCGTTTGCGAGCTGTCCGGCTTTGAAGGCAAGCAGGGCAAAGCACACTCTCCGGATTGGAGCCCAGGCGTGGGCGGGGGTCGGTGGTGTGGCTCGTGCAAGGGAGAGTCGGTTGTGAGGGCGGCGCTGCGGCGCTAGCGATTCCAGAAGCGTGGCCTTAATCGGAGCGCGACTCCAGACAACACGCAGCGCTTCAACCCACCACCACCACTCCCTACCCACCCACTCCCCAGCTTTCGAGATACCCGGTCTTTCCCGTCCAACACGCCTCACGACTAGCACCATGGTACGTCTGCCCTGCCGCTTCTCCTCGCCTGCGCCTTCAATGCTCTCCAGCCGGCTTGCGCTCGAATCGATGGGGGAAGATGAGCTCCGCCCTCACCTTGGAGCTCGCTGGATTCGCGCCGCCCCTTCACCGTCGCCGCTGTCAAAGCTTGCTGGGGAGCGCTTCACCCCCACTCCAAATTCCGCCGACCACATTCGCTCGCCTTTGCTCGCCTGTCGCGCATCGCCGTTCAATTGCGCCTCAAGCTGACCCGAGATCCTTCAGTCTTCCCCTCGCTCCAGCTCTCCCGTCAACTCGCCCCCGGCGACCGGCTCCACCACTGCCCGCCCCTCGTCTCCCAAACCCCCGGGTGGCCCTGCCGTGGCCATCAGGAGGAAGGCTGCCGCCGACCGCGCCGACAAGGTTGCCAATGCCCGTCCCAGCAGCACCCGCGCCGCCGGCGCTGGCGGTAGCAGCAGCACTATGTTGAGTATGTACTCTTTCGCTCTCTTGCATATCTTCGATCGTTTCAGGAGCTGGTGGGGGAAAGCCCCTGTGCGCGGTGATGGGCAGCATTGCGCAACGCCATGCAGCAAACAAGCACTGCGACTCCAATTCTCTCACAGATGAAAGAAGAGAGAACATGAACAAGCTAACACTTTGTAGGGCTTTACACCGACGAGTCTCCCGGCCTCAAGGTCGACCCCGTTGTCGTGCTCGTTCTGTCTGTCGGCTTCATCATTAGCGTCGTCGCCCTGCACGGTAAGTTCGACTGTTCGAAGGAATGTAATCAAACGGACAGTCTGACCAGTTCCTACAGTCATCGCCAAAATCACCAAGAAGTTCTCCGCATAAATGACCACCTGCTACCACAAATCTGTTCTGATAAAGCTGGGCTCCCAAGAACACCGGGACTAGCTCGAGAATGAGGCGGAACAATGTCGCTGGCAGGGCAATGTTGATGGGACGTTGAGAGGAGCTTTCCTCACATTCTGGAAAAAATTGGGAACGGCTGTGGACACAGCGACTTTAAACACGTTCTCGAAAGCAATGGCTGCAACTACGGTGTATCATACCACATGGGTTTTGGGAGACTGGGAATATCAAACTTCTTTTCATGGCGCATCACCACGTTCGCTAGTATTGACTAACCCTCTAGGAGTACTTTGCGTGGACCGACGATATACGCACATGCCTCCATGTCGCCCACAGCCCCCCGACAGCAGTTGGATTGTAAATGACATATTTTTAACAGTAAGACAACTTGCACCGTATCCTGCGGAACACCCGAAGACGAGAATCAAGAGCATCAGGAGAGGACGCAGAAGGAAGGTTGGCCGCCTCAACCTTCTTTTTCTTTTTTGAAGGGATCGAAGGAACTGTGCGAAGCTTTTTGAAGGTATCCCAAAAACGTGAACTTATGCATAGCATAAGCCACCAGTTCATGCATGTATATAGAAGCAGTTGAACGAGAATTCGAAAGAGGCCGATAAGGCAAAACGACGGAGGGCAGAACGAGAAAGAAGAAATTCAGCTTGCATTTGCTGGTCGCATGGTGGTCCAATTTCATCGCAGGCCAGACCATGGCTGAGTGAAGCCACCCATCTCAAGCGTTTTCCGTACCATCCTTCTTGCCCTCGATCATGCTCCTTGGGGAGAGACAACCTCTCTTCGCCTACCTACTTACCCTCTAGTTCCCGCTAGCTTCGGACTGCTGCCACACGATACTATGCCGTACACCTCAGGAGCTTTGATCATTGCTTGGTCATATTTCCCCTGATTCTACCCTGGAGTTACTCAGGATATTTGAGCTCGCAAGAGCTATTCTGTGATAGCTCACTGGTCGAAATGAAGAGCATGGTCTCGCGTGGTAGACACCGCCTCTTCGGGGTGGTTGGGGAGGGGGAACTAAACCTGCATGGTGGCGACAAGCATTACTCTGCACCAAATGGGTGTCGTGATTCCTTCCCAAACATGACTCTCCACTACGGACTTTCGCCCGCCTGGCGCCATCAGGCGTCCAGAACAAGGCCAGTAGCAGCAGTAGCTGACGCCATATACGCTATTGCTTGTCCTTTCCCTTTGCCTTCCATCTCTTTCCCCCGCCACCCGAAGCATTCCTTTTCAGAATGTGTTCGCTCACCATTTCGATTGCCCTTTCCCTTTCCCTTTCCCTTTCCCTTTCGCCGTTGCCGCCCCTCTTCCTGTGGAAGCAGGATGCATACGGGACTCCAAAGGGGGGGAAAAAAAAAGAGCAAATATCCTAACTAATCAGCTCGAAGTGTTCCGGGTAGCTGCATTATATATTTTGCAGCCTGCCTTAGTGATTATAGCCTGCTCCTTCCCAACCTCGCATTAAGTGTCCAATATATAGCAGTTGAGTTCCCCTTCGATAACCAAAAGACAGATCCAACCATCCTATGCCTTTCCCCTTCCGTTTTCGACACACTACACCGAAAGCAAACTTCCAAAATGTGTTATAGATCCAGTTCTCCTGCAAATTCATCTTCGTCCAGCTCCCTGTCCCTTGAGTATTTTTCTTCGCGTTTCCTAGCCAGTCTTTCCGCCTCGGAGTCACGGCCCTCCTCATCTTCCTCGTCCTCTTCTTTGAGCGGCTGCTGCAAAGACGTCGATCCAGCTTTGCTGTTCTTCTTCCTGCCTGCGCTTTCGTTCTGCGCCTTCTCCCTCTCCGCCATACGCCGCGCAAAGTTCAGCGCCATGAACGACTCGCCCAGGCTGGTCCCCCGCAGCACACTTCCATAGCTGTTCGACACGCTTTCGCTGCTGAATCCTCCCACTGGCAGAGGTACCTCGACAGCGCTGAGGGACGTCTCGTCTGGTCTCATGTGGCTTGGTGGCGGGCGGGAGCGAGTTGGATAGAAAATACCGGTGTTGTTGGCGTCGACAAAGCTACTTGACAAGAGAGAGGTGGACGCATTTGGAGAAGCGGGCTGGTAAGCAGGCCCAATGCTGCGGGCAGAGGAGGCGCCAATCTCAGGCGCCGTGGACGAGAGAGCTGTTGTCGTGGGCGCTCGTACAGGAGTGTATGTGGGTAAGCCGGTGATCGACTGCGTCTTGGACTTCTTCTTCTTCTTCTTCTTCGGCTCCTTCGGCGCCGACTTGGCCTCCTCGGTGAGTGATGACCTCCTCCCTAGGCTTGCAGATGGACGTTGAGGGATCTCTTCCTTGTTGAAATTGATGGGACTCTCGGCGTAGTTTGGTTTGCTCTGGGGAGGAGACTGCTGTTTCTTTGGGCCTGAACTGTCGATGGAAACTTCTTCACCAGCAGCTTGCGCTCTTGATTTTCCCTTTTCGGGAGACACGGATGCTGGTGTATCAATCTGATTGTGAACGGTCGTTTCTTGCGCACGGTGGTGATCCTGGCTGGCCGATGCTGACATCAAATCTTCGGTAGGAATCTCCTCGGTGTAGACCCTCTCGGGCTCCGATTTCCACCGGTCTGCTTCCTCAATTTCCCTTTGAATTGCTCGAAGCGTCTCTTCGGACAGCGATGACTCGGCGCTGGACTCGATAGAGCTCAAAGGCCGATCATCCGGCGGCGATTGTGTGGGGGTTACAATCCTGGGACCCAGGCTCAGACGGACGGCCTTACGGGCGCTTCCCGGGCGTTCTCCATTGGACTGCTTGAGCGAGGAGCGGCGCGGAGCCGGGCTGTGCTTGAGGACGGGCGGCATGGTGGAGGAGCGCACGAGTTCGGAGCGAGGATCTCTGGCAGGTCTGATGTTGGCTCCGTTGGCAGCAGGGGCGGAGCTGCTCAGCTGGTCCTGGTCCTCGAGCAAGGGCAAAAAGCCGGGCAGCAGCTGCAGGATTTCCGAGTCTCTTTCACGGACGCTGCCCAGAGAGGCCGGGTGGGCGGCAACGTCGGGCACGCTGGAATGCCTAGGCTCGGAGTGTGCGACCTCTTCGGACACGGCCTCGGCCCGTTTGCGCGCGTCTTCTTCGCGCTGCTTTGTGAACCACTTGGCCTCGTTGTCGTCGTCCATGAGATGCGGGGCGGGGGTCTGGTCGTCGCACACGTCGGCCATTGCCTGCTCCTGGTCGCGGTCGTGCTGGGCCTGGCGGCGCTTCTGGCGGTCGTCGGCGCGCAGGTCGTAGCGACGGTTCTTTTCGGCGACATAGTCGTTGAATTGCCCCTGTTTCTTCGCAATGTAGCGGGTGACCTTTGCGTCGAGCTCCTGGCGCTTCTGCTCGAGGCTCTGCAGCAATGCGTCGTCGAACTCGGGGGGGTCGCGATGGCGGATCCACGAGGTGTCAGGCATATGCAGGTAGCGGTAGGCGTTGTGGTACGGGTCGTAGACGTGCTCGGGCGGCGACGGGGGGCGCTGGGGGGCGGCGGCCATTGTGCTCGTCGCAGGCGGGAGTCAAGGCCGGATGGCGGGTGACATCAGCGCTGGGCGGGCGGAGGGAGAGGCACGGAGGGCTCGTCCAGCGGCTGGAGCTGGGGCGCAGGCAGCTTGGGGAGGGAGGATCGGGCTGGGGCGTGGTGCGAAGATCGCGTGGAGTTTGGTGTGAAGATCTCGAGGGGCAATGTTCCAGGCGGGCGCGCGCACGAGGCGGTCAACGGCGCGGGTCTTGCGGTGGGACGGCGTCAGGGAGGGAGCATATCAGCAGCGTGGGCGCGGCGGCATGTGCTCTCGAGGCCGCAGGCGAGACGAAGCGAAGCTGGGCCCGCCCTGGCATGGCGGCCGGCGCCCACCAGCCTCTCCGTCTTCGGCCATGGCGTGGTAAGGCTGAGAGGAGTTTTGCGCTGCTTTGTGCCGCCGTCGTTTGGATCAGCGCTCGCGACGGCCGGCCAGCCCGGCCAGCCCAACCAGCTCTAATAATAAGCGAGCTCCAGCTGAAGTCAACGGGTCAACGGCCCACGCCTGGCATGCCTGGTGCCTGGACCGATCCGACCGCGACCCCACGCCCTCGCGCCCTCGCGCCCTCGCGCCCTGTGACCCAACACCACCGGCCATTCGGCCCTGCGCCGAGCCTCATCACCTTTGGCCCCGCTGTGCGCGCTGCTTCGCGGCTTCGCGGCTTCGCGGCTTCCCGGCCTCACGGCTTCTCAGGCCCACAGCCGACCACTCGCCGCTGCCCGTTGACGCTACTCTGCGCGCCGCCGTGATAGCGCGACGGCGTTTGATACGCCTGCTGACGGCGCCGTCGCCGGTACGCTAGGCAGCCTAGCCGTCCGCCGCGGCTACCTACCTATCCTTCATCAGCACTACTACTCTCGTCGCCATGACTGATGACTGATGGCTGTCGTTCATCACATGCACGCCATCCTTCCTGTCAGACCCGGCCCGTCGCCTGCCTTCTTTTCTCCAAAGCTTATCACGTCGTTGATAGTCGATGCATGCCAGGCCTGCAGCACCTTGGCAATATGATTGTTCCGTGTGGCTGCAGATGCTTCTGGCTTGCCTGCCCACGTGTCGTCGGCCACGTGCAGCGCTCTGCATATCGCCCAGCTCCACGGAGACGCCAGAAAGGGCCAAGCGTCGGTTTGCTGGTCTGATCTGGTAGCTTCTAATTTATTTGCCCTGATTGAAAATTGTGGGATACGCATGGCGCAGTCATCTACCAGTCTCGCGAGAATACCGTCCTCAAATGGCAATGATCAACACTACACAGTGAGCAAGGAGCCGGCGTGCCGGTACCTGGTGAACATCGAGGCTTGCAACGCATCGCTTTCCACATTGTACGGCTCGGTGTGTCGAGTGACATGCTTTCACTGGATGCAAGAACAAGCTTCCAAAGCCAAAAATAGGGCAGCATTGGATGCCGCATGTAAATCCTGGCCACAACTTCTTACACCACCTTCAGCCCCCAGGACCTTGACACGAAAGCCAAATCGAATGCCATGCACCGCTCCGCGTCCAGTAATATCGCTCGCCCATTGGAATGCAGTCGCACAGGCGGCAAGGCGGCTATGCAGGGGCAGCAATCCGCCACACAACCTGCTCCGTCACACCATTACTCCGATCTAGCCGTATGCCGAGAAGCGATTCTCTGCAAAGCCTACCGTTTCGGTTGAGTGGTGTCAAACGTACGGGTACCAGCATGCGCTGTGACCGAGGACGCGTTGTTGCCCGGTTTCTTCGAAGCACTGCCTGCGAAGGATTCAAACCAGTATTATCCATTCCCCGGCTATTTGCTATATAGTCCTGCAGACATCCTCCATACCATCCAATTTCCCTCCTGTCAAGTGCAACCTGGCCCCTCCCACTCTGCCACTCTAAACACCAGAGAAAACATCCACACGCCGTCCACTCGTGACCGGGCACAGAAGATCCCCATCAACCACCGCTTCCTCCCAGAATGGCGCTACTGGTCATCAACGGCGTCGCCCGAACGTTCCAGATTATCTGTGCCGCCGTTGTCCTTGGCCTCTCAATTACCCTCATCAAAAGCCAAAGTTACGGCACCGTTGCAGCCAACAACTATGCCGCATTCACGGGTGGTTTCGCCTTGCTCGTCGGTCTTATAGGAGTCGCCGCCATCTTCATCGAGTCCCTGGCTGGTCTCATCATGGTCGCTGCCGACGCTCTAGCTGCCCTGTTCCTCCTCGCCGGTGGCATCGTAAGCTCTTCACCCTTCCTCCGAGAAAACCCAACCCCAAGTTTGTCATTCACCCCCGGCCTCCACCAGAGATAATATACAAGAGAGCAAGAAAATGGCAATAATGGCTGACAAAGTTCACAGGCCGTCGCCGTCAAGCTGCGTCATCTCTCATGCAGCTCCAAGTCCGACGAGAATAGATACAGGCTCGGCAAAAACGAGTTGACCAACGGCGGTTGCATCAAGGACAACAAGGGCAGGCTGCAAGACTGCGGCGCCCACTCGGTTGGCAGCGCGCTCGATCGCTGCGTCAAGAACAGCGCGGATGCGGCATTCATGATCATTACCGCCGTCCTTTGCATGGGCACGCTTGTCATCGCTCTGCTAGCAATGAAACGAGGAGGTGGCATCGGGAGGAAGGGTGTTGTCGTCTAGGACAGAGAAGAGATGGGGGTATGTATGGATTGCTGACCCGGAGGGAGGGAAGCGATCGGTCGGACGAGGCTCCTTGCTCGCCGGTCGAGAAAGGGTTTGCGCATGAGTAGCACACAAAGGACGTGCTATAACGGGAGGACGCATAATTGCTGATAAAAACGGAGGATACCCTATGGTAACCACGGTTTGGTGATTCACTCCTCGAGGATCTCGTCATGATTCTTCCAAAGTCATTATTTTTTCCTTTCATGATGCTGCAAGCGTGCTTTAGTGCTTGACAAGAGGGAAATCACTGCTGACTTATACGACGGTTCAACGATTTAAAGGATCCTTCACTACTGATTGAGAGGGCTTGGACCAATTGGCCTGTTGTACTCGAGTATCCTATTTCAGCATTCCTCCGACCCTCTGCGTAAATTCCGGTTAGTGTCATTCACGTCCAAAAAGGCTTTCGAGGATTGTAGCAATATATAGTGAATGCATAATTCACGAAGATGGAGAAGAAGGCGCGGGAGACGTCTTGGTCTGCGTAACTAAAAAGGCTACAGTCTGTACTTCGATGGTGACCGTAAGTAGAGGTGTTTTGAAGGATATAGGGTGTTTTTGAGCGGTAAGGAGAGGAGTGGCTTTCCAAGCATGGAATAGACCGAGGGGAATTAGGAGGGCATGCAATGTGAACTAACTTCTGCGGTGTAATCTTATTATGCAGGTATGGCTCTGTGACCTGATTGATGGGGGTTCCACCGCAATGACAATAAGCGTGAGGGCTGATCTCAAGCACTTAGATGGCTGGGCTTCCAACGCTGCTGGCTATTCATTTTACAATCGCACGTTGCCGCTATGAATTCTCTATTCATGGTTACATAATGACTCTTGCATGGGTTTCTACGGGCACAATGTATCCAAAATTAGCATGGGGGAGTCAGTTGTTGGCGGTGCTGAGGTTTTGAGCCAGCGTGGACTATCTCGTCGAAAAGCTTTCAACGACTGCCTAAGCCCTACGAGACTTTAATTCCGTAAGACCTATAACTCTACATCATCCCACTCTAGCACTATCGGAAGCTGACATTTCGTTAAAACGTAGGGTTATGGTCTACTATTTAGCTTAAAAAGATAACCACGCCTGGAATGTGGTGAATATGTTAGTGCTATCGCTCTTCCTATTTTACTCTTCTATACGATTATAGAGTTACATATTAAGCCTTATTTTGTAGAAGTAGAAGTAAAAGTCTAAATCTAGATGTGCTTTTTCTTTGAACCTTCCTACGTCACCAATTAGTAAAGCATGGTAGCCCGACTTCGGATAATACAAGTCTGCCGGGAGGCAGCTATAATGGCCTAACCTGAGCCTCCTGACTACCTGTCTCGTTTGCATTTGAAAAAAAGAAAAAAAAGAAACGTTTGAAAATGATACAGACTGTATCATTTCAGCATCTGCCGCAAGTTATCGTTGGTGATTGGGGGCAAATTCAATCATCATTAGAGGCTCGGCACAGTTACCCCAACGACCCGCTCCGAATCGTTTCTTCAACGCTTTGGTGCAACAAATCAAACTTACACGGCATGCACATGTCGCCAGCCGATGTGAGCCTACGGATGATTGAATTGAGGGAAGTTCATGGCATCGGAAGATAAACAAAGGACTGAGCTAAGTCGGGTGGCTAGGGAAGAGCCCGAAATGTAGAGATAAAGGAAAGGACGGCGGGGCCAAATGGAGTGAGGCTTGCCGTGTGACCGATGCCACATGTTTCGCCGTCAGTGGTCGTAGCCATTTCAGCTGGGTTTTCGTGCATTCACGGAGAGACAGAACGGATTGTCCCGTGCTGACTATTGAGGAGTAGATGTGGTTGATCCTTTCTTACTTTTTCGGACAAGGTTGCCGTTGACTGCTTGGCACTAAGCGGAGCATTCTCCGGTGTGGCGAAAGGGCTAGGATCAGGCTGCTCTTGTATAATACGACAGGTGAGAGATGGCTGGCGGGGCATGTTAAAAAGGGAAGGTGATCCGCTGAAATGTGGTGACATGGGCAATGGTGGGGACGAGACACCGGTTGCGGTGCTGGGGGTAGATGAGTTGCTCCACGCCTCCACGCAGTTGCCCAAAGGCTTTCGGCGACAGCGCCGAGTTGCTCATAAAGCTTGGCGTTGGTATGCCACATAAGACTGTAGGAAACTGCAACATGTGGTACGCCTTGCAGCTCGGGATGCACGCCTCACGCATTACGCTAAGCCGTCAATATCGCACGACCTTCATTTTTGATCTCGGCCTGTCCATCATGATCATCATAAGGCCTTGGTTGGAATGCGGGAACCAAAAGGCTGTGGTATAGAAGGCGTTGTTGATGTAGGATTTTTCGGGCGGTGGGTCACAAAGTCGACTGAGGTCCATCTCATAACGATTTTGACAGCTTCTGCGGGACGCCCACTCCTCCCCCGCCTGTTGGCGCGGCTCCGCCCTTAGTCTCCACTAGCGGTTACAGCTTCCTAGTCTGTTTCCAAGGCCGACGTAGGAAGGTGCAGCCGGCATACGAAACGAGATAGTTGTTGATGCGTGCTTAGGTCCAGCGGGGGATTTGGGTACCGATGCGTTTCGCAGGATTTCTGAAGAGCCATCGGATGCAGGATAGACAGCCACGGAGCCGCTCCGATCGATAGAAGCCAAGCCCGCCATGACTGCGAGTCTGTCGACAGATGCTCGTCTCTCTGCTGGCAGAAACGGCAAGGAAAAAAGGTCAGGTAGTCGGCTGCATTATCGATGCCTACCTAGGCCACACCACGTCACGTAGTAACGTAGTCAGTGGGCTTGAGACCGATCGAGACAGGCGGAATCGAGCCGTATTCGGCGGTCAAATGGCGGCTACTGCAGAGCTAGTACAGTGAAAAATCCCCAAAGCACAGGATAGAGCGACAAGCACGCGTCATTGATTAATGGCGCGGAAAATTACCTGCTCTACAGCACGCTTGCGTGGGGTTAGTGGGCGTCGGCGGGGTGGCAGGATCGACGGCGGACATGTCGAGTGCAGAGAAATGATCCCGACCAGTTCGCTGCTGTTATTCCCATAGGCATCGGCAACAGTGCTTGCAGCAGGATCAAGGGCTATCCGATGAGCGGGGGGACGGCTCCAATCACAAGGCCATGCTCCTCGCATTCGGAGCCCAAGACCCCGGTCGAGCGTGTCGTCCGATGCAAAAAGCAAGGGCGGCTGCCGTCGTCCAATGGGTCGGGTACACATATGTATGTCGGCTGGCAGGACAAGCTCATCTGGGAGCCGCCTTCGGGCTTCCTGCTACCGAGAATCTGCGCCCGGGCTGGCTCCTCCAGGCCTGCTCGCGCCTCGTTTTCGTCGTATCGTGTGCTCCACTCCAGCTTGGGGGTTCATGCGCTTTGGGGGAAGCTTGTGGTTGCATGAATCCGCGGTTAAATCCGCCAGCTCGAGCTGGTGGCTTGCGGGCTGTGGCGTGCGGGCTGCGGCGTGCGGGCTGCGCAGCCACGGGAGATGGGCGGGCGGGTAGTCGGACGTCGAGCTAGTAGGTAGGCTGGCTGGTTTGCAGCTGTGCTGATGTTGTGAGGCGGACGGCGGAGGTGGGCGACTGGGGCGACTGGGGCAGCGGCAGAACCGCCGCAGGCAGGCGGCAGACGGCAGGCGGCAGGCGGCAGGCGGCAGGCGCAGATCACGGGACGCGGCAGCTGGACGGGAAGGCGGTCAGCGGGCGGCGGGCGGCGGAGCGGTCGGGCCGAGGGCGTTGTCGCACAATGATGGACCCGACCTGCCGTCTTGTTCACGTCCGCATTCTTTTACATCCAGCTCCACGTCTGTTTCGATCCGCGAGTGCCTCGCCCTGCGGTGGGCCCGGCCCACGTCATGGCAACAAGGCGCGGTGCGCGTCGATCCGCTCCACGGCCGACCCTGCGCAAAATAGACTCACTTCACATGAAACGAGCAGGTGGCGGCGCTGATCCGTCGTCCGGCCCCCTGACCACACGAGCGCACAGGAGACGGGGTGGTCAACGCGACAATTCCCTTGAGACAGCGTGGGCCACCAGTGAGACACGTATTTGCCAGTGATCCCCCCGTCGCGCGGCCAGGGCGCCAGCCCAACACGAAGCGCCGTGGCCCAATATAAGACTCGCCTCCCACCTCGCCCCGGTCTAAAACACCCTTCTTGTACCCCGCATTGTTTGTTTCTTCACCTCTCGCCATTCCTTCACCCCGATAGCCGATCCACGCTCTTTCCGTCTGCTGCTCGCCGCCATGCATATTTCTTCCGCCACCACCTTCGCGGCCCTGATCCTCGCCGCCAACGCCGCCCCGGCCCAGCTGCCTACCCACAAGACGTCCTCGTCTGGCGTCGTCCAACTCAGCGGCAGCCGTGTCCAGGAGCGCTCGCCCTTCGACTGGGGCGACGTTGCCAAGCCCTTCGAGAAGGTCGGCAACTTCCTCACCGGTAAGAGCGGCGACGACGAGAGCTCCAACGAGAAGCGCTCGCCCCTCGACTGGGACGATGTGAAGAAGCCCTTTGAGAAAGTCGGCGACGCCATCACCGGCAACACCGAGAAGCGTGAGGCCGCGCCCTTCGGCTGGGACGATTTCAAGAAGCCGTTCGAGAAGGTTGGTGACGCCATGACCGGCAACACCAAGGACGAGAAGCGCGAGGCGGCGCCCCTCGACTGGGACGATGTGAAGAAGCCGTTTGAGAAGGTCGGCGATGCCATCACCGGCAACTCGGAGAAGCGTGAGGCGGCGCCCCTCGACTGGGACGATGTGAAGAAGCCGTTTGAGAAGGTCGGCGATGCCATCACCGGCAATTCGGAGAAGCGTGAGGCGGCGCCCCTCGACTGGGACGATGTGAAGAAGCCGTTCGAGAAGGTCGGCGACGCCATCACGGGCAACACCAAGGACGAGAAGCGCGACGTCGACCAGCTCATCAAGAGCAACCCTCTCTATGACACGGACGTCGAGGACCTCGTTGAGGGCGACGACTAGGCGTCGACAGCCTATCCGGCACGCAATGCAGACGAGGGCACCGGCAACTGAACGAGAATCGTGCAGGCAGGCACCGGCCACGAGAACGGGCGAGAGAAAGCGCATCTTTTCCAACCAATTCCGCTGTCCATATATTTCCTTGTCTTTTTCCTTTCAACATCCAGTCAGCTAGAATGCCAGTAGAGCACCGAGACAATTGAGTACAGGACTGAAGAGAACCCAAACCTTGCTCCTTTCTTCTTCATCAAGTTCGGCCCTGAGTGAGCCGGCATTGCCCGCCTGCAAGTGATGGCTTCGTGGCGGTGCTGCTAGGAAATTTGGAGGCGCTGGAGGCGTGTGCGCCGGCCGGCGTATGCATGTCATTTGTCCGCACAACGTCCGTCCCGCCGCGTGTGCTCGACTACGGCACGCATGGTGGTGGCTCAGCGGCGGATCAGGCCGGGCTGTCGCGCTTGCGGCTCCGTCTGAGTCGCCATCCACCGGCGCCGGCAGCAACCCCCACTCCGTCCTCGACCTAGGTGGCAGCCCGCACCGACATTCCGGCGCCGCGCTCCGGCGTAGTATAGGTGGCTGGCCGGCCGGGATTGGCGCAGCGGAGCCCACGGCGGCCAAGCTCCCCGCAAGCACGCTCCACGCTCCGGCAGTCTCACGCTCTGGGCGGTCGAGTGGCGAGAGAGTGAGGATGCCGATCTGGCTCGCAAGTGGACTGATGGGAGGTGAGTTATTGCCGGCCGGTATCCTTGCACGGCGGCGGACGGCGGCTTGTGAGTGGGCGGGCAGGCGGCACGACCCAGCGAGCGCGCGAGAAAGCCTTTTCCGGTCCATGTGGCCCATGCCAGGTCTCTGGGGGAAGGGAGCAGCATGTCTGGCCGTCGAGCCTGGCCCAGCGCTGCGGCGCGCTGCCCGTGCTGCTCGCGCTGCTCGCGCTGCTTGCGCTGCTCGCGCTGCTCCCGAACCCGAGACGCCCACGCCCGCCGCGGATCGCCAGTCAGCGGGACCGGCGCCACTGCCGTCGATGCTAGAGGCGTGTTTGCTGGCTGGCGGCGGGCAAGACGGCGCTCGCTTACAGCCCTTTCGTCTGCGGGAAGCTGCTTCGGGCAGGCCCCGAGCCACGCGCCGGCGGAGGGGTGATTCGGCCACAGCTGGCGCCCAGAGGTTGACGGCAGATCCCCATCGAACGCGCCAGGGCCCTGGGCGGACGCGCCAGTGGAAGGGTTCCAGAGCCCGCCTCGTTGCCGCAGCTTAACCTTGTCCAAGGATCCTAGTGTCGCAACAGCAAGGATCAGCATGGCTGCTCTGCTCGGCCGTCGACTGACGGAGGCAGCAACTTTCTCTCACGGCTTCCCTGGCTGATCAGGCCGATGAGCTGGCTGCCGTCCCCGCACTTTCCCGCCCCAGCCGGCCGTGGCCAGCTGGGACTTTCGGTATTTGAGGCCCTCGGGCTTCGCCTCGCTGCCTGCCCGAGCCCGCTGCTCCGCCCTGTGCCGGATAGCTTCCTCGCAACCGACCCGGGCCCTTGACCGGCCAACATGGTGCGGCTCGCCGTGAGCAGATCCAAAGCCGACTTCCTCCAGAGCCTGGGCCTGTCCAACGACCGCCCGGGCGACCGCCAGGCATACATGGCCATCAAGGTGAGGAGAGAGAGAAAGAGAGAGACAGAGAGACAGAGATAGAGACAGAAGGGGAGGGGGAAAGAGGGACAGAGGTGTGTGCTAACCTCCCGGCCAGCGCGAGGCCATGGAAGGCCGTGCCCGGCTGTATCAGCGGCGCGAGAACCTGGTGCCCCAGTGCCGGGACGACATGACGGTGCAACCTCCCTTCTCTTCCAGCCAGATTACCGAGACAGCTATGCACCGCGAGGTTCTCTGCATCTACAGCCTGGCCAGCCCGACCACACGGCCGTACTACCTGCTTGGCCGCTTCCTGGATGGCGAGAATGAGGACAACTGGGTCATCCGTTGGATGTTGTGGAACGCTTTCCGGTACGGCATGAACAAGAAGCGCAATCCAGGTACTGCTGCCGCCACTCTTCCTGCCCCGGACCCAGCATTGACAGCGTAGACTCCGACGACTTCAACGAAGTTTCTCCTCTTGAAAACGAATCGCCTGTCGCTCTGCCGAGCGCGTCCGATCCCGAGAGACGAACAGGTACGCTTGCGGTCTTTGGTCCCCTCAAAGCCCTGTTGTCTTCTCCACAAGATACCGTGCGTACTAAAGACGACCCAGTTCCTTACGATCCTGTGAGGGATGCATAACGGCCGCCCACCCTGTTGATGTCTTTCCTTGGGCCCGTTGGAAACAAACATAGATGCGGGGCTCCATGTCCACCTATGGGTTGGCTTCCTTGCTTTTGATAACGCGTTCACGGCCGAGTCTGTTGCTTCTGGAGTTATTCGTGCGGGTTGAAATGATAGACTGCAATGTCGAACAAACCTCTTGGCAGATGCCACCAGCATCCTCGCCCCTCCCACGAGTGGCAGTCCGAGTGAAACGGTCGAAGTGACGATGCGGATCAGTCGAGATCCGCAAGCGCGAACGCGGCCCGAGCTCCGCATCGCGCGCTGTGTGGACGGTGCTGCCAGCCTAGGAGACGATGATCCGATAGAAGCCCCCCCCTAGTATGTATATCCCCCCTCCTCTTGAGAACAAGGCCTCTCCGGCCGCACTGAACAGCATCGGCGCCGGGTGCTGTGCTCGTGGCGTTTGACGCCGAAGCGAGGAAGAGGAACCACACTCAATGGAAGTCCGTTCGCGGTGTTTCTGGGGGCGATCGACTATGTGAGCAGCGCTCCATCCTGCCCCTCCAAATGGCGCAGACCGCTCGTTGACAGCCTGGGTCCTTGCTGATATTGGTTCACAGGAGATATAGCTTCGTCCTCCTGGTCGACGGAAGAGGCAGGTTTCTGTGGGCAGTTCAACGACGCCACTCGCGTCTGGACTTAGCGAGCCGTTAGAGTCATACCAGAGTATTTCAGTCTCCGACAAGAGAATTGAGCTTGACCGTGTCTCGGTAAGCCCGGTGCCTGTTGCTGTAGGACCATGCGATTGAAGACATTTTGGAGCCAGGCACGGCTCTGCCTCGACGTCGCACTTGACAGGCGTCTCCGCGCCACCTCCGCTCCTGGGTCGGACCTTCCTCCGGTCGGCACGTGTCGGGTACCTACGCTCCGACGGTCGTGATCCGGACTACGTTGATGTCAAGAGCCCGACTCATCCGTATGCGGATATGTTCTCAGTTCCAGCCCTTGGCAAGATAGTCTTCCGTGGCTATGCAAATGTTCTCCTGCTGCATGTCAACGGCCACCACGGGGAGCAAACTGGGGCAAATTTGATACTTGAAAGGATATGGAGAGACCAACGAGGTGACAAGTACGGGATGCGGAGAGTAAAAGCCGCTGGAGGCGATCCGTAGTGAAGGATCGTCGGAGCGGGATACAAGAGATGGGGGGGAACCGATTGGCTGGAAATGTCCGTACATGGGTAAGAAACAAGGCCACGAACTGTCACCCGCGGTATGCACACTGCTTACATACGTCACTCAAACCCCTTCTTTACCCGATCATCAACGAGTGGCGGTAATTGTTCCGCAAGGCCTGTCCTTGAACGACCTTGTCAACCATGGCCATCGGTGCGATCATGTCTTTTAGCTGATTCCAAATGAACGGCTGCGGTGCATGATCCACGTCTAGGATTCGTTCTTGAGAATGCCCCATATTGTCACAATAGCCGCAGCTTCGATGTCAAGCGGATTCACCGTGGTTTGGACCAATCGGCGGGGGCAAATGAATCCAAGGCCGAGAGTATCACCCATGCTTGAATCCAGACGGGTGAAAGAAAGCCAGTTCGTTCTTTTGATGGTGTCAGGTAATCGTACATGCTAAAGAGGTTTTTCGTCCGTAATCCCGCAACGCCGCTGCTGCTCGTGCTTGTTCCATTGCCCCCCCCCCATTTCTCTTTTGCACGAATTATCTTAACTGGATGACCGAAAGAAAGGAATGGAGATAGTAGAGAACCACCCTCAGCTCAACTTCTGATAAAGGTGGAATATTACGTTTTATCCACGGCTTCAGCTCAACTGCAATCAGTAGGGAGTGTGAGTATTTTTTCCCCCTCTACCGGTTTACGGCGGTAAAGCCAACACCTCCAGGTTGAGCCTCTGCATCTTCGGAGTCCCGGGGGGCTGCATCGGCCTCTCCCATCTCTGTGTCCTGCTGCACAATCCTCCTTTCACCGTTTGCGTCCGATCTGATTTCCGGACCAGCACTGAGCACCTCGCCAGTAGCGCCTTGTGTACCAGGCGCAGACGCTGCCGCAAAGGGACGACCGTAATCGCCACTGGCAGCAGACGTGCTGTTCGCAGCACTGAGCGGCCTTTCCCGATCGTCTGGCCTGCTCTCACCAAAGTCTGGGTGCGGTAGTGGCAAGGTAGGTGCAGAACTGCCGGCAGTAGGAATAGCGGGCAGCTGAGCAGGCCCACTGTAGGGCGTAGATGACGGAGTCCCGTTGAGTCCTGTGGGTACTGACGTGTTGCCGTAAGGAATTGCCGAGTTCGGACGAACTGGATCAGGGGTTGATTGCGCTGACGACATAGCATGCAATGGGTGGACATGTGGCTGCTGTGTGGTGTTGCTGACAGATCCTGGGGAGTGATGGGGTGGTACGCTGCCGCTTTGGTGGCCTTCGAGCGGAGGTGTCTTTTGACGGCCAGTGCGCTTGCTACGCGTCGGCTTCTCTTGCGGCTGCGAGCATCTAATGTCAGGCTTGACAGAGCTTCCAAGCGAGGGAGAGAGTTGGTGGCGTACAGTTGGAGGAGGGCTGGTGCTGCGGTCCGAGTCGTCCACGTTGGGAGCCATTCTTTCCGCAAGTCGCTCCAGCAAGAATGCTCTTTCCAACCGCATTTTCAAGATGGCTCGGTCGAGGCGCACCTTGCGCAGCCGGGCCGCTTCATTGTTTGCCTCGATTTCGTTGAGACGGCGCTTGAGCGCAATGCACTTGCGGTAATACGCCGCCTCAACAGAGGGAGGCAGAGGTGTAGCATTATCTGCATTAGTGGTCAGTATACTGATCAACCGCAATCGAATAGTGACGGAAGCAGTGTCAATGAATATGATCAGGGATGAAGGGTGGGCCTCCCGTCGTGCGCGGCTGGATTCCTGGGGAGACGGCATAATCCAAAAGTCCTCTAGCATCCCATCGTGGTAATAGTTGTCTTGGTGGTTCATGGGCCACTATCTATCGACAACTTAAAGCCACAGGCCAAAGTCATGACCGGCGCCCAGGCAGGATCCTCGTGCGACATACAGTCGGCGCTCTCAGCTGACTGACCAGGGCGGAGGGTGCGCAATACCAGCGTGCAAGGGCCTGTACCAATGCTCTCCCTGATCGCACACGCTGATACGTGTTCTTCTACTGGCGCTTCACGGCCAGGCATCTATTGTCGTGCCGGGAGGAACTCGCCCCCTCTGGACCTCCAACATCCTCTCTGTTCTGATGTTTCGATCGCCGGGGATGGATTGGAGGTTGGAGCGGCGGGCGCTCAAGGCAAGCTCTCCAGAGCGGTGGCCAGGAGGAGGTAGGCCTTCGGATCCAAAGATTGGGTGCGTCCATGGGCCCAGGTGCGGTAGACGGGGTGAGATCGACAGCGCAAATGCAAAGACGAGGTAACGATGTGCAGCGATGGAGGGCAAGGAAGGGCTAGTACAAACCTGCAGGCGGCATTCTGTGTTGTTGTGACGCGCGAAGAAGCAAAGGATGATGGCGCACGATGCTGCGGCTGCGGCGACGGTCGAAGGAGGTTGAGTGGGCGAGGGCGCGGAGGTGAGGTTGGTGGTTGTTGAGCTGCGCAGGAGCTCCGGAGTCGTGGCGCGCAAGGCTCCGCCCGGGCAGCCGCACAAGCCAGATGGTCAAAGCGCCTGGGGTCGCGACGCGTCCGCCTCGAAACTCACCCGGCGATTCTGCACTCTCCCATATATATGCCCATCCCGCGGATCAAGTCAACGTCGTCATGGAACGAATCATATGAAACGCACGGCAAAAAACCTCGGAACAATGGTCTTGTACCGTCTATCAGGTTCTGACCAAGCCAAACATCGGTTGCCTATGAGCTCTGGCCCCAATGCTGACTCTAAACCAAATACCAATGTCAATGACGTTGGTGACCAGTGTACCCCAAATTCCCCTCACAGAAATCCAGGACTGGACTGTGGACCCCGTGCCTTCCATGCCCTCGTCTTCTTGGGTGTAGGAGCGTCGCATCTCAGAGACTCTGTACCCGTCTCAGGCTTCCGAACGCCTAGGTCACATTACATCTGTTCATACGAACATCAATTCAGCCACTCATTCTCTGCCTCAAACAAGAGCTGTGTGTGCGAGGACGTTGCAGAGACTGTGCCAATTTTGACATGCCATTAAACTTACCACGTCCCGCATCGCTTCCATCACACCCACGCATAGACTGAGACGGTGGTAGGTCGCTTACCGAGAGGATGTAGAGCTCAGTGAACTGGTTGGCCATCTGACGCTGCAGCCAAACTCGGTTGGGCAGAGTGACGGCTGCGATCGAGGAGCCCATGTTGGGGTAGTCGGCGCACTTCTCGCGCTCCGCCTCCGGAATCAGATCCAGACCGAAGATCTCGATTTGGCGGTGGCCACGCGGAATCTCCTTGTGCGACAGGCGGAGGGCCGGGTCTGGCGAAGGATCAGTCTGCGGGTTTTATGAACCATGATGTGAAGCTTGGGCCGGTGGGGAGCAGGACCGGCAGGGCGCGAAACTGGGGCGTGAGTCGAGATTCGACGTTGTGTTCGATGGCAGCAGTATGGTGAAGATGATCGGAAAGCAGGTTCTGTCGAGGTTTGACGTACCGGCTGCGACGGCGTCTTCAAGTTGCTCCCTCGTCATAATCAGGACAGACGGCTTCTCGAGGACGATGGAATGTATGTAAACGATGAGTTCCTGCTTGGGGCCCATCACGACGAAGGGTTTCTCGTTTTGGCGGAGGAGACTTTCAAAGTATTGGAATGTGTCCGGGTGAAGGAGCCTCTTTGCGATTTTCGCGTTGGAAGCAATGGCGGCGATAGATGGGTTGGAGAGGGAGGAAGTGAGTTTTTTTTTTTTTTTTTTTAATGGGAACCCATGGGGAAGCGTTAGGCGCTAGGATTGAAGTTGAGAGCGGGCCGCGGCGCTGCGTTCGACGTAGGTGTTGACTGGTACATGACAGTGGCGTTAGAGGCAAGAGATAAAGTAACACCCAAGTGAATGCGTGCCGGAAGAGGAAACGGCAACCCTTCGGGTGCGCCTTGCTTTCTGCTTCTGTGTTGGCATGCGAGCACGTTGGTTAAAAACGTAGCGCCCAGCAAGATCCACGGGAACCACGTGTGCTTCTTAGTTTCTTGGCTTCATGGCCTTCCTAGTGCCACGATTTTCCCTTCCTAATTGGGTATCCTCCAAGCTTCCGCCTTACTTTTGGCAGCCTTTAACCTGATCCGTGCTCGCCCTCCTTCATGACCCACAGAGCCAGCAAGACAGAGCTATTTTTCATCTCTTCCTTCTTCGATCACCAACCATATTTACTACCCGCCTCCTTTTTGTTTCTCTTCCCTGAGGCAAAATGCTCCTCCAAAGCATCTTTCTGAGTGGTGGCGTTGTTGATCAACTGCTTCAGAGAGTGCTTGCCAGGCGCAATGGACCTGACCGGGTTGTGTTGGACTGTCTCGCCGGCGGCTCTCAACTGCTCATTGTGAGCATATTCTTGGTCGGTATTAAAGTTGGCAACGCTTATGGCAGAAAGATCATGGCCGCCCTTTCCGCGCTGTCGGCCGAACAGCTGGCGCCGTTGGGCTTCAGTGAGGTTGAGATCGGAGGCGATAGTTTCCAAGGATTGTGGCCCAGCCGATCGATCAACGGATTGGCCGGCTGACTGACCCGGAGTCGTGGTCTCTGAGCCATCTGCATATTCTACCTTACTGGTCTGTTGTGATGTATAGAGCAAGGGCTGGTATTCTCCTCCCGACGCACTAGGAACCGGGCTTGACTCCTCCTGGGATATGGAAAAAAGGGAAACCTTGGGCTTTGGCTTGGGAGCAGACGCAGTCGGAGCAGCAGCCCTCTCTGCTTGCGGAGCAGATGCCGCTTGCCCTGCAGGCTTCGGCGCCTTTGGCATGGGCGGCAGCGTCGACACTGCCTTCTTCTTTTTCTTGGCATTATTCGAAACGGACAGAGGCTTGAACATCATCGGCTTCCCGACCAATTTGACCTCTTCGGTAGGCTTTGGTTCGTCGGCAGGAGCCTCGGGCCCATACGCATCTTCATCGCCGTCGTCCTGCTTGCTATCGTCATTCTGCGCCACCTCCTCCACCGGCTCTCGACTGAAGCCAGGGGCTGCACTTGTCTTCAGGGAAACACCTTTGCGCAAGCCTTGGTTCTTTGCCGCACCTGCACCCGCGCCGCCCGACTTCTTGGGGGCAGGCAGGAAGGAGTTGAAGCCACTGAAAGCGCCGCCGGCGGTGCGCGCTCTCTTGGCAGGAGGTTCGTCGGCGGAGGGCTGGGCATCGGCAGGGCCTGAGGCTGCGGCGGAAGGCAGATTTACACGGATCTTGCCTGGGTTGGAGCGGTCGACGACTTTTTGAAAGGCCGGCTTCGATGTGGCGGACGAGGCTGTGGCGGACGAGGCTGTGGCGGCCGAGGCTGTGGCGGGCTTGGGGGCGGGCGGGGTGTCGTTGTCGGAGCCCTCGGAGTCAGAATAGTCGACGAGGCCCATGGTGCAGGCTTGCGACGGCGGGCGAGGCGGTGGCAGTTCGGGAGAGGGTTTGGAGGAGAGAGCGAGCGTGCATCTCTAGAAGGAATCCAAGCTCCCACGGGCTAGGTGCGGGCTAGGTAGCGCACCCGCGTCGCGCGTGTCGCCCCTCCGCATCCGCGCCCGACACCACCGCCGAACCGCTCCGCTCCGCTCCACGCCACTTGCCCCCGCTCTTTCTGCTGTGCTGTGCTGGGGATATGCTGCTGTCTCCAGCCTGCCTGTTCTTTCTTTAGCACCATGTCGCTTCTCCAGAATGAAGAGTGAGTCCGTATTGCCGTCCGCCTCCGCCGAGAGCAGGCCGACTGCAGCTGCGGGAAAGGCCGCTCTCCGCCTCCCACTGTCTGTCGGCGCGCGATTTGCTAATCGCGATGCCTAGTTTCGTTCTCTACCAGCTCCGCACCGCCTACCTTTCCAACATCAAGGACGGCGTTGGCGAGCGTCTCATCTCGGTCAACACCTCTGTTTTGAACAATCCCGCCTTCCGCGCCTCCGGCTGGCTGCCCAACACCTCTGATATCAAGCGCACCTATTCGCCGCCCATACCTACTGCCATTGCCTCGGAATATTTCCAAGCTCCGCGCTCTGCCGGCCTCACTGGCCCCGGCTTCGGTGATGACGATGACGAGGGCGGCATGGTTACCGGCCGGGGAGAGAGTAACGAGACCGTTGGACCCATGCCCTTGACGAGACGGCGACGGAGGAAGGAACAGCTGGAAGAGGAGGACAGCAGTGACCTAAGCGACGACAGTGACGACGACGTGGATGGACAGAGAGGGGCCCAGCAGATCAAGTTCACCAAAATGCCGGTCCGGTCGCGCGCTGGTTCGTCGCCTATACAGAAGACCAGGCTGGCTGATGCCCCCGAGCTCATCATGGTCACATCTCCATCCAGACCTCCGGAGACCAGCAGCGTGCGCAGAGGCTCTTTGAGCGCTCTTGATACTGTCCAGGAAAGGCCCCGGAGAGACACCGTCACAAGCAGTGAAATGTCCTCGGAGAACGAGCTCGACCCATCCTTTTTCAAAAGGAAGCAGATCAGCTCGCTCCAGAGGAGATCCAAGCTGCTTTCAGAAAAGATTCAAGAGGATGACGAAGACGAAACCGAGGACAGCGATCTCGACTCAGACTTCGCCGGCACGGCCGATTCGAACTCTTTGCTTGGAGTGGGAGCCGATGCATTGGACTCTACACCGCCTCCCAAGCAGATTCAAAATATACCGCCGGCCATCACTCCTCACAACTCGTCACCGAATAAGCGGACGAAGCAGCAGCAAGCGCAGACAGTCCTCCCGACCTTGCCGCCAGCGCGCCCAATCAGCGTGGTGCAACCGGTCAGCGCCCTCACACAGGCACTCAAGGCCAAGTCGAGTAAACCTGCAGATCCGGTGCAGAGGTTCGGTATCTTGTTGGGGCAGACCGAGTCAAGTCCTTTGTACATCAAGATTTACGCACCATTTTCTACCAAGCCGACCAAGCCGTTTGAATTGTTACTTCGCAAGACAGTTGATGAAGGCACAAAGGTGATAGTTGCCGAAGCTATCGGTTGTGCCCTCTTCAAGTACCAGGAGAATGGGTTGGAGCCACCGATCCCGATGGAGAAGAAGAACATCAACAAGTGGGTCCTACGAATGATTGAGGATGAAGAGGTCGATTATGAGTTTCCACCTTTTGCTCGAACGCGGCCCATTCAGGACTTCACCTCCACAAACAACCGGCCGGTTCGTGGGCGAGCAAGAGATAAGCCATGGGATGAGTTCGCCATTGTCGAAGCATCCGCGTCAGAGTTTGCAGAAAACGAGAAGTCCACCCCTGAATACAGCAGAGAGTTCGCTGAGGCGAAGGGCGAAAGCGGCGGCAATGAATTGCAGAAAGTACCCACGGCTTCGGCGCCGGAAGCTGATCCTACTTCGAACCTCCCGCCGGTGACAGCTCCAACGCCCGCACCGCTTCTCGCACCCCAACAAAATCCCATCACCGGGCCGTACTTCTCGGCAATACGGAAAGACAGCACGAGTCTCCTGGATGCGCCGGCAGCCGCTGCGCCCAACTTCACTCCCCGTACGGGTGCACCGAAGACGCTCCGCATACACTTCATTTCCGACGACTTCACGTCGCGTGTCTCGACGCTCGAGGTCACAACGGACACATATCTCGCCGAGGTCTTTGACCGTGCCTGTCGCGACCTGAACGTGGACAAGGCGCTCTACGTCCTGAAGGTCAGCGGCACGTCCACGATCGCGCCTTCGGACCGCACCGTCGAAGCCCTCGGCCAGCGCACCGAGCTCGACCTCGCCCGGCGCCGCTTCGTCGGCGACGGCGCCTTCGGGCTCTCGGGCTCGCCGGGGTCCTCGTCGCCCAACGCGCCGCTGCTCATCAGCACCGGCGGCACGCCCAAGAAGAAGCAGAAGGGCGGGCCGGGCCCGAGCGGGCTGGTGCACCCGCTCGCGCAGAAGCAGGACGCGCTGCTCTCGCTGACGGCGACCAACAACACGTCGTACAAGCGCTACATCGTGACGCGCAAGCAGCCCATGTCCTTCACGTCCAGCTCGACGCGCGTGCTCGCCCTCGACGGCGAGTACATGCACATCATGCCCGCGGACACGACGACGGCCAACGCCGCGAACAAGGCGACGGGCATGGGCAAGACGACGACGGTGCACTTCACGAGCGTCGTCGGCAGCAAAGTGAGCAGCAAGCATCCCAAGACGTTCCGCGTCGTCGTGTTCCGCGAGCGGGAGAGCAAGCGGTATGACTTCGAGACGCAGAGCAGGGAGGAGGCGGCGGAGATCGTGAGGGAGATCAGGAAGGGCATGGAGAGGTTCCAGGAGGGCTATGTGTGATGTTTCGTCGGACTGGGTCCGACGTGGAGTTTTTTTTTTTTTTTTTCATGGTCGTTGGTTCCTTTGTCAGCGGCGTCGGCACATTACCAGGCTGGGGATTTCGGATGAGGAGCGGCATGGAAGTTTTTGGTTTACTGTTTACATCCTCTTTGTTGTTGGAGTTGATGAGAAAAAAGGTCTTTGCGACAGCAGAGATACCCTGAATGAGCAATCCTCAGCTTTTCTTTCGATTGTATGTACCTCATTGTCGTAGCCTGTTACAATCCTGCGAATCAAGGCCTTTGTTTTACGGTGCACTCGTGTCCGGATGACGGTTCACATGTCCATCTCTACTGTTATAATATAATGCGAACTGATATTATACCAGGCACTTCTCGAGGAGACTACCATGCGGTTACCTCAAATAAATTAATCATACGTATAAACCCGAGCATTGGATCCACGTTCCATGTCGAATGGTTGTGGGGTGTATAACCTCTAATATTGCATTTCCATGTAATCTTTTCTGTCGTACAATCGTAGGTCGTGATATGACGGTTTGCACCGAACATGTAAGAAAAAGCAAAGGAACCGCACTCTGGGTATCCATACGTGTAGCGAATCATCCCCACGAGGGATTTTGGTTGATCGTAGTCCATAGATTTCGTTATGTAGTCATGAGCGTGATGTGATGTCCTCTCCTGTCAGTCCATGGGTCGTTGCCCGAAGCAAAGCGGGTACGTAAGTGGTGGCGAGGCTGCCTAATTGGAAGTCCGTGACCGGTCAAGGACATGGGGCTGAGGGCTGTGGGTCAGAAGCGATGCAAGATTGGCTGGATCTCTTGAGACATTCCGCGACCGATGGTGCAGCAGAGTTGCGAGAAAGCAGATGGTCATTTGCAGACGAGGGAGGCCGGCTCTGGCGGAGTAAGGAACTTGGGGGCACCACGGCCGTTGTTGAGGCGTTTTCCCGTTATTGGAAGTTGCCCAGGAAAACGACGAGGACGGCGCAGTACCTGCCCGATGTTGACTGTCTCAGCATAGCCTTCTTCCAGGGACTGTTGGGGGAGAAAAAAAAGAGCGCTTGGGAAGCACCGATTGGTGAACAGAAAGCAAGAGCCCCCAGCCATGACGCTTTCCGTGGCAAATAAATACATTGGCCACCGTTGCATCTATCGACACCCTTACTTTCGAGAGGTACGGGGGAAAACGATGCCGAGAAAGTAAAATTAGGCAGATATCTTGCGGCCTCGCGGCCATAATTCTAGTTGTCCACACTTCTAACACAGCATTTGGCCCTATTTACCTGATGTCTGATATAATCAAGAAGTAGAGCCAAAGGGACAGGCGGTGGCTCGCTTGCAATCAGGAAGTGACAAAGAGGAAAAAACCACTTACGCAGCCGTGGCAGCAAAGACTTCATGTCTTTTTGCCTTGGTAAACACGGACAAGGCTCCGGCAAAGAACAGGGTGAAGAGGAGGATGACGGCAATCTTCAGGCCTCCGCTGTCGTCGTGGAAGAAGAGTACCACGACCGGGGCCATCAGCAGGCCGACGGCCAGCAGGGCGATGAGGATGCGCGCGAAGTAGTCGATGCGCATCTTGGAGTAGAGGTGGACCTTTTCGTCGCGGGTGCTGCGGCGCTGGGCCGGGTCGGAGAAGACGAGGCGGGTGAGCGGGAAGGGCAGGGCGGTCAGCAAGTCCTCGATGGCGGCGTCGAACCAGCTGCCCTCCTTGGGGTCCACCAGCGCCACCGAGTCCTGCCGCCGCTCGGTGAAGGTGTCCTGTTCCGCCCACACCACCGGCGCGTTGTTCTTCACGTACTGCGACACGCTCTTGTAGTTGCGGTCCGTCACCGCCGGCAGCTGCGCCATGGCGCGTGCCCGGAAGACGCAGTCGTCTTTGGCGGGGAGTCAGTTCTGCTGAGCCGCTGTGAAGATTTCAAGGCTGCATGCTCACCATATTCTTTGAGCTTTCGGTCGATTTTGAGAATCAGCTCGCGTCGCTGCTGGCCGGCTCTTCTGTCGTCGCGAACCCGCGATCTCAGCATGTCCGGATTCTCCTCCAGGTCTTCGGCGTCGAGGCCCAGCAGCTCGCCCTCGAGCTCGCGCAGCTCGTCCTGCCGATACAGCATGACGCGCGTGTGCAGGAGGCCATACCGGCGGCACATCAAGAAGTTCTCGTCGCTGTTGATGAAGGCGCCTAATCTAGGGAGGCCGGGCGGGTGGTAATCAATGTCCTCGGGGCTTTGGCCAATCTCTTCGTCCTCGCTCTTTGCGCTGAGGCCTGTCATGGCACGCGCGAACCGGCTGAATATGCTGGTGTCGGTGCCGCGTCGCTGCAAGCTCTCAATGTCGCTACCAGGCATCGGAGCACTCGTGGGGTCCTTCTCGGGGTCACATGGTTCCTGCTTCTCACTCGTGGCGGAGCTGTGTGATGACAGTGGGGGCTGTGTTTGTGGCTGGATCTGATGCGGCGTTGCGGCCATCACAGCGGCTGTATAGGGAACGGGTGGACCGAAGTGGAATGGCGCAGGGCGGAAGTTGGTGCGTGGAGTGGGCAGTGTGTGAGAGCAGAGGCGGCCTCCATGAGGTATAAGAGAAGCGGGCGGGTGGGGCGAGGCCGACAGCGCAGAGCGGCATAGCCGGCCAGCCCTGCCCATGCAAGCCTGTGCCACGATCGATCCACGAGGCCGTGAGGCAGCGCTCAATGCCTGTAGGTGGCGCAGAACACAGCCTCGCCGTCTGCCCGCTTCCGGTCAGCAACCTAGTCTCACCACAGCTCATGCAGCCAGCCGTCCAATAGACTAGTCAGAGACGAATATTCATGTGCTATGTCGCGAAGTAACCACAATCATCCCACGGTCGCCCCCTAATAGGCCAGGTTCGCTTCCGACACCTCTCTGCCATAGCCCTCCAGCGTGTACAGCGGGGGATGTCCGCGGCCGCCGCTTCTGCCCTTCAAGACTTTGTAAGGGCCTTGCCTTGCCCTTGGCCTTCGAGGGTCCGGCACGTAATAAACGAGGTCGCCTTGTCCGAAGTTCAGGGGCAACTGACGAGCTTTAGCCCCTGTGGCAACACAAAAAGTGATCCAGGTCGCATACCATGGCGTGTTGCCCCGGCCTGACTACTGAACGGAAATCGTCCTCCTCGCCGGCAACGGCCTCCTTGGTCTCGGAAGCGCCGATCACCTCGGGCTGTTGCTGTTCCTCCTCGGCCTATAGGATTTTCTCGTGTTAGCCGCCCTCAGCCATGACTGTCGTTGGCCGAGACGAGGCCTACCATGATGGTGGGGAAGGCTGGGACTGAAAGCGCAACGATGAAGACGGTGGTTTCGGTCGAGCTGGGCTGCTCTGCAGCTGCGATGCCGCCCGGACAGCACGCCGCAGCCTCACTTTATACCTGACGAGGCTGAAAGGGAGAGCTGCCGCCTCCAAAGGCACCAGCGACGGCCTGCCCGCAGCCCCCAAGCCGTGCGACTGCGGGAGGCAGCAGTGTGCACCGCAGCCGAAGATTTCGGCCCCCACCGCGGAACACACTCCCCATGCGGCCAATACAATGGGCCTCAGCGAAGCCAGGTGGCGCAGCCGGATTTGCTTTTGGAAGGGCTCAGCCTCGTCCTTCATCCACCGATTGGCCCAGTAGGCATTACAAACCAGTCAACTGCTGGCATGTGGGCGACCTTCACGGGCGGGGTCGGTGAGGCTCAAACGCTCAAACCAGAGTCGGCCCACATCCCACCTGCATTGTCAGCAATCGGAGATCGGACACAGTAAGTTGTAGAAGATTCTGCTAATCATCCCAGTATGAAGGCGGTGGAAGCAAACGTCCGGATGGGATATGTCGGATTCCAAGTCACAAGACAAGGACCAGAGTTTTGGAACTCTTTGTAAGTAAGGTGCCATATTTCCGCTGAAAGTTTCGGAATGGCCGAATTGCTGGTTTGTTGTGGAAGCATATTGGTGGATGAATTGGTGATGCGCTTTCGTCGACGAGGTCAGGTGGCACGTTCAGCCTCGCCAGCAATTAAGAAAAGCACGGGTAGCGCGCTCCCTTGATTATGCGCAAGAAAACGTATTATTAGTGGACTCTTGACGTCCACCGTAGTACATGCAAATGGGTATCCAAGGGCGATCCAAGTCACAAACGAAAGTAAATCAACCAAAAAGACGAGGCACTCTAGTCTCGTTGTCTTCGGGACTGCCGCGCCCACTCGCAAATCGCATTACACCAGCGCAACATCATTTCCAAGGAAAGGATTAAAAACGTAACGGAAAACTCGAGGAGATGTTTGATGGGCGAGAGTTCCGCATACTTTCGCCTTGCCCTCAGTACCGGGGAATTGAGAGCTGTCGTGAGCGAGACTGCGAAGAACACGGTGTTTTTAGTTGGAGAAGTATCCTCGTATTCGATGCAATTGTCGTCATTGGCACTGCTGTCGACGGCGGTCGTTTGTCTGGAAAGACCCTTTTTGTAATGCATGCTTGCACGCCGAACCGGCCCACGGGGCGGGATATGTTCTGACTCGACTCCCCAGTCGTACAAGTCGATGACGTCGTCACGAGCGACTCGCTTTTCCTCTTCGGTATCGGGCAAGCCGAAGGCCTTGTTGCGCCTCATGGCGACTCGCTGGCGAAGAGTCCTGATGAACGGCCTGATTCTCTGCCGCCTGATCAAATCGTCGAAAAACTCCTGAAGAATGTGGTCTGGGGCGTGCAAATGCTGGAACTTCAGCTTCTTCACAAGTGGAAGATATTGCATGTGAGCCGCCAACTCCTTCATCTCCGGTTCCGCGGGCATTCTAGACATTTCCAAGCGTAGTTCGACAGCTATGTTTTCCTGTTTTGCTTCTGGCCCGTAGTAGAAGGGGCGAAGGTAAATCCAGCCGAAGTTCTTGGACGATTGGTCGAACAAGAAGGGCTTCTTGGTCCGGATAGATTTGTGGTAAAGTTTTCTGTACAGCTCCGAGGTGGAGAAGCCTTGCGATGGGTGCTCTACCAGCAAATCCTCAAGAGCAGCGCAGAGAACCTTGGTGAAGGAACTGGCGTTTTTGGGGCCGTAAGCCAGTTCGCTGGGAGCCACGGAGCAAAGGAGCTCAAACTTCCTCCGGCCGATTTCGCCTCGAGAAAAGCTTGCGGCAGCGAAACAGCAGTCGAGGATCAGCAAACAGTCCGTGTCCGTCAAGTTCAACGGTTGGAATGACGAGTTGAAGAACGTGTTCGCTTTTGTTTCCTGGCGAGTCCTGTACTCATAAGGTTTCCATACGACAAGCAAGGCGGCTCAGAGCGTACCCGTGTATCGCCAAATCTGTGGAATTTCCATCGACCTGGCTACCGTGGCCGGCGTAGTAGATGATGCTTAGCTTCTGGGCGCCCTCAAACTTATGGGCCCAGCGCTGCATCTTTGCGCGTAACTTTGCTGCGGAATCCTCGCTCGGAATCTTGTAGACTTCGGTGTAGAAGCGGAATTGCTCGTCGAAGACTTGCTTGAGCATGTCAACCTGCCGCTGCTTGAGCATGTAAACGGCATGCTCTGATTGGGCGCCTGCTTACCTCGGCCTTCACGTCCAGGTCGTCGTCGGTCCAGCACACCAGGAGCACCCCAACTTCAGAGTATGCACTTGAGCCATCTTTGTACCGCGCATCGACGAATTTGTTGAAGGCGACCTTTGCTTCCTCGTGCTTCCCGTGGACGGACTCGGGCGATGCCAGGCCCAAGCGCAAACCGAGCGCAAGGGAGTCTGTGTTGTTGGCCTCGGGGAACGCCATTGCGGCAGGGTGGAGAGGGCGATTGTGGGCAGCAAGCGGTATTTAAACAGAGGCCGGGGTGGTGCAGATGCGGCTCATTGCGGGCAGTTCTAAAAGCGGGTCGAATGAGCACAGCCGCTGCTGACATGCGTTGTGCGCCATGTTTGGGGGCCACGGAGATAGCAGGCGTGTGGAGAAGTGGAGTGGACGGAGGAGGAGGAGGGGTGAGGGGTGTTTGCAACAGCACAGCCCGCCCCTGCCCGAGACACCAACTCGCTCAGCCGTGTCCCACGCAAACCACATGGGATTCAAGCACGTATTGCGTCATTCGCTGCATGAGCTGTGCACCAATCTATCAGCACGTGACACGCATACATCCAGTCCATGTCAACCATCTCGATTGATTATCATTACTGATTATGTCGTAGGGATCGTCGTGGGCGGGAGCTCTATCCATCCAGCCGTTGTCATTAGAGAGTGTCGTCGAGAGAGTGTCGTGTCGTAACCATTATGCCGTCGCCAACCAAAGCCAAACCCTTCAAAACAAGACAAAACGCCGTGCCGCATGCATCTTTTTTTCGCCCAAGGCAGTATTAACAAGGATCGGAACCTCCACCTCTTTCGTGCCGCCACCTGTACAGTGGGCATCATTCGTCCCAATGGGCGGAGGGGTGAGAGGGCTAGAGTTGCAGCAGAGATGCGAGCTTAAGCGCAGGAATCGCAGCGCTGGATGAGGAAAGAAGTGGCGTTGCTGTAGTCGACGCCGTTGTAGTCGTCGAACTGCGTGGAGCCGGGGAACTCGAGGAAGAGGTCGCCGTGCAGGGTGCAGGTCTCGGCCGAGTTGGTGATGCGCACACTGTATGTACATGATCAGCAGGCTGGTCGGCGTTGGGTGGGCTGGGCGAGGACTTACAGGTTGCCGTGGTCGGGGATGAAGGTCAGGACGTTGCCGTTGTAGGGCGCGGGCAGGACGATGCACTGGTTGGTGGCATACGTCTGGGTCATGCAGTCGCCGGTGCTGTCGGGGCCGGTGCAGAAGGTGACCTGGCCGACCTCGCGCTTGACGAAGCCGTTGGGCATGCTGTCGGTGGCCGGAGCGGCAGCGCTGAGGGCGACGAGGGGCGCAACGGCGGCGACGATGGCGGCGAGGTACTGCATTGTGGATGTGTGGGATGTGTGGATGTGGTTGGATTATGGAATTAATAAGTGATTAGCCGCCGGAATGCTTGCTGTGGATGGTGGGCGGCAGTCATGGCGGCGGACGGGCGGTTTTATATACGCAGACGGGCGATGCAGAGCGGCAGCGCTAAACCTAGGTGCAGAGCAGGGTCTTGCGGGCTGGGCGATGGCGACGATCCGGGATGTCGCTTCAGTCGGAGGAGCTGCAAGGTACGTTGGCGGCCAAGGGTAAGATCACACGAGAGCGATCGAACCGCGACAGGCATCTGACCCAACCACCCACGCACCGACTATTCGCCGCCGGCGCTAGCTACGTCGTTGGCCGCCTCTGCACGCCTTGACTCTGCGTGCTGCCAGCGCTGGCCTCTGCGCATTCCGGGCTGCTCACCACGGCGGGAATTTGCAGTTGCGATCCAGCCGTGCGGGCGTGCATGGTGTTGAGCGGCGCCGTGGCTAGTCTGGCTGGACGGGAACGCGCACCCACGGTTGAGCTCCATCCAGCTCGTCAGCTCACGGCATGGCTTGACTGCACCGACTGCGCCCTTGGCGCGCGGGACACTTGGCGGCGCATGCTGCGCGCGCGCTGCGAGAAACGGTGGGTCCGGCAGGCGGAAATATGGGGAACTGGATGCTGCCACAGGGCCTGATGACGCCCGCCTGACAGCCCAAACAGGAAGAAGACGAGAGCAAAGTCTCCGACAGCAAAAGCAAGTGGCGGCCTAACGGGCTAGCTGGCACCGTGCCGGCGCAAGGAACGGGATCATCAGGGCGGCTGGAATGCGACTGGCGGGCGTCACGTCCGTCTGACCTCAGAGGAGCACAGGAGCGGCGCAGGAGCGGCGGCGGCGGCAGGCGGAAGAGGTAGTGCGGCGGTGGTGTTTTGCGGGCGCCTATCGGACGTCGCGCCAGCCTGGGCGATCTGCGCAGGCCTGCGCTCCGCTTCGAGGCACGGTCGCCCAAGACGGTGAGGGTCCGGTGAGGGCGAGGGCACGACGGCCACAAACAATGGCAGATCCCAGCCGGCGGGTGAGCCTCCCTGCAGCGCCTCTCTGCAGCGTGCAGGGTGGTGGTGTTGTGGACACGAGAAGACGATGGTGATGCTTCGCGCGCTGGGCGCAGCCGCCGTTGCTAAACTTAGCCGCCCGCATGCCGCATCGTCAGCGCCGTCTCGTGTCTCGACCGAACAAGAACCGGCAAGACCAGACCAGTCTCGATCTCCGCACTCGGTTGCTGGCCTCACGCCTGCACGTCAAAAGCTCCGCCACCACTGCCCCTGACTCGCTCTCACCAGCCTCATCACCACCGCCGCTGTTGCACCCTCTGCCCGTCCGGGCCTGCCGGCGAGCGTGCCACGGCAGATCACCCCATGGCAACCCGGACGCAACCCTGCCACGCTCCTCTTCTCGTGGCTTGCGCACACTGCAGAACCCCAGTCTTCTAGAACAACACCCCTCCCGTCCCGATCCTCGCCCGCCTTCATGTTGTGCCCCACAGTGACATGTGCAGAGGCAGCTCCGCTCACGCCAACACAGGCCGCCCTGTTGCCCGACCGCCTTTCCGCTTCCTGTGCCTCTTCCGCAGATGCACCGCCGCCGGCCCTTTCTCGACGGCAAACTTTATCTACCTGAGACCGCCAGCCGTCTGGCTCGTGCACACGGTGCCGATAAGGTGGTGAAGGCGGTATGACGCCAGGCCAAGGCCCCAGCAAACAAGTCCCTTCCATCAAGGAGGTGGCGTTTTCAATGCCCCCGGTCCACGGCAGGACCAAGGCCATTATAGTATAGACACACAACTCAATTACCTACGAGGACGTACCTTGGCGTGCTACAGAAGCGTCTGGTTTTTGTGGTCCGTTGTGGCGGGATGCACGATGCACGATGTTCTCATCTGAGAATGCGGCACCACCATGGTATTCTAAAACTATGACTACATCCAGACGAGCACATACAACCATGAATGTTCATGTTACTCATTACACAACAACAACAATCCGGACTCGGGAGTTCAAGAGTCTGAGCTCAAAGTAGTAGACGCCCCAGTCCTCAGCCCTACTTTGTCGACACACCTGCTTTACAACACCCTCGTTCAGGCGGACGGGCTGTAGCGCGACATCTTTCTGATCCGGGCTCCATAGACATAAAACAGAATAGGCACTGGAAACAAGGCCACGGCGATGAAAGCCAAAAGCGTCGTCGCCCAGTCAACTCCTAATGTGTGATACCTGGGCCATGTACGATTAGCTCACCATGCGTCCAGCCTGCGACGTCAGGGCTCGGCAACTTACATGGCAACGGCAAACAGCGGGAATCCCGCCCCGGCAAAGCTGCGCAGGAAAGTGTTGGCGGCGATGGCGCTGTTGGCGTTCATCATGTACACGTCGATGATGTAGTTGAGTCCCTGCAGGAAGATCATGAGGATGCCCGCCCCGATGGGCACCCCGGCCACGATCTGCGGCCACGGGCTGATGTTGGGGCTGCTGGTCCACGCGAACCAGAACAAGCCCGCGGGGAACAGGAAGCCGCCGATGACCATTGGGATCAGACGCTCCTCCGGGATCACCCTGCCGTGCTTCTCCATCTTGCGCTTGAACCGCGTCTTCGACGTCCAGGTGATCAGCCCGCCCCCGATGACCACGCCGACGGTGATGCTGAGGAATGGCAGCGCCCCGACGCCCTCGTTCCAGCCGCGTGTCTCCTGGAAGGCGATCGGGTACGACTCGAAGAAGAGGTACAGGACTCCGTACACCACCGACATGTACAGAGTGACCAGCAGCAGGATTGGTTCCAAGACGATCATGGCGAAGGGCCTCAGGATGTACTTCCGGCCAATGGACTTCAGGTCGACACGCACTTCGTCATGTCGGGAGTGCAACGCCCAATTCTTCGTCCCGTAGCGGAGGCTCTTGGCCCGGCGTTGCAGCAGAACTGGCGCGTATGTCTCGGGCACCACGAAGAAGCCGATGGTCCCGAAGAAGAAGCCCATGATGGCCGTGATGTATTCCGTCCACCTCCAGCCGAGATGGCTCATGGTGATGAAGCCACCCACGATTGGACCGGCGACGGGGCCAATGAAGGTAGCACCCGCGAAGACGCAGACGGCGATGCCGCGGTCAATCGGGTCCCAGAAGTCGGCCAAGGCGCCACCGACGATGGCGAGCGGTGCTGTATCAAGACGTCAGCCGCGAGCAACGTTACACGGCAGAGCTAAGGATCCGCACCTGAACCGAAAAAGCCTCCGAAAAAGCGGCAGATCATGATGGTCTGCAGGTTCTGGGCGACCGCGACCGGGATTTGGAAGATGCTGAACACGAAGAAGCCGAAGAACAGAGGATACTTTCGGCCATAGAGCTCCGAGAGCGGGCCCCACATGATTGGGCCAAAGGCAAAGCCCTGGTGATTGTTAGGGTCAGAGGCGGAGGAGCCAGAGGCCATCTCAGATGTTCTGGAAGAGACTCACCAAAACAAACAGGCTAGTTCCTAACGTCATCACCTCCGTAGAGACGTTGAATTTCTCTGCGGTTACTTCGGTTGCTGTGGAGAAGACACTGGATGCGAAGGTGATGCAGAAGGTCATCATCCCGAGGGCGAGTGTGACAGTCCACTTGTACCATGCCGCCCATTTCATTGGATTTCCCTAGTGTCGATGAGTGTTTGAGCTCGGCAACAAGCAATGCTCTGCCAGACTCACTGGATCATCTGGACCGTCCCAAACGACAAGATTTGGATCTCTCTCTTCTTGTTGCTTCTCCGCAGGTGCTCTCTGCTCCGTCGGGGTTTGCCTCTCGATATCGTCGTCGGTAGTATCCTGGAAGTGGTGGGGTGTTACGTCGTCCTTCTCTGGATCCTTCTCGTCCATACTTCGCCTGTCGACCGGTGTTCCAGACTCGAAAGATTCCCTCTCTGCAGGAGCAGCCTGCGCCGTCTCCCCTGGGATGGAGGAAGATGGGACCCCAGACGTGAGGCCGTCGGCCGCGTACGTCAATCTCCTGCTCGTGCTTCTCACCACACCCTCGCCAAGATCATTGCTGGCCATTGCGAACGGAACACTGCGATCGGGGAGTGGAAACGGGGTATCAAGTAGACAATTCAACAGGAAATAGGAAACGTGGAGTTTCTGGATGGCTACGGACAGGCACAGTGCTGATAGATCTATTGGAGCAAAGCAGGAAATGTACACGGTGTTGACGTTGACATATCGGAGCAGCAAAGCCCTAACGCCGGCCGAGACGCGATGAGCTACTGGCCGTGTGGGTGGGTGCTCGGCATTTTCCCCAGCGCGCAGTGGATTGGAAATCGGCCAGCTGACGCCATATCCTGTCGACATGCATGGTGGGTCCTTCTACCGAGGTAAAGGCCCAGTAACGACGAGTTCTGCTGGCGAGCAAAGAAGCGATCAGCGCGTCATGGCGATCGCGGAGAGATGGAGGTTTGCAAGGGCGACTCGGCCGAAAGAAGGCATGTCGACAGCGCTAAGGCGGTTGCCACTGGGTTAAGCAAAAGGTCATCTGGGCTGGCGGCCGTCTAGAAATAGCCTCGTGAGGGCCATGTGCCGCGCCCAAGAGCCGCAGGGTGCCGGCGGGCATGGAGCGCGTCGGAGTTGTGCAGGCGTTGCGCAAGGGCTGCATGGCGGATGACGTATGGGCAGAGGTGAAGTTGAAAGGAAGGCGAGGCCGAGCCCCGAGCGACTTAGATGGCCCGTCTCCCCGTCTCCCCGTCTCCCCGTCTCCATCTGCTCCACCATCCAGCCCTCGCGACGCCGAGGCCGAAGCTTAAATCCACCTTCTGCTGATCGGCGCGTGTGCACCGAGCCGCGAAACCAGCTTGATTCGCATGCTTGACTAATCCGCTCTGTCGGCCTTTGGGTGAATGACGGTTTGGCTGCACTACTACCGTTGACGCAGTTGCATATGACAGTAGAAGACCGACCAGAGAACTTGGCCTTGCTCCGAGGCCAGGACCTGCTTACCAACTGACCGTCGAACGGGTAACGTATTGGCCTGGGTTATGCGTTTGACGGGGTTATGCGTCCACCAATTGGTATTTTCTCGGCCCTTTTTCTTTGTCAGCAAACCTGTATGAGAACCGACAATCTGATGCGAAATACCTCCTGGAACTCTTAATTCTCATGGCTAGCACGGCCTCATATACGTAGGGGGCATAAGGTAAGCGCTTGGTAGTGGTGATTTTGCGTTTCTGATACAAATAGGGTAGGTATCTGGAAAATACCGACCAATATCCGATTGGTAGGCGCATAACCCCATCAAACGCATAACCCAGGCCAACACGTTACCGAAAGAACGTGGAATGACGAGGCTTCTCCAGGAAGCATCCGGAGAGGACGCCCGACTCTCACAGGCACCGTATCGATATGATTCATCATACTCCCGGCTGTTTCCCCTGCTGTCCCCGACATGTCGTTTCTTGTTGTGTTACTTTCCTGATCCGGCACTCAATGCCTCATACTCCACAGACGCAAGCACGAATGCGGCGGACCCCAAGACGCTGTTGTATTTGATTGGCCGTCCGATGTAATACTGCGAGCTGTTTAGAAGAGGCTTGCTTGCAGCACCGTGCATAAGGGTATGGGTAGCTCACCTCGTACGACGCGGTCGAGTTCAGGCTACAAACGGACACGGTTCCATTGAAGCCGAGCGTTCCGTTCCCGTCGTCGACTACGACGGACCTGTCGACCAGGTACTCGTACGCTCGGCTTGCCACATGCGTCCACGTCGTCCCTGCGCCAGGAGCTGGCTCCGCCGCCAGGAACCCCATCCGCGCGCCCTTGAGCAGCGCGTACGCGAACATGGCACTGCCGCTGCTCTCTATGTAATTGCCCGCCCGCCCTGGCTGGTCCAGCACCTGCCACCACGCCCCGCTCTCGCCGTCCACCGCCCGCACCACTGCCGCCGCCAGCTCCGCGAACCGCTCCAGCAGATGCTGCCGCGCCTCCTCCAGCTTCTCCCGCTTTTCCTGCTCTCCCGCCGTCCCGCCGCCGTGGGCCATCAGCAGTTCTAGCGTGTCGACCAGCGCCATGAGGTACCACCCCAGACTGCGACCCCACACGTGCGGGCTCGCGCCCGTGACCGGGTCCGCCCAGACGGCGGTGCGCGAGTCGTCGTATCCGTGGACCAGCAGCCCCGACGCGTTGACCCTGCAGTGCTGCCACAGGAGGTCGAGCTGCCGCAGCATGTCGTCCGGCACCGCCGACGTGTTGGCGGCGTCGAAGAGCTCCGTGTAGCGCGTGTAGAAGGGCGCCAGCGAGTACATGCCGTCCAGGTAGGACCAGTAGGGGTACACGTAGTAGAACAGCCCGCCCTCGGCATTCCGCGGCTGCAGGTCGATGGATTGGCGCAGCGCTGAGAGCGCGGCGCCGTACGTTTCGTTGCCGCTTGACTGGTAGAGGGCGATGAGGCTGTCGCCGTTGGAGAGCCGGTCTAGCGGATACGTGTTGATGGTGGCTGCGGCGTTGGATACGGCGGCGACAACTGAATCGGTGCTCTGCTTGATGTACGAGCTTATGAGCTCTGCGTCCGGGTCGTCCGGGTATCGCTCAAGCCAGCCGCGGAACGCTTTCTGAGTGAATCCTGCTTGGAGCAGCTGGGAGACATCGCCGTTCCCAGTCAAAATGCCCTCCCCGCGTGAGATGATGCTGGTGGCCATCCATGTGGAGTAATTCGTCGTGCGCTGTGCCGAGGCAGCAGTGATCTGACATGTGCACAGAAACACAACCAGGAAGAGTTCGGAAACGAATGAACTTTGCATCGTGGGATTAGAGTGCCGAATGGTGCCGTGGATATGGAAGCCAGACAATGGTGCCGGTGACACCAGCGCCATCGGGCAGGAAATGATATTTATCAGATCCGGGGTTTCCGGGGGATTTAGCCTACGTGGCCTCGAAGCTAACATCAACATCACGCTCGAATCAAGCGATCTGAACAATATCACCTCCGTCGGGCTCCGCGGAAATGCGATTATCGTCACAGTCGGCATTTTCGGCACATTATACAAAAGGATTGAGCCCGCCTACGTCTATCTCACAGAAATATCATGTCCTAACTACATGGGTAGTACATCTATTCTTGAAATGTGTTTGGATCGATCTGGAACCCACATACACGCTCGGGTGTTCGCTTTCACTTGCCCACACAGGAGAAACGCAGCATCTTTGACGGGGTCGAAGCGCCCAAATCATCTGACCTGCTGTGGGCTCAGCGTAAGCACCAGTAGACGTATCGTGACGTAGTGTCCTGCGACTTAGACATATCACAGACACCCTTGCAACTTGCTGACCAACGTTTGAAATCTTTGCCAGTAAATCAGCGCTACTGCACTTCATAGAAGAAATATTTAATCGTTACTTTCTACAATTTGTGCTTTCCAGGATCAAGCGTACTCACTCGAAAACCACAGAATGTCCGCCACAGACAAGCCTTACGGCTGGCGCGCCGTTCCCCGCAACCCCTCAGTCGCTCTTCAAGGAAATCTCAAGCCTGCCATCCCATTTTCCATCGCCGATATCGAATATCCGGACACGGAGCTGGTGCGCCAGAGCCTGGCACGCGTGCAAAAGGAACTCCCAACTGAGACACTGAACCACTGCTTCCGTGTCTACTACTATGGCATGTCGATCACCCAAACCCATTTCCCCCACTTCCTTTCCGATGGATGGGTCAATGCAGAGACCTGGCTCCTCGTGTGTCTGTTCCACGACATCGGTACCACCCAGGAAAACCTTCGCACCACTCATATGAGCTTTGACTTCTGGGGCGGTATCGAGGCACTGCAGACCCTGCTGCGGTTCGGCGCCGACAAGAGCCAAGCCGAAAGCGTGGCCGAAGCAATCATACGCCATCAGGATCCCGGCGAGACAGGCACTCTTAGCTGCGTCGCCCTACTGGTCCAGATCTCGACTTTGTTTGACAATGCCGGTCACCACAAGGAGCTGGTTCATCCCGACACCATCAAGGATGTTGTGAAAAAGTATCCAAGGAATGGGTGGAGCGGCTGCTTCGCTGAGACTATTCGACAGGAAATCGACCTCAAGCCTTGGGCCCATTCGACTGCGATTGACCGGTTTGCAGAGATGGTCGAGAATAATGCCTTGATGAAGGAGTACGAATAGTCTGAACCCGAATATATCTAGCCTTGCCAAGCGCACTGCCCTGGCAAGTGTAGCTCAATCCTGGCAGGTTTCTGTAATGTACCTTGATGCGAGTGATACCGTCGTGTACAGCCACATCAAGGCGGGCTTTTCCAATTCGATGGGTTTGGTGGAGAGGCTACCACGACCTGCGTTCTAGACCCTAAAACGAGCGATCCGTGCTGCCTCACGTAAATCTGCACGACACCGGACAAGGGCTCGGTGCCTGGCCAAGAATCTCATGAGCCGCGCTTCGAGAAACCAATGGTTGTTTTGGTTTGTTTCCCACCCCTTCCCCCGTTCAGTCCTTGCCCTCATCGTCACTGACTTCCTGACCCTCCTCTCTGAGTTTCTCTTTCTTCTTGTTGTCCCTATCCCGTTTCTTCTCCAACAGCTTTTTGAGATTTTTGGCCTCATTGAACCTCCCTCCAGTACCCGCGCCGCAAGCTGCACAACTGGGATTCTTCCTGAACCTCTGCAGTGCACACTTCTCGCAGAAGTAGTGGCCGCAATTTGTGATTATAGGCTGTGTGTAGGGCTTCTTGCAGATGATGCAGGCGAACGGGATCTTCTCCAGCATCTTAGCTTCTTCCTCATTCTCGTCGTCGTCGGCTTTGGAATCCCGGTTGGCTGATGCCATCACTGTGCCCGTCGTCTTCTTGCCCTTGGTGTTTATCTCCCACTCTCGGTCCAGCTTCCAGCCCGCCGCATAGTCCTCGCGCGCATGCAGGAACTTGCAGGAGTCTCCGAAACCGCAAAAGCCAGTCTGCTTGTAGTCCTTGCACACGTCTGGGGCATAATCAATCTGAGTGACCATGCGTACGTTGGTGTTAGTAGGCTTGACCGGGCCGACCTTGGGGCCGTCTGGGTTCTTCTGGATGAAGCTGGAGTAGCTCTTGTGTCCCTTGTAGGTGCCATCGGTGCCGGGATCATCATCGGTCCTCGCACGCGTTTTACCTAGCAAGTTTTTGGAAGTCAAGGCGTCATCCCCATTCTCGTCATACCAATTGGATTGCTTGGTGGCGTCGTTGGAATCGGCGATGGTAGCAGAGGTGTCCGCGGCGTACTTTGTGGCACCTTCGACTTCGAACTTGGACTTCTGGGTGGCCGAGGAAGCGTTGACGATGGCGCCGGTCTTACGGCGCTTGACGCTGCGTCCGTCCCCACGTTCGGAGCCCGAGTCTGACTCTGACAGTGCGGAGGGCGAGCGCGGCGGCGGTGCGACTTTGCGCGGGTTGGCCTTGGCTGAGCGCTTCTTGAAGACGACAGGGGCGTCCATGGCTGCAATGCGATGTGTCGTAGCAGGGACACGCGACGCCAAGGCAGCAGCGCAAAGGAGATGTCGCGAGCGGCAGCCCGGGAGGATGAGGTGTGCTGGGGGGGAAAGGCAAGCTGGGCCAAGACATCGCAGCGCTTAGTCACTTGAAGCGAACGCCACGCTCAGGTAAGCGGGGCTCTCGCGCCTAGCGCCTTCGCAACACCAACTCCAGACTTGCATAAAGACCGGTCAAAGTCACCCTGGTCCTGCTGACCTTCGGCAAACCGCACGCCTCTGGTTCTGACATCATGTTCTGGACTCCTGTAGCACTAAATCCTGGACCAGACCGGAGACACGCGTCCCTGCCCAGGCTTTTTGGCAGCCAGATGGAGTCGGCTCCGACGCGTGCTCGACGGCGCACTCGACCCTTACCACAGCCCCATGACGGATTGAGCTTCGTCATGCTCAACGTCATACCGGCAATGCGCATTGCGGCTCTCCTTTACCGATTGCGGCAATCCGTATTTAGCAGCTTACCCTAGGCCCGTCATTGAGCAACAACCGCTGGCCGGCATAAACCCTCGATGGACGACGCCGGTCCAGCCGTGCAAAGGGGCCTCTGATGCCCGTCACACCGAAGTGGCACGAACCTCGCGCAGAGTCTGCTTGTGATGCCGCTTGTGGTCTAGCATTCAAAAATTGAGCACTCTGGCCTCGCTCTTCTTCGTCGGAAGGAAGGGCGTTGCACTCCACTTAGGGCTTTAAGCTACCGTAGGGCCTGCCGACCCTCCAGCATATGCAGCAGGCTCATGTGCTTGACACTTGGCTGTGGTATGACGGCCATAGGGCTCGAGCTCGCGGCATACGACTCCGCCTTCGCTCCGAGCCGTCCCACTTGGGCGTGTATAAAAGAATAAAGACTTGGATGAATGAACGTAGACATGAAGCAATCCAGGGTCACGGGACAGCAGAATCGGTACCGACACCTTGCAACAACAGAAACAATGTGCACGAAGAAATCAAACAACGCGTCCCGTCACGCGATCACCTCCGCCCTGCTTGGGTCCAGTCCTGAAGTCTCGCTGTCGTCTCTTCTACCTCCTCAGAATCAGTTGACGCGAGCACTCGATATCATGGACATACGTCAATCAAGATTCGTGGGCCCGCCCACGCCCATCGCCTCCCGAGAGAACGCCAGCATGGCCACTCTGCCGGATCTCTTTGTCCTGTTCATTGCTCCGGAGCCAAAGGTGAACCCGCATTACGAGGAGGTGAAGCGGGAATCCGAAGAGTGGATGAGGAAGACATTGTGGAAGGACCTCTCTGAGCGCGATATCAAGAAGCGGTGCAGCGCCGACTTCTGCTTCTTCAGCGCAATCATGTGCCCCGACGTCAGCAAGGAGGAGTTCCGCACTGTCTGCGATTGGATATACTGGGTACGCGCCAACACTTCTGCCAGGATGGCTGAGTTGCTAATCTATCCCTTTTGTAGGTGTTCGAGTTCGACGACCGTAAGCACCAACGACCACTGGACGGTGACGTTTTCGCTGATTCAGGGACCCAGAATTCGACGAGGGCGAGCTTGGCAGAGACCACGACAAAGGAATGTCCGAAGTAGCAGCAATGGTGTCTATAATCACTGGCAAAAGCGAACACAGAGAGCCCTCTGTGCGTCCTCGGCCGAATGCGAGGCACTTCCCTAGTTTTCTTCCTGAGAACGCACCGAAGAGATTGGCGACGACTGTCACTTCGGCTGCTGTAAATGAAGTCGAGGCAAGCTCCGTGCCCAAGGACAGTGCCACGGCTTCTGAGAAGGCGACGCCATTGCAATTGCTGTTTCAATCGATCTGGGAGAGAATTCAAAAGGTTTGTATGCTGCCCCGGTGACGTATACAGGGACACACTATAGTAACTGACATGTGACGCAGTCATCACCCCGGGGTAGGGTCCACGAATATCCTCATTGCCACGCCACGCTAAAGCATGACCAGCTGTCCGGGAGCGCTACGTCAAATCGAATGTGCATTTCTGTCATAGCGTGGCAGAGCTGCACGGCGAGGAGTTTGATGACATGGCCGTCATGGAAAACATCCGCCGCTATTTGCACGTCCGTGCACAGAACATTGGGCTGTATCCGCTGCTTGCACTGGAAGAGTAAGAAATTAAAAGCAGACACTATTGGAGCGAATTATTAACCTGTTGGAGATATGCTTACGGGGTCGATCTGCCGCAAGACGTCGTAGAGCACGAGGCGATCCAGGAGATTGAGCGACTCGTGGCCGAGATCCTGACGCTGTAAGGCCGAGCGCTCCCAGCTAATACTAGCACGACGCCGCCGCTGACATGAGACAGCCAAAACGATATTCTCTCGTATCACCGCGAACACGTGAGTGCAGCCTTGCGAGAGCGGGGTGTAATGTCGCGGAAATGACTGGCTGATTTCGGATAGAGCGTCGGCCATAGCCAGAACCTGATCTCCATCTTCCGCCGCCGGCTCGGCCTCACGCAGCAGCAGAGCTACGACAGGGCGGACGAGCTACTACACCGCTGCTACCGACAGTGGTACGTTGCGCACGCCAAGGTGCCGTGCTGGGGCGAAAAGGTCGACGCGCAGGTGCAGCAGTACCTCAAGGCGTGTCTGGACGTGCTCAGGGCCAACGTCCGCTGGAGGTAAGCAGTCTTCATGCGCCACTTTAAGCCGTATTTGCGGGCACGAGCGTTGCCCCGGCGCCGGGTGCCACGTTGCACACGGCGCCGCCACCCAGGGCGACGCTGGCTCTCGCGCTGACTCTGCACGCAGCTTCAAGTCGCAGCGGTACTTTGGGGCGGACGTCGACCGGGTGCGCGCGACGCGGAGGGTGGTGCTGGTGCCTTAGGGCTGCGCCCCGAGCAGCGCCCCGAGCAGCGCCCCGAGCAGCGCCCCGAGCAGCGCCTCTCCACCGCTAGGTACGGCGCGCCGAGGTGGGCTGCGGCGGGAGCACGGTACATCCGCGCGGAAGACATGCAGGAACACCTCATCACCCGCACGGGGCGCGCTCCACCCGCGCAGCCCTGCGCATGTGAGGTGGCCGGCCGGAAGGCTGCGAGGGCCGCGGGAATCGTCAGGGGAGGCAGGTGTGGGGAGGGCGACGGTGGGCGCGTATGATATATTGGATTCAAGGAGCGCGGGCGGAGATGTGGTTGGGGCAGCTGGCTCGAAAGGGGATCGATTGGGATCGGCGCGACTCACGACGGCGCCCGGGACGAGGCGGCTTCTGGCGTGTCGTCTAGAAGACTGGGACGTCATGCTCAACGTCCTGTGCCGCGCCGTTGCGGGTTGCGGGCGCTGGGAATGCGGACGGCGGCACGCAGTCGCTGCAGACGGCGGGGGGCAGACAGCAGAGGCGTAGAATGCATGCTTGCAGACAGATGTGTCACGGATAGATGCTGCGGCTGCGGCTGCTGGCCAGGAGAGGTCGCTTGGCCGCGTGGTGAGCTAGGCCCTCCTCCGACCATGGAGCCATAGCGCCTCGCCGCCCGCGCCCCCTCTGCTTCTGCTCCTCGCGAAGGCCACTCCCCATCTGCGCGCGCAACCCCAGCGATGCGTAGCTCCTCACGCCCTTAACCCCCTCCCAGCGGCAGAGAGACGCGTCGACACGCTCAAGACTGTTGACCGCGCCTCCAGCGCCGCTGCCTTCGCCCCCAGAGTCTGTTGTTGTTGTTGTTGCCCGACGCGCATCACTCAACTCCGTCCGCGCCGTGCCTTCGACCTCTGGACGGCTTGCTGGCACCACGACAGCTGGCTGCTGTGCGCGCGCGCCCTCTCCCTCTTCCGATTTCCTTTCCTTTTCTTTTCCTCTTCTGCGGCCTGTCTTGCTCACGGCCACCGACACTCTTTTTCATTTCCCTACCAATCTTAATAGCTTGAAACAAACAACCGACGCCAACCATCCCGCCCCGGTCCCGCCGCTGCCCGCACAAACCCAAGCACGCCAATCCTCTCCACCCGCGCCCTCGTCGCCTGCGACAGCCACGCCCACGACCGCGACAGCGACGCTGACGCTCCACTTGGCGTCTCGCGACGACCATGCCGACCACGGCCGCGTCCCCGCCCAAGGTCGTCGCTGTCGATGTCGACGACACCGACCCCTTCGTTTCGCCTGCTGCTTCCAACAACTCCGACTCGCGGCGCAGATATGCTGGCTTCGACAACCAGTTGTTCTCCATATACGCTGAGGGTTCCCCTTCGCAGGCAAAGCTCGCTCTTGAGGCACACTTGCAAGAGACGGAGCGCAGGCTCCAGGAGGCGTCGCAGCTGGGCACCGTCCTAGTGCAGCAGCGCAAGGAACTCAGCGACCGTCTCAAGGAGATCTCTGTGCAGCAAGATGCGACGGAAATCGGACCCGATCTGCGCGCGCAGCTCGTCGAGCTGGAACGTGAATTCAACGAGGTTGGCAAAGATACTGCACGAGCCTTTATCCCTAAGACACGGGTGCCCAGCTATCACCAGTCCCTGGACGCCGACGGTAACTCCATCTTCTCGAGCGAAGCCCAGAACTCACCCTCCAAGATCACCGTTCCTTCGTCGAGAAAACAGCGTAACCAGCAACCAAATCGCATCCATGACATCAAACTTGCCACCGAGATCAGCAGCTCTCTGCTCAACCAAGTCAGAGAACTGCAGGCCGCCCTGGCCGAGAAGGATGAGCAGCTGAAGATGATCAGTTCCGAGCGCTCCCGCCTGGAAGTTGAAGTGGAGGGTCTGACACAACGTTTGCGTGTTTTGGACGAAAGCGAGCAACGCTTCAAGGACGAGAACTGGAATCTCGAAACGAGAATCCAAGAGCTCACCGCACAGCAAAAGGAGGCCACGGATAAGGAACACCGCCTGAACCAGAACCTGACAAACGTGAACTCGGAGAAGAGCTCTGTAGAGCGTGAGCTCGAAGATCTGAAACAAGCACATGGAAAGCTGCACGATGACTACCAGGCTACCCACAGGCAACACGAGGCTGAGATCATGGGCCTCCGACGGAACGTCAGCGCGGGTGAAGCCGAGAGGGGTGCTCTTTCACGCAAGATCGAGGACCTGCTGTCGCAGAACGAAGAGCTCGCCCGTGCTGTTGCATACCATCGCAGGCTCGAAGAATCCGGCTCCGGAAGGAACTCAAACGAAGAGGCCGACGACCACGACTCCGACCAGAGCACCCCTGACCACTCGCCGCCACCATCACCAAGCAAATTCACCCCCCGTCACAGCCAACTTGAGACAGAAACCCTGAAGAGCTCTCTGCAGCATGCCCACCGTATGATCCAGAATCTCAAGAACAACATCCACCGTGAAAAGACGGAGAAGATGGAACTCCGGAGACTGTTGCAGGAAACCAGGGACGAGCTCGACATCGCACGGCGCGAGGCTGTGAATGGTGTAGGTGCTTCTGTGAAGAAGCGGCGACCGAATGAGAAGCAGGATCTCTTCAAGAAACCACCTCGTCCGGACAGATTAGGCATGGCAAGAGGTTCCAGGGATGAAATCATCGTCGACGACGGCGATTGGGAGGACAACGACGAACACGACGTTCCTGAAACGCCAAGCAGGAGACCAAAGCCCAGCATCGGTGGTGTTGGCCTCAGCCCCTTCAGTCGTCGTGTGACGTCCGCGTCTTTCACCTCGAGCAATGAAAACTTCCAGACTGCTACCGACCAGTCCGACGCTTTTGAAACGGCCAACGAACCTGATACTACTACGGAAACCGAGGCGTTCCAGACAGGTGTCGAGACTATGGCTGGCTCCAGCACCGAGGAAGATACTGAAACAGAAGTGGGCTCTAACCAGGGTCAGCTTCGCGGCCGCTACTCGCACCAGACCCTCGGCGATTCTTACCTCAGCACTGCATCCACGTCTGGCGATGAACTTGACAGCGAGGTCGACATCAGGACTCCTCAGAGGACTGAGCAGCCGCGCTACCGCCTCAAGGTGACGCGCGGCGCTCGCCGTTCTGCTCGCAACGCGACGGAAGCGCTTAACGGAAACGCCTCTGATGTGACGAAATCGCCCTCCGCAAGTTTCATGAGCGACGGTAGCCAGGCTGAGCCTGACGGTGGAAAGAGCCTATTGGCTGAGCTTGGAAGCTTCAGCGAGCGTGACAGCGACATGGACCCTGAGAGTGAGCCTGGCACCCCTGGCCGCCAATCCATCATCTCGCCTCAGGAATCTCCTGAGCTTCGCAAGGCGATTGCCGATCGCGCCCTGATCCGCAAAGCTTCGTTGGCCAGGGCACCTATGGTTGACTCGTCTACGAACACCGAGCCCTGGAAGCCTCAGTCCCACCGCCCCGTGTCGAGCACCTCGGCGGCTCTTGGTGCTGCAATCGCCGGAGGACTTGGATTTGGTCTTGGCAAGGAGCAGGATGCATCGGAGACTAGACATAGAGAATCTACGCCTGAGTTGGCCCCTTCGGCGCTTGAAGAGCCGAGCCTCGATTCTCCGGCGTCGACTGCGGCATCGACAGGGACGGTGTTGGCACAAGAAGACGCGGCGCCTGTACCCGCCAACCTCGGCCTCTCAGAGGTCAGCTCGCAGCAGGTCGAGCCTCTCGAGCCCCAAAGCCAGAAACTCCAGGTGTCGTCCATTTCCTCGCTGGCATCGGATCCTGTCGAACCTGCCGTTCCAGAGGCACCGCAACTCGCATTCTCTTCTCTTGCGTCCTTGCATTCTGAGCCGGTTGAGCCTGCGGCTCCAGCTGCGCCTAAGCTTGCTCTTTCGTCCGTCGCTGCTCTGCACTCGGAACCGATTGAGCCCGAGGCACCAGTCACACCTGCCCTTGCTATTTCCTCTGTTTCGTCGTTGCACTCGGAGGAGCCTGTCGAACCTGAGGCGCCAGTCGTCCCGAAGCTTGGGCTGTCGTCCGTCTCCGCCCTACACTCGGCGCCCATCGAGCCCGAGAAGCCTGTGGCTCCCAAGCTTGGGCTCTCGTCCGTTTCTTCTCTGCAATCGGAGCCTGTCGAGCCCGAGACTCCTACTCCGCGCAAGGTTGCACCAGCGCCTCTTCATTTCACTCCCATCTCTTCCATCCACTCCGAACCTCGGGAGTCGGAGCCTCCGGCAACGGCTGTGCGTGCTACCGCAGAGCCGTCGCAACTATCATCCATCCTCTCCCTTCAGTCGGAGCCCGTCGAGGCTGAATTCCCCGCTGCGCGTGAGCTCGAGCTTCCTGCGTCGAACTCGCAGCTTTCTCAGATCTCGTCTATCGATACTGAGCCGGTCTCCCCTGAGGTGCCCAAGGTCACCCCACCTTCCTTCCAATTATCTTCTATTTCTTCTCTCCACTCGGAGCCTGTGGAACCTGTCAAACCAGAGATCCAGCCCGTCGATCTCAGGCTTTCCTCCATTTCTTCTCTGCACTCGGAGCCTGTCGCGCCGGCAGAGCCCGAGATCAAGCCTATCGATCTCCACTTCTCTTCGATTTCGTCTCTTCATTCAGAGCCGGTTGCCGTTGAAGCTCCCGCACCTCCTAAGATCATTCCGTCGACGATCTCTTCCGTTCTTGGTCAGTCTGTTGAGCCGGTTTCCTTGCCGCTTCCGGAAATTTTCTCTACGTCGGCCGAACCCGTTGTCACGGAGGAAGAGAAGGCCACTCCTTCGCTGTCCTACGCTGATATCTCAGCGCAACACGTCGAGCCTGTTGCCGCCGAAGAGGTCCACAGGGTTATTCCTTCTCTGACCTACGCAAACATCTCAACGCAACACGTTGAACCGGAGGAAGCTATCATGCCAGCAGAGCGCAAGGCGCTTGGCTCTAACGAAGCCTACGAGAATGCCATGTCCAGGGAAAACCATGTCATTGCCAATGAGGAGCCCGTCGATGAGAATGTGGAGCAAAGTCGTCCGAAGAGAACGAAGGCGCCCATGGTAGACGGAGGCGCGCAGACAATGGTCTCTTCTGCTGAGCTTGATGCCCTTCTGGCTGCGAAGGAGATCGGCGTTGTCATTGATGCACCCGCCACTTCTCCCAGAGAGGCCTCATTCTCCAGCTCAAAGAAGGATGCACCGGCGTTCAAGACGGTGCGCCGCCCGACCAGCTCGCAGAGCATGCGCAGCGCCCGCTCAGAGCCTGCGCCGCCACTTCCTCGGGACCACCGCGAGGTCATCGCTGCCTTGACGCAAAGGATGCCTGGCACCATGGGCCCCCCTACAAAGCCCGCCTCTGCCTTCAAGAACCAGAACAGCTCCCACGCCTCGCAATTCCGTCCCCGTACTCCGAACGGCAGCAGCGTCCATGACAGTGTCAGAGCTACCAGCCCGCACTCGGCCAGGAGCGGTACCACGCCTCGCCCGCGTCTCCAAGCGACTCGCAGCGAGGTCTCTTCACCCATGTCACGCCGTACTTCAGTCTCATCCTTTGCCTCGGAAATTGACAACCGCTTCAACATTCCTGTCAATCCGGTTGGTCGTGACGAGTATGGTCAGGCCATCGATCCACGCATGGTCCAGGCTATCACTCAGACCATGATCGGAGAGTACTTGTGGAAGTACACGCGCAAGGCTGGTCGCGAGGAGATGTCGGTCAACAGACACAGGCGTTTCTTCTGGGTCCACCCGTACACTCGAACTCTGTACTGGAGTGACCAAGACCCGGCTACCGCAGGTAAAGCGCAGCTTAAGGCAAAGAGCGTCCAGATCGAGGATGTCCGGGTAGAGACGGACGATAACCCGTACCCGCCTGGTCTCCACCGCAGGAGCCTGATCGTCATCACTCCTGGTCGCGCTGTCAAGTTCACCGCCACCACTAGCCAGAGGCACGAGACGTGGTTCAACGCGCTCTCCTACCTGCTCCTCCGCACCAGCGCCGAGCGTGACGACGAGCCGGGCGCGAACGACAAGGAGATGACCCCGGACGGGGCGTCCGAGTTCAGCCCCGGGCTTGTCAGGCGTAACTCCCGGCAGACTGCCCGGTCCCGGATGTCGCTCTCGTCATACAACAGCCGTGGAACCAGGAACTCTTCCCCTCAGCGTAGCCGCTTGGCGTCAATTGCCAAGCGGCGAGCTGCTGAACAGCGTTCTGCGACTCTCACGCCGACTACACCGTCCACATCGGGCCGCTTCAGCAGCCTGAGTGGATTGTTCCGCCCTCCAACAGCAACCTTCCGTGGATCGTTCTCAAGCCACCGGAGCAAGAGCAATGGACAGGAGGCATCGATCTATGATGCTTCGCTCGTCGCCGACTCTGCGGAAGATTTGAGACAAGTCATAGAGGCGCAGGAGCGGGAAGCCGACCGGTTGGAGAATGTGCGGGCATGCTGTGACGGTGAGTTTTCTGCCAAGGCAATTGATGATTGTCGGACTGGTGAAATCAGTTGCTCCTTACTGACGTGTACTGTGACAGGCAAACATGACGTTGGATCGCTGTCGAAGAAGCCCCACAGCCACCACCACCACAGCCACCAGCGCAAGTCGTCGCATGCGCGATCCAGCTCGTTTGGACCGAGTATGTTCCTCGGCAGCCAGAACGACCTTGATCGTCACGGCACGTCGCAATGAAGGACTCGGGCCTTGGGCATGAAGTAGCTTCTGTCGTGGGTATCAGCAATGATATGCCAGCCAATCCCTTTACTTTCGTCGAAATTCAGATACCACAGTCCGGACGACCACTCTCCTCCTAACTAATTTCCTTTTCTTCAGCGTCTCAAAGTTTTTCTCTCTACCAAGCCGGCCGTCTGGCGTTTAGATATGGGGTCTGGGGGGAATGCGCTGCGTCTTGACCGGTCTGCATCGACGTGTTTCACGGTGCATGCTCAGCGGGCGGACGTAGCCGGGTCTTTCTAATCAAATGTCCCCATCTGCCACACGTGCGTGCGTTCTCTCCTTTGCGAAGGGTTTCTTTTTTGGACGGGATCTGAATACTGCGGGCGGCAATTTTTGCGTTGGCCGAAAGTGTACAAGTCAGACATCTACTAGTGAAGTGAATGGACGAAGTTTCAAAGATGGCCGTACTGCAGCAGTGCCGTGTGAAGCTATGAAGCTGTGAAGCTGTGAAGCTGTGAAGCTGCGTGGCAGATGCAGGGCGGTGACGGGGCCCGCGCCAAGACCTGGGGGTTTTGCAGCGGACGCGACTAGTTTTGGCGAACGCGACAACCTCCCGCGGGCAGCTCCTCGACTTTTCGCAGCCCGCCCATACTCCACCGCCCCTCCCTCCTACGCCCGGCCAGCCCCCAGATCCGCCGCATAATGTCGCTCTCGATACCCAGCGCCCCCAACGCGGGGCTGTTCAAGCAGGGTTACAACAAGTACGTTGTCCTCCCGCCCAAGCTGCCCCTCCGCCGCCCGCAACCTCCGAGCTCTCCCCTCCCCCTGGTGCCTCCAACCACCCCGCCCGGTGCTGACAGCCGCACAGCTACGATGCCGAGGACGGCGCCGTCATCCGCAACATTGATGCCTGCCGCACCATCACCCAGACGGTGCAGACGTCGCTGGGCCCCTATGGCCGCAACAAGATCGTCATCAACCACCTGCAGAAGATGATCCTCACCTCCGACGCCGCCACCATACTACGTGAGCTGGAGGTCGTGCACCCGGCCGCCAAGCTGCTGGTCATGGCCTCGCAGCAGCAAGAGGCTGAGATGGGCGACGCCACCAACATGGTCATCGTGCTGGCTGGCGAGCTGCTGAAGAAGGCCGAACAGCTGATCCGGATGGGCCTGAAGACGAGCGATATCGTGCAGGGTTACGAGAAGGCGCAGAAGGAGGCATTGAGCGTGCTCGAGCGTACGTGCATAACTCACCGGGAAAGCGGATGGATGCTGACACATGGATTCCAGAGCTGGAGGTCGACAAGGTCCAGGACTTGAGGGACCAGACGCAGCTGAGCAAGGCCATCCGTACCGTCGTCGCCGCCAAGCAGAGCGGCTCCGAGGACGTCTTGGCCGACATGGTCGCTGAGGCCGTGCTGGCAGTCCTGCCCAAGAACCCCGCCAACTTCAATGTCGACAACATCCGCGTGGTCAAGATCATGGGTGGTAGCTTGGAGCAGAGCAAGGTCGTCAAGGGTATGGTCTTTGGCCGTGAGCCTGACGGAAGCGTCAAGAAGGCCACCAAGGCCAAGGTCGCCATCTTCACTTCCGCCATCGACATCTCCCAGACCGAGACCAAGGGCACCGTCCTGCTGCACAACGCCAAGGAGATGCTCGACTTCACCAAGGGCGAGGAGCAGCAGGTTGAGACCATGATCAAGGAGCTCCACGACTCCGGTGTGCGCGTCGTTGTTGCGGGCTCCACCGTCGGCGAGCTGGCCATGCACTACCTCAACCGCTTCGGCATCCTCGTCATCAAGATCCTTTCCAAGTTCGAGCTTCGCCGCCTGTGCCGCGTTGTTGGCGGTACTCCTCTGGCTCGCTTCGGTGCGCCCATGCCCGATGAGATGGGTTCCGTCGATGTCGTCGAGACCATTGAGATCGGTGGTGACCGTGTCACTGTGTTTCGCCAGGAGAACGAGCAGACCCGGACGGCTACTCTGGTGCTCCGTGGAGCCACCCAGAACCACCTCGACGATGTTGAACGTGCCGTCGATGATGGTGTCAATGTCGTCAAGGCCATTACTCGCGACGCACGTCTCGTTCCTGGCGCCGGTGCTGCTGAGATGCAGCTTATCGAGCGCATCACGGCCATTGGTGAGAAGACGCCTGGTCTTTCACAATACGCCATCAAGAAGTACGCCGAGGCCTTTGAGGTTATTCCTCGTACTCTGGCCGAAAGTGCCGGCCTGGATGCCACCGAGGTGTTGTCGCGCCTGTACACTGCACACGCCGCTTCCAAGGCTGCCGACGACTCGAAGCCCTACTGGACCGCAGGTGTCGACATCGAGAACGAGGACAAGACGGGCGTCCTCGATGCCGTCGACGAGGGCATCCTCGACCTGATGGTCAGCAAGAGCTGGGCCATCAAGTTGGCAACAGAGGCCGCGCGTACTGTCCTGGCCGTTGACCAGATCATTGTCGCTCGCCAGGCGGGTGGCCCGAAGCCGCCGGGCCCCAACCCCAACTGGGATGAGGATTAGATGATGCCTGAGTAGGAGCGCAAAAGGGGGATATGTATGTATGATAATATGCATTTGGTGATCAAGACGGAACTTGGCCCCCGACGATTGAATCATGATAGAGGAATCAAAATCAAGTCATGTTTATGTCAATAAAAGCACGCGATAGCGGGAAGAGCATGAATAGATAAGTGGTAGTCTCTGAACGCCAACTTGGAGAGGCTCCACCGCTTCCACTAACGTTGATGTTCGTTCACTGCTGTCGTGGTCTGCATCTTTTCATCGCCACCACGACAGCGGTTAGTCTTCTCACGCACGTCGCTGCCTACTTGTTGGGTGATCGCAGATGCATGGCCAAGACCAAAACTGTTGTTCTGGATGGTTTATTGAATCTACTGCTGCGTGGTGTTTATATACATTATAAAAACGGCGAAGGGTGACGTTAATGATACACGTTGCGACATCACGTCGTTGATGCAGCATCATCATGTTGATGATCATGATATGGATCGGTGTTTGACACTATTCGTTTATTCTTCTTATTGACTTCTGCACATACATACACACACAGAGGGAGAGAGAGAGAGAGAGAGAGAGAGAGAGAGAGAGAGAGAGAGATAGAGCCGTCGCCTTACTTGAATGTCGTAATAAAGAGGACTTTCAACAGGTCGAGACAATATTAATATGTTTCGACCTATATTCGACACTGCGTTAGCTTACTCTGCAATCACTAAAGGAAATAGTCGAATGTAGATGTCGACATTGTAACTCCACAGTAAATTGCACGCTATAGGTCCAATCAGCTACATAGATTAAATGCAGTCTCTTTCTAATTAGGGTTGTAAAGGATTCCGTGAATGGATAGCTGTAGTATCTATCATCTAGAAATCAAACTATAATAATCCACTTAGATGAGAGCATCCGGACAAGGTTTTAAGCCACCTTAACGTTGTTATAACCTTAAGCGAACCATGTACGTGAAATCTTATATAAGGGAAGTCTTACGACTTCAGATACATAATCTGGCATTCTTCACTTTTGTACAGCAGGTAAAAGAAAGCAGCTGCACTGTCCCCTACACGATTCAGTCATTCGTTTCGACCTCTTGCGAGGAATTGTTATATGTCTATCTAAAGCAGGAGCTGGCACTTCGATCTAAATTGCAAAATTTCTCTCTCGCTTTGTACGAAGATCGCAAACAAAAGAATGATGCAGTACGCACTGATTCAGGCCGAGGCCTCGAAATGTCCAGCAGCTCTCCAAGGTTACTAAATCTCCCCATCATGACCTCATATACAACAGTCGTGACAGAACAGAAACAAAGGCCAATGTATGGAATGTTCGAGAACGCGAACAAAGCGGAGGCTAATGTTACCCTGAGAATCCAAATTTCCCAGTCAAAAAATATGAACCATACCCCGGCAAGGGGCATGAGCGAGACCCGATATAACACCGAACATAATGCACCGATTCTAGAAATGAAAGTAAAACTAGGGGATGCAGCCGAGCAGCTATCAGGGGTTTGGTTTGGCGGTCGGACTTGACTCCTGGAAAAGAATATATGCAATGGGTGAAGAATACGAATAGGAGAGAAAGAGAGAAAGAACACTAGGTGAACGGGCCCTTCATCAATGACCTTCACCTGCTTCAAGCTCCTTCATGTACTTGACGAATGCCTTCTTGTGCAAGAGGCCAGCATAGCGACCGTCGCGGAGCACGCAAATATAGCGGAGACCGAGCTTCACGAAGCACTCGTAAACCAAGTCCATCGGCGAACGATATTCCAGGGCAACCGGGGACTGGGTCGTTGTCAGCTAGAACGTGTCAATAACGGGGGAATGGACCAGACTCACAGGATCAATATAAGGAGTGAAATCGGTCGGATCCTCCTCTTGCTCATCCGACGGCTGTTCGCGCGCATTCCATCCAACCTCAGGAGACATCAAGCATAGGGTGTTCTCCTCGTTTTCAAGTTTATCCAAGGCAAATTCAAGATCCGGTGCGGGTATGAGGCCAACGAGAATACCATCCCTGATAATGGGTAGGCCACCATCTAGCTCACCTGCCATATGGAGATGCTGCAACTGGTAGCGCAGGTGCTTTGCAGCCACAAGCGGAGAGTTTGTGATATCAATCAGACGTTCTTCACGAACGCGCGGAGTGATGTCCCCCAGTTGCGACGTGAACACCGGGCGGATCTTGTTGTCCAAGAAGGGGTATGAGTTCATGTTCGTGAGAAGGTCGTAGATACTCAATGGCTCGATGGCGTCTGCCACCCACTTGGACACCAGCACGCCAAGAGAAAAGGGCAGGACGTGGTTGAGACTTCCGGTCAGCTCAAAAAGGATAACTGCCAGAGTGACGGAAAGTCTTGTTACTCCGCACATGGTAGCTCCGGCGGCAACCATGGCGTAAACTCCCGGAACGACGCATGCTTCTGGGTTATCGTCCTTGTGACATGTGCCGAACAGGCCGGTGGAGGAATAGTTGAGAGCCAGATATTGCACAATATGTCCGACCATGCGACCCATCAGGCCACCAACCACCATGGACGGGACGTAGATGCCAGCGGGAAGTTTGATACCGAAGGTGATGATGGTCAACAAGGATTTGATGACGAATGCGATGAACAGGTACCAAATAATCTCGGGAATCCTCTCGTTTGTTGCACAGAGTCCGGTTCCGTCTTCTGTGAAGGTATCACAAGGGCTGGCCAGCTCAAATAGCAGCTCCGCAACTGGAAGCTTAGTGTACCTGTTCCAAAAGCTTACCACACCAGTGAGGAGGGCGACCAGAAATACTTCTAGAATGGGACTCCTTTTGATGATTGGAATCCGGCGGAAAGTCTGTGCCCATAGCTTCGACGCTTTGATGAAGAGAGCACCCAACACACCCCCAATGACCCCAACTATCACGTATGCGATAAGCTCAAAGAAATGCCAATCCGAAAGGTAGCGCACTTCGAACAGGACGATTTTGCCGGTGCCGTACGGGTTCAAGAACTTCAAAGAGAGTGCGGCGGCGATGCAGCAGAAAAAGGTCCTAAACAAGGTCTTCGGAGGAAAGTAGTAGCTGACTTCCTCCAAACTGAAGAGAACACCACCAATGGGCGCACCGAAGGCCACCGCAACACCACTCGCAGCGCTAGCGCTGAGAACCTCTCGTCTCTTAGCGTCATTATGGTTATACTTGGAGAAGAGACGGCAAGCAATGTTGCCAATGCACGTTGCGATATGGACGTACGGCCCCTCTTTACCCAAGCTGAGACCAGAGGCCACACTGAGGATCAGGCCAACGGTCTTGATGACAAGAGTCCGGAAACCCAGGTAACCGTGAAGAACAAAACCGCTAAGAATGACTCTGACCTCAGCAACGCCACTGCCGGCAGCAGAGTAGTAGACCATTGGTGGGCGCATTCCGGACTTTTCGAAGACCTCCTGGGGGCTCGCGTTGAGCTTGTTGCCTTCTTCATCCCGAAGCAGGGGAGTATCGGCGGCCAAGTTCTCGTCAAGTGTTGCGAGGTTGAATCTCGAGGGGATGACCGTCTTGGTGGTGAGAGTGAGGAGGCACGAAATCATGGCCAGCCCAACGGCGAAGAGGATGAAGACAGAGTACTCAATCCAGATATCGTCGACCCTCTCGTTGAGAATGACGTTAGACCACGTTTTCCACTGATCGCAAGTGGAAGCACCAGCGCAGCATTGCTTTTGGCTGTAGTACCAGCGGACACTGCAGTAGCCGTGTTTGTAGTCGAACAGGGTCCTTTCGGAAGTGTTCACAACAAAGGCAATCAAGGCAGTCAAGACGCCGATGATAGCAACCAGTATCCAGCCTTGGGCGCCATCAAACCACGCCGCCATCCGACCCCGGATGTCTTTGCGGCTACGCAAGGCCTTGACACGGTAGGCATCGGCGATGCTGTCATGCACCCAGTCGGTGGACGTAAACTGATCGTACCATACCCGATCATCGCGGAAGACGGAGTGCCTCGACTCGGCGAGCTCGTTTACTACTCAAACACAGTCAGCATTGCAGGGAGCAGCGGAGAGAGGGCAGACGCACCAAGAGCGTCACGCTGCTCCTGGCCAAGCGCAGCCACGAGGCGGTTGCTGAAGGACTGGCGGCGGCTCTGGTGGTGCGGGCGACGCACACTGCCGCTGCCCTGACGGGCGCCATGCGGACGGGGAGTGGCAGGCCCGGCGGTATGGTAGGCACGGTGGTCTCTGTTCCCCAAGAGACTGGAGTTCTCGTCGGCACGGTGAGGCTGCAGGCGGTCTTGCAGGTTGGCTTCGGAGAAGCGGGCGGCGCGGAGCTTCGAGCGAGTTGCTACCGGCGAGGGAGGCGCGGTCGGGTGCCTGCTGTCGCTGCCGTCCAAGTAGCCGGAGTGGTTGAGCAGGGTGTCATGCTCGGCCTCGGGCTCGTCGTCAGAGTCCACGGCGTTGTCGTAGAAGGACGAGACGGACTTGGGCATGTTGCATGTGGTTCACACGGGCGGCCCGCTCTGTTCGCATGTGGTAGGAGGACGGGGTCGGGGCGAAGGTCGGGCGCGAGGACGATGGAGAGCTAATACTCAGAGCGACAAGAGGATCTCCGCAAGGATGCGGACATGACCACCCGCCGCAGATGTGGTCATCGCGGTGTGCACGCGCCCCGGATAGTTGGCAGCATCGCCGGCCCAAGGAACCAGGCGGGGGGTCCAATATTAGGGTCCAATAGAAGACTAGAGCCCCATGCGCCGGCAGTCCATCGAGCAGACCCCGACCCATCGTCCAGCCAGCCGACCGCCAGCCGACCCAATGCGCGGCGCGTCCAGCGCGCGGGCAGCTGACCGCCCACCGTGCTGTGTGCTGACGCCATGTTTCATCTGCGAGGCTCCGCGCGCTGGCTATCGCGGCTGCCTGCTATCGCGTCCGCCCTGCGCCGGCACGCCCCAAGCTCGGCGGTTCTTGCACCGGCGTTCCGGCTACAAAGCCTGCGCTCTGTCATGCGACTGCCCACCCTCCGTCCCTCGTCTTTGGCCTGGACAGATCAGAACCCGAGCTAGGATTTGCACCGGCCCGCACACCGCTCGGCCGCCATGGTCAGCGCCCAGCATCCTCGAGCGAATCGCGTGCGTGCGCCCGCCCTACTGACCATCGGCGGGGCAGGTTGCGTTGTATGAGCAGATACTGCTCTTCGGAGGTTGGTACACACCGGTGAGGTAACCGCGCGCTGACCGCCTCGCAAGACTCCATCACCCAGGCTTCAGGCGAAAGCGACGGCTTTGGCTTCGCTGCCCCCCTGCAGCAGGGTGCGTCGCATCCCCGCCGCCGCCGACGAACCGCATGCTGATGGCCGACCAGCCTATGCCCGCAGACTCGATGTGGTGAATCGGGGGTTCAAGTAACTGTGAGCCTCTGAGCCGTGGTAGCCCTGTACTCATCCAGCGCAGTGGGTACAACACCGAGAAGGCATTGAAGGTCCTCCCGCGCCTCATGCCTGCCCCGGACCATGCCAAAGTGCGCCTGATGGTAAGTAGTGGCCCCATGCCCCGCCGTGCCGCCCACTCTTCTGACCACAACTCAGACCGTCTTCTTTGGGGCCAACGACGCCTGTGTCCCGGGAGGCAGCAGCAAGCAACATGTTTGTTTGGAAGCGTACACGCAGAACCTCCGCGCCATATGCATGCATGAATGCGTCAAGGCCCACAGCCCGGCTCTGATCATCGTCACGCCTCCACCTGTCAACGAGCGGAAGATGGAGCCGGTCGACATCCTGAAAGGCCACAACGGCCTTCAGCGCACCGCCGCAAACACCAAAAAGTACGCTGATGCTGCGCGCAAGGTAGGCGAGGACTTGAAGATCCCCGTGCTCGACCTACACACCATTTTCATGCAGAGGAGTCCGGAGGAATTGGAGGACTTCATGTACGACGGTGAGTCATGTTCGAAAGCGACGCTGTTGGCCTTGGCTCACGGGCGTGGAATGCTCAGGGCTGCATTTGACGCCGCAAGCATATAAGATTGTTGTGGACGAGCTGATGAGCTTGATTGCCTCGGCCTATCCGGATCAGCTCCCGGACAAGATCCCCTTTGTGCTCCCTGCGTGGAATGACGAGGAGGGGTGGAGTAGATTCTGATCCTGTGCTGTGCCGCGTTTCGGTTTGCTCGGCTGTGTCGCCTGCATGAGCCACGGTTGCGAAACGCGTCTGTATCGGGGACAGAACGTAGGTAGATGAGCAATTAGACTACTGCTTACTCGTGCTTGCGCGATGGTGGCAAACGAGTGACTGGGTGCTAGCGTGTTTGGACGTGACAACAGGCGGCTGCTTTCCACTAAAAGTGACGCCCGCCTGGTGATCTGCACGGGCGCCCGGCTGCTGCTCGCACCTCCAACCTCAGCTAACAACAGCTTCACGCCAACGCCTCCAGCTTCCACAGCCCTCGCTTCGCTGAGCTCGGCTTGGACGCAATCCAACGCATTCGCTCCTGTAGCCGTTCCACCCCCCCGCTGCCCGTCGTTGCCTCGCCCGTGCCGCTTGCTGTTATCAACGCCTGCCGCCCATCCCTCGCTGCCGCCGTCACCGTTCGCCTCACTCCGCCGCGCTCTTCACGCTGCAGGCCGCCTTGGGCCTCAGTCACAACCAGCTCTCCACCGTCCGCTGACCGCGCATCTACTGCGACATCCCCCCGGTTCCCTTGCCTCGTCTGGCTCCGTGGTCCTCGTCACCGATAAACAGTACCATTACTGAGCGTGATACTACCACTGTTGACACAAGCGAGGCCACATATCTTGGGTCGCTGGCGGCTCCGCCGTCCGCTCGGACACCGGTGACGGAGGAGAGGAGCGGAGAGGTGCTGTGCTGCTCCGCTGGGTGATGGTTGCATTCTGTTCGTGCCGGACCTACACTGCGGCTTGACGGCTGGCATAGGAACTGCATGTTCTCTGTGATGGATCCTCAGAGCGTCTCCTTCACTCCACGCGACGATCTCTGGCGCATCCACTCCGAAATGCTGCGCGTACAGCAGACCCAGACCGAGCACGCCGACCGGCTCGCTCGCCTGGAGAGGAGGCAGGATGAGGACGCCCGCGTGAAGTCTGTCTGGGGCGCTTCCTCGCCTTTTCCGAGTGTTTTGGGCGGCACTCCGCAGCAAGGTCAAACATGAGATTCAGCCAGTCCCCAGCATATGGCTAACCGTTCTCCAGTGCCTCTGCAGCAGCCTGCCGCCGACGCTTTCTCCAGCTTTGACGACCAGTCGACTAATCTGCTGTCTAGCTTGCATCTGGATGCGGACGAAGAGCCAAGGCGTCTTGGGACAACCTCACGCGCAAATAGTGTTCGCTTTGATGAGACGGCTAATCAAGGCCACTGGTCCCACGCGTCCCGCTCGTCCATGGACCTGATCCCACGCACCGGAAGCAGCCTTGGTGGTCATCCAATGACGGAGCGGAGTTTCTCCCACAAGTCGGATGGACGCCAAAGCTCCGCTGCTGCATCCGTACATTCAGCCACCTCTGGTCGTGCCAATAGCTTAGGTCTTGAGTCTACCTTTCCTATTGGCGCTCCGACGCTCGAGGTTCCACGCCTTGCCCCCGGCTTGTTCATCCTGGGTTCGGTGCCGGCTATTATCCGTTGCTGGCTCAACCGGAACTTCAAGCATGACTCGCTCCTCTATGCGGCCGTGTGCACCGGATCCTACACTTCGTGTTTGGATCTGGCCTTGATCACCAAGCTGGGCTTCCAGTCAGAGATTAGATGCTCCGAGGACGGTGGTCGCAAAATCAAACTCGAGCTTTATTTGCCCGAAGCGATACCTTATCCAGCTTCTTCCCGTTCCGGTAGCCCCACGCCTCAACTACCCTCGCTGACCGTTGACTTCACCGTTGTAGAGTCTCAAGCTTCGGAAAACGAGTCAAAAGCTATCAAGGTCTTCCTTGGCAGTGACTTGCTGCGGTCACATAATGCCGATATCCTGCTGTCGTCAAACACACTGACCTTGTTCGATGACGACAGAAGCAAACTTTCCGTACCATTGGTACGCCCTGAAGATGATCACGCATTCAAGACGCTCCAAGTCAGCAGCTCTCCATGGGTTAGGCCCAATGAGCAAGGCAAATACCCGGATACGTACCAAGAAAACGCAACAGGCCATGCAACTGTCGGGGGAAATTCCATGACCCAGACCCTGGAAGGACTGAAAGCAGTGTCTGTGTCACCTGCCCCTCCTGGATCCGACAGTGACCGAAATGTCACCGTCCCTTCCTCTGAAGATGGAAACACTTCTCAAAGCGATCGTAGAAGTCTTGAACGTCCAGCCTGGGGCTCGAGCATCCGGAGCGATGCAAAAGAATCCTCGGAAGGAGAATCTTCAGGGCCCAGCCTTCCTAGGACAGGATCGTCCCCTGCCGTCTGGAGCAACTGGCGGCGCACATCCGAGAGGTCGGAGTCCATGGACTGGGCTGGTACAAGCAAAGCACCAAGCAACGATACGTACCAACGCCGTGATACCGGGATCAAGGTTCTCAAACCCATTCGCACTTCGTCCCGCGCCCCATCAGTGTCGCAGGGCCCGGCTTCTGCGTCTACTCCCACTAGTCAGTCGCGCTTTTTCGATGAGGGTCGCCGCCGCGTGACAAGTGTATCGTCCGTGTCTACGGCTGGTGTAGATATTCAGCAACAGCAGCAGCCTCAGCAGCCGAAGAGAACCGTTTCGACTGATATGTCCAAGATGAGTGGACCCACAAGGAATGGAAGCAAGCCTCGATCTACAAATCCAGTTGGAGGTGCTTCGGCCTTCTCGTGGCTCAAGAATGGGCAGCAGTAATTCAATGGAGGGTGGGAAACTTTTCCGCTGTTTGCTGGGTTTTTGGCTGAACAGTGCACACTATCGAAGAGGGAATCGAAGGTCTCTTGATGGTGAGACTGAGGCTTCGAGGCCTCGCAAGGCGCACGATACGCAAATACACGTGTGCAACAATACAATACCTTGCCAGCTTACTTTCAGACCACATGCTCGCTTCCGGTTCATAACAGTGAAAACGTATCTCCTAAGGCTGTGTAAATTATGGTTTGCCATCACCATGACGTACGACAGAAGGTATTTGAGTGGGTGCTGTAGAAGTCCCGTCCGTCTATTTCAGCCAAATAAAATGGCCGCCATAAATTGCAACCCACTACAAGGGATTTGCGTCTAGGTATGAATCAAACATATCAGGAAGTTTTCCTATCGCTTCCAGAGACAAGACTCGTAGTTTCTGTGCTTCCGATGTCTGTGACAACAACGCCGAGGATCCATGTGTTAATCAGGAAGAAGACCACACTAGCCAACCAAAGGCCGGGAACGAAAGTGGAATTGCCCAAGAACTCCAACTGGTATCCTTGCTGTAGCCAGAGCGCCTGAAAGGAGTTAGTGTAGGTTTCGGAGGCAGTGGAAACAAAGGAGTTATACCTGTCCAACAATCCACAGGACAAGGGCCGTCATTCCCTTAGAAGGGGTTTGAAGAAGAGAGGATGTGGGAAGGTAAAAAGGCAAGAAGATAAGATACCACAAGAAATACTGATCAATGAATGTTAGTAAGCGAAGGCTAGCGCACAATTGAACCGGATGGCTGACCTGGCTCGTGCAGACCTTATTGAAGGTAACGAAGGCAAATGTCTGAGCAAGCATCGTGGAAGGTAGGTCTTTCTTCGCAAGTACCAAGGGAATTGCGATGGTGCTGAAAAGCAACTGAGGGATGAATGCTAAGGATTCGAGTTTCAAAACTGGCTTGACTATGGGAGATGAGTTGAGGTAGAGCATCGTGTTGTAAGGCGAGAAGTTGTGGCGGTGATCGAGTCGAATGACGTGGTAGAAGAAGGTGTGCTCGAGGAAAGGTTCGCCATAGCTGGGCTGTATATTAGCGACATTGGACGTGGGGCTCGACGAAACTCACATGAAAAACATGACGGCGTTCAGTGCCATGAAAGTTAAAAGGCTAACGATGGCCAAGGTGATGCGTGCTCTGTTAAAGAACGCCAGGGACCCAGACTGGGCAGTCGTTTTCGGCATACCCAGATTTTGATCATCAAGCCACCAGACAATGGAGGCAGCATAAATAAATGGATATATCTTGAAATGCACTGCAAATCCTAGCAAGAGCCCGGCGAGCACGATGCGCCTCTGAACAACTGCCCAGAGTAAAGCAGTGACGATAACGCCGAGGAGGCCCTCGGAACTTCCTCTGGTGCTTATCTGAGCAACCATAGGGTTCAGAAGCCAGATACTTGCAAACTTTATCGCTCGTTCGGTCGGCATCTTGGCAGTGCGTCGCAGGATCTGGTATATAAACCAACCGGCAATGATATCGCCGAGGGCGAAGAGGACTTTGCCCGAGTGAAACCATAGGCGGGACCATGTGGTAGGATAGATGAGCCAGGCAAGCAGTGGCGTGTAGCGATAGGTATCACGCTTGTATGGAGATGCGCCCTGGGAGACAAAACGGGCAGCATCGGTGAAGACGAAGTAGTCGATGTCAGTGTACTTCATCGGTGAATAGGCATCCTGGAAGAGGCCGTAGACAAGCAGGACAGCGCGCAGGACGAAAGCAGCCGAGAAGACATATCGAGGGTTGGAGATCAATTGGGCCATGGCGGGAAACAGAGGCGATGGACCGGACGCGGCGGAGGTAAGTCGAGCAGGTGGTCGGCGCGACGGCCAGCGGGTGGAAAAGGAGAGGCAAGTCTTGCCGGCGCGTAAAACTGCCCGAGCGGGTTTGTGCGCCTTTGCGTCAGACGCGCTGCCCGCATCGCGCCTTCCTCGAAGCACCTACCCTGGCCGCGCGCACTCCACGACCACATTACACTCGACCCCAATGGGCCAGAAGCGCACGTACACCGAAGCCATGGAGGACTCCAGCAAACAACAGCGCCCCTCCCCGTTCATGCCCATGTTCGAGGTCTTCCGCGCCGAGCTGGATGAGCATCACGACCGTCGCGAGCGCATCATCAAGGCCTCGCGCGACATCACCGCTGCAAGCAAGAAGATGTGAGCGGCGCAGTCCATGCCTGCGATGGGAGCTTGCTAACCGTCAACAGCATCTTTTCACTTCAGAGGTACGCCAGCCCATCGCAAGAACGCCACTGCTCGGCCGTCGCAGCGCTGCCCATCGTTTGCCGAAGCCATGCAGGAAATGCAAGCACCTCTCGACTGACGCTCTTGTAGAATGCGCAAGCTCGGACAGCCGATCCCGCCCAACATCACGAAAGCCAATGCACAGTACTGGGATACAATCAAAAAGACGTATGCGGCCGTCTCGAAAGACCTCCAGGGTATCAATGCCTACCGCTATTCGCGCAACATCACAGGAGGCCACCAGGAGTTCATGGAATCGCTGAGCTTTCAGCATTACCTTGAGACCCAGTCCCTGATTTCGTACGAAGAGTCATGCAAGAGACTGGCAGAGCTGGGCAGCGAGGGCGGTGCCATCCTACTGACGCCTGAGGACTACATTCTGGGTGTCTTTGACATGGTGGGCGAGCTCATGCGGTTTGCAATCACAGCAATGGCAACAAGCGGAGCGCTGCCGGGCGGAGAATCCCGGCCACAGCCCGTCCCAACGCACTCGGAGCAGAAGGATGATGCGATGGAGGTGGATACGCCGGCGCAGAAGTCGCAGAGGAACGTACTGGAAGATATGCGGGAACTGCGCACGCATCTCGAGGGCTTGGACATTGGTGACCGGAAGTTCTCGGACGACGTGGACAAGAAGATGGGGGTGATGCGGACTTGCGTGGAGAAGGTTGAGAATGCGCTGTATGGGCTGATCATACGTGGGCGAGAGCGGCCGAAGGGCTGGATGCCCGACCTGGGAGGCGAACGTCGGGGACGCGAGGAGGTTGAGGGCTTCTGAGCGGCCGGTGATTGCGCGGTCATGCGGGAGGGGCGGCGGGCTTGAGGCCTCAACACACCCTTGGTCGGATCTATGCGGGCACGGTCAAAGGCCAGGGCGAGAGCGTGAGGGCGATGCGCAGCGTGCAGGCTGGCGGCCGGGGCCGTAGAAGGCCGCGCATGCAGGATGCATGAAGAAGTAACAATGGCTGGCTCGACGAGACTCGGCAACGTGTCTGGTTGTGAAGTGAGACGTCCAAGTGACTCCGGCTTTAGGGCTTGCTGGCTGGGCGGCGCTCGTGGTTAAATCATGGCTCGCCAGCCCAGCGACTCCACGGCGCCCACACCTCGACCCGCTCCGACATGCACCTCGCCCGCGCACAGCCTCCGACTTCTGACCAACCCACCTCCGAAAATGAGCTTGCTGTGAGACTCGGTCGCCGCGTGAGCCCTTCCAGACCAGCCTCGCCCTAGGCCCTTGCAGCGCCGAACCCGCACGGCGATGCCTCGTCGCCCAGCTGCTTAACTGCCCAGACCCCCAACATCGCCCAACCAAGAAGACCACCAGCCCTGTGAACGCCGCCGCCGCCGCCGCCGTCTGCGCCCACGGCCACTCTGCTCGCATCGCCTACGATGCGCGCAAGCGCCCCGCTCCGCGCGCAGGCCCGCGGCCACACCCAGCAGGGCCGCCTGCCCAAGCCCGATGCGCCCGCGCGGAAGGTATTCAACTGCATCGTCGACGAGTCGGCTTTCCTGGCCGGCGTCAAGAAGAGCACCCGCGATGGCATTCGCAAGTGGATCAACAACGGCGCCATGCGCCTTTTCGTACCCCTCTACAGTGAGTCCTCTGCCGCCCTCGGCTGAGCCGCCCTAACCCGCCACCCAGCCCTCGAGCAAATCGACCGCATCAAGCGCGCTGGCGGCAAGCCGGCCAACGACGCCCAGGAAGCCCTCCAGTGGCTCGACGACGTCACCTCAATCACCGAGGTCCAGGCCGCTGGCCTCGTACAACTGCAGGGCGGGGATGAGATCTACCGCACCTGGGAGGAGGTCGAGAGCTTCCTGCTTCCCGAGACGCTGCTCTCCATGACCGAGTCCGCCGACGAGGCCGACGAGCTTGCCGACGAACTGAACAACTCCCTGGCTTCTCTCGGCAGCAACGGCGACAAGGTTTCCGAGAGCTCTCACGGAGGCGAGTCAGAGTCTCCGCGCTCCGCATACTCTGCCACAAGCCCCGGTCTTCTGAACGCCATCCCATACAAGATCGAGACGGCTGTGAACAAGCATGGCAAGTCCAGGTCGCGCAAAAACTCGCGCGCCAATGGGGACATCAAGGCCGAGCCAAAGAACAAGTCCGTGGTCCCTGTGCCGCTCCAGCCGTTCTACAACCATGTGATTTGGCGCATCCACCACGAACAGAACCCCGACATTTCGCCAGAGTCCTTCATCTTGCTCACCAACGACCCGAGGAAGCAGGCGATTGCCCAGCGCTTCAGCGTCCGTGCCAAGCGTCTGGAGCAAATCCGTGACATCATCGGCCGTGAGGAACGTGACTTCAGGAACAGACAGGCTTGGATCAAGAAGGAAGAGCAGGAAGACGGCGTCGTGGTGAACGAGCAGAAATCGGAGGACGAGGACGAAATCGTCTTCAAGCGTGCGCCTGCGGCAAAGCCCAAGGCGGGACAGCAGCAGGTCTTCGACCCCAACGATTTCGGCCGGTCCCACCCCATACCCACTCCCCGTGGAGGCGGACGCGGAGGACGGGGTGGCCACCGCGGTCGCGGAAACTTCGCGCCCTCTGCTGCGCCCACGCCCCGTGCTCCCCCCTCCGCCCCCAAGAACGCCGAGCCTTCTGGGCCCATCGACCCCGACTCCTACGCCCGCCCGCCGCCGGTTGCCCGTTCGGTCCGTGGCGGCAAACGCAAGCTTTGGGAGCCAGCGTAAGGCATCAGGATTGAGTGACCGACTAGGACGGCGCTCATTGCTTTTTCCTACTGGCTTTTCTGGAGCACTGATCCACCCCCCGGGATTCAACTTGTGCGTTTGATTCGACTGCTTCGTCAGAAGCGACTGCTCCGTCTCAGCATGCATATGCAGCTCGCCCGATGGTCGGCAGGGGCGCGCGGCCGGCTCTCGAGTTCACAGTTACGATGTGCAATGCATGCTCCCAACGGGCTCAACCAGCCGACCGACCTGCTGCTAGGCGGCCCTCCCCCTCCAACAACTTTGGCAGCGAACATGACGTTTCGGATCCTGTCTTCCACCGTACACAAACGCTCAGAAAACCCATAAAAAACATAGCGCAGGAGCCGAGCTGTCGGACTACTGAACACAAACAACATATCGAGGAGGTAGTAGTGTGGATGGAGGCCAGAAGTTGGGTGCGTGCGGGCCTCGAAGAATTGTGTCAAATTTGTGTCTGCTGTTGCTTGCTTCTTTTTTTTTTATTGGATTTTGAAACTTGACATTCTCTTCGGATCGAGAAACATTTTAAGATTGCTGCATGGCTTCTGATAATACTGATCTTGGCTTCAATTTGATTATTCTCTGCGTCTTCTGCTGCTGTGCTTGGGCTGTGGAATCCAGTCTCTATGTCCGGACGTATTTATTTGTACGGGGTCCTTTTCTTTTTTTTTTTTTTTTTTAGAAAAAGAAGAAGAAACTCCCATCTGCGTCCGGGCACATCTGCTTCAATTGCATAGGGGATTTTTGTGTGGTAGTAGAATTGGTAGACACTCCGACAAAACCCACTCAGTCCTTACCGCAATTAACTCACTCAGTCCTTACCGCAATTCCGTTGTGTCCATGTCTCGTGTCTTCCTTGGCTCCCCTCTCACATCTTCTGAGATGATGCCACCTCGGATCGAGCGGGTCTCTCGATTTTTTCCCGCGCTCCGTGCCCGGGTGAGTTGTATATCAAGGGTATTGACCTACGGCGATTCTTTGTGCGGGCAATCGAAGCAAGTATCCGGCCGTCGAGATGGGTTTAAACGATCTTTCTACATGGGCATGTGAAGCAAACATCCGGATGCAGTAGATGCGAGCATTCAAACTATACAAATGCATCCGGATATACGATTCCAATGCCTACGTAAGAAGGATCTAACACTCTTTCGTGACCTACCGTCGTGTGGGGGGAAGATTCTTTTTCCTTTGGCCTTCCCATAGTATTTCAGCCTGCACAGCTCACATGCACATAGTTCGCAATGAGATTTGCAACCAAAAGAGCTGAGACTACCTAGATTCATTTGTCTCGGAGATATATATGTGAGCATTGGACTCCTATAGTGCCTGGACATGTTTGTACAGTGTGAAAATCCCCCGCCGCATCTAAATCCGCACATATACGCGCAAGAAAACAACAAGACGACCACATTTTTCGGCCCCCACCTCCCCACTTCTGATCCCATCGTCATGTCCAAAACTGGGGGAAGAGAGAGAAAGAGAGAGAGGGAGAGAGAGAGAAAGCAGTAGACAACAAGGATATCGAAACCCCCCCCAAAAAAACCCCCCCCCCAGCCAAAGTCTCCACACCCACCTACCCACCCAGTACATACATACATACATCAAAATCACCACGGAATCGTCTCCCCCCACCTATCCACAAAACACCCCGACGGCAGGCCGTCCTCGCCCGCCGCGCCCAGCCTGTCGATCAGCCGCAGCACGTCGGCGACGCTCTCGCCGACGTCGACGGCGCCTTCTTCCTTCGTCTTGACCAGGTTCGTCTCGACGCGGCCGGGGTGCACGAGCGCGAAGACGACGTCGGGCACGTCGACGCTGAAGCTGCGCACGACGGCGTTGAGGGCGGCCTTGCTGGCGCGGTAGGCGTAGCCGCCGCCGCCGAGGGCGTTGCTGTTGCTTGCGCTGCTGTTGTTGGAGCCGTTGGAGCCGATGCTGCCCATGCGGGAGGCCATGAGCACGAACTTGGGTTTGTTGGCGGGGGCGGGGGCGGCGGGAGAAGTCGAGGTGGTGGAGATGGTGGAGGTTGAGGAGGATGAGGAGGCCGAGGAGGCGGCGGCGGAGGAGGATGGGGATGAGAGGAGGAGGGATGGGAGGAGGGCTTTGATCAGGACGAAGGCGGCGACGGTGTTGATCTCGTAGGTGCGCCGCATCGTGGCGGCGTCCATGGCGCCGATGCTCTCGGCGCCGGCGACGTCGTGCGGGCGCGCGGCTTCGTGAGACGGGACCAGGCCGCGGGTGCCGGCGCTGTGGATGACGAGGGTGAAGGGGCCGGCGTAGGGGGCTGCGGCTGCTGGTGGGTCTCCTCCGTCGCGTGGGGGATGTTGGGCGGTGGAGTCTTTTCTTGCTTCTTTGGTGGTGGGCGGTGCTGATGGCGGGACTAGGGTCGATGGTGACTGTGCTGGTGTGGTGGAGGGGCTCGACTGCAAGTCGCCCGTGTCTGGGGTGTCGGGCCATCGGGAGTAGGAGTGCTGACGGTCACGGAAGAGCACAGTGGGGGAGGCGAGAGGCGCGGAGCTGGACGTCGATCGCGAGTGCGAGCGCGACTGGGCTGCGGCGGCGGCGCCAGGGATGGTTGCATTCTGCACGAACTTGCGGACGAGAGCTTCGGCAGTGAGGTCAACCTGATTGAAGGTGCCGCAGGCGCCGACGAAGCAGGAACTGGCGGCCGGGTGGGTGGGGTAGGGGCGGGCGTCGATGCCGCGGACGTGGTGGGTGCCGGGCGGGAAGGAGGAGAAGTGCTCGAAGAAGGCGCGGCCAAGGCCGGACGAGGCGCCGGTGACGAGGATGTGTGCTTTTTCAGGGTGTGGTGGTGGTTGGGGTGGTTGCGGCGGTGGAGCATGAGTGGCGGAGGGCGGGATGGTCGGGTCGGCGGGGGCCTCGGCTGCCATGTTTGGACGTGTGTATGTGGCAGCAGGCTGGTATGTACACGGCAGTTGGAGGGTCGGGTGTTGAGCGGCGAGGGTGAAGGCCGTTTTACCTGGTACTTTTTCCCGGGCAGTGACGTACGTATTAGGAAGCCGTGGAGGGGTCCAGATCCAGGTCCCGCCGATCGGCTTGCGGGCCGAATCTCTGGCGGCTGTCCGGCGGTGCACGCACGACCCCCGCTCTGCCATTCCCGCGCCGGCGTCGCCGTCGGCAGTTGGTTGCTGCTGGCCCTACTCCGCCCTAGGTACTCCGCCCTACTCTCCACTTTGCCCACAATCCCATCAAGCCGTGGCTGCCAAATCTCCGTCTCGTAGCCAGCTGATCACCAAGCACCTCCTATACTCCAGATTTGTCATGTTCTACGAGCCCGGCAAGACCGCCCACGGTCTCCCCCACGATCCGTTCAAGGTATGCGCAATAAGCCGCCGAATCCTCCAATAGTTGACTCCCGTGCCGGCCTGTGTCATCCCGCGGCCCATTGGCTGGATCTCCAGCGTGTCGCCCGCCGGCGCCCACAACCTCGCGCCCTATTCGCAGTTCAACAACCTGACCTTCGACCCGCCCTACGTCATGTTCAGCGCGAACCAGACGCCCTCGGGTCGCAGAAAAGACACCGTCGCCAACGCCGAGGCCACCGGCCGCTTCGCCTGGAACCTGGCCACCTGGGACCTGCGCGACGCCGTGAACGCCTCCGCAGAACAGGTCCCTGCTGATGTCGACGAGTTCGAGCGCGCCCGGCTCGAAAAGGACTTCACCACTGTGCTGAAGGAGCCGCGCGTCCCCATGGTGAGGCGGAGCCCGGTCAAGTTTGAGTGCGAGTATCATAGCACCCTGAGGCTGCCCGGGAATCCGCCCATGGGCACTGTCGACGTAGTCATTGGGAAGGTCGTCGCCGTGCACATTGCAGATGAGGTGCTGACGGATGGCATTTTGGACGTCTCAAAGACTCAGCCGATAGCCCGATGTGGCTATTATCAGTACGCCGTGATAAAGGAGACGTTTGACATGATCATCCCGAGTAGCGATCAATGGGGCGAAGACATCTTGAGCGGGTTGGAGGGCAGCTCGAGCAAGAATAAGGCTATTGGGAAAAGGGAAAAGACGGAGTCTGGGGAGAGGGAGGGGGAAGTGTGATGTCGCGGACTTGTAGTAGAGAGAACGGGAGGTTGAGTGAATGCGTCTGTCCAGATGGATCCAAGTCTGTTTTCATGGACAAAGCTGCTGACATGTACGAAAATAGATTAAAGGACGTATCTTTTGACCTTGCGTTCCAGACGCAAGTGGTTGATGTTAATTTAATGCCTTACCTAGGCAACGGTGTGCCTCAGGCATCAACCACCAAGAACATGAGACATGTTTCACCCCGGACCCCACCACCCACATTTGGGCTGCCAATTACTTGCACATGAGGTGTTTATCAAAGAAGCATGGACAGAGTCCCGCTTCATTGACCTTTCCAGCCCTCGGTCAGCACAACGGGGCCCTTGTAGGCATGCCTACCCCTAGCGTAGTAGTAGGCCGTACTAAAGATGCCGACTGCAACAAACATGACAGAAGCCCAGTTGAAATTCTCAAGGTCGGTAGGTGTAGCATTGGGGAAGAAGGACCAGATAAAGGCGTGGCTGGAATATAGGAGGCCAGCAATGTTGACGGGGACACCCCATTTTCCCAAGCTCCAGCGACAGCTCGGCAGTGTCTCCGGGTGGTAGATTCGGCGCCAGAGGATACAAGCAATCGAGACTTGGTAAGTAACCATCAAACTAACGACGTTGAGGGAGATGATGGCGTTGAAGGCGACGTCGCTCCCGATGTTGATCAAAGAGAGGGCGATAGTAATTGCGGTTGTGACGGTCACTGAGTTGACCGGGATTTCCAGCTTCGGATCGACCTTGGCAATCCAGCCGGAGCACGGGAGACCCCTGTCACGGGCGAAAGACCAGGTCTGGCGCGAGGTCGAAAGGTTGTAGGAGACAGTGCCGGCGAAGATGAGCACGGTAGGGATGACGTTCAAGCCAATGACTCCGGCGTCATTCACGGCTTGACGGAAAACCCAAATGTGTGGGTACCAGTCCTCGAGAGCGGCCTCGATATCGGTGATCATGAAGAGGTAGGTGACGAGGAAGACGAAGCCGATGGCGCCGTTGATGACGTACGACCAAACCATGGCCCTGGGCACCACTCTCCCTGCATCGGATATCTCCTCGCTCATGTGAGCAGCAGCATCAGAACCTGGTTGGGTTAGCAGTCTGCAATGCGATTGGATTGCGGCGTCGGCGATTGCTTACAGATGCAGGCATATATGGCTGAGATCTGTCCGACCATCAAACTCAGGCCCATGGTGTTCCAGCCTCCGTCATTGGTGAAGACGGTAAATACGGTTGCGGCGGTGTTGCGGGGGGACAAGATCCAGAGGACAATGATGATTGTCAGGAAACCAAGGACATGGACGATGAGCATCAGGTTCTGGAGCATGGGCATGGCTCGGCTCCCTACTACGTTGAAGCCCCAGACGATGATGGCTATGGCTATGACGATCAAGGTCCCATGCCAGTTTTCGGCAGCGTAGTCGGGGTAGGCGACTATGGCACATCCTTGGATAAGCGTGCCCACAAGGAAAGGCCCCGAGGCGGTTCCTGCTTGCCATGACATGGTACTCATCCAGCCTGACACAGTCAGCTCGTTGGGTGTATGCGTGGAGGGTGCGGCAAGACATACCGGTGAAGAAACTCAAGCCGCGCTGCCACTTGGCCGGGGCAAATTCGGATACCCAATGGTACTGGCCGCCACTCGTGGGGCAACTGTTAAAAGTCAGAGTGAGGTCAGATGAGGCGGGTGGGCAGCACGCACATGGAAGACATCTCGGCCAGCGAGGCCATGACGAAGCTAAAGCCGAAGAAGGTCCACACGTAGGACCACAGCAGGCCGGCCAGGCCGCCGTCAACCAGGCCTTGGGTAGTTGCTCTGGGACAAGGTCAGTGCCAGTGAGGGGCAAGACGAGCAAAGACGGGACGCACGTCATGAGGACCTCCCAGGTGCCCTGCAAGATGACGGTAAAGGCGATGGCGGAGAGCGGGCGGTAGTTCCTTTGCAGCTCCTGGGTCTTGCCCATGCGGGACATGTCGACGCGGTCGTGGCGAGTGACGCCCTTGGCGGCAGCGGCTTCATCGTCGGCCGAGAAGCAGGAGGGCGCGGCATTGGCGGCAGGAATCTCGCGCGAGGACATTTCGTGATAGCCCTTGGTGGAAGGCAGGGCGTCCAGCTCGGTCGACATGGCGGAGGACAGCGGACAGCGTGTGAGCGAGAGAAGAGCACGGCGGGAGGCAGGGTGTATACATGGGCGCTCGCTAATCGAGGCAGATGGATCTGGGCCATGGCCGTCCAGGTCCAGGGCACGCAGGCCGAGCGGTTGTGCGATTCGTGGATCGGAGGGCCTGGCGAGATCTGGGACGGGCGCGCCACAGCCGGGGTGCGCGCCGTGGACGCTCGCCAAACGGCCCTGAGGCCCACTGGCCCACTGGTCCACCCCTCGCCGGCTGATCGCCACTTCAACAACCTCGAGCTTGCGGCACACCGGCGCGTAGCTGCGTGTAGCTGCGCCCAGCAGCGCGTGGCGGCGCGTGGCTGCGCGGCCCCAGCCGCCAGCTCGTGTTCCTTTTTCTCCGGGTCCTCTCCAATCTGCCGACCGCAGTCCGCCGTTTGATGAAGATGCGCAGCCCGGCACTAGCCCCCGCCCTGCGTGCAACCGACCTCGCGCGCTTCAAGTCACCCGCCGCCAGCCAACTCCAGCCGACTCTGCACGCCGCAAGCGACCCGCCCGTATGGCCTTGGCTCTGCTCGCCGAAGCGGCGGCGCCGTGGTTATGCTCTGCTGGGGCGTCTTGCCGTCGCCAAGCAGCCATCGAGTCACGTCCTGATTCAAGTCCACCACCAGCCCGGCACTCGCCGCGCCTGAGGGCTGCCATCGCTGCCGGAATCGCCGCCCTCGAGCTTCACGCCTTGCCGCGCTCCGGCCCTTGTCCCGGCCGACTTTGTCATGAAGTGGAGATACCACGCAACCCCAGGACGCTTGATTGCACCTGTCCCAGCCCGCAAATTGAGCCTCGACTGCCTGCCTCTCGCTTCCGTCAGAAGACTCTCACCATGTCTGTGACCGTGCTGTCGTCTGCTCGCCTGTCGTTATTATTGCCCAGCCGGCCCTCTGCCATCGCATGTCGCTCATAAGATCGTCGTGCGTCCAGATACCTACTCGGTCGAGAACCCCCCCCCCCTTCCCATCTCTTCTCCACCCCCGTCCCACTCCCATGGCCGAGCCACTGGCGAGCCGCGTGGTCCCCGCGCCCTATCAGATCAGTGACGACGACAAGCGCGGCCTCGTCATGGTCGTCACCACCACCACTGTCTGTTTTGTAGCCTGTTGTTTGGCCGTCAGAATCTACATCCGCACCAATGTCAGGGAGTGGAAGCGCGACGATTCTCTGCTGGCAGTGACGACGGTGAGCCCCCCCACTTCCTCCCATCTGCCTTGTCGCTCATCATGTGCAGCTCTTCTCCTTCTTCCAGGCAGCAACTGTCTATCTGCAAGTCCAGGAGGGCCTTGGCCTCAAACACCTCGACCCCGCCAGGCTGAGTCGCCTCGGAAAGGTAAGCTTCGCCTGTGCCCTCAACCTTAAGAATTCCAACTGCCGCGATGCCGCTTTCGGACCCTGCTGACTCGCCCCGCCAGGCCAACCTCGCCCAGCAGCTTCTCTACATCTTCACCTTGTTTCTCTCAAAGCTGGTCGTCTGCCTCTTGTACCTGCGCTTGACCGCCTCGAAGAAGCATGCAGTGCTCGCCTACGGGACAATGGCCTTTTGTGCCGCCTGGATCGTCACCTCTTTCGTCATGATTTCCATCAACTGCAACCCCGTTGCCATCTTCACCAAGGGCCTCGACGTCTGCGGAGACTTCGTAAGCACAACCAACCAGATCACTACATCCCGCCAGCAAAGGACTGACCACCAGAACCTGTGCACAAGACTTGGCGATGGCTTGTCATTGGCATCTTCGACTGCCTTACCGAGCTTCTCATCTTTTTCAACGCTATATATCTCGTTGCCGGCCTGCACATGGCCCTCCGTCTCAAAGTCATCGTCATCCTCGCCTTCAGCATCCGTCTTCCGTAAGCCCCCCTCCCCTCCCTTCCCCCAACCCCATTTACATCCCTCCATCCTAACCAGCCACTGCCCGCGCCAAACAGTGTCATCATCGGCTCCGCCCTCCGCATGCACTACATCCGCGGCTTCGTCCACCCCGACTCGGAACCCACCTCCTTCCACAGCGCCTACTCGGTCATCTCGGGCCAGTTCCAGCTCGACTTCGCCATCATGGCCAGCACCATCTCGTGCATCGGGCCCTTCCTGCGCCCCTTTGAGAAGGAAGGCGGCGGCGGCAGCAGCTACCGCCGCCGCTACTACGCCAGCCACCACCACGACCAATACCCTTCCCAACACCACCGCAGCGGCGGCGGCGGCGGGCACCGCCGCTCCTTCAACGACAACATCTCCTTCGACACCGCCATCCAGATGGGTCCCGTCAACCACCACCACCACGGCGGCAAGCCGACCGCATTGCCGCTGTCGTCGTCGTCGTCGTCGTCGTCATCCGGCGCAAAGAAGCACCAGCACCAGCACCAGCACAAGCACAAAATCAGCCTCGGCCACCGCGGCAGCGCCTTCTTCATCCGCGCCGCCTCGCCCGCGCCGGGTTCGGGCGACGGGCCGCCGGCTGGGATGTCGCTGGAGCTGCGGCCGGACTTTTGCGAGCACGCCGCCGGCGCCGCGCGCGGCAGCACCGCAAACGCGACGGAGCTGGACCAGCTGAGCCTAGAGAGCAACGACAGCAGGCGCATGATCATCGCGAAGAAGACGACGTTTAGGGTCGAGAGCGAGGGCGGTGGCGGTAGCGGCGGCGGGGGCGGGGAATGGGATCGGCAGGGAGGAGGGGTTGATGTTGGAGCGGGCGGCGGTGGTGGTTGGGGGCGGTTTGCGGGGCCTGGGGGGGAGAGGAGGAGCGCGGGGAGCGTGGCGGATGTGGGGGTTGGGAGGGCGTATAGTCGGGACTGAGGAGATGAGGGAAGGGAGAGAAATTTTCTTTTGTTTTTTTCCATTTGTTTGGGTGGTTTCTGTTTGATTTTTTTGGAAGCGTAACGTATGTGATATGACCACCACAGAGATAGGAGAGATGAGTCGGGAAGAGAAGAAGAACAAAAGCTGGAGGGGTTTTCCCAAGCCAGGCCCTTATTAATGTAAGATATGTAAGAGAGTATACCAACTTACTGCTCGAACAAGTACATCCTACGTCGAGGATTGGAAGATTTCTAAATGTGAATATATATTCAAATAATTTTCCTCCACAAAGTAGTTGAGGTAACTATCAGGACATAAATTTAAAAACAAGATTTAATTCGTAGGTGGTAGAAAGTAATGTATGGACGCAAGTTTAATAACAAAACAAATAGATTTCTCTGTATGGGTAGCGGAAGCCAATGTCTAGATGCAACTGTAAGTGTAAAAAACTTTCTTTCGTTGGAGACAGAAACCAATGTCCGGGCGTAGATTTTGAGACAAACGGCTCTCCTTCGTAGGTAGCAGAAGCAGATATCCGGACGTGGATAAGTAGATGGGGAGACGGAAAATGGCCAAAAAAAAAAAAAAAAGGCCACCCCCAAAATTGAGCCCTCCTACGCAGGTAGTAGAAGCGAATGCTTAGACATAGAGATGAAGTTTCAAGGCCAAATATATCTAGACATTAGATATGACTACTGTCCGTAAATAGCTCCGTGGGCTTAATTCATTCGCAACGCACGGCAGCAAGCGAGCTCATGCATGATGCCGTGCAGGATTAAAGTTAGCTCCCCCCAATTAAGCTCAACCAAGCAATGCACGTTGGACATCTGGTTCCCCACCTTCCACGTGGCCCGCTCATGCGACACAAACGTGCATGCATGTATAGATCATCATTCATCGCCGGGGTATATTTCTGTGAGCCATGGTAATATGGTATGGTAGCATCGTCCTTGACCCATCTACATGCCGCGACCTCCAAGATTTCAATGGCCATCCCTCCGCATAATCAAGACTTGGCAAGCCGATAAGCTGTTATTAGGATCGTAATTCGCTATGGGGGCTGGAATCCCTTCGAAGGAAGCGACAACACAGTAGTTTATACCAGAATTTCACATCACCATATTCACGGGGGTAACAGAACCCACTGTCCAGATATCGAAACTCAGCTATCCACGTAGAAAGAGCGGAGCGTCCTTGCCCTGGCTTTGGAAGACTCGAAGTACCAATATTATGATGATTTTCTCTACATGAACACCAGAACGCAGTTGCCGAACGACGAAGCATGGCCTCCCATTTTTTTTTTCAAAACGCTCTTTTATTGTTTTTTTTCTTTGTGTGTTTCGATTCGTTGACTTGCTAGACCAAAAGAAGTAACCTCTTGTCCTTCCAATCCTGATCCTTTCTAATACTCTTGAAGCCCCTCTGAAGAAAAACAGACAGGAACACGTAATTTCTTAAGCGGGACAGAAGCAACACGCAAAGAACTATTCCAAAAGCCATGTTGTACCACGGCTCTAGAGAAGGAAGATAGGAAAAGAGAGAAGAAATAAAAGAAAATCATAGGTGAGGAGGGACAACGAGATGAAGTGATGGGTCCTTTTCATAGGAAAGAATAGGAGGAAAAAAAAAAAGAAGAGTCGCGGGGAACACCAATGAACCGTGGTATCTCGACATGCGGAACAAAGCAAAGTGGTAGAAGCAGAAGGTCGAATTAAAGAGGAAAAAGAAAAAGAAAAAAAGGCAAACGGCCGTCAGGCAACTGAATTTGAGGGAAGTGTGAGTGAAGGTGGAGTGCAATGAAGTTATGCCATGTCGTGAAAGAAACGTCCCAGATGAGGGACAGTGAGAATGTTGAAGGCCATTCATTGATGGCAGGGCAGAAAACGAACGCATGGAAGAAGAAGAAGAAGGAGGAGGAGGAGGAGTAGCAAAACAGACAAATCCAACCATATCATCGTGACCGCACACCTCTGGCACATCATTACTCGGGGCCGGGAGCGTGGCAGGGACTTGATAATGAAATCCTCACTAGCCGCTATGCTGGCTGGTTACCCATCACAACATCCGTATCCGAATCCTCGTCCGCCCGTCGGAGCTCGCCTTCGATAGAAATCCCGCCAACGACCCAGTCCATCTTCTCGATCTCGTCGAGTGACTTGCGACCGCGGCTGACTTTCTGCAGCAAGCCCTCAACGACATCCCGCGCGCCGCCCCATTCGCTGGCACCGGGCTTCGTGGGGTCCCAGACGCCGTCTTCATCACCAAACTGGCACCACATCCAATCACAACGCGCGATCCTGTGCACCGCCCTGCTGCGTCCGCGGGCTTTTCCAGGTGGGGGATCAAACGGCAAGCGGCCTTCCATGAGCGAGTAGAGCACGACACCGAGGGCCCAGGCATCGGTCAGACGACCCTCGTACTCCTGGCCCAAGAGGATCTCAGGAGCAGCATAATCTTCACTTCCACAACGGGTTTGGAGCTTCGGGTTGTTGGGGTCAATGCGACGGCAGAGGCCAAGGTCCGTGAGGGTTATGAGAGCCGTGCGGTGGCGCGAAGGAATCAAGAGTTCACGAAGGGTGGTCACGGGGACATTGAGAAGAACGTCTGTTTGATGGTCAACGCATCGGCCAACAGGAGTTGGCGCATCACAACAAGTGGAAGCTTACTCTCAAGTTTGATGTCACGGTGGACTATGAGTTCACTGTGCAGGTATCGTACCGCCCCAACCAGCTCTGCGAAGAGACGCTGCACAACAGGTGCAGTGAGTGCATCGCGTGCTCTGTCGGCAAGCTCATACAGATCGCCGCCCGGGCAGTAGTTGAGGACGATGAGTGCTTGCTGGTCGTCGAAATCGAAGGCCTTGAGGTGGATGAGTGAGGGATGGCAGATTGATCTGAGAACCTCGACTTCGCGCTTCAATGTCATTTCCACGCGTGCCTCGTCCGCACCGCCAGCCGGACCATGCTCGACGATCTTGATAGCCACAAGCTTTCTCGGATTGAGCTTGGATTCGTCGGGAATCTCTTTCGAGGCGGTTTTTTCTCTCGTCGCCAACAGGACCTTGCTGAAAGCACCCTGGCCAAGCTGGCGGATGGGCCGGTAAAACTTCTTCTTTCCAGAATCGTGTCTCACCGCAAGATACTCCAGTCCGGCGTCTTCCTCCTTCAATTCCTCCTCTTCGCTCTCGATAGAACCGCGGTTGCTTGGCGGTGGCGTCGGAAGCGTCCGTGTGGGCTCGGAGCCTGGAGCAGGAGCAAGGCCCCGCTGCGCGGCAAGGTATTCCTCGCGCCGCAGCTGTGACTGCGGGACGGCCTGCTCCGCAGTGGCCGGCTTCATGCCAGCATTAGCAGCGTTGGAGATGGTGACATTCCGTGGGCGGGTATTTATGAGCTGCTCCGGCACGAACTCGCTCAGGCTCCTGTTGCGGCTGTGGTTCGCTTTGTTCTTCTCTATCGCATGCACGTTGGCGCTGTGGGCCTCCACAGCTGCCGTCATCAGGCCCGAGTATCCCTTGTTCTTCCGCGAGGGGGTGCGCGAGGGTGACAGAGTGCCGCTCGACAGCATGGCTAGCGAGTCGTCCCGAGACACAGCGGCGGACCCGCGCGAGTCGGGTCGGTGTGCTTGTCCTGCGGCGGCACGGCGCCACGGGCCAGGCGAATCGCTTACGATCAGCGGAGACGGAAGAGGGGTGATGTCAGTGAGGGCACCCAGGGCAGGCGAAGAGATGGCGGAGCTGGGAGAAAGCGAGGAGGAGAGACTGGCGGCCGAGAGGGTGGAGCGGAGGCCTTTGACGTTCTGTTGGATATCCATGGGGGCCGTTCCTGGGGTCTGCGAGGCCTCGGCAGGGGTGTTCACGATGGAGGGAGTCTGCGACAGTTCCCTGGAGCCGGGGGTCAGCTTGGAGAAGTCGGTCTGGAGTTGCAGGCCAGCGGCGGACGGTGAGCGGCTGTGCGGCCTGCTGCCGGGGTGGACGGGCAGGTGGGCGGGCGGATAGACGGGCGCAGTGTCGATCCGCGGCGGCGCAGCGGACGATGCGGCGTGTTGGAAGGTTGCGAAGGCTGGCGCGTTGCGCGCAGCGGCGTCGCGGGCTGGCGATTGAGATTGAGTCGTCGGCGCAGGTCTCGCAGGCTGGGCGGCTGATGTCGGGTGTTGAGCGGCCGAGACGCGTTGCTGACCAGGCGCGGGCGCGGGCGTGGGACGGGGCAAGGAAGGCTGGGAGCCTTCGGGCTGTGCAAGCAAGCTCTCAGGCTCGCCCATAGCTGAAGAAAGGTGAGGACGGGCTGTTGAAGTCGTTGCGGAACGTCGAGCGTGAACCGATGGCGGTACGGGTAGGTGGCCAGTGCCCGCCCTACACCATGTGTTCTCGGCCCTGCCTGAAGCCAGCGCCTGCCCGCTCCGTCCGTACCCAAGGGAACAGGGGCCGCGCCCCTTCAATGCTCCAAGCCATCAGCCATCCGACACAATACGGGCTCTCGCCGTGCTGCCCGCCGCTCTGCACGCCTCAGCGTCCCGCCGTCGTGGGGCCCTGGAAGGAACATCCTGGCTCGTCCGACTCCTTTGAAGCCGGCTGCGCGTGCGACAGAAGCCGTATCGGCAGGGAACTCTCCATCAACACCCTGCACCTCCACACCCGCCCTGCGCTAGCACCTCAACGCTCTCGCACGGCGAGATAGGTGGCCGATGCGGCCGGCTGTTTGCATCTGTCAATTGATGCCATACTCCAATGGTCATTCACAACCACCGATAGTCAGCCTTTTTTTTTAAAAATTTTTTTTTGTTATTTTTGTCGTTCTTTATTCTATCTGCCATTACCTCCTACGCCGCCAGTGAGATGACCTGACAAGCACATCCCTTGTTGGGAAGTAGGGTCTTGTGGTTTGAAAAATCTATAAAACACAAAAGCAGACCGAATGAATCGGAGATCAAGACCTTCCCCTTAGAATGCCGACCTGATTGGGGTCAACTGTTTACACTGTTTGCAGCAAGGTGGTGGAAATTGAGCCGTCGAAATGAATACGAGAACCGATCCGGAACCGAGTTGCGGACCGACCCAGACTGTAACCATACCGGCGCCATTCGACCTTGAAGACCATAGGTAGTTGATTCGGAACTTGTATCCCGAACGAAAAGGAAATGCAGAGAATTAAGCAACATAACCCTCAGAAATGATGCGCTATTCAACGCAATAAGCTAAGGATGTGCGGTTGTAGGGATAGCCGACAAAGCCGCCATGGCGTATCGAAGCTTCTGAGAATCTGTTGTGTTAAAGTGTCTTTTTTTTTGTTTCTTTCCCTGTTGACCGCAATTAGTGCTGGCAGCTAATTTCGAAGCGAAGACGACCGCTCAAAGCTGATTGCGGCTGAACATTGTGAACATAATGCTATTGAGAATGTAGTCGTGAATGCGGTTGCTTTGGCCGTGGGTATACGCTCGAAGATAGTCAGAAGTCGGACATGACATGGCGGTGGCATCCGTGGTCGCGTATTGGTCGAGGTCTACGTCGCTACAATTGTCAGTGAAGGTATCGAGAGGGAGGTTGAGGGTACATACTCATGGCCATCGGCAATCTGCTCGTTGCGTACAGCATCCTCACCACCATCAGTGGCGCCTTCGCATCTTCTGATTAGTCAATGCATAACATTGTTCGTGACAGGAGATTGATACGTACCGCACGTAGTTGTTGTACGAAGAGCCGCCGCCGGGATAGTTATAGCCATCCTGATAGTTGTGGTGCTGAGCACCATCGCCACCATTGTAGTAACGGCCACCAACATCAGTGTACGGCGGACGATCCTGCTGCTGGCCGGACAACATATGGCGAGAGGCATCGTAGTTGCCCCACTGGTGCGCGAAGGACGCAGACGGGCCCTCCATGATAGGTCGGTTCTGTGTAGGACCCTGGCTGTTCTTGTCGGTCAAAGCATGACCAGGCAGGGTGTTCTCCGACTTCTTCTCAAGCTGGCTGATGCGGTCCTGGAGATTGTCCATCTTCTTGATTAGCTCCGTGTTCTGGCCGGTGATCTTCCTCATGGGCTTGAAGACGTGCTCGTCCATGGCGCGGGCATGAGAATCCAGGGCGTGCTTTAAGTTCTCCGTCTCGCCAGTAGCGCGGCCCATGTTGTGCTCAATGGCGTTGAGGTGAGAGCGGACGTCCGCAAAGTACTCGTCCATGGCATTACGCATCTCACCAAACTTCTTCTCGCTGTCGCCAACGATATCCTCTTTATCATGCTTCTGAACCTCACCAAACGCACGGAAGGACTCCTCGATATGATAGTGCAGCACATGGAAGTGCGTGAGCAGCTGTTCGTGAGTCGGAATACCGGGTTGCAAGGTGGGAGGGAAGGGCCCAGTAAGCGGGGACGGCACAGCACTTGGGTGGTGGAAGCCAGGACTGATGGGGTTCGGGTTGTTCTCGAGCTGCTGGGCCAAGTACGGCGTCAATCCGATCGAGCGAGTGAATGCATGGCCGGAGGGCTGGCCGTTGCGCGGCGCGTCGGGGCTCGAATGAACTCCATCGGAGCCATCGGTTGCAGGATCGGTGCCGTTCGGAGCAGGGTTGCGCTCAGCCACGCTTTCGTGGTGGGCTTGCTGCGGGGCGTCGCGCATGATGCTTGTCATGTTTGACAAACCTGAGTCTGCAGTGCGGTTGGAAGTCATTGGGATATCTAAAGTACGACGGATTGTGTCGGGGATAAGGGAAAGACGCGCGCCAGGCGGCGGGTGCTTCTGCCAGTTCAAGGATGAGGCGCGGAGTGGACGAGCGAAGAGATCCTTCTCGCCTACGAGCTGGGTGCCGCCCTCATCCTCGAAGATGAACTCACCTTGCGACAAGCGGTATACGATAGGCAAAGACTCCTTTGAGCTGAAGCTATCGTTAGCGTTGGTGGGGCGGTCGGCGCAGTCGTTGTTGGACTTCGTCGGAGTGTCGAGGTTGTCGTGGGTGGGTGACGAGTCGGCGATGGTACGAAGAGCGGGCGTGGGCTTGACGGAATATAGCTTATTTCCACGCTAGATATTTGTGTCAGCGAAGAGTTGGCTGGCGGGTGGGCGCGTGAAGTGAAGCTGCGCGTGGCTTCCCTGTTTGGAAGGCGCCGCATGTGGCAGTGGCGAACGTGCCAGGCTGCTCAAAGCCGACAGCTCACTTAGATGGAGGATTGAATGCGAGAACTCACTTCCTTCAGATCTGGCGTCTTGAACAATGTCGAATAGACCGAGGGAGAATAGTCGTGCGGCTTGTAAACCGCCTGCGGGAGATATCCTTCCTTTGTCAGGCCATCCGCCCTGAGACCGTCGGTACGTGAGATATTCAGACGTGGAGTCTGCTCTTTGGCATACATGTTGTACGCCGGAGAATCGACCACGCTGGCTTTCATAGAGTGCAAACTTGGAGAAGCCTCTATCAACTTTGCGTATTCAGCCACTCCATGCTTGACCCAGGCTTGGCTCTTCTCATCTTTCAGCGCCTTGTCACCAAAGTCTATGCTGGACACTTCATCATAGTCCTTCGCCGTGTCGATTCCCAGGCCACTCAGACCACCCTCAAACTTCCCGACAAGAGCGTCAAGAGCCGCTCGGATAGCAGGCGGAGTATCTTTGGCAGGAGGTGTAGGCGGGAGGGATGGGTTGGACTCGTCACGGGCAAACTGGCGGCCGGTGCTATGGGCGTCAATAGCAATTCGGACTGTGCCGTCCTCGAAAGCCGTGTTCTGATCAAGCGTCGCTGAAGTGCTAACCGGGAAAATAGGAGGTAGCGCCGTTATGTCCTTTTCATCCTGCTCACGAATTGTCTCAGGAAGGGAACTGGTGGTGTTGGAACGCTTGCGCTGGGTCTTGCGGCGGCCCAAGTTCAGAGTCCACTTGGAAGAGCCGCTGTGAGGGTCTGCGGTAGTAGCGGTGCCTAGGAATCTTGCAGCTTTGGTTGGGATGTCGAGGTCCACCAACGCGCGACACTGATCGCCTACGGCCGACGAGCTGGCGGGGCCTTTGATACTCGGAAGGCTGAACGCCAGCTTTCCTGGCTTGCGGCGTGTAGCGGCTTCGCGACGTAGATCCTTGGAAGAGGAGACCTTGGCGTTGTCTGGCAATGACACCTTGCGGCGATGGGCTGGGGACTTCACCGAGTGTTGGCGAGGCACGTTAGGCGGCGTATCATCCTCCGAGCTAGGTTCCGTAGCAGTATGCATGGGAGTGTCTGCCGGTTGTGCCATCATACGAAAGAGCCTGGCTTCGCTGCGACTCTCGATCAGGGCGCGGTCTGTAGGCATTTCCTCGATCTCAGTCTCGGGAACGAGCTTCAGGTCTTCTTCCTTCGCCGGTGAGTCGGGTTGGTTCATTTGCGCCATGAACATAGTGATCGTAGTGTTCGGTGGCGACGTGATCTCCGGCTTGGGAGGAAGACTTTTGTCGGAACCGTTATCCGCAGGTGCAGGTCCGGTCTGAACGCGCTGCTGCGTCTTCGCGGCACTCTCACTGTCGAACTGTTCGCGATAGAAGTTATTTCCAATATTGTAGCGATACGCGTGCGAGCGCTGCGTCTCATCGAGAGCCGCGTAGGGCTTCTCGTTCTCAGAGAACTTGGCTGAAGAAGACTTCTTGGGCGACGCGGCGCGCCGCTTCGTCGGACTGTAGCAATTGAGCGACATTCTTGGATGGACGCCCGAGACGATGCGGTCGGGTTCAGCGCCCGCGGGGAAGAAGAGCGGACAGGATAAAGAAAGCGGAGCAAGGCCAAAGGTTGAGGGTGAAGCAAGAGCGGTGATCGGAGGGGATTTTGAAGAGGGAGGGTGACGATGGAGGTGGGCGGTGGTTGAGAGACGAGATAGTACGAAGCCCACCTGCAACAGCGGCGGCTGCGGTGATGCCATCCAGAACAGTGGCATTGTCTCTCTTTCCACGACTAGCTTTTACGCACTGCTCCTAATGATGCTGGGGCAGAATTGATAGCCAATGCTGTACCACGCGCTCGCCTTCAGCCACGTGCCTACTCCGTCGTGTCCAGGCAAAGTGCTTGCACCCGCACACACACACCTGCGGCGCGCCGGCGACGTCACGCAGATTGACTCAAAACGAAAGTGCTGGGAGACGCGCTGGTAGTTGAAAATTTGGAGCTGGGACTTGAGAAGAGACGTATACTCATCCTGCGCATCCAACCCTCGACCGAAGTACAAATTCCTCATAAACGAACATATCCTTGACCTTCCAAAGTCCTCGTGCTATAAACCATCCACCGCCACGGTCCCAAAGCTGGAAACCGCCGGCGCCCACCCATCTGACCCCGGATCCGCCCTGCCATGCCGTGACCGCTCCAAGTCCCCAACGCACACAGCCGCAACTGTACCGTCACGTCAGTCGAATCATGATCATAGGCAGTTCCGCGGGCCAATGTCAAATGTCTTCAATGTTTGATCTTCCAACTCGAAATCGAAAGCTGCCAAATCTCAGAAGAACTGATCCGCTACCCAATGCGCCGGGTCTCCACAACAAGGTATCCGGGGAAAACCGACCACGCCCGACCTGAAAGAAACGAGAAGCATGATTTGGTGGCGATGCTTGCCTAGGCTGCGCTGTGAGCCTTCCACGGCCGGAGCACTACAAAACCACGCAATGCGAGCGCTTTCCGGGCTTCTTGGTCTGCGGCGGCTCAAGGGCCGCGACGATCGCCTACACACAACACAATCAGCTCTCGCCGGGCAAGATTAGCAGGCCGAGGGGGATAACTGACCTCATCGAACACGTCCTTGAGCTTGTACTGGGTAAGCGCGGAGCACTCGACGTACTTGACGGCACCCAGCTCCTTCGCCATACGCTCGCCGTCCTCCTTTCTAACGGGCTGCATCTTCTGCTTGGCAAGCTTGTCACGGACGCTCGGGTCGTCCCTCAAGTCAACCTGCGTGCCGACGATCAGGCAAGGGACGCCAGGGCAGTGATGGTGGACCTCGGGGAACCACTTCTCGCGGACGTTCTCGAAAGATGCGGGCGAGGTTACGGAAAAGCAGACCAGGAAAACGTCGGTCTGAGGGTATGACAGGGGCCGCAGACGGTCGTAATCTTCCTGACCGGCAGTATCGAACAGACCGAGAGTGTAGGGCTCGTCACCGATCCTGTAGGCGTAGAAAGTTCAGCGAATCATCCGCGGCGCCGGCACTCGTCCAAGGCAAAGGCATGTGGTGGTGCAACGGCACGCCAAGAGGGAGATGCAGCGGGCTCACCGGCCGTCTCAGGGAGGATTGGAGGCTCACTCACATCACGGTGACGGCGTAGTTGTCGAAAACCGTCGGGACGTATTCGGACGGGAATTTGTTGGTCGTGTAGCTGATCAGCAAGCACGTCTTGCCGACAGCACCGTCACCGACGACGACGCATCTGTGCGACTCGGTGGTTAGCGCGGAGCAGGCAGCGGCGCAGGGTGCCGGGGCGCAGAGGCGGAGGGCAGCACGTACTTAATGGTTGCGACGACCATGTTGTTGATGTAATGTGCGGGTTACGAAACTGAGGGCGGGTGGCAGGCGCCGATCGGAGGCGTGCAGGAGTGAGGTGGAGGCTCGTCGGGGCGGCGCGGAGCGAGGGGCGTGGGAGAGCGGCGGGTCGCGTGGTCGGGGGGCTGGCTGGGCGGCTCAGCACTGGGGCGCGGGGGTCGGTTGTGGTGTTGGGCTGGCGGTGAGGTATCCAAAGGAAGGTGGAGTAGTGATGAGGAGCCTGGAGAGGTGTCGACTATCAGCAACGCCGACGCGCCGCGCATCGTCAGGGCCGCGCGCAGGGAGGCATACCGTCGCCCCGAGATTGAAACCACCGAGGACGCGTGCAACGCGGAGCGATCTGTGGTTGAAACTCGAAACGTAAGATGGGGGCTCCTGGTCGTGGGTCTGCGTGGTGAGGCCTGGGCGTGGAGGGCGCTGGTAGGGCGAGAAGGGAGGGGCGGCGCGCGGAGTCTCTGGCGCAGGCGCTGGGAAACGAGCTGGAGCAGGCTGCTCTCGACGGCAGATGGCAGGACGAGACGGTGCGATAGGGACGGTCTTTTTGGGGACGGCGGAGATTGTATGGCGCGAACAAGTCTTGCCCCCTTTGATTCGTTCGTTCAGCCTCACCCGCTCGCCGCCGCCTCGCAATTATCAACGCACGCATCATCACGGCCGTTGCACAACACGCGCTCCATGCTGGCTACCTACAACTGCCCACGCCCGCTGCCGGGCGGCGCAGTGCAGCGCGCGTGGGCGCGGCGGCGTCGCTGCGCCTGCACCGATGCACCGATGCACCGGTGCACCGCCTGCGCCGGGGCGCTGTGCCGGCCTGAGGCGCGCAGCGCCGGCCTGCCGTTGAGGACGACAGCGGACAGCCTCTCCGCACAGCACGGAGCACCAGCCAATCCACCGACAATCACCTCCAACCCCCAGCTTGTCTCAACTCTTTGAAACACCGCCTCACCAGCCAGAACTCTAAAGCAGCCTCAGCGCCTCAGCGCCGCAGCCCGCTGGGCCCCCGCGCACGCGTGCCCGCCGCTGCGCTGCCGGCATCAACACCGCCTGCGCTGCGGCCCGCGTCCGGCTCGGCGCCAATTACCTGCCCCTTCGTCTGCCGTCAGCACCGTCGTCTCAGGCCCGCCCGCGACCCCCGCGAGCACTCACCTTGACGAAGCGATGGTTTTTCATCGCCAGGCTCAGCGGCACGAGCGGCGCCGCCACGCACACGGCCACCGTCAGAAGCATGCGCATGCTCTCGTCGTACGCTCGGTTGATGGCCATGCGCTCCGGCGTGCCCATGGCCCACCCGGTAGACGCCAGTGTAACGTTCCCGTAGATTAGCGACGCTTGGTCCCTGATGGCCTCCGGAAGGAGCCTTTCCAACTTCCCGGGAACGCTGTTCGTCCAGATTGCGCCGGAAATCGCGTTGCCTACCGCACCGCCGATCTCCAGCATCGTGAGGAACACCACCGTGGCCGTCGTAACCTGCTCGTGGCTCGCCGATGCCTGGACGCCCAACTGAGCAGGCACAACGAGCATGCCCCCTCCAAAGCCCGTGACGATCTGGCACCCCACCAGTGCCGCCGTTGATGCGCCCCCAACGCGATATCGGTACATGAGGCCCAGCCCCATCATGTATATGCAGGCTCCAAAGGTAATAAAGTACTTATAGCGGCCCGTGAGCCGAATAACGAGCGAGACGACTACCGACGACACCGTCGAGGCAAAGGTGAAGGCCTGCGTTATGCGGCCGGCAGCTATGACGCCCTTGTTCTGAACAATCATCAGATAGCTCGAGTAATACGGGTATACAGACAAGTAGTAGGCCACTGTGTCTCGTCAGAACGGCTGTAGTAAGCGGCAGTCGAAGGTAAGAGGGGGAAAGCTCACTGAAGTAGAAGAAGGCAATGGATGTACCCGCCAAGACGGTCCTATCCTTGAACAAGTCTCGTGGAAAAAAAGCTTTCGGAGCCAGCCTCTCACTGCTTTCCCACAACACGAAGCCGACGAGACAAATGTTGCCAACAACCAGCATGGCAACTATCATACCGCTTTCCCAGCCGTCGCTTTGCCTTGTCGCGATGGTCAGAGGTATCAGGACCAGAGAGATTGCAGCAGTGAGCAGCAGAAAGCCAAAAAAGTCCAGCTCATACCACAGGGATTTGAGCACAAAGAAGACATTTTTTCCCTTGAACGGGGAGGGTAGCAGAATGGACATTTTGCTCGCCCTACGCTGGTACAACAACAAAGAAAGAGCAAGGGGGGAAAATGCAGCGGGCAGGACGATGGCCCACATGCCGTATCCCCAGCGCCAGTTGGGCAGGATGGTTCCAGCAACCTCCGGTCCGATCCAAATAGTCGCCAGGAACGGAAGGTCTGGAATGGTGGAGAAGAGGGCACGGTCCAGTAGGTCCGTTGTATCAGCGACGAAGATCTGCTGCAGAACCAGCAGGCCCTGAGAGCCTGCGGCATAAAAGATCTGGGCCGAAGCATAGGTATTGATGCTGTTGGACGCAGCCTGCTGGATGTATCCGATGGTGTAAAGCACAACTGCGAAAGTGAAGGATTCGAAGCGACCGAAGGCATCCGCAATTTTACCCATTGGTGGTTTGATGATAGCTGCTCTCGTTAGCACCATGTATGTCTGATGTGCGGGCGGGAAAGCGAACAGTTGACGATGGCTTGCACTACTGACACAGTAGACAGCAGAGAGTGCGCTCCAAAGGACGAGGTAGCGAAAGGCATGAGGAGATTGACCGTCTGTTGCTCTAAAGATGTTGCGCAAGCCAAGAGGCCGAGGCTGCAAGTCAGGAAACTCGATCAGTGGTATATCCATCGGTGTTTGATGGACGAAGTGCCTGGAGTGGAAGTTGAAGGATCTCGGTACGTACTCACCCGGCGTAGGCGCATAACAGCGACCATTTCGACCACGCAGCGCTAACGGCATCGATCCGCTGCATGCCGGCTTGTGCGGTGGGATCTAAGCTTGCATCCGGCGAACCCGGGTTGTCTGGATAATCATCGGTGGCGTGGGCCTTCTCTCGGTCGAGCGCTTCCTGTTTCATGATGGCGGCTGCGTCAGGGCTCGGTTTGCAGGTTTCGTAGCAAACAACAACATGCACTAAATTAGCAGCCCCAGCGAAACTGAGGGGAAAGCAATCTCTGGAGGCGGCACAGGGTGCAGGGTGTGTTCGAGATTTAGTAGGTTGAGTTAGCAGCTATTCGCACGACAGGGAGGTGGTCATCGACAAGGCCGGTAGAAGCGAGGCTGGATAGCTACTGGATCCCAGTGATGAGCGCTCCATCCCTTGGCTCACAGCTTGCAGTTCGCTCTGGAGATGGCGATTAGGCCGGCAGCGGTGACGGCGAATTGCTTGGCCCGCAGTGTGGCTTCCTCATCCAACCGCCGGCTCTCGGCCTGTGCCATGGAACGAGTGTCTTAGGCAAGACGAGTAGTAGTAGTGAAGTGACCTTTAAGTTTAGCGCTGCGCCGTCTGGAGAGGGGCCATCATCGGATGACTGTTGCCAAGCGGTTGAACCCATCCAGACTTTGCGAATCGCAACGTTGCCGCTGTCAATTACCTACCTACATTTGTATCTAAGATATATTCACATGGATTTGATACTACTAACTACGTCCAGATACCTGCTTCCACTAGCCGTGAAGAAATATTTGTTTGATTCCACATACATCTTTATCAAAACATCTGCTTCCTCTATACGGACATTTGTTTCCTGACCTATTTTACCACCTTATTCCAGAGCATCGGGGCTGTGTTTTTACCGGGTCTACTACCGATGCAACAGCTGAAGCTTACTTGTCGACTTCCTGTGCGCCGAAAATAACAGTCCGAAAGTTCATTATCCGAAAGTTCATTAGAACTTCTCGTTTAAGGTCACGCAACAGCTGCCTCGGCTTGTATAAGTAGCAGGCTAAGTACATGGTAGAGGCTAGAGTCTGTTGCTATCAACCTGGTTCATTGGATAAACATCGGCGGCGCATATGGCATGTTAGAAAGGACAGTCTAGAGGAAGCGGCAGAATGCGTCTACCCATGAACTAATTACTCATGCAAAGACAAAACCCACGCTCTCCACTGATAATCCAAGCCTTCGCGTTGAGATACTGACGCTTTTACCAAGGAAAAGCTTGAAAATCGAGGGTTTCCGTGCACCAGACCACCGATTCCGCAGAGTTATCCTGTTGGTATCAAGACTCGGCTTCCATTAAGCTCCAGATCCGTTGTGCGTGGTGAGATATAGCATCATCTTGTATGGCATCCGGCTTTCCCTTGCATACCGTAGACAGCTTTCGAAGTTGCGTGAGCACAAACGCCAAGAGGTACTAAAATAACCAAACGGTAACATTGCTGGTGAACGTAGCAGTCGTTTTTCTGCGGGAATCGTGTTTTGGACGGCTGACAAAGGTCAAGGCAAAGGGTTTTATCGAGTTCGGGATCCGGAATTATCCTTTTCGTAATATCCAGTGGGAACGCGAAGCTAAACATCCAGGCGGCGAATGCTCAACGGGTCTTTGCGATAACAGTGCTCTCATGATTTTCCTCATACCACACTACAAGTCTCCCGCCCTAGACAAATAGTGCGAATTCGGAAATGTATCCAGGACGGTGTTCGAAAGGTTATACGTGGCTCAGTAAAGGTTGTCCCTACGTAGGATGGTCTTGAAGGCCCATACGTAACGTGATGAGCGTTGTTTCCATATAACCATCGTGTCAACTGGCAGTGGACCGAGATTCGTCCATTGGGTGCAAATGATCAGCATGCAGACTTATCGTAGTCGCGTACGGGAGAGCTGAGGAAAGGCGAAAGAGCCCTCGAGGTTGAGAGAGGAAGTGGGAAAGATGGGCTCAAATAGTATTCGAAGAAATAATTTGCTCAGGGTTTTCAACACCACAACCATGGAACAATAAAACTTAAATTCCTTGAGTATTGGGTTTTCAAGAAAGTGAGTATGTCCCCAACAGGGTCAATGACTTCGGATATCCCTGGCTCTGCGGCCTATATTTGCAGTGATTCGTGTATAAAGCACGCAGTGGCTCGAAAGTTGAGCTAATCTACGGGTTGAGGCGGCCGTCTCTCCTTAGTACTGCGAAACTTCAAACTTCCTAAGCTGCAATAAGCGTGATATCGACCAGGAGACGGATCAATAATATTAGGGGACCAAAAAGGAACCAGCCACAGGGAACACTCCTGGGTTTAGTAAAGAACACATTATATCTACAATGATCCTCCCATTTGCAGGATCATAGGGCTCGTATACGCCTGGTTTCGGCCTTCCTCCGTTCTTTGTCAGCCTTTCTGACCTGGTTCATACTTGGCTCCTGGCGGTCTCTTAAAGCGCGTTGTTCATTCAGTGCTTCTGCAGTGATATCGTCGAGCATGAATTGTCCGAGGTGACCAGTACGCCATCGCTGGATCATCCACAGGGCGGCAGCTTCTGTCTCTGGCACGCCACCCACCCCAAGCCTCCCAGTCTTCTTTGCCACGGCTTCAAGCAGAGGGACGATCTCGTTGGTCGGCTCGTGGTATTCGGCGTAAAGGCCTGGGTCGACGAGGTTGATGTGATACAGCAAAAAGTCGGCTAGGGTAACGGGAGCAATGATGGTGTCCTTGACGCTCCCGCAAAGCGCAAGTTTGAGCATGGCGTCGGCATCGGGCACATAGGGCACAAATACACCTGGAGTGTCAAGCAAGTATACACCTTCGGTGCCAGCCTCACCTTGAATGATCTTGACGCCAGATCCGATCTTTCGCGTGATGCCCGGTTGTGCGCCAGTACTCGCAGCCTTGCCCTTGCCCGTGCCCGCCAGACGCAAAGCGTTGAGAAGCGACGACTTGCCAACATTGGGCATGCCGACCACCATCATGCGGAAGCCTATCAGCGACACCCTGCGTATGGCGTAGTCTTTGGCGAACTTGAGGATTCGGCGGACGTCGCTCTTGTCGCGGTGGTCTGAGAAGAAGACTTGGGAAGGGGCATGCCATTGGCGAATGATCTGCTCTCGCTGTAGGACGATGCGCGTTAGGTTTTCTCGTGAGACGGGGCATGGAGAGCGTGGGCGACGTACCTGCTGGTCCTGCTCGTTACCCCGGCGGCCCAAGTCCTTCTTGGTGTAGACTATGAGTCGCTCACGGCCGGCCAGACTCTCCTCGAACAGCGGATTGGTGGAGGTGAGGGGCACGCGGTAGTCGCGGCACTCGATGATCAGGTCAATGCGCGAGAGCATCGACTTCATCTTGGTGAGGCCGGCGCGGTGGTGGCCGAGGAAATATGAGCGCGGCAGCGAATCGAGGGGCGGGAAGGCGCCGCGCGGGACGAAGCGTGAGACCATGGCCGAGGGATGTTGTCGCGCTGGGCGCTGGGCGGCATGGTAGCTGGATAGCTGGATGGACGGACGCGGAGATGCCAAGGGCAGGTGGAGCGCGTGTGGAGGGAGAAAAACGACGAATCGTTGGGCGCGGCCAGAGCGCGTGGTGAGGGTAGACGTCACCGATCGCGGCCTGAGATGCTGGCTGCCCCGGCCGACATTTAGCCCGCGCGCGCCGACTCTCGTTGCACCCTTCTTCTGTACAACCTTCTCGTTTCACCGTTAGTGACGGTTGGTGTCCCGCCCTTCCCTGTCTCTTCATCAGCCCGCGCCCTGGTCTCCATAACATTCCCAGAGCCGCATCCCTCGACCGGGCCAACGCTTGCCGTACCATGGCCAGAGCACTCCTGACGCCCTTCAGGCTCCTGCGCCGGGATTGGCGCAACCTGAGCGTCCGCTACGCCTCTGATTGGACCGTCTTCAACCAGCTTATTTTTGCCAGCGCGGTTTATGTCTTCTTCACTAACCTGCTTCCGGGCATCACCTTCGCCAGCGACCTGTACGAGCTCACCGGCCAGAACTGGGGAACCATTGAAGTCGTCTTCAGTACCGGCCTCTGCGGCGTTATTTTCTCAGTGTATGCAGGAAGCGACCCTTGGACTCCGCACGCACGGAACCCTCGTCAGAATGCTGCTGATACCAGGCCAACAGGCTTTCAATCCAACCGCTCACCATTTTGGGCGTTACTGGTCCATTTTCAATCCTAGCCGAGAACATCTATTCTCTATGCACCACCTCCTTTCATGTGAGAGCCCCTGCATGCCTTTTTGCATGCGCCCTGACGGTCTAGATCCCATTCCTTCCCTTCATGGCCTGGTCTCTCATTCACTCCTGCTGGATGCACTGGCTACTCGCCATCTTCAATGCCCACGACTATACCATGCGCTACGTCACAAGCTTCTCAACGGAAATCTTCAGCCTCCTGAACAGCATAATCTACTTCCACAAGGCTATCCAGGAGCTTGAGCGTGCCCATTCGCGCTTGTCGTTCGCCGCATTTCTCTACGCAGTCATAGGGTGCATTGGAACGTGCCTGCTGGCCATCTTTCTGGCGTCTGCGGAGAAGTGGAAGCCTCTCTTCCACCGCTACATTCGCATGGGCCTTTCCGAATACGCTGCAGCCATCAGTATCATCATCTTCATTGGAATTCCCTATGCAGGGGAGCTCGCAAGTCTGGACAAGGACACGTTGCACGTCAGCAAGTCCTTCCGCCCAAGCAGCCCTGAGCGGTCGGTGTTTTTCGTCAAGTTCTGGGAACTCCCCGTGGCCTGGATCTTTGCCGCTCTGATACCAGGCGCAATCATCACCGTCTTGTTCTTCTTCGATCATGAAGTAAGCAGCATCATATGCACCATCGACCGATACGGGACTCGGCAACCTGGAGGCTTTGCTTGGGACATCGTATTGCTCGGCACTACAACTGCTGTTTGTGGCATACTAGGCATTCCTCCGGCAAACGGGCTTTTGCCGCAAGCTCCGCTCCACTCAGAGAGCCTTATGCACGACGAACATGAAAGAATCCCGATGACAGACTCTACTGATGCAGCCAGTGAGGTGAGAGTGTCTCGCCGTGTCTACGAACAGCGATGGAGTCACTTCCTTCACGCTGCTGGCATTCTGGCGTTCGTCAGTCCTCCGCTTATGCACGTTCTGGGTTTGACTCCTACCAGCGTGCTTGCAGGGCTTTTCCTGTTTATGGGAGAACAGAGTCTTTCTGTGAAGTGAGTGGTTCGGCAGTCTGGTGTCGTGAATTACTTTGGCTAATGCTCTCCAGCCCCATCCTCTGGCGCACGTTTCACCTGCTTACACCGCCGTCAGAGTTGCCCAAGCTCCCTCAACAAGTGCGCTACGTGCCTATCCACTTATATACGCTGACCCAAATCATCGTGACCGTCATAATCTTCATTGTCACCCTGACGAAGGCTGGGCCGGCCTTTCCCATAATCATCATTCTCTTAGTGCCAATCAGGCTCCATTTCATGAACCGGGTATGGAACCGCGAAATCCTGAGATACGTTGATTCATGGGCATGCCGAGATGGCACCCCAGAGGACGACGAGGACCGAAGAACAGAATCCCGGAAGGGCCCTACAGTGCAGCCGGCAGGCGTTTCTACGGACGTAGAAAGCAGAGGAACTGAAGGGGGAGCCAGTGAACCGATCTTGCTACGAGAAATAGGCCCAGCAGCCCGAAAAGAATGACGGACGACACTGTTTGATGGGAGGACATTTTGATGATAGAAGGCCGATAACGTACCTCCCCGGCAATGCCTATATGGTCTGCTCTTCTTTTCACTTCTGATATACATATCGAACAAGAGTATCTTGACAAGTCTACTCTTCTCCCAAGGTAACAATATGGGATCCTAATATTGTGAGATATGATAGAAAGAGAATATTTGACGTGACAGAGCAGATGGCTTCATGAAAAGTGATACCTATAGTACCTAGCCCGGGTAGGAAGGCTGGAACAACGTTTCCCCGGCGCCAGGGCCGTACCTGCCATGACGACAGCTTGCCCCTCGCCAAGTCAAATAGCAGTCGGCGGCCATCTCCTGGCTCTGAAGCAACAATTCACCCGCAAACCATGGCGATGCCGCCAGCAGGATGAGCAATATCGTACAATCGGTAGAGGGGTCGGGCGGTGACGTCGTCGCCGCCGCCGCAACCGCTACCGAGAAGGCCGGGGGATGGCAGCGCGGCCCACGACCCGAAATGGCGTACCAGTGCGGAAATCTCGACGACTTGCTGGCCGCTATGCAGTACGAGGTCCAGACGCATTCGCAGAGTCTCATTCCCGAGGAGGCCTCTTGCCGGCTGCTGTTCACTTTGAATGCCGGCCTCGAGTTTCCGAAGGTGCGGAACGCATCCTCGGCATCGTCGTCGTCGTCCCTAGCAGCTGCGACCCCGCCACTGTCGTTGAACAAAGCGACAAATGCTCCGATTGATCCGGATCCATGCCCGGGCTACAGCATCGCAGCCGCTCTGTCGAATTTCTGTGATTCGAAGGAGAAGCTGAAGTACCAACGTGTCATCGCCAAGGCAATCATCACGACAGTTGGCGCAGCCGACGGCTTCCGGTACGCCGAAAGGCGCGCCACGGACACGGCCAAATCGGATGGGTACAGGTTTTGGTATGTGTGCCGGGACTCACTCCAAAACAAAGATAGAGTGGCGAACAAACGGGCGAGTGGGCAAGAACCTGGTCCAGGTATGAGAGCCCTGCCGCGTTATTGCCATGTCTCGCCCCCGTGACCCCTTGTGTCAATGCTGAGCTGAACCTAGATGCGAAAGATACCTTCGATTGCAAGGGTGGAGCCCGAGTCACCTTTTCGATCAAGAATCTCTGCATCGATGTCTGGTATCACCATTTGCCCATTCATGACTCAGCCTTCGAGCTCGATAAAGCGAACGGAGCTCAGAAGGAACAAGTACAGCAGCAAGAGACTGCAAGGTAGGTCACGTCATCGGATCTGTCTTTACTCTGGTCGCGCATGATTTCCCTCAATGTGCTCCCTGCAATTCGTTACTACTTATACTGCGAGCGTTGCTGCTGGCCTTGGGCAACTGGCTGATGCTTGAGTATAGTGTTTCGCAACCCCCAGTGCAGTATCAGCCCATGCCTAGCTATGCATTCTGGGAGACACCCTCGGGAACCGTGTCATCCTCTACACCTCAAACCGACGCAATCAAAGCGGGCTCATCAAAGAGGAAACGAGCACGCCCGAAGAAACCCTCGGGAAACCTGAATACAGAATCTAGCGGTCCTTCTTCCTCTCAGGATACACGCGGTCTTGACACGTTAGTTAACGCCATCACCGTAGATCTGAATGGGGGCATCAACGGCACCATCCCGAATGTCGCCGCTTCGTCTTCCAAGCCGAGGACGAAAAAGGCCAAAACACAAGCCGCACCGCAACCAGCATCGGCAGTTGCCACGTCCAGCTTGCACACTGCACATGCGCCGCTGCCTCCGGCTACAGAGTGCATCGACGGCACGAACCCAGGCCCCACCGCATCGTCGTCCAGACCGAAGGGAAAGAAGAACAAAAAGAAAACCACGGAACAACCAACACTGCCGGTCCCAGCAACAAGCCCACCACCGGCCTCGGTTTCAGCCTCAGCCTCAGTCCCAGATAAAAAGAAGCGAGATCGAGGTGGAACGAATCGCTGCTCTACCTGCTCTTCCCGAAAGATAAAGTGTGATGGGAAGCGCCCAATCTGCTCCGGGTGCGCTAAAAGCAACAAGGATTGCAGGTGGCTAGTGTCGCAGCAAATCCAAAGTTCGAAGACTAGCAGGAACGCGAAAGTCAGGGAGGGTGTGATGAAGAAGATGTCAAAGTGGAACGGAAGCAACCTGGGGTAATTCCGTCGGAGAACGTGGTCGGATGTTTCTCGGAGGATGAAGCATACCTGAGGTGACTGCGCGAGTGAGAGGCCGGATCCACACCAGTAAGTTACATCGATTTGCCAGATGGAAGCTCTTTGTCTATGCTATGAGCTGATTCTCTGGAGAGAAATATACCCATGTCCCTCGCACAACCAGCGTTGGGACCGTCCACCGACAATCGGCATATCTATCAGTCAGCACCAATGGACGACACACCAACCATTTGGTGGCCTGACACTTGGCGTTGCTTGCAGAGAATTGTTACTCTTCCTCGGTGGTGTTGTTTTCTCTTACAATAACATGCTATAGTATGCTATGCGTTAGTGTATGAAAACAGGGATTAAAGCTGGTAGCGCCGCGCATTGTCGGGTCAGCTCGCATATACTGCACAACAGCCACGTAGGTAGAAGACAATTTAAGACAGCATCACAATTAAGCTATGCATGCTACTCATGCACCTAGCGAAACAATGGGAAGGCATGATGTTTGTTTCAGCGCAGATGATCGACTCCTGTGCGGAGACTGCATCGGGCGAGCTGGGGTACGCCGTATACGGGATGAATGCCCGCAGAATTGCTAGCGTGCAGGCGGGCGCAACCTACATAGACTTTGGACCCTGAACCCGATTGACGCGCGGAAGGTATCTTGTGACCAAAGATTGACTCGGCCTATTGCATGGATGAAGCCGGTTGAAGGTTGCATTGGTCGCCTTGTTCTTGTGCGCACAAAATCCTTTGCTTCTTGTTTTTCTTCTTTGTTTCCTTTTCTCGGGTATGAATGATGTTTGCGTGCTCGAGGAGATGCGATACTTCAGCCGCAGACCCCCCCCTTCTTTTTTTCAGCGAGCTAGCCTTTCCCCCTGGCATGGCGAAAGAAATGCAAGGTGCATGGCAGAAGGACACGCAACTCATATGTAAGCGCTAAGAAGGATTTCTTATTCTTCTCCACCTCGGAATGTGTCGATTTGCTGCACGAGATCTAGACCTCGGTACACAAAGGCGGGTCTAACGATCGGCCCTGCGATACCCAACTCTAAATCAAGTTTTTTTTCCAACCACCGTCTCTGTTCTTTTATTCGCGCTGGCATTTGTTTATTTTTTGGGGGTGGGGGGCGCGCTTCTCCACAGCAGTAGTAGTGCGTAAGGCCAACACATACTGTGTACGTACGCCAGGACCGATGTGGTGTATGGTTTTGCTTTCCCCACCGGAGATTGAACCAGCGCGACGCCAAAGCGTTTGTTCAGCTCTGAAAGCGGAGATCGGAGATAAGGGGGCGGGAGTTGATTGATTATTGTAAACGCATGGGGGTTAAGTTAGAACCGGTCAACTGCATCCGTCAACGTAAGTGTGGGCCCTCTTTCGCAGCAGACTGAGATTGGGGATCGAACAGCCCGGTCGGGAATCGCAAACAACAGCATGGATGAGTCCCGCATCTTGGCGCTGGCTGACGATTACGATACCAAGACATGCGTTGACATTGATGAGCAGTGGGCAGCAGCCACACCGGCAGCGACAGCGAGGCGGTATGTATGCCGACGAAACCAGTGGCGAAGACTCCACCCCAGTCGGGCAGGTTGCACGGCCACCGGCTAACCGGCCTTGGCATCGAAGGTGGTGAGCGGGCGGGGAGTCGGGGAGTCTAGACGGGCGTCACCGCAAATCGCGTGGTTTGCTCGTCGATCACCGAAAGAGAGTGCGCAAAAAAAAGACGGGGAGCCCACGTCCTGCTCTCGAATCACGGCGCGGGGCGCTGCGCGACACGCGCCCGGCGATGGCGCCCTCCCGAGACCCGAGACTGCGTGAATGCGAACCACGAGAAAACCCACATGATTCGTGCCCGGCGAGTGTCGGATAAGCAGAAGCAGGGACGCGCAGGCGGGCTTGGTAAGGGCGTGTCGGCGGAGTTACGGACTTTAGGGAGCGCGGGGGGCTTACTACTACCTAGTCGTCGCTGGTGGTGCGTTATACAGCCCAAGCCGCCGACGACTGCGGGACGTCCGAGCACAATGGCGCGAACGGGAATGAGGGGGCCACTGGAGACAGGCGTGACGGGCGTGCCAGCAAAACACGCCACGGCGTTGACGGGATCACGATCTCCCCCGGGCGCGTGAGGGGGACTTGCATGATCAGTCGGTGAAAACGGACGGCGCGAGGAGGGGGAGTTGGGAAGATCCGGCATCCCGCCAGCATGTGGATGCGATGAGGTCTGGGAAAATCGGAGCGGACGCTCGCGGCTCGCCGGCAGCGAGGCCGTGCGCCGGTCGCGTCAGACGCACGGGAGCCCCTCTGGCGCTGGCCGCCCCGACTGCACACTACGAGCTGGCCGGCCACTCGCCATGAGGTCATTGGCAGCACCTGTTGGTGGCTGGCCGGGCAGCTTGAACATGCCCCGGGGGGCGCTAGCTAGCCTAACGTCGTTGTTGTTGCTGCTCCGCTGCTCCGCGCTGCTTGGTTCAGCAGTACCGGCGGAAGTAGGGGGCCAGCAGCACCGTGAAACCCGTGCAGAAGCGTCGAAACAGGCGGCCACACGGCCGGCTTCGGGCGGGAACGCAGGCATGCTGCGGGGGTCGAGCATGATTGCTCCCCGATGCGGTCCCAGCGCGCCTCTCCGACGCGGACCCGAGGGACGGGGCCCGTGGGCGCGGCTGGCGGCTGGCGGGAAGCAAGGCGGACATCTGTCGCGGATAGAGGCAGCGAGGGACCGCCTGCTGATTCGCTTTTGTTCGTTTTTGTCGCCGCTTCGGGCGCCGCGGGCGGGGCTTCGCGCGGAGGCAGGGCGGCGGCGGCGCTGCGGGAGTGCCGGGTCTGTGCGAGCGAGCCTGGTGCATTAGGAATGAATGATGGATCACGATGAGCTCACACCAGGCACCTCCGCCCTTCTTGCGCACTACTTCTACGAACCGCTCCCCTCGCCCCTCCTCCAGCATCCTATCCCCAAGCTCCCCCAATCCCCTCTTCCTCCCAGCCCGCGCGAGGAGGGGCCCGAGCCACGCCGCCGCACCGCCGCCGCATCGCCGCCCTTCCGCATCCAACAGCTCCGCCCATTCCGGCCCTGCCGCTGACACGTCAATCCCACCGCCGCCCACCATGGCTTACAAAGACGCAGCAAGACGGTACGTGTAGACGCGCTGCTTGCCACACGCCGCGCAGAGTCGCAGAGACCACACCTTCTCCAACTGGGCTAACTCGCTTGCTGCCTGAAACAGTCAAATCACTCTGGCTTTCAGCGCCTTTATGCTCGTCTACAATGCCACCTTCCTCTTCTGCATAGCCTATCTCCACGACGAGCTGCCCTCGGGCATAGGCGAGTCCCTCATCCTCTACTTCTGCGTCGCCGCCGTCGTGTGCCTGCTTGGCCTAGTCGGCACTATCAAGGTACGTCACCACCAGGAGGCCCTTGCTTCAGCCGAGCGAAAACGAGGAGCCTCAAACACCCAAACTCCACCGCACGTAAAAAACCGCACCCACCACGGACGAGAAATCCCCGAAAAGAAAAGCGGCCGAGGGAAAAAAAAAAAGAAAGAGAAAGCCCCACTGCTAACACCCTGCTCCGTCACAGCAATCCCAAACGTGCGTTGATATCTTTGCCAACCATGTGCTGCTCGACGCCATCCTCATGACCGTCCCGCGCGTCATCTTCTGCGCCTTCCTGTCGAGCCTGCCCGGCACCCTGTGCGAGCCTTCCGACTTCCCCAACCCCTTCCGGCCCCCGACCAGCCCCAGCCTGCCCTCGTCGGCCGGCGGCCGCAACGCCAACAGCCCGCGTGCCACCAGCCCGGACCGCTGCTTCGTCGTCATGAACACGCTGATGGGCCTCGCTGCTTTCCTGGCCGTGGCCAGCGGCGCCGCCCAGTGGAGCGTCGCCTTGCGGGTGCGCGAGTTCGCCAAGTCGCTGAACACTGACGGCCAGGACGGCCGTGACGATGTGGAGGAGAAGGCCGGTGCTGGCCTGGAGGACGGGCGTGTCCCGGAGGTGACGTACGTGGACGAGAAGAAGGGCGCCGTTGCGATGGCATGAACGGTTTTTGGAATGCATTCATGTTGGTGATTGAGTTGGGAGAGCGTCTGGCGCTCGGACGGTGATGACTATACCCCTAGTTTTTTTTTTTTCTCTTTTCCCTTTGATGATGATTAGATGAGCGACGATTAGTGTTCTAAAGATGAAAAGGATTGGTTAAAGTTGATGTGGGCCCTCTTCTTTTTGCATGCTCGTGCTCGAACTACTCGAAGATGACAGGCACATCTATGCAGCAAGTCTTGCCATGTTGCTCTACAAATGAAATGGTCAGTCATCTGGCCCTCGGTGTAGACGGCATTGCATGAAAGAAGCATCATTGGGCAGGGTTCATACCATCCGAACCCCTAACCGCCACTGTCTCCCTCACCCACAGCTTGCCTCCGTCGTCTCGCCAGAAGACATAACCCGAGCAGCGCCAACCCGGCTTCGCGTATCGCGTATACGTCCTGGCGGCCCTCAACCCGCAGCCTTGGCACCGGCACCGGCACGGCGTCCACGCCTGGATTGCCCCACAGTGGGTGCACATCTGCTCCACGCGGCTGACCCACGCGGCCGCCTGCAGCATGGTCCCGGTTCTCTCCTCATCGTCATCATCATCAACGGCAAGCGATGATTGGTTTGGTGTCAGTATTTCCTTGATGGCTGCCGCTCCGGCCCTGCTATTGTTCTTGTTCCGACGACTGTTGCTGCTGTTGTTGTTGTTGTTGTTGCTGTCGTCGTCTACACCTGCATCCTGCATCTGCATGTCTTGTTGCTGTTGCTGTTGCTGTTTGACTCTCACCACCCTCGTCAACCGTCCCACGTGCCAACAGCACACCCGTTGCGGCAGCTCGACCACGTCCCAGCCCGGCTCTCCCCGACGCTTCGCGGCTAGCGTGTCGTTGTCGTTGTCGGGTTTCCTGTTGCTGATGCCGTTTTCCTGCGCTGCTTCGTCACTGCTGCTTCCGCGTGCTCCCTCCGATGCCAACGCCGCTTCCACTGCCGTCTCCGCTCTTCCAAAGCTTGCCCAAGCCCGGTCCCAGTTGAATGGCGAGGAGGGATAATGGTGACGGCGACGATGGATGCCGGTGGCGGTGCGGGCGGGGCCCAGATCCTGCGCTGAACATGCTGGGCTGGCGGCGCTTTTGAAAAGGCGGATGGGGTAGACGTTGCCGCAGAGAGCACAGCGTTGTTGTTGTTGTTGTTGTTGTTGTTGCTGTTGCTGTTCGTGACGCTGCTGTAGTGTTTGGTGCTTTGATGGAACGCGGTTGACGATGCCTCCTCCGGTGGTCGAAGTGGATGGGGAGAGGTACGGCGCCAGGTATGTCTGAACGGCGACGCGGGCGCACGGGTCGAGCTCCCGCAGTGGCGGCGGTTGGGCGGATGCGGCTAGGGCGTGATGAAGGTAGGGATGCGTGAGCCGGAGAGACAGGTAAGCCGGGAAAGGAAGCTGGGCGCCGATAAGGAGGTGGAGCTCGAGCGGGAGGGTGAGGAGGGTCGGTGTGCTGTTTGGAGATGGGGTCGTGGTGCTAGTGAGATCGGCGGTTCCGGAAGGTAAGAGAGGGGGAAGGGTTGGACTTGAGAGAGTCATCGTAGGTGGGTGATTTGTTAAAGGAGAGTGAGCGCTGTTGTGTCTGGAAGTAGGGTCGCTTTGAATGTTGACGTTGGCGGTTATCGAAATAATAGGAAGTTGGAGATCCCCAGGTGAAAATCACGTCGATCCGGATATTAAATTGATCTGCGTGACCGGCTAGGACCCTGGAGCTCCAAGGGCTGTGAAAGATCACAAGTTTCAAGTCGAAACTGACGCCTCAAACTGCTCGAAAAAGCACTACACTGTGGTAAATGTTTCGACAACCCCTGTTCCAATATATTTTTGCGTCAGCCGTCTTCAATATATTACCATAGCAACGTTCATGGGAGACGGCCGGGGAATAGGGAAACCTTTCAAATGTTTTGCTCAAGTGGCTTTCCGAATCCTGTTTCTGGGTCTTGACTATCGCATGTGACATTGAATCTGCTCAAGGTTGAGCAGCTGCTCGGATGGTTTGGTTGCACAAAAAGGAGCCCAGGGAGGGAGACAGCTCAGACAGGATAGAGACGGAAAATAACGAAAGCTGCTGGATCTGAGACCATTAAGAGCCCGGAGCTGTCAGTAAGCTTAAATCATGCTGCTTCAAATGAGTGACCCAACGTGGTCCAGGTACGCCGCATGAGCGCCGCATGTGCCGCATGTGCCGCCTTCGCCGCCTTCGCCGCCTCCATTTGCTTGCACCAGCAAGCGCGCGGCACGCTCCCATGCCAGTGGAGATATTTCCTGGTATGCAAGGGCCCGCTTCTGATCGAGACGCCTACTTGCCATGTTGAGCTGTTTTCTTATCAGGGCCAGCGGCTAGGATGACGTTCGGCGGACCAGGCAGCACAGTGCGCGAACCGGACTTGATTGAGAAACCGTGGTGTCCCATGGAAGCGACTTGGGGGGTTATTTGATGATGCAATAATATGCCAGGCTAGGAGAGGAAGTGGTGGTCGGGTGCCTAGGTTCTGGCGGAAAAAGCGAGACACGTGCTTTCGAAAGAGTGAGACACAAATGACGTTCTCGAAGCCAAACGGCGCAGACGGGCCGTTGCGGCGTATGACACGGGAACCAAGGCACAAACAAGTTCCTGGGTACGAGTTGAGAGGCAGATGGGGGGTTGCGCGTGAGAGTTTAGGCTGAAAACAGCAGGATGACTGGAGACTGAGGGGTGAAGAAGGGAAAGTGGCATGTGCGTGAAACATGCGGCGCAGATGAGAAAGCAAAGGAGGTTTACATATGGGGAGGTGGAAGCACGAAAGCCACGGCCTCGCTGGGTGTCTGGATTCCTGCTGCCGGACTGAAACGGAAGCACAGCGACGGCGTGACGATGGGATGTCTGGCTCGGCGACTGAGTCGAGCTTCTCTATATCAGACGCAGGGACCCTCGTCCATGGGCAGCAGCCGGCTTGTGAAGGGCTAGTCGGGAGGGAAGCACGGAAGCCACGAGGATGCCGAACGCCCTCTGGGCGCGGCAGCTAGATGCTTTGGTGCTAGAGCATGCGGGAAGCGATAACGTACCACCCTCGAAATCTTAACGTACCACCCCGACCCACTTAAGTGGTATTTAGCGTAGAACGCTCGGTAATAACGAAGTAGTAATTAGTATACTCTCGTAGTCACAACACCCTCTCCTAGTAGTAGTACCCTCTAATAGTAGTACCCTCTATCGACCTCTCGTAGCCCTTTCGTAGCCGGCCTCTCGTAGCCGGCCTTTTACAGCTAGCCTCTCGTCGTAGCCGACCTCTCGTAGCCGGCCTTTCGTAGCCGGCCTTTCGTCGCAGCCGGCCTCTCGTCGTAGCCGGCCTCTCGTCGTAGCTAGCCTCTCGTCGCAGCCCTCTCGTCGTAGCCGGCCTCTCGTAGTAGCCCTCTCGTAGCCGACCTCTTATAACCCTTTCGTAGCCGGCCTCTCGTCGTAGCCGGCCTCTCGTCGTAGCTAACCTCTCGTCGCAGCCGACCTTTCGTCGTAGCCGACCTCTCGTCGCAGCCGATCTCTCGTAGTAGCCCTTTCGCCGTAGTAGTCCTCTCGTAGTAGCCCTCTCGTACTAGGGTCTTAGCGGTTTCTTAACGCTAGCCGTTAGCTACGAAAGGGCTACTACGAAGGGCTACGAGAGGGCTATAAAAGGCCGGCTACGAGAGGGCTACTCCGAGAAGCCGGCTACGACGAGAGGCCGGCTGCGAAAGGCCGGCTACGAGAGGTCGGCTGCGACGAGAGGCTAGCTACGAAAGGCCGGCTACGAAAGGCCGGCTACGAAAGGGCTGCGAGAGGCCGGCTACTAGAGGGTGCTATATTAGGTATTGTTAGAAGATTACGGATAGTGTTGCTTAACGACTATTCGTTCTTACCGAGCGTTCTACGCCAAATACCACTTAAGTGGGTCGGGGTGGTACGTTAAGATTTTGAGGGTGGTACGTTATCGCTTCCCAAAAAAATCAGGCGCCTGTCAGCGCAGGCAGGTCCGCTCCAGCATCGCGGCCGGTGCCATCCGTGCGACCTGGCCTCGTGTGTGCATGGCTAATAAGCGTAGGGCGCCGGCGAGATCCTGGCATCACTGAGCAAAACCTGCCGCTTTTGGCATTCGTATCTAGCATTACATATCTCATCGAAAACGTACATACAACACATGACCAATCACGGCGCCCAAACCAGATGAAAAAAGGGGGCCCGCGCCCTCGCCCATTATTGCGCCCATAGCCTGCACCCACCGCCTTTCCGCCCGTAGTGGTAGCTCCCTGAACTCCCACGTTGTGCTGACCCAGCATCTCTCCGGATCGTCGTCGGCCGGTCCTGATTCCGCGCGCCACTCATGCAACACCGACCCGTCTGATCTGTCACCCCCACCTTGGCACTCACGCCAGCCACTGCCGTGTTCACACCCTCACCTTCACGCTGCCTCCCGAATGTCCTGCAACGAGTGTCGGGGCGATGCCCGTTGCGGCGACGCCACAAAGTCTGCTCTGTTGCCCGGGCTCGGCGTCTGCATCTCGTTCGATGGGATGGTCGACAGGTCGCCCCGCGGCCCAGGTCCTGGCCCAAACCCGCTCTCCAAGTCGCCGACGTTCGCCCGTCCTCCAGCCACGGAGCCACGGACGTCGGGCAGGTAGAAGCCGTTGTCGCCCAGTTGCGGCGTGCGGTCGCCATCGCCACCCATCATCTGCTGGCGTGCCGGCGACGTGTTGATGTTGAGCCCCGACAGGATCTTGGCCGTCATCTCGCGCTGCTTCTCGCGCACCTCGTGGTACGGGTTCTTGGTCGGGTCGTTCAGGTCGTCGCCGTCCTGGCCCGGGTTGGCCATCTCGTACTCGAGGATCTTGATGAACTTGTAGAAACCGATCGCGAACGCGCACCCAATGGCAGGCCCGAGCCAGTAGATCCAGTGCGTGCTGTCCCACGTGTTGGTGACGATGCACGGACCAATGCTGCGAGCAGGGTTCAGAGAACCTCCAGTGTAGTAGACGCCGCAGAGTTCAGCAATGAAGAGGGCAAGACCGATGCCAACCGGAGCAATGAACGTGGCCTTGTGCTTCTCCTTCGCTAGCATCAGGATACTGCGTGACGTGTCAGACACATAATCGCTGCTTTTCGCCATGATTTACTTACGTGAAGACCAATTCAGCCGTCATGAACGCCTCGATGAAAAGGCCCTGAGCAATCGAGGTTCCATCGCTTAGTGTTGTGCGGACATTAAGTGGAGTCGGGAAGATGGCCAAGACAAGCGCTGAAGCTGTAATACTACCAGCGATCTGGGCAAAGAACAGACAGACCGAACGCCAGGCTCCAATGGCGCCTGTCGCGAACAGCGCCAGAGTGACCTGAAAGCGCAGTTAGCTACTATCTTCGATTTCAGACATGACTGGACATACGGCAGGGTTGAAGAGACCACCAGAGATACGGAAGAAGACCCAGACGTTGACCATCAGGGAGAAGCCGAAGGCGAGCGAAATGTACAGCATAACGGCAGGGTCGAAGCCGGTGGTTGCGTTGGTCGTAGTCGCCTCGGATGGGGTCGCACTTTTCGCATTGGCAACCTGAGTGCCAGCAAAGGCGAAAAACAGGAACATGGTCGTCCCAGCCCACTCACCAACAGCGGCTAAGCATTGTCAGTTGGCGAGTGAAAGAAGCGGGGCCATCGCAGGACCGTGCTTACCGACGAAGTGATTCTTAAAATCACTGTTCATCCACATTGTCCATGGCAGCCTGATTGCTAGGAGCTCGCTGTCCCTGTCTCTCGGTCGAGTACCGTCTCCAGCAGCCGCAGCATTGAAATACCTGGCGGCAGCATAATCTGCCATGTCGCCATAGTTGTAGGCTGCTGTGTTGTAGGTGCTCCTCCAGGAGTCTCTCGGCGGAGCAGATGGTTTGACACCATTCACGATACTCTCCGCCTTTGCCTTCTTGGCCTGCTCCTTGAGGTCGAAGATAGATAGCGGCCTTCCGTTCGGACTGACGAAAGCGGACATGTTCGGCTCGGGGGATGTGCTTCCACGGCTGCGCCATGTATCCCTGTGTGCCTCAGCCGCAAGTGTAGAGGTAAATGCCGAATTCGACCTTGCTCTGCCCATTGTGTTGGCATCAAAGTTCGTCTGTGTGCCAGAACGCTCGAGCGTCGAGGGCCCGGGCATCGGTTCTCTCTCCACATCCGCAGAATAGTCTGGGAAGGGATAGTCCTTTATGCTACCGGGTCCGACGTTCGACCTGCGCTTATTGCCCAGAAGTGATGATCTGTCCTGAGACCTCCTGTCCATAGAAGGATCACGCTCGTGCTCGTACGAGGTCTGGAAAGAGGCTCGGGACTGTGAGCCTGGAGTGGTAGCCTTAGGCTGTTGCGAAGAAGGGGTGGGTGTGCCGAGAGTCGGTCGCTCAATAGCGTGGCCACCAGGAGAAGGAGCTGCAGGGATGCCCGCAAGAGGGCTCATGCCGTCGAAACGACCTCTCGAAGGACGAAAGGGTTCATATCCACTGCCGTCTCTGGACGCAGCTGCCATGACCTAAGACCGCTATGGAAAGAGGAGCGAAATCTCTGCTGGGTGGTTAGTGACGTCAACTGTTGAGGTCGAGTAGTTGTCACGTACCAGAGACCTGGTCGGCGGGTAGGATATCGAGGTGGCGATAGCTTCCGGGGAAGAGACAAAGTGAATAGCTGGGGGGTTGTGGCTCGAAGGTATCGTGAAGGGCTTTAGCTCAGAGTTCAAAGAGGATTTATACTCTCTCACGAACAGGCACCCAGCCAGCCTTCTGAGACAGCCAGCCACCAGCAAATTCAGTCACCACAATCCCTACAGCGACTAAGTGTTCGCGAGACATGTATCTAGCGCGCGAGCGATCGACAGAGACCGAGCTTTCCCTATTGTTGCTACAGCGAACGGACGTTAGCCGGTGGCCGAGAACATGGAGACCCTCGACAACGGCGTCAGGAACAGTGCAGCATGATGACGAGCATGCAGAATCGGGAAGTGCCTCATGCGCCATGATTGGGTGGTTGAGGGCGTAAGGGTGTTCACTGGCAGGCACAGGCCTGATGCGGCTCATTGTTGAATCGCGATCTAACGATGCTGGGAGCGTTTCAAGGCTTGGGCAGGACGTCATGGGCGCTAAATCCAGGTACCAAAAAATGAGGCGGCACTCGACGGAAGAACGGCATGGTGTAGGGACCGAACGGCGGCCAGGATGGCATGTCGTCTGACGCTGGCGCCAACAGAGGCCGGCGTGCGCAAGCCAGGAACAGCCGGCTCCCACAACGGCGCGGCCGGCTGAGTCCCTCGGCGGTCCGAGAATCTCCGCCAGAGCCACGCGCTGCCAAAGGCCGCCTGCTGGGCGCATTCCAGCATGTTTCGGAACCGCTGACCGCTCTACACCGTTGTGCACGGCACTGAGCCGTTGTTTGGCATCGCGCCTTGTGGTGACATGTCCTGCAGCTAGAAGCACCATGGAAGGCAGCTAGAAGGCGGGACCGCGGCCATCCAATCAGCCCGCGCGCCTCACGGGCCTGAAACGGCAGCGCGCTCGTGTGTTGGGCATTCTCGTCTGCGCGTGGCAGGAAGAAGGTTTGCGTTGTGCCGAGCTGTCGGCGACGTGTGGCTGGCGATAGACGATCACTGCTGGGGGGCGGGGATCGCGAGGCCAACGACGGTGGTGATGGAGGCCCGACGTGGAGGATCTGAGTCGAGCAGTGCGGGGAGTGCAGCGCTGGCAGTAGGTATTGATATTTGTTGATGACGCGCCGTTGGTGCGGCGACCCGAGCACACGCGAGCCGGGTGGGCCAGGGGCTGCCGTCCTTCGTCGGCCAAGCAGGGCAGGTGCGGCAGGCGGCCTGGCCTGAGTGCTTGCGTGTGCCTGGCACGTGACCCGTGTCTCGAAAACATTGCTCCCGGCCAGGATGAAACTCAACCCTTCCTCGGCCCCGTCTCGCCCTTTCCCATCCTTTCTCCTGCATGAACGGCCGGGCTCGGCAAGAGAACCACGGCAGCTCGCCTCCCTGACAGCACGGCACGTCAGCTCCGCCAGCGCTCCGCCAGCCTGCCGCGCCCCACACTTATCTCCGATCATGTTTCAATCACCCGGTCTGTACGTAAACGTGCCCGGCCATTTTGTGTCACCGCGGATTCTGCTGCGGCCTGTACCGCGTCTACGTGCTCTATGCTGGGCAATCACCGCGCAGGTCGCAACAAAGGGCCACCCCGACGGCCTCCTGCGTCCTAGCCTTATCCACGGATCTTCTCATATCCGCCCTCCCGGGCCGCCAATCGATTAGATGAACTTCCTCATTCGGTAACTGCCGTTGTCGGATCTTTCCCAACTAGGAAACGCTGAGACTTGCTGGTGTGCTGTGAAGCATTCTTCTACGGCCGGCACCCGCGCCAAAGCGGCACCACCCGGTCCCCGTCGCCACATGGCTGTGGAGCTCCGACGCTGGCAGCATGTAGAACATCCGAAGGGGCCTCTAACCGCGGATTGCGAGCTACGCGATTCCTTCACTGAAGCGAGCTCCTTTAAAGCGCGCTGATGTCGTGAAGTGTTCGACGGAACCCCAATCAGCCTTCTTCGTCCTTTCTGTCTTGCCAAAATGAAGTCCTCCACTGTTCTTTCTGCTCTTCTTTCTTCTGCTGCGGCCACCTCCAGCCTGCGCGCCAGGGATACCACCTCGCGCCAGGTGTATCAGTTCGAGGAGGGTACATGGGTTGAGAACCTTGCTATTCGCCAGAACGGCAACCTGCTCGTCGACCTGGTCGACCGCCCTGAGATCTACCAAATAGATCCCAACAGCAACGGCTCCTCTCCTTCGCTAGTCTACCGCTTCTCTGGTGTCACCAGTGTCTTCGGCATCTCCGAGGTCTCCACTGATGTCTTCACTGTCATCACCGGCAACTTCTCGCTCTCCACCTTCGCCGCCACCCAGGACTCGTTTGGTGTCTACCAGATCGACCTCAGCGGCAGCGAAACCGGTGTCAAGAAGGTTGCGGACCTCCCTGAAGCCGAGTTCCTGAACGGCATGACGACTTTGAACTCCAAGTCAGTGCTCGTTTCCGACTCGCAGGCCGGTGTCGTCTACCGCGTCGACATCGAGACCGGAGAATACGAGCTCGTGCTCGACGACGAGACCATGAAGCCCCCGTCGTCGGCCTCGATCCCGATTGGTGTCAACGGCATCAGGGTGCTCGGTGGCTATCTCTACTACCAGAACCTCTTCGCGAAGCTCTTCTGCCGCGTCGCCATCGATTCGACCACAGGAAAGCCCACCGGCGCTTACGAGACCCTCGCCACGAACGCCTACGCCGACGACTTCGCCATTACCGACGACGCGGTCGCATACGCCGCGAACGGCTTCGAGAACGAGATCCTCAAAATCACGACCGCCGGCTCGGTCGAGATTGTTGCAGGCTCGCTTGACTCCACTCTCGTCGAGGGTGCCACATCAGCAGCGTTTGGAAAGACCAGCCAGGACAGCAGCGTCCTCTACGTGACCACTGGCGGCGGCCTGGCTGCCCCGATCAACGGCACATATACCGAGGGTGGAAAGATTGTTGCCTTTAACGGCCTTATCTAAAAGCTTGTAGCTGCTGTAACAAGAAGAAAATCACCTGAAACCTGAAGCCCGCGGCTCCAAGGCCTTCCGCTCCGTTCTCGCTGTTTCGTCTGGTCCCACCCCCCGGCCGACCCTAACCTACCTCGTCCACCCGCGCCCATCACAGCTCGAAGAACCATCCCACCGTTCTCTTGCTCCAGCTCCTTCCATAAGCCAGCTCCCGGCATTTGTCGTGTAGCGATCCCAATGTCACACCCTCCTCGCACTCCACCCACGCCTTGACGCTCTGAAACATGCTCGTCCCGTAAATCAAAACCTCGACCCGCCGCGGAGGCGGCTGCGAGATGAGCATCCGCCTCCACGTCGGCGTCACCGTCGCCGCGACGATATTCGAACCCCCATCCTCCGCCGATCCCGCAGCAGCAGCAGCACCACCACCACCACCACCACCAGCCCCAGAATCCTTCCGCCACCACCGTTCCTCCCCCACCCCCTCCCCCACCTCATCCAACCACTTCATCGCCACCATAGGCATATACCCGCCATCGTGATCCTCATCCGGCTCGTCGTACCTGCCCAGGCGAAATGTGCGCGCGACGAGCTCGTTCGCGACGGGCACGAGCCCGCGCGGCAGCTCCCCGGGCGCGCACCGGTTCGCCGTCGCGGCGCCCGGCGGGTTGAGCGGCAGCAGCGGGCCGCGGTCGGCGACGGGGGCGAGGAAGAGCGCGCGCCGCAGCGGCAGCGACGCGCGGGTCGTGTCGCGGAAGCGGCGGCTGACGCGCGCGGCGCGGGTGAGGAGCGTGCGGGTGTCGAGGGAGAGGAGGATGAGCTCGAGGAGCTCGGTGGTGTGGAGGACGGTGGTGGTGGCGGAGGTGGGGGAGGAGGGGGAGGAGGACATGGTGGTTCGTTCTATTTTGGATTTTTTTTTCTTTTGTTCTTACGGGATGGTTGGGTTGTTGCGGCTCGTGGTCGAAGATGTGTTCCCGTGGTTGTGGTTGAATGATGATCGTGTAACGGTGATTGCTTTATGATTTGCGGCTGGGGTCGTGTTGATCGATGCTGTGAGGTTGTGGCAAGTAGCGCTCATGACTCGGGACAATGCAGTGCCTCAACACAGAACGAACCATTTGGCATTTGGCATTCGACGTAGGGCGCGTGAAAGCGTTATTATTAGTGCAGCAACATGAGTAACTTTAAATGCTCTCCCCCTAGCTAGGCAGCAGGCTCAGACGGATCATTTAGTCCGAAGTCGATCCGGAGGATTCGTCCGGGTTACAACGTTAGAACCACAGGGCCATTGCTGTGGAACCAATGCTTGAAAGCTCTCCTTGCTGGAAACGGAACAGCAGTGAGAGAAAGTGACGGGCTCAGCGGCCATGATTCGCATGGTCTGATCTGGCAAGTAGGAAAAGGGCTGAGGACTGGTCGTGTGCAGGATGGGTCGACGAGCTCCCTGCGCTGGTAGTATCGTCGCAAGTCCCACGGCGGTGAAAAAACCATTGGAGGCGATGGGAGGGTTTGTGGGAGGGTTTGTGGACATGTGATGCCCAAGGCACAGCGTGGAGAGTGGTAAGTTGCGGCAACGACTTTGCGTCCTTGGTCGCGTCGCGGGGAGTTGGTGGGGAAACGCAGGTAAACAGTGCACGTCATCAGGTCACCCCAGCCATCTCGTCCCCAGCCTCCCGATATCCGCGCTCCACCAGCCACCCGCCTCGCCCGCAACCACAATTATCCACGCCCGCCGCCGCCTTGGACCCCAGACTTGTGCCTGCATTCTTCGCCCTTACTCAAAGGCTAGTCTGCCTCTCTACCCAAAATTCACACATTCTGCTCTGCCCCTCCACGTGCGAGCCGCAGACCAGGTATCCTCTGACGCCCGAGCTTTGTTTACGAGCCCCACACACCCTCGACTGCGTTGCTGTACTGAACGCGAGAACACGCGTGTTCTTCGAGCTGCGGCTCAGTCCCGAGGCACCCCCAACTACTCGACCTCACAACGACACATAGAAAAAGAAACAAACCTCTACCATGGCGCCGCTTCCTCGTCTCCTCAACGCCCTGCTCCGTCGCGGGGCCTCACCCGACGCCAATGCAGCAACCTCCGCTGCCTCCAGCATGGAACCCACCGTCCACGAAGTGGTCAAACGCGCGTCCAAGTCGGTCGAGTTCGGCTCAGGTGCACGCCCGGCAACCGACTACAATAACCAGGGCTTCCTCGCCCTGTTCGCGCTGATCGGCGCCGGCATGGTGCTCGGCTCCATCTGGTTCTTCTTCTGGGCCAAGAACGGTGGCTTCAAATGGCGTGGCAAGGAAGACTGGGACGACTACAAGAGCACCGTTCTGCGTCGCAAGGGTCCGGACGGCCGCACGCTGTCCAACGCGACCAAGAGCACCAGGCTGGGCGGCGGCAGCGTCGTGCACGGTGGCACCCACGGCGCCCCGACCAGTGTTGGCTACAGCGACACTACCTCCATGGTCGACGAGAAGGAAGAGCAGCGCAGAGCCGGCGAAGGCATCAGAGGCGGAGACGGCCGCAGAAAGCGCCGCAAGGAGAGAGATCCCGAGCTCGCTGACTACCGCCACGAAAGGCCCGCTCGTGTTGGTGGCATCAACCGTGTTCCCGACGGCACTCACTACGACTATACCAACACCGAACCCTCTGAACTTGGCTCTGAACTGTCTCAACGGCCTCTCGTCAAGGATACCAAGCCCAAGGACACGAAAGCCGCCAAGAAGGAAGCCGAAGCACGCGAGAAGGAGCTCCGCAAGGCACAGAAGGAGGCCGCCAAAATCCAAAAGGCCAAAGTGGCAGAGAACAAGAAGCGCGAGAAGGCCAAGGCCAAGGAGATGAAGAAGGGCAAGAACAACACCAACCGCTCCTACTCTCCCGCCGCGCCCGACTCGCCCGAGCGCCGCACCCATCGCCGCTACGACGACGAGATGACCGAGTACACCGAGGCGACAAGCTACACGGGCGGCTACACGGCGACCGAGGATGCGTACACGGACGTCTACACCAACAACGACGACTCCTACTACTCTTCCTACCGGCCGAACGCCGAGGCCAACATCGCCCGCCCCGCACCCGCCGCTCGCTCCTACGATACGCCGTCATCCTCCCCTCGTCAGCACCACCGCAACTCGTCTCGCCGCAGCCAGTCGCACACTCGTAGCCAGTCGCACACTCGCAGCCAATCTCACATCCGCAGCCAATCGCGTACGCGCCGCCAGAGTAACAGCAGCCCGCGCAAGCAGAGCAGCAGCCGTCACAACAGCCGCTCCCGTCACGGCTCGCGCAATGATCTCGGCGGTAGCAGCGTCACCGGCGAAAGTGACTCCGGCACCAAGGTCTACTCGCACTTCATCCCCGGCCTAAGTGGCCCCGCTGCGCCCCCGACCATCTTGCCAGACGAGAGCATCAGCCAGGTTGGCGCGCCCGGTCGCAGGGGCCGTAATGTCATGGATGGCTACCGGAGGACCGCACGCCGCAACAGGAGGGATAGCTTGAGCGATTCGGAGTAGAGAGACTACTCGCTTGAGATGCTGCGCTTCTGACATGGGCGCTGATGATCAGCGTTGGCATGTTGGGGGAAATCTTTCTCCAGATTACTTTTGTTTTTTTTTTCTTTATTTCCCAACTTGTAACGTACATAATGATGACGGGCAACTGAGGTGCCTTGCCCTCAGGACCCCGGGTTTACGGAAAGCAATGGCTAGCAAGCGGGAGTTCAGGGTCATATCAGGCAAGGTGTTCGAACCGGGATGACGGGTTTACGATCGGGATGATCAACACACGAAGTAGATGGTTGATGGTACGGAGTGATGGATACCATGATCAATGTAAATTTTCCAGGGCATTTGCATTGTTGCGTAAATGAGGAAATGCCGGGGAACACGTGCGGATGGTGATTCATCGTGGATCTAACGTCTCTTCCCTCTCAAAACAAAGGAAAAGGGGGGTGAAAAGGAACTACATCTCCTGATACCTACAACCTCCTCCACATCAAGCAAGCAATCACTGCATAGCATCTCGCCTTGACGCACGCCTCATTATCCTCCTTCCGTGATACTATCCCACGTTTCCACTGCCAGAGGACCGAATAAGAAAAGGGTAAGAGCTAAGGAAAATGTACATACATCCGAGCGTCAAGACACAACACGGGACGATCACGCACCTCACGTCGCAAGATCCAAGAGATGAGAAAAAGTAAAACCACATAAAAAAAAAAGAAAGTGAAAGGCAGCGGAAGACCCGAGCCAAGGATTCCAAGTACTCGGTCCATCCGAGCAACAACGCACTTCTACATACTGCTTCTTCTGCCATTCCCTGGTAGCCAGCCCCCGTCTCCATTCAGCGTCCATCAAACACCCCAGTCTACTTTTCTTAGCCTTCCAGTCAGAGGTTCCACACACGCATGCGCGTCTGTCTCACTGGCGATGAAGATCTTCTCCCGTTTACTGCACCATCCCCAGGTCGAAGCTGCGCGTCCGACCATTGGTCGACCGTTTTTGCGCAAAAGGAGAAGAGAAAAGAGAGAAGGAGAGCGTGCGCGTGCGCGTGCGCGTGCGCAGTCGCACATATCCCATCTCCTCTCACTGCATGCATGCGCGTCCATAACGTATGCACATCATGCCCTACAACACCGACGACCGCTGACGGCGCGTCGACGTGACATGGAATGAGTTCTTCCAGTCCCCAACTCTACCGCCGGCGCCCTTCCGGGTGAGACACACAAAAGCTCTTTTTCCCTATCTTCCGCGGGCAGCTACATGGAGAGGGGAGGGGAGGGGAGGAGGACAAAGGAGAAATATGCGGTGTAAGGTTGCGTTGGTGCCGTGATTCTTGTTCTTGACAAGAGCCAAGGAAAGTCGGGTACGTACATACGTAGATGGTGGATGGGAAACCTTGGTAAGAAGGAGAGAATGAGGAGGCCTTGCGACACCGCTGGCTTCTCTATTTTCTTTTGCTTTTCCTGGACTTTCGCCTTCTGTGCGAGGTGGGAAAGGGAAGTACGGGAGCAAACGAGGCGGTGGTTTATTTTTCCCTAGCTTCTTGCTGTGGGAATGGTTGGGAGCAGTATTTTTTTTATTTTTCAGGTATTCATTAGAAGGCGCAGGATCGAAGAGATGCGATAATATAAGGCCAGTTCCACGGACCCTCTAGAACGTCCCGTCGCTTAGGCTGGCTACGGAACCGAGGCCGCGGTAGTCAGGCATGGCAGTGGACGAAGAGAATGCAGCAAGGTTTTCCCAGCGATGCAACGAAAGGTACACAAGACTAGCAGATGCAGGGCAAACCCTACACCTGGGATCGGAGGCCTCTCAGTGTCACGCCACCTGACGGACCTCTGGACAAGATCCTGGTAGGTATGTAGATCAAAGAGCCCAGTCACTGATTCCCATCTAACTACCCCGTCGTCCGTGGTCGCCTGCATTGTATGTATGTACATACATTCTGCCAACGTGCATGTACGATGCACGCACATGCACGACAGTCGAGACGCAGGAACATCCCGCCCCGTTCTACGGACAAGCCTTGACTTTGGACTCGTTACGCTGTTGACGCCATGCATCGTACCCGCGGCAGCCCTGCGGCAGCCAATCCCGACTGCGGCCACACTGGCGCCTGTCACAAGCAAGCAGGCAGGCAGGATAACCATTTCTTTTTCTTTCCGTTCAGCCGGGCATGTCCGTCCAGCCAAAATATACGACTTTTCTGATTCGTGCAGGCGCCGAGATTGCGCGCGGGGGGGGATCAAGGTTTGGGGGGAAACGCCCCCAGTAGCGCGGCGGCGCCTTTGGACCGTCCCATGCATTGTGATTTCGAGAAAGCCGTGAGAGACGGTGCGGCAAGATCGACGAAGGTCTCGACCACCGCCATCAACAGCCACTTTTCTGACAATTGTGGAAAACAACGGGGGGGGGGAAAGAGGCTGGGAACAGGCGCTGCCGCAGTACGCCTCTCCGCCTCACATTCGCCGGTTCCGTTCTCACGTAAGGCGCCGGCTTATCTATTGGATGGGGGACCGAAGGTGCGATTTCCCAAACAAGCAAGGGCGGCATATCGGCGGAGAAGGAGCCGCACTAAGAGAAAGTATGGATGCCAATTTGGTTGCGGATGAGGGCAGGGCTGAGCAGAGGGTCGAGGGGTTTTCCAGTCACACGGCTGCTCTGGTTTTGCACACCATCAGTCAACGGCGCCAGTTGGAAGCGCATACAAATGCGGAAATGTCGTCGCCTCAGTCTAGCGTGAGAGGCATTGCCAACATCGATGACTGAGCCGGTGGCGAGCATGAACGGTGGCGGTTTTGCGTGTTTTGGAAGCCTGCGACGGTGACGACCATGGCAGCGCTTGACCGCGAAAGAGGAAGGGAATCAGCCTGACGGGGCGTTAGCGACAGGGAAAACGGGAAAGACAGATAGGACGGGATACGAAGAGGGCTGTGGCTCTGATCAACGGTGGCGAAAATCCAGGCTCGCCGCGGTGTGGGTGGCTGACGCGAGAAAGCAGGAAAGGGAATGGAAGCGAGCAGGAAGTTGAGAAAAGCAAAAAGTTTAGATGATAGAATGCTCGTAAGGCAACGAGGCACCGAGGAATCTGGCTGAGGCGGCAGGCGGGCGCATAGAGCGGTGGTGAGGTAACGCTTGGTTGTCAGCCACAGGAAGCGGCTGCTGCATCTTGCAGGGGCTCCATGTGTACGACGACGGTACCAGACGCAAAGGTCACCGGGTAACTTACTGCTCGCATCTGGCAGTCAGCGGTGAAGTGCAAACCTGGAACGAGGCGAGGCAGCAGCCGCAGCGCAGCCGCAGCTGCAGCAATCGATGACGCAATGTGTGGTCCGCGGGGCAACCGACAGTTCGGGCCTCTTTCCTCTCGCTTCGGTGTCTCAGCAGCTGCGGACGCGTGAAGAGCAGAGGCTGGGGGCACGGAAATAAGAACGAGGATGACTAAAAAGCGCGACAGGGGCGCAAAGCCTCATTATCAGCCGGGGTTGTCATGCTCCGCCTCACGTCCGTCTTGGGCGCAAGCGCACGACGTCTGGTGGATGAGGGGCGCGGAGAGGAACGGGGGTCGGAGTGTGGGAGTAGCATGGTGCCTGTTTCATCGGGACGGGCTACTGCGTCGTGCCCAAACAGGCAAGAGCGTGAGGCGGAGGGTGGCCGACGGAGCGAGAGAAAGGGTCGGCGGCAGCGGCGCGACGTGCAGCCGGGGTGCATACCCGAGAGGATTGGATGGCAAACGAGCAAACGAGAGGAGGACTGGCCGTCGCGGGCGGACGATCGGCCGTGATCTTCAGGCGATCGCAGACGTGACAGCGGGGGAAGCACGAAAGGCAGCTGGACCCTGACTCGCGCACTGCCATCTGACCTCTCATCCAACACCACCGCACACCCTCCCACGAGTCCCACCACTCGCCCCGCCCGCTCCGAGCCCCGTCGCCGAGTCATACGCTGCTCGCCGTGCATTACGCGCAGGACGCGCACAACGCGGCTGCAGGCCTGCCGCCACGCCCTGATAGGCCTCCGCCCGCTTCCCCTGCGTGTCGCCGCAGGGACGTTGCATCCACCCGAAACATAGCCCGCTCAGACTGAACATGCGGAAAACCCACTTGCCCACGCGTCGAGTATGGGGAAAGGCGGCACGGCGGCATGGCGGCGCAAAGACGGCCGTCGACGACATGTCTCGATCGACTCGAACACGGCCGCCCTGACCGCTGCTGCCACACTGTCGTCTTGTTGATGACCACCCACCACCGTTTCTCCGTTTCTCCCCGGCGGCGAAAAGTACGTATTGCCGTAAGTCTGCTGCCCGGCGCTAGCCTGTCGCATAAGCTGCCACAAGCCCGCCCTCGGCGCCTCACATGATGGGCCGACGCATCACGTCCACGCCCGCGCCTCCTCCCATCGCAGCCGAGCGTTCCGCCCTCACCCTCCAAATCCCACCGTCCGATTATCAGCAAACCACCGCAGGGTAGCCCATCCAAAACCACATCTGGGCGGAATGTGATAGCACTATTGCTTTCCAATCAATGGAAAAAATAATAGTATTGTTTCTCGTCTCGGACGAGGCGGCGGGGAAGGAAGGCGCGCCACACCGCCGCGATATCCTGGCTTACTACTCTTACCGCCCACACCTTTCTCTTCACCGCAACCCAAAACCCAACCCGATCAGCCCCAGCCCACGCATTGGAAAGCAAGCGAGCGGGAAAACAAGGAAGAGACCAAAAATAACACACACACGGAAACCAAGGCTCAGACGTACCATAGCCATGGCCTTTTTCGGCCGTCGTCGGCATCCCCGCCTCGGCCCAAGCCGCAAGCTTCGGGCTGCCCATGATTTCATTAAATTGTATTCCTTCCAATCGCTAGTGCCTCCGCTTCATCCCGAACGGAATTTGAGAAAGAAGAGTCGATGATGATGGTGCAAAGAAACAATCGCCATGTACTAACAAGCGAGGCGTCGCTAGTTTTCCCATCTTTCTCCCATGGGCAAAGAGAAAGAAACAAAGCCTCGCCTCGGCCTCGCCTCGCCTCGCCCAGGCCCTAAAATACACCACCAGCTAAACCAAGGAGCAAAGGTGGCGCGGCCCACGCGCGCCACACATAGACATACACACACACACTCACTCACACACATACGAAGACCAAGAAGGCTTTACCCGCCCATGACCCAAGAAACCCCTGCATATCTCCCGGCCGTGGGCGCGCGCCCCGTGGCCGGCAACATCCATGGCCCTAAAAGAGCCGCATGATGCTGCCTAGCTCAAGCTTTAGCAACCGAGCTAGCAGCAGGTCACTCGACCGACCGACCCGCCCCAAACGCGGGTATCCACCACTGCCACCACCACAACCACCACCAACTGCCCGACGCCGCAGCGGCAACAGCCCGGCCGGGGCGCGAGTGCGAGTGCGGCGCAAAAAAAAAAAAAAGATGGACTCATACGCGCATCATCCATCCCATCCTCCCCCTCCAATGATCCAACCTACTACCGAGCTTGTGGCTGTGAAATCACCTAGTGCATCTTGCCCAATTCTCCATCCAACCCATCCATGAAAGGAACATACACTAGTAGGGGAGGGGAGGGGAGGGAGTGGGAAAATCACACAGCCGCCTAAAGTCAGGCAGACCCACCATCCCCGGCAAGAGTTAGTTAGTGATCGAGAAAAACGCAGGAGGGAGCGATCGGAAATTCCTATTTCGTTGATGCCTTGATTTACCCGCGATCTGCGCACCACATGCGGAAAGAAACGCCTTTCGCTAGCCAGGGTTGTGGCTGGGGGGTGGGTGGGATGTCGGTGTGTGTGTGGGTGACTGTGTGAGTGTGCCTCGTAGTTGGGTTGTTGCGTGCGTGCGTGCGCGCGCGCGCACGTACGCACATGGGTGTACCTATGGTGGGCTGGTGGGCTGGTGGGCCGGCGGGCGGGCGGGGTGGGGTCGTCGGTTGGTGTGTGTGGTGGGTGTGTGAGAAAGGAAATCCAGTCATCCACCACCTATCGTCATCTTTCTTGCTCACACACACACGCACACGCACACGCACACCGTTCGTTTATATAGTCCCGCCCACCTACCCTCGCCCCCCGCCCCCATTTACCACCTGAAGATCTCCCGTTTTATCCACACCCACCCGCTGGATAACAACTTTCTTTTTCCTTTGTATTCATAATACAAACCGGGACCGTCTTGTCGTGCCTTAACACACGACGCGACACCTCCACCTTCGTTCGATCAGCTGGCGTACCAACGCCTGCGAGGCTGCTGGCCCTTCAGTCGTCTGATCAATAAGAGAGAAAGTGAAACAGCAAGAGGCGAAACCAGCGGCTTGCTACAGAAAGAGAAGAAGAAGACGAAACGGGACAGAGGAAAGAGAAGAAGGCAGAAACAACAGTCGCTTACCGTATCGACGACGACAACGACGACGGGTGACGCAACCCCGCAAGAACAACAACAACAACCTACCTTGGAGCAATCGGAAGGAGACGCGACAAGCACGACCACGATGCCCAACCAAAAGGCATCGTCCCAGCAACACCACAGCCGCCGACACTCGTGGCCGCCCTTCTCGGCGCGCCACCTCCGGGCCGTCGCACCCGTGCACTTCCACCTCAGCCCCTCGGGCAGTTCGAAGAAGCGCGCGGCAGCAGCGGCAGCAGCAGCAGCGGCGGCGGCGGGAGCAGCGGCACCCGCCACCATTCCCTTCTCGCCGTCTTCGTCGTCGACCAACATATCGCAAAGACCGCCGACGCCATACGTCGTGGTTTCGCCGCCGACGCCGCCCGAGCATCCGCCGGAGCTCCCGGACATCGACGACGACCCGTTCGCGCATTTCCTGAGCCCGATGAACGAGGAGGACGACCCGTACGACGAGCTGTCCTTCAGCGCCGGCATCATCCCCTCCGACGACAGCGCGACGGACGAGGACGAGGACGGCGCTGTCGGGGGCGGCGGCGGCGGCGAGTGGGACGACGACGAGACGAGGAGGATCGAGGAGGAAGACAAGCTGAGGAACAAGCTGGCGCGGCGCTGGGCAAAGTACATCGCCAAGTACCGAGCGGCGGAGGAGGAGGAGGAGGCAGGGCTGAGGGGGGATGGGCAGGAGGCGCAGCGGAAGAGGAGGAACGACGAAGTGGCGGTGACGGACGAAGGGTACATGAGCGAGGACTGCGGCACGCCCGTGCTGGTGAGGAAGCAGAGGCCTGGTCCCGAGCCGCTGGAGCCCTACAGGACGGTCGTGCGCGAGCCCACCAAGGGGAGGGCTCAAGACCTGGTTGACGGGAGGATGAGGAAGAGGAGGAAGCACCGCCATTCGTGGAGGGCGCCGGACCAGGACCTGTTCACGGTCGTCGAGGAAGGCGAAGGTGCCATGGATTCCGAGATTGAGCAGCGCTACTTTTCTACGTGAGCAAGGCTAAAGGAGAGGCTGGGGCCATACAGGTGAGGAGCTCTTTTTTTTTTTTCTCAAGCATAAGGTGTGGGAGACTGACCAGGGCTATTTTCTAGTTTGTTAATGCGCAAGCCCTGAGTGGCTGCGTTCATCCCCCGATTGATTTGGATTCATCGTCATCACCGAGGCTCAGAAGTTGAGCGGTAGCAGCAATGCTTTCGATGCAGGAGTCAGACTTCTTTCGACCAGCGCGACAGATCGCAATCTGCTTTTCACCGATGAGATGCTCTTCCTGTTGGACACGATGCTGTGTCTTTTGACGGCAGGGGTCCTTAGATTGTGCCGCCCGCGGGATGTGGACCCTCAGGCGTGGGGCTGCAGCGATGCTGGCGGTCTGGGGGCCTGGCTTGCATCCGCCATGGTTGTCTTGCACTGGATCACTTCGACTAGCTGCACTGCGGCAAGCCGGGCCGTGGTTAGCGTGTTCAAGACGGTGGCAGCAACACCGGTGGTGACGGCATCTGCAGCCATTATCTTTTGCGAATCGTTCGGCGAGTGGCTATGATAAGCGGTGGAGATGGGGCGTTGGTATGCGGGCAGATCTTTCTTGGTACTGTCATCTCGGCCACTAGAGCGGGTCGTTCCTTCTTCGATTGCGGCTAGGCCGGGGGGTAGCTGAATGTTTGGTGGTGGTGGAGAAATCACGTGGAGCCGCAGTAGTGATTGACAGTGGGATATTAGTAGCATGTCTTAACGTGGTCTAGAATGCATCATCGTTTACGGCGCGGAAGTGAGATCTGAGAACCTGGCGACCGGTGCTGCAGCGGCAGGCGTTCCCGTAGGCTGGGAGGCCGAGTCCGTGGCTTGCAGGCGCACTTGTAGGCAATGGATGACGCGGTTGGTGAGACAGAGTGGCCAGTAAGGCTTCGACGGCTCTCTCCACGCCGGCTCGAACAGAGAGTCGATGCTGCAGGTGCTGCTGCCGTTGCTGCCCGACGGCAGGGGTATCCTGATGAGCGTCGAACGGCGAGCGGTAGCGGAGGCCCTTCTTCCTTATTGCTCTGCGGTAACCGGTCCGAGTCGCGACATCTCTTGAGCAAGCAGCAGGGCCTTCTGGCGATGCAGCAGAGGCTGGGAACCCATGGCAGACGAGCTGGAGACGGAATGAAACAGTTTCAATTGAGGATACTTTGAGTAACGAGGGACCAGACCACTAAACGCCCGAGTTAGGCAGGCTTGCGCACGATTGGCCAGACCGGGGGGCGTTCTTACGAAGAGGAATGGAGGAGCGTGGGTTGGCCAGGAACAGGCTGCTGGGAGCGCAAGGGTGGTGGTGACGGGCACATGGCGCGGGTTAGGCTTGCAAGGCTTGCAGGGCTTTTGCGGCGCCTTCCAGAAGCAGAAGCGTGCAGGCGCGGCACGGCCGGCGTAAGTGGAGCTGGAAGCATTGGAGACACAGGTGGAATCCTCGTATTACGGTGCGAGCCAGCAGGGCGGGGCGCATGTTTCCAGCACGACGGGCATGCTGGACCCAGCCACCAGGCCACGGAGCGATCGGCGCGGCCCTGTGGCGCTCCGCGATCGCCCAACCCGGCGGGCCCTCGCGGTCGCTAGCCTCTTGAACTCTCCATCTTGCATCGGATCTCTAAGATCTGGCGGGCCCGCGGCCACGGAAGGGGGTCAGCAGCGAGGTTGCATGCTCCGCGCCACGCGCCTCGTGGCTCGCCCCAGCTGCAGCAATGCGCAATCGTGGCAGCGTGCCGTGCCATGCATGCGACTATTCTGGCGAGACGCCGCGACCAGAGCAGAAGTGTCGCCTCCAAGTTCCATCGCCGTCCTGACCATCTGAGTCCAATAGCGCAAGGGCGCGCGCCTGGCGAGCACCTTGGCAGCCAGCGTCTTCGGCGAGAGCTGACCGGTCCGTCTATAAAGCTGGCGGGGGGGCCGTCGAGAGCCGGGGGCCAGCATCAGGAACGCAGCAGATCGATTCCGCGGCCGACGGCTCCCTCCTCTCGTCCGCCTAGGACCAGTCGCATTTCCGCATCTCCCACGGCACAGCTGCAGACTGCACCGCGGCCGTGCCCACCACCCGCACTCTCGCATCGCCGCTTCGGCAATCGCGCGCCTTAAGGTTGGTCCCGCTCTTCCGCCCAGCACTAGCTCCTTGGGGTCCTGCCGCCCAACTCCGTGCGGGGACGCGCCGCCAGGTCGTCCAGGGGGGGGTGGGTGGTCGTCCCGCGCTGCGGCTGCTGGGCCAAGGTCGTATTCGCGGAGAGAGGTTGCTGATACTTGGTCGTCCAGACTCCAGATCTACAGGCCCCAGAGCCCCACCACGCATCTCCGGACCGGGCACCGTCCGCATCGAGCTGAACGAGGCCATAGCGGCCCCTGCAGGCACCGAGCAAAAAGAACCGTGGAAGCGGCAAGCGGACCGCATACGGCGCGAATCTCCCGGTGTAACGTGGGACCGCGCGTCGAGAGCGTGAAGACGGAGACGTCATTTGCACCTGTTGTCGCACAAGGCCGATAAGCAGCCCGTCGACGGCGCACGCGATCAATCTTCATCGGCGCACGGCCAGCGGTCCGCGGCGAAGGACATTGGTGGACAGGCGAGCAAGGCTGCGGCGCGACCCAAGGTTGTGCTGAGGAGCTGGGGGACGACGCAGAGGTAAGCTCAAATTAAACTCGCTACGCTTCAGACACGCACCTGCCCTGTCACATCCCGGCCCATTGCGACATGTCTTGGGAGCATGCGGCGCACGCAAGATGCCGCCGGGCATGCACGCGCTCCCCTCCCCTGGCGTCGGGCTTTCGCCCTTCATCCGGCACGCCGTTTCAAGACCGCTCGCTTCGCACTGGCCCCGAATCTTGCATCTTGGGCCGTTGGCGGCGCGCTCGTGGCCGCAGCCAGCCTGGCACCCGCATGGCTCAGGAATGCTGATCGCCCCCCGCGGCCAACACGCATGCGCACCCGCTCGTCGAACCCCACTGCAGCAGCAGCCCCAGCGGCCCCGGCGGCCCCAGCGGCGCCAATGCCGGGCCCTGCCCGTGGCGAGATTAAGGATCGTCGTTTGTCGAAGACGTCCTTTTTGCTTCGTCGCGCGGTGGCCATCCTTTTGTGGCGCTGCATCGGGCCATGGCTGGCGCCCCGATGCTGTATCTTCTGGCTCGGGCGCAGCCTCGCGGCTTCGATCGCCGAGGCTGAGACGCATCGGCGCCTAGCTGGACTGCTTCCTTTTCCGACGATAGACTTTCTTTTGCGCGGGCCATCTTCCAGTCTCTCCTCAAACAGCAGCATGCAGTCGCCATTGGTTGCCCGCCTCTTGATTTTGCTAATTCCTTCCAGAAGCACTGTGCCGTCAGATGCCCAGCAGAGGCAGAGGTCGAAGAAGAAATATCAGTGACGCCAGTGCCTCGTCCAGAGTGTCGACTAGGTCATCGTCTAGACAAGGGACCAACGCTCACTCCTCATCCGCCAACCTTTTAAGACGTTCAAGCCGCATCGCAGAACGCTCATCCACCACAGACCTCAACTCCTCCTCTCCCAACGCAGACGAAACAATGGCTCACGTTGCTCGCCGCACGCAAACGAACGACAATCTCGGCGCCCGGGTGGTTGAAGACGTAGGGCGATCTCGGCGCATCCGGATCGACGGCGAAAATGCTGGAATGCGCAACCTGAGCTCGCGCGGTCGAGATCAGAACTCAATGGGCCGCCCCGGCGCGTCAGGATACTCCATGGAGGTTACCGCCCAGCCTCCGGGGACCGCCCGCCCCGGCCAGCCCATCAGGGCCACCGTCACCATCCGCCTCCGGCGCTCCCGCGGAGCCCCCGACAGCGATCTCGAGGACGGCCGTCTGCTGGCCGTCGCCACCGTGGTGGCCAGGGGTGCTGACGGGGCTTACGTCCCCGTCGGCCCTGACGCCCTGACCGGGCCGAGGCTCTTCGACTCCTTCCACCCCATTGACAACGACGCCGACGACGTGGTCGGATACGCCCACTTCCCGGACCTCGCCATTGGGCAGGAGGGCATGTGCAAGATCAGAATCGCCCTGATCCGAGTCACGGGCGGCCAGGGCGAGACAACCGAGATCGTGGACACGCGGTCGATCATTGTCGGAAGGAATTGAACGTGCAACCCCGGCGGTAAGGAAGCCCTTGAATGCGGCGTGATCTTCGGCTGACGGTGGCAGGAATTGATTAATGGAGTTGGGTGGTGGTTTTCGGGTCCGGGGTTTTGGCCATGGGTTATGGAGCGCTGCTATTCTCGGGAGTTGTATGATGGGACCCTGGTGTGGTATATTGTTTGGTGGCATAACTGTACTCTTCAAGACGGGCGGTAGCTTTGGAGCAACATTATCGGCCTAGGTTAACGGGATAGAACTCAAGTGCGACAATCTTAAGACATGCCAATGGGTTGTTCCTGCTGGAGACGCACGCGAGGCGCAGGTGTGGTGAGGAAGCCAATATTTCGCGGCAAAGCTGTGCAACCGCGGCGAGTCACCCCATGATGGCTGGCCCGCCGTCTCGCAGAAATACGAAGGCACAGTCGCTGGGACTTTCCGAGCTGGGGCTGGGCGTGGTGGAGCGGCGGGCATGTCGCACTCTCACGTAATCTCGCTGGCTGTGGGCGGTGGGATCCAGACCTCGACAGGCATATGCCGGCATCGTCGGCGCGGAGGTTGCTAGACCCTGTGCAAGGTGAGCGGCTCATTGGCCATTGAGATGGTCGCGGAAGCGGGAGCGTGGGCGAGGCCTGGCGTTCCGATGGGTCCGTGGGCGGGATGGAGGCCATTGCGGAGGAGGTCCAGAAAAAGCATCGAGGACGTCGTAATCGTGTTGAGTGGGTGGGGGAGATGAGAGAGTCAAAGACGATGGGAGCAAATGGCGAGCGGAGACAGAAATCTTGGAAGCCGGCCATGACGCACATCTCACGTGTCGGTACACCGTCTGGTGCTGACGGGCGCCGGTGCAACCTCCGTCCATCCTCATCCGCCCTTCACCTCACACACCCTTCACCTCACACACCCTTCACCTCACACGCCCTTCATTCTGCGCCGGTCGAGTGCACCAGGTAATGTCCGCTCGGGTAGTTCTGGGTGGCCCTGGTCGCCGTGTTGCTTTTGCTGCGCAGCGCATGGAACGCATTGACAGATGCCTGAGATCGAGCGAGCCGGTTGCCTGGTTCTACATATATATTCGCCGACCTGAGCGCGTGAAACTGAGTATGCACCACATCAGGCCACCACAGGCCACCGCAGGCCACCGCAGGCCACCGCAGGCCACCGGAGTCCGCCGCACGCTGCCGCACGCGGATGGCATGACCGGCCGTCCCTTTCGGGCCTCAGGACGTACAAGGCGGGGCAGCTGAGCTTCGGCGGGACCCTGCGGGGTACATACATCTTTACGCTCCCCGCCCCCGCAACTACTACTGCTCCCCTGCTCGACATCACCCGTGAACAACTGCGCTCACAAAGCTAGCCCATCAGTCAACTAATCCCCAGCGCACCAATTGGCCCTCCGCCCGCCCTCTCCAGCCCCCTCAAGCCTGCCACAACCATGACCGACGCCTCAGCCGCCCTGCGCGCCAAACAAGCGCCCCTCAAAGACTCCTACCGCAGCGACCCGTCCGCCGCCCTCGTCACGCTCAAGTCATCCGGCACGCTCGACAGCAGCAGCATAACCTGCAAGCTCTCCACCGGCGCCGCCGTCTCGCAGGCACAGTCCAAGATCGCCGGGCTGCACCCGCGCGCCGGCGGCGACGACCCCGCCGTGTCGGGCGAGCTGTGCAGCGGCGACATGCTGCTGGAGGCGCTGGTCGCCTGCGCCGGCGTCACCCTCAAGGCCGTCGCCACCGCCCTCGCCATCCCGCTCGCTGGCGGCACCGTCCATGCCGAGGGCGACCTCGACTTCCGCGGCACCATGGGCGTCGACCGCGAGGCCCCCGTCGGCTTCAAGACCATCCGTCTCGGCTTCGACGTGCAGCTGGATGGCGACCTGGGCGAAGACGGTGATGCTAAGATTGAGAAGCTGGGGAAGCTGACGGAGCGGTATTGCGTCGTGCTGCAGACCATCGCGAAGAAGCCCGAGATCAGTGTGAGTGTGAGGGGAAATAGTGAGGCCGAAGATGGCGTCGAGAAGGGATACGCATGGGGCCAGAGAAGCTAGCTTCGGTTTGGACCTGTACCTAACTGCTGTTCTGATATAGCAGGTTGGCAATTGTATATATCATATAGCCCAAATCCATATCACACAACACGCGCTTCGGATTCGCTTCTATTTCCATCACTTCATAGTCACCTTTACTTCCATACCTCGCGGTGCGTATACAACCATCGAACTCGTTCTTTCCAGCAAAACTTAAGGGACCATGACCCTCTGCCATCATCTCGTAGGGTCGATCGGCATCGTGGTAGACAGTTTGCGCATAGCACTGTGAGACTCGACTTTGACCCAGGGTTTCTGACATGCGCAGCTCATACTGACGATGTTAGACACCATGCTCAAGCCAGAATGTTCTATTGAAACCAAGCCGTGCATACATAGGCCAACATATAGCATACAATGGGTGAAGAAGCATTCAAATCCATAAAGACCACAGACCACTACCTCGTCTGGTACAGTCACCATACGATCAGTTAAACGTCTTACCCACGAGCTGCGGCGGCAAGTCCTTCTTGCCGATCCACCTAATCCACTTCGTGTCGTCCTCAAACTCATCCTCATTCGGCGCAATCCCATCCAGTTCTCCCGCCAGCCCGACCACACCAACCTCCTTCTTATACTTCTCCCACTCCACCAGCAGCTCCTCAAACACCTTCTGCTCCTTCTCCTTCAAGTCCTCCGTCTCGCCCGGATCTTTTTCCAAGTCAAACAGCTCCCACCGCTGCGGCCCCTTGGGGAAAGGCACATACGTCAGCTTCCACTTCCCCCTGATCAGCCCCGCGCTGCCCCCAACCTCGAACCCAACGACGTAATCCTCCGGATGCACCGTCGCATCCACCACCGCCCCCTCCTCCCCCTTCACCCTCTCAATAAACCCCGCCCAACTCGCGCCCCTCACCGGCGCAATCTCCCTCCCCCGATACTCGGTCCCCGGATGCCTCAGCCCCGCCAGCTCCAAAACCGTCGGCACCACATCCATGACCGTACAAAACGCCCCCGCCACCTTCCCGCCCGCGGCCCTCCCCCCCGCCGGCTTCAACACCAGCGGCACCCTGCACCCGCCCTCGGTACTGAACCTCTTATGCAGCCTGCTCGGCGCCGTCGCCGCCTGCGCCCAGCGCGTCCCATACCAAACGAACGAGTCCTTCCGCCCGATATTCTCCACCGAATTGTCGTAATACCGCTCCAGATGCTCCAGCACCCTCTCGCCCAACACCGGCCTCGCCTCGATGCTCGCGCCCTCGGCGCCATTGTCGCTCATGAACAGCACCACCGTATCCTCCCACACCCCCATCCCCTTCAGGTGCGCCACCACCCGCCCGACGTTCCAGTCCATGCGGTCCACCATCCCCGCGTACGCCTCCATCGCGCGCGCGCTCTTGGCCCGCGCCTCCGCCGACATGGCCTCCCACGCCGCGGGCTCGCCCGGCGCCGTCACCACGTCGTGCGCGACCACGTCCGCGCCGATGAGGCCCGTTTCGCGCAGGCGGGCGAGGCGGCGCAGGCGCAGGGCGGCGGGGCCGTCGTCGTAGCGGCCGCGGTACTTGGCCATGGAGGCGGCGGGGGCTTGGAGGGGCCAGTGCGGGGCGGAGAAGGGGAGGTAGGCGAAGAAGGGTTGTTGCTGTTGGGGTTGGGGGGGTTGGGATTCTGCTGCTTCTTCTTCTTCTTCTTCTTCTCCCTCGGTGGTGGGGGGGTAGGATGGCGGGGAGAGGTACTCGATGAGCTTGGTGGCGTAGTGGTCGGACGAGTAGAAGTCGGGCGGGAGCGCGTCGACGTATTCGCCGTCTTCCATGTGCAGGGCCCGCGTGCCCGTGTCGAAGAAGGGGCCGGGTTCGGTGTGCGGGTCGGCGTATTGCGGTTCGTAGCCTGTGGGTTTTTTTGCGTCAGCGCCGCCTCGCTCCTGGTGTTTTGGGATATAATGGGTGGAAAGACTTGTTGTTGGAGAACGAGGGAGGAGAGGTGGGAAATAGAGGGAGACATGTATGTATGCTTGGAGTTATTCAAGGGGTTCATGAAAAGGATGTTGCTGAGTAGAGACGAAAAAAAAAAACCGACCGTAATGGTTCGCTGCGCCCGGGAGCAGCGCGAATGACCTCTTGAAGCCCCTCGCCTGTGGGCTATGCTTCTTCTTGAGGCCCAAGTGCCACTTGCCCGCCATGACCGTGTAGTAGCCGCCATCGCGCAGCAGCTCGGGCAACGCCACCACGCGGTCATTCAGGTAGCCTTCGTGCCCGGGTTTCCCCTGGTGCGCGGGAGACTGGCGGACCAGCTCCGCCAGAGACCCGAGGCCGGCGATGTGGTTGTCTGTTCCAGTCTGGAGGAGAGAAAAAAGAAGAAAAGTGTAAGCAAAGATCGGATGTTCTGCGTGAGAACAGAGAGAGAGGGAATCACCATGAGCATGGATCGCGTCGGCGAGCACATGGATGCGACGTGGAAGTTGGTGAAGCGCGTGCCCGACGCATCCTGGGCTATGGCGTCGATGTTTGGCGTTTGGATCTCCGAGCCGAAGCAACTGCAGTCAGAGAAACCGAGATCATCGGCGACGATAACGAGGAAGTTGGGCCGTTTCTCAGTCATGCTGGCGGATGATTGATTCACTTTGAAGAAGCGCCCTCTGAAACGAGCAAGAAACAGAGAAGAGACTGGAGATCGGTAAATACCGATGCGGGGTAGTTCAGTGGGTCTTTCCTGCTGCAGGCCTGATGAGCGTCAGGCTGCTGTGAAGACTTGGGTGGAGTATGGAAGAAAGTACAGTCTCAATATAAATGCTGCATACGCGCAACACGCGTCCGCAGACCCCCCCCAGGAACCTGCCGCGTGTCCACATGCGCGAATTTATTAGCCCGCGATGGCTGGAATACTTGTGGGGTGCATTGTCTACTGGGCTGATGAAGATTCGTCGTCGGCAAACGAAGCCGACGAGGCATTGCTAGGAGCGAGGTCCCCACTTGTGCCGGCCTGAAAAGGGTAAGTTGTCGATGCTACGAACGGCGCATTCGCCATACACTTCGGCAATCGCGTCATCGCCAGAGCTGCTCATCCCTGCCACATCCCTCGGCCTTTAGCTGCGCCCGCAACTACCAGAACGCGAACCAACGAGTCGCTGGATGAACGCCCGACGGATGCAACAAAGAAAAGCCACCCATGATCCGAATCTTCCTTTCCATGGCCTATCCCGCATAACCGAGTGATACCGGACTCGTTCCACCGTCCCGGAAACAGAGCCATCCGATCAAGCTCCCGGCTTCTGCTGGCCCTCAATGAACTTCATGGCTGTATCGCGGTCGACGACATCGATACTACTGGTCTTGTTTGTGTAGCTGACACCGTAGCACTTCTCCGCAACCATGACCATCTCGGGCCTGAAAGTCGTGCAGATGAACTGTCCGCCGCCCTCGTTGTTGTTCGACAGCGTCTGCAGCATCTGCGCCACAGCCGTACGGTACTGGGCGTCCAGGTTGGCATCAATCTCATCAAAGAGGTAAAAAGGCGCAGGGTCGCACTGCTGGATGGCGAAGACTAGCGCAAGAGCGCACAAACCTAGGGAATCACGTCAGATGGTGAATTGACAAGGATGTGACAGGTGTAAACTTACTCTTCTGTCCGCCACTCAGCTGCTGAATCCTCTGCTGCTCGTCATGCTTCGAGTTGAAACTGACACTGATACCAACACCAGTGTAATTTTCGACGCTCTGCCTCCTCTCCTCTTCTTCACTGTCCTCCTCCTCCTGCTCGGCACGCGCTTGGCTGTCGCTCTTCCGCTGGATGATCAAGCGACCTTTGCCAGCCGGGACAAGCTTCTCGAAGACATTGGCGAACTCGCGACTCACTTGCTTGAAAGTACGCTCGATGGCCTCGTCCTTCCGTTGATCGAGTACCTCGATCAGTTCTTCAATCGACCTTTGACTGGAGTCGAGCTCCGAGCGGCGCTTCATAAGGGTATCCCGCTGCTTGGTAAAGTTGGCGTACTGCTCGAACGCCTTCTTGTTGACGTGCGAATACTTCTTGAGCGCTTCGTTGATCTTGTGCAAACGCTTCAAGGCCTGCAAATGAAAAGTCAGTCTGACTGGGCTCTGCTCTGAAATAAGTCTGTCGACTTGCCTTGTTGGATTCCATGTTCTGGTACTTCTCGAACGCCTCTTCCGGCAGCACGCCCAAGTCACGGATGTTCCTCTGGCACTCTTGATTCTTGCTGTTCAGCAGAGCCTTCTTGGCCATGCCCTTCTCCATCCGCTTTTGGTGACGCTCAATGGCGCGTGCCACCTCTTCTTGTTCAGTCTGTTTCCCAGCCTTGGTTTTCTCAAGCTCAGAAAGCTGAGAATTGGTCTGATCAATGTTCTGGTCGGCTTCCTGCAGCCTCCTCTGGACAGTCTCGAGGGCCTTGTTGATCCGCTTGAGCTCGCGCTGGCGGTCCTTGAGCTTCACAGAGCTGCCACCAGAATCCGTGCCATCTTCAAAGCCCTGGGAATTGATCTGATCCAGACGAAGGCGGAGGTTCTCGCGAAGCTCAGACTCCAACGTGGTCTTCTGTGCTTCAAGTTCCGCACGGTTGGTGCTGAGTTTGGAAAGCTGCCCGCGCAGGTCCTGGATGGGCCTGGCGAGAGATTCGAGCTGCTGCTCCTCTTCACGAGAAAGAGCTTTTTTGAAGTCGGAAGCCAACTCGGAATCGTAGGCCTCTTGCTGTTCTCCTAGTTCGCGGACGTTGGCCTCGATGTTGTCCCTTGATCTCTGCTTTGCCTCAAGACCCTCTCTCTTGTTTTGCAAGTCAGTCATCTTTGCGCGCAGCTCCTGTCTCATCGGGCCATAGCTATTCTCCAGCTGCTGCTGTTTCTGCTGAATCTTTGTGAGTACACCATACGCGCGCGTGATCTCCTGATCCTTCTCCTCGTTCAGTCGCCGCAGCTCCACTTGACGGGCTCTCTGCGCCTCGTATTCCTGGCGCCATTTGGCCACATTACGGACACCATCGATGCGAGAGTTTCGAGGATCGTGGAAACCACCCGTCAGGGCACCCTTCTTATCCGCACGGTCTCCCTCTGGCGTGATGGCGCTGACAGCGTGACTACGGGCATACTGTGCCGCAACTTGGAGGTTGGGACAAATTATCGTCTTACCGAAGACGTGCTGGAAGGCATTCTCGTACAACGGATCATACTGAAGCTTAGAGATCATATGTAGAGCATCGCTAGCCTTGGGAATGTTGATCGGTTTTGACCTCAGCCGGTTGAGAGGCATGAAAGTAACACGGCCAGCCTTCTCCTTCTGTAGGACTTCGAGGACCTTTGTCGCAGTCTGCTCATTGTCGACGACGTAGTGGAACAAACTGGCTCCGGCAGTCACCTCCACGGCAGTTTTGTATCTGTCGGGCACCTCGAAAAGTTCCGCGAGCGTGCCGTAGACGCCTTTCAGATTCTGTTGCTGTTTGATACGGCGGACGGCGGCCAGGCCACGACTGGTGTTCTGATCCATCATGTGCGATAGGAACCTTTCCGCGCGGTTGAGTTCGTGCTGGGCGTTGCTGATCACCGAATCAAGCTTGGCTTCTTCTCTCCATAGCTCCTTACGCTGATCCGAAAGCTGGTCGCGCTCCTCCTTCGCCTTCTGTACCTCTTCTGAGATGTTTTGCATGTTGTCGCCGCGGTTCTCGATATTAGAGCGTAGTTCAGTGATTTCGGTTTCCAAGCGCCCGATTTGGGTCTCCAGCTCGGCAATGTCCTCCGTGGTCTGCATAGCGATTGCCTTGCGGGTCGCCAACGAGATATTGACCTCGTCGATTTCCTTCCGAAGCCAGTCATCTCTCTCGCGCTTTGACCGGAATTGTGATTGACGCCCTTGCTTGGCCAGCAAGCGTTGCCTGATGCCTTCGGAATCGGCGAGTTGAGTCCTGATTGTGGCTTCTTGCTCCTTTAGTTGGTTGTATTCGGGCATGATCGTTGCAAGTTCCTGCTCGCGCTGCTTGATCTGCTTCTGAACTTCCTGTAGGTCGGCATCGTGACGACTCTTGGCTTGCTTTGCGGCTGCCTGGCCATCCGTGAGCTCATTGACCTCGAGCTCAACCGCGGCCCTATCACGCGCAGTTTCACGGCGCTCCTCCTCGAGCTGGCGTTTGTCGACCTTGAGAAACTCAATCTGCTGCTTGAGCTCCGCAATCTCGGTATCGATCTGCGTAATCTCCTGTTCGTTCTGGACGAAACGCTCCCGGTTGTCGTCGGTCTCGTCGACGCCAACCTGCCTCTGTTCATCCATGGTTTCCAGCACCCTTTGGATCTCCTGCTGCTCGCGATGGTAGATGGTGTATTCCAAGCACCTTCGCTCGCGGTCCTTCTCCTGGTAAGCCCTGAGCTCCTCCTTCTCTTCCTCAAGCTCCCCAAGGCGCTCTCTGATGTAGGCCAGCAGGTCGTCGATCTTGGAGCGCTTGTTGTCCGTTTCCTGCATGATCTTCAAACTCTCGCTTCTCCTCGCCTCGTACACCTGAGTGCCCGCAACCTCCTTCAGCAAATTCAACCTTTCGCCATCCTTCATGTTTGTCAGAGCGGTCACACGGCCCTGCGGAACAATGTAGTACGGGTTCGATCGCGAGAAACCGGCCGACTCCAACAGGTTCATGACGTCAGCCTTGGTCGCGTTCTTGCGATCAAGCGAGTATTCGTCCTTCTTCAGGCCAATCGTGCGGCGAAGGATGACCTCGGGCTTTCCGGTGGGGAAGCGGTCGTCGCTGTTGTCGAAGATGACCTCTACGTACGCCGACATGACGGCGGAGCCCGATCCTTCCTGCGCGCATTGTCAGTCGCGTCGCCTCCATCGGGCGAGCGGGGTGCGGGGCTTACGTGGAGGAGGGCCTGGCGCTCCTCGCGCCCCATCTGGGTGTAGGCATCGCTGAGGACGAAGCGGATCGCGGCGAAGAAGTTACTCTTGCCCGAACCGTTGCGACCGACGATGACGTTGTGCTTGGGCGAGAAGGGCTCAATGACCGTCTGATCCTTGTAGCTGCAAAATGCATCAGCACGCTGCCGTGGTCCATGTGCGGCCGACGCACCTCTTGAAGCCCTGGATAATAATCTGCTTGATGTACATGGTGAGCCGCGCTGCGCGAAAGTGCGGGATATCGTGCGCCTTGGGCCAATAGGTTGGCAGTAGGATGGAAAGAGGAACGCGTAGAGTGGCTCGTTAGATTCAGGCGACCATTATTCTCGACCGCGAGCAGGAGGTGGTGATGCGCCCGGGCTGCTGTCGTCGGAGTGTCTGGACGCAAGCTGCGGGATCAGCGACGCGTCGCGAGGAGCGCGTACTCCGACCTAGCGACCTCGGCCAATCATCGGCGCTTCGACCCAAACGCACGTGCCAGGGCTACAGAGAGAGCGGCGAGGTACCAGCCTGGCCGTACACGTACTATTGCTTTGATTTTTTCTATTGTTTCATCGAATCTTTCAGACCGGAGTTGCAAAAGGTCAATCAATGTATTTCGGGTTTTGTTTCGGAGGAGACAATCAAGTAACAGAAGCTTGCTAGAGGATGTAAATATTGTTGACACAAAACCATATATATATATATATATACTTAGGCAAGTGAAACATCGCTATCAAGAGTATGATCAACCATGGTGACGACCAAATAAAGGGCTTCCATGGATAGTCATCTAGTCTCGAAGTGGGAGAGCTGGTCTCAGGAGTGGCCATCAGCTTCGGACCAGAGCAGGACATGCAGACCGCTTAATTAGTATACACTCTCCTTCTGGCACACACGCACCACTTAAAATTTAAAGGAATCGTTGTTTTCATAATCCATGAAAGTTCATAAATTGATCACTGCAGAGTGCACTGCAAGTGGGATATCTTGCGGTCTATCGCCGACCAAAAGCCGCACCAAGCCATTAACCAAACATCAACCCGCCATTTTTGCGACCCAGTCGCCTGCCAGAATGGAGAAGTCAAAAACAATGTAAACAAGAATGAAGTGAAGGTATGTAAAGTATGTCTCAGAGGCTAAAAATTTACAGCGCCAGGACGGCAGCGACACCGCCGAAGAACAGCGCGTTCCTGACGCCACCTAGAGCAATGGGAGCGGCCGCGCCGGTAAAGACGGGCGGAGTCGCGCTGGGAGTGTTGGCGGGGGTGGTGGCCGAGGCGGTGGACGTCGAGTCACCGCCTTCGACATCGCTAGTCGCCGGCTCCGAAGGAATGGGGTAGTTGCTGCCACTGGGAATTGCGAGAGTCATCGTGCCGTCGCCGAGCTCATTGGTGGTGGAGGTGGCGACGCTGCTGGATGCCGCACCATCAACGTCGGCAGTCGACGAAGGCGCGGGAGTGGTCTCGACCACAGGAGTGGTTGCCGCCGGGGTAGACTCTATCGCGGTGGTCTGGGCAGGAGCAGTCTCGCCGGGCTGGAGAGTAACCGTCTGGGTGACGATGATAGGAGCGCACGAGCCAGAATCGTCCGAGCCGGAACCAGCGGGGAAGGTAGCGCCGACACCACTGCCAGTAGGAGTGCTGAAGTTGCCCGAGCCGGCGACACCGTCGGCAGCGCCAGCGGCGGCAGCAGAGCCGGAAGCGGCAGCAGCGCCAGTGGAAACGGCAGTGTTGGACGAGCTGGTCTGGGTTGGGCTGGTGCCGACAAGGTCGCAGCCTTCGCTGTTGATGCTGATGCTCTCCGAGGATCCAGTGGTGTCGGTGAAGTTGTAGCTGCAGCCAGGGTTGTAGTTGGTGATCTTGACGTCCTCGACAAACATGCTCCAAGGCATTCCGGCGGCGGCATCGTAAGTCGTGTTGCCGCCAGCCCACTGGATAGTCCAGTAATCGTTGTCGGGGTCGCCGCCGGCCCAGATGCCGAGACGGATGTTCATGGGGGTCTGGGGGAAGTTGGTACCACCGTTGGCATCGGCGTAGTTGAGAGTGCGGACAGTGGTGCCGTCAATGGCCCAGACGATCGACTCCTTGGTCCAGTCAACCGAGTAAGTGTGGACGGTGTCCTGCGGGGTGGCGACGTCGAACTGTTGCATCCTGTCGTAGGTGGTGGTGTTGCCCTTGCCAAAGTAGTTGGTCTGGACGATGCTGTTGGTGCCACCCAGGAACTCCCAGTCAATCTCGTCCAGGTCCTCGGACTGCAGGACGATGCTGCTGATGATACCCTGGCCGGGGGCGGACTTCATCTTGACCTCGACCTTTCCGTAGAAGATGTAGAAGTCGGTCTTGATGGTAGGAGCCTCACCACGCTTGGAGATCCTGAACTCGGCTCCATCGGATCCGTAGTTGACGGCGGGGGCAACGTAGCTCCAGCTCGTGTTCTTTCCGGCAGTGAACTCGCTGTTCCAGGACTTGGTGTTCAGACCAGCGTTGACGGGGCAGGGGAACTGAGAGGCGTTGGTGGGGTTGCACTCGGAGTAGGTCTGCGCAAAGGCAGTGGGAACGACTGCTGCCAGACCAGCGGCAGCAGCAGCAAAGGCGGTAGAACGCATGGCGGATGAGATGGTTGTTTGGAAAACTGATTGAAACACGGGGGAGAGAGTGGCAGCGGCCGGGCGCTGGAGTGAAATAGATACGGAGAGCGGACGAATGAGGGAGTGGCACTGCCGAGAGAAGAAAGAAGGCACTCGCGAATGGCCAGCACAAAGAAAAGAGGGAGGGTGGTGGTGAAAGACTTGGTCGACAAGAGCCCCAGCAAAAACGAACACCGCGCCAAAACGACGGGGCGGCGCGGGGGCTTTTGAAGGGCGGGCAGGGTGCCCACGGCGGTATAGAGGCCGCGGTCCAGGAGGTGTTCCGCATGTTTCAACATGGCCGGGTTGCGGCGCTACTACGCGCATCGCGGTGGGGCGGCCGGTCGCTGCCGCACGATGGTCGGCTGGTGGCCAATTGGGACCCGGCCAGCCGACCCCAAACAGGGCCTGCCAAGCCGCAGCTGCCCTGTGTTGCGCGCGTCGCCTTGCCACTCGCTCGCGCTGGCCTGGCTGTGCAGTGGCTGGCGCCGTGCTGCGCCTGCAGACTGGGGCCCAGGAAGCTGTTTCTGCTCTCTCCTCCAGTCCTCGCGCTGCGGACTCGCCGACGCGCGACGTTGGAGTTGAGTCGGTGCTGGCCATGCGCACCATTCCGAGCGCGGCCGACGCCTCGCGCGCTCCCGTCCGTCGACTGCAATCATCTCGCATAACCTCAATCTCGCACCACCAAATGAGCATGAGCCAGCCTCTCCGACGGGCGCACGTCCTACCCGCGACGCCTTGCGGCCACCGGCCGTTTATCCGGCTCGGCCGGGGTCCGACGGTCTGCTGGCGTTTCGCGTCCCCAGCCAGCCAGCAGCCTTGTAGGGCCGTCGAAACCACCAGGATTGATGTCATGCTACGCGCCCGCCTTCTCCTTGGAGCTTGATGCGACGGCCGATCCGCCCCTGACGCTCGCGATTGATCTCCAGGAACCGCCTCCACGCTCACTTATCGACACCAGCCCGAGACACGGCCTTCCATGAGGCCGACAGCCAGCGTGATCGAGGACTACCCATGCCACGAAAAACACGACAGTGCTACCCAGTTCCCAGCGTTGGTGTCGCTCCGTCTCAGACTTCGGACTGCTTGCTTTCGCGCCGCGTCGGATGCTTTTTGCGTTCCGATTATTTCGGGGATGCGCTGCTATTCTCGTAAAGCATTGATGAAGCCGCAGGCGCTTGGGGCCCGCATCTGAAAGCGCTCGCTTGATGCAACTGTCCCCCATGATCCGCAGCAGTGGACACAGCCATGCCCAGCTTCAAAAGAGAGCAAAAGATCAGCACTTGCTAAGGCTCGCTCTTGGCGGATTCGAGCATTTCGCCGACTCAAAATAGAAGCCTTGACGATGAGCGTCGTGCATCCCAAGGATGTCCGACGTTGTGGTTTCGAAACACCACACCCCGATGCTAATTTCCCATCCTCACCGCAATTCCACCTTCTACTGGAAGAACAAAAATGCACTAGTTTCAGCACTTGTTAACTCGAGGCGTGCTTTGCCACACGCAGTAGTCTTGACTGAGTGTATGTTTTTTGTAAAGTCTTTGTTAGGTACCAAACGGACCGCTGATCGAAATAAAGCTGAAGGCGCAGATCGACATCCCGGGAGACAGGTAAGCCCCTCGAAGCGCGTTTCTGGTTGGGTCGGCTCGTGGCCAGCCATCAAGGCCTAGCGGCGACGGACAAACAAAGGCCTGCTATTTTCGCAGCCGTGGCGCAGTGAGGCTTCATGATCCCCCAGACAGGCGGAAAATCTCTACGTCACACTGCAGATCACGCACTCTTTCTTCCCTAGGACTGCTTCGCGCACTGTAAACAATGACCTCAAGGCGACCCTCATTTGTCATATTTGGCTTGGTGACCCTCGAGCCCAATTCGCCTGACCAACTCGGTTGAGAAGCCTTGACAGTTGATAAGGATGATAAAGGTCACTGCAATCAGCACACATCGTCATCGTCCTGTCCAGCACTAACTGTCTTCGGTATTGGATGTTCAAACTCTGTGGGATTGTCCTTCTTGACTGCACGAAGTAGCTGTTGTGGCAAAGGGCCGTATCTCAGTGGTGGGGTATACTTTGCGCAGATCATAGGTAGCAGCCCGCGATCTTCTGAGTTATCTCCGAGGTGCCTGCCGAAGGAAATCCGCATATGGAAACGGTAAAGTGGGCATCTATCAGTAGGTAGGCACATATGATAGTAGGACGATAGGTCAACGATACGGTGGCTATTGAATCGGCTTCCAGTCCATATTCTCGCTTCATGTAAGCTGCTTTCTACATACATCAGCAACGGCACATGCATCAGCTCACTATGTTCTCGTATCACAAAGGGAAGGAAATGCTGATTTGCATTCAAGCCGATGACATTCAATTCAGGCAAGATATCTGAAACCTCTACCACCAGCTTGTTCCTTCTACTGAATCTGCTCTTATTATGTATTCTTCCCAGAGACCCTATGTGAGGACAATATCGGTCGCCCAAGCCTAGCCTCTGAGCACAAGATGCAGTTACCAACCTGCTGCTTCCAATCTACACTGCCGCGCTCTTCGCGTCCCCGTCGTGACCCTCGGTCTTGGGAACAACCATGACTTGTCTGATGCGCTCGATCTCCTCGGTGGACAGGCCGCAAACGGTCCGGACGTAACCTTCGGCGCTCCCGTACTTCTCACGGATCATGACCAAGGTCCTTAGCATGCTATCCTTCCTGTACAGGTACCGTTAGTCATCACATGCAGGTACGATCCCCCAGCAGGTCGTCACGCGACCACGACGCAAGAGACGGTCACAAGGAATATTCACGTACTTGGCACCCGACATCCTCTCCGCACCCTCCTTTCCAGCGCCGGTTTCCTTGAAAGCCGGGTTTTCCGAAATCTTTTTGACGAGCAGCGGCTTCACATGCGCGAGGCCCACCTCAGTAAGGGCGTATTCGTCTGCGATCAGCTCATCCTCCACTCCGAGCATCGACAGCAACACCGCCACGAACACTCCAGTGCGGTCCTTCCCCGCGGAGCAATGCACGAGCAGCGCGTTCGGCTTCTCGGCCAACGACTCGTTCGCGATGTGCCTCAGGATGGTGCCGAAGGCAGGGCCGCCGCCGGCCAGGATTTCCCCGTAAGCTGCGACGAAACCCTACAGAGAAGATGGGGTATACCACCGCGTCAGTGAATTACATGCGCGCGGACAGAAAGAGAGAAAAGCAAATCGATGTCATCATCAACGAAGCAGGGCCCGATCACATCTCGAGTGGCGCCTATCAGTCCTCCCATGCTCTTTCTTTTCGCCTCCCCCCCCCCCCCCCCCCCCCACCAAAAAAAAAACCACGCAAACCAAAAAAAAAAACCTAAAAACAAGCAAGAAAAAAAAAGCCAAAAAAAAACTCACCTCCAACCCCCTCGACGCATACTCCCTATACCTCACCGCCAGCCTCTCCGGCACAAACACCTCATCCTCAAACACCGGCACCCACACCCTCTTCAAAAACATCTCCCCGTCTTCCTCCCCCCCTCCCCCTCCCCCCATAACCTCCCCCTCCGCCTTACCCCCTCCTTCCCCAGCCTTCTCAATCTCCGGCCTCGACCTGAGATCAAACACCTTCGTCACGCGCAACCCGCGCAGGATGGCCCTGTCGGCGGGCGAGGCGCGCGAGGGGTCGGCGCTGCGGAGGAGCGCGAGGGGGCGGATGACGGTCGTGGCGGTGTTTGTGGTGCCGCAGGGGAGGTTGTTGCCTGCGTCGCGGAGGTTGGGGATGGAAGGGGTGGGGAGGAAGGGGGGCGGGAGGGCGGGCGAGGGGGGGATGGCTGTGGAGGGGGTTTGGGTGGTGGTGTCGGGGGGAGACATGGTGGTGGTGATGGTGGCGGTGGTGGTTGTGGTTGTGAGTGGGGGTGGGGTGTGCGCGCGTGGTTGAGTTCGATTATGGTGCAGGTGGGCGCGGAACCTAGTGGGGTGGATGGAGGGTACGACGTGAAGGATGTGCCGGTGGTGAGACCCGGGTGAGAAATGTCTGAGAAGTCGAGTGAAGTAGGTGCTCCGCTTTTCGGAGCGAGTATTATACACCTGTTGTGTGTGTATTGTCGCTGTGGCGCAGCTTCCGCAACTAACAGCAGGCAAACAGGCTCCAGCGCGCGGCTGACTGGCGTGGGTTGCCTGTCGCGGGGCCTCTTACCTCGGCTTGCGGATCGGGACCGGGACCCATTTTCAGCAATGTTGGGCGAAGCCGAGGACTATCCGAGAAAAACACAGGTACGTGAGCATACATGGTAATGGAGTGGTGAAGTTTGCATTGATGCATTGCTAAAACTAATTCGAGGGTGGAGGCCTGTGCTAGGCGTCCCGGGTCTATCATACAAAACCATTTAGCTCTTCCTCGTTGCAAACACCTAACTGGCTGTTTCCCACTATGCGATGCTTGACTTCCATGAACATGGGTTGAATAGTTTTCTACAGCTGACGAAAAACAAAAAAGAACCAGTGTCCAGCCAACATTTTAACAGACCCCGCTTTTTGAATCATGGCCACTCCCCAAACTTTTGCGCCACGACAAATGCGCTCTGAGGTATACAGATATTCATATGGAAAACACGCCAGCTAACTCCCCCAACTATTAATACAGAAGTCTTTCCCTTGCCACTCGCTGCGACAAATGTAAACGCTAAGGAACAGCCTTCTCAATAAACTCAGTTTGGTATAGAACTTTTCTGAGACATGAAAGAAGTCTCAGTGGGAAAGATGAGGATGAGGAATCCACAATCACACAACACGCTCTACGTCACGTTCCGTATCTCCCTGGTGACTTGCCTGGTCCTCAATCTTCTCGGACTGCGCATCGGAATCTTTGTCGAGTGTGGTATGCGGTGTGAGGCTATTGTTTCGGGAGTAATCGGTGATATAGGAGCCGGAAGTTTTCGGTGGCTTCGGGTCGTCGCTGACGTATTGGTCGTAGGACAGGCCGGCACGTTTGGCCGCCTTGAGAGTGCGACGGTTGCGGTACACCCACGACAGGTGCCAGATCACGATGCCGATTTCGAGAACCATGCTGTTGGGAAATTAGCCTTTGTATGACTCATCGTCGATAACATAAAGCTTGCGCATGCTGCATACACATGAGTGCAGCTTCCCGGGGTAGTGGGAGAGCCCTCAGGCGAGTAGAATGCAGCGCAATAGGTTGCGACAAATAGAATCAGACCTACCAAACAATATAAAGAATGCCTCCAAGGTAATCAAAGGTCTGCTGGACAGCTGCAGCATTGGTTAGCCTTGCTCCAGGCGTGTATAACGCTGTATGAGTTCTCACCCAAGGCTATCAACGAGAAAGTAGCTCCAGCAAAGTCCGTGCCCAGGAAGAGAAAGCCTGGGTTTTAAGTGAGCAAATGGACGTTTTCATGGATGCAAACACGTACTGATGTCCTTCGCCCTTCCGTCACGCTTCCACTGTTCCCAGTACATGGGAAGCAAGCCCACGGCAAGCAGAATAGCTGCGACTACGCCAACGGTGATGATTGGCCACTCCACACCCCTCGAATAGGGACCCTGGATATGTCAGTTACGTAAATTCCATAGAGCCAAATGCTGCATACCCTAAGAGTCAGGATAAGGAGCGCCTCGACGCCCCCAGAGACAAGACCTGTAATCACAGCAGCCAGTGTGGCTGTCCAGACTCTCCAGTGCCTAAAAGATATCAGCAAGCTGTCGACGGCACTGTGGAGTTAGATACGTACTCATGATATATCAGAGTTTGCGCCCAGCAAATCAGTGTCAACGAGCAGAAGACCTGAGGCTGCACTTGTAATGGAATGTTGAAGTTCTAAAGACTTTTAGAAGAGCCCACAGATCGGGAGCGCGAAAATACGAACCTGCACGATGTTGTAGACGCCGAACGGCATGGCAGCTGAGACAAGTCAGATGGTGGCTGATGAGGATGACAGCGTTGCGGCTCACCAACAGCCCACAAGAAGGGCATGATCCATGGCAGGCCATCGGTCTGCTTATGCCGCCAATTTGTGTATATTCTGTTTTGGGTCAATGACTGAGCCAGCCATGCGTGGGCGCCATTACGTACTGTGGGAGGATCTGTCACGCTGAAATTAGAATTTGGCGTTGAAGGAACCTCGTGAAGTCATGATGACATACCTGAACACACCAGCATCTTCAGTCGGCACAGCAAAGTTAGCAGCCTGTTGTGGGGGTGCATCGTGTCTTGGTTGCCTTACACTGCAAATAGTTAGTGCCAGTATCCCTCCCGGACCTGAACTCGGAGTAAGGGACTTACCAGTGCCGATGGTCTGCAGACACGGGGACTGTTAGTGAGAACAAGATTTGGATATTCGTGTGAGGCACGTACACCTAGTATGCTCGCTGCCTGAGAATCCACGATGTTAGTGTTGTGCTCATAGAGAGGGAGTCAGTATGCGGAACGTACTGTCGGGATGTGCTCCTGGGGTGCCATGACTCGTGGCTGAGAGGCAGCAATGGCAATATTACAAAGTGGATTAGGAAGGATATTCGGGGGAAGAGAAGGCAGCGAAGGAGAAGAGGAAATTTGTAGCCGTGGACAACAAGGCAGGTGTTGAGTATTAAAGTTGGGCAGCGGCTGGCCAGTTCGATTGCATCAGCCTCCCTTCAGCATCGCGCCGCCACCGGTCCATAAAAGATGCACAAAGTGGGAAGAGTGCAGCATCTCGGTCCCAGCCGGATGAGGCAAATGGCGCAGCGCTGGTTGGGCGGCGGGGTCGGCGGGCGGGCAGGGGCTCCGGGGCGTGCAAATGTGACGAGACATGTTTTTTTCGGCAGCAAGCGCAGTTGACGCAGGAATAGGCAGCGGAGAGTTAGGGTTCGTGTACGAGCTCGGACGTCAGAGCAAGACGGGTCAGCCGTAGTTCTTTTTGCCCCCTGCACCCTGTAGCGCGGGCGATTGGCGTGTAGCTGGCGTGCAGCCGGGCGCCACATCGCCCCTGCAACCGCGCTCCTCGGCCGCCCATTCGACACTGCCCCAGTGCTGGGAAATGCTCAGCCAGCGATCCGCGTAGTCAGGCACCGTGTGCAGGTGGCCCAGCTCACCTGATGGCGCGGCCGTGGGCCTCGCGGCGGGCCTCCGGCACTGGCAGCTGAGGCTCAGGTCCAGCGAGGTGTCGTGGCCAAGAGGCCGCCGGTGGAGACGTCGTCGAGGCCGTCGAGGCCTGCGCGCCGGCAAGTGCCCGTACGTAGTACTACACTGCGTCCCCGCAGACAGGCACATCCATGTGGCACAGCACGCGTGGGCGTGTGGGCGCATGCAACCGACCAGCAAGCACCGCGTCACGGCAGGGCGTGGTGGGGAGGGCGTGGTGTGCCCAAGCAGCGGCATCGTGCGTGGTGCGGCCGGCAGAGCTGCACGTCATCTGGGGCAAGGGGCGTTGGGCGAGGGCCTCTCGGGGCGCTGCTGCGGCGCCGGGGTCGCGGGCAGGGTGGCAGGGAAGACGAGCTGCCGGCAACTGAGCGTGCGCAGCGGCTCTCGCGCCGGGGCAAGGCCGCTGGATCTGCGAACACGCGTTCTCCATTCGCCAGCATCCGCGCTGGATCGGGAACCTTCGTGGCGTCGGAAGCGCTCCCCCGATTCCGCGACGTGCCGTGCATATGATGCACGGTCGGGCTGGCCTTGAGCGTGGAGGAGTGGAGCGGGTTGATGAGGACGACGAGGTGTGCACGGCGCTGGTGGCCGGTCAGCGCGCCATGGAGCAGAGCACACAGGGTCCCGTCCGTGTGCCGGAGGCGTCGCCGTCGCCGGCGCCGGCCGTTGATATTCGCCGCTCGCACACGTCTAGCTTCACCAGCTCCACGGCCTGGCCCGGTGCAGCTCGCCGTCTCGCCCGTCTCGCCCGTCTCGCCCGGTGCTGCCGCCGATCGGGCCAGTGGAAGCGCCTCCGCCCGATGCTCGGAAGCCCGCGCCTGTCGTGTAACCGACACCGCGTCCTCCGGCTGTTGGCAGTGGACCTCATCCATCCTCATCTCGCTCCTCGCCCTCGCCAGTCGCCATCTGCCCGTCTCCCGACTATCCTGCCAGCCGCGCTGCGCGCCGGATATCTCCAAACGCACGCCCGTCGGTCCACCTCCCCCGCCGGACGCCATGAAAGCCCAGAGGTCACGGCCCCGGCCTCCGTCCTTGCCGCGCCTTGGAGCCCACAGCCACCTCAGTGAACCCACCTAACCCAGCGCCATCCACCTGGCCCACGTACAGATTCGCGGAAGGGCCATGCACGCGCAAGAGTCGCCTGCTGCAAGGCAGTTCGAACGGTCTGGCCTTTGCAGTACATGCGCCGTATCTGCCTTTTGTGCTGCACGCAGCGGCTGGTGGCTTGCCCACCGTTGGCTGCCCACGGTCCCACCGAGCACTGCCTACCGAGTGGAAGCAGCACCCGACTGGAAGAGGACGTCGAAAGCGGCAGGAGCAGTCGATAACGGTGCTGCTCCAGGCCCCATTGACAGCGTGGGCTGCCCTCGCCAGAGCTGAGGCGCCCGCCTTGGCCCTGACGTGTACCGGGATGCCACTGCACCCGCACTCCAACACAGACGGCAGCTCGTGCTCCCGCCCGCCGCTAGGTGCAGCAAACGAGGCGAAGGGGCCCTCCCGAGGCATATGCACTCCGCAACCCCATCCACCGTTCGGATATAACTCAACCCGCCGATCACTTTGAGCCCCTAACCTCCGTCTGGAAATCATCAGCAAGACCCTTCAACGGACGCACGTTTACTGATCATCTCAGGGCCGTGATTGCTTGTGGGATAGCCGTCCGTTCACGCCGTTGAGCGATGGCGCGTTCTCATGGCCTGAGAATCTGCTCACCCGTTGGGCACACCTGCGCCGATTCGAGGCAGCATACACCAATCCGGTTAGATTGCTCGACCCGAACCTACCGGCTATTGGAGATGTCGTCCAGCGCCTCCGCAGCCCATTCGCACGCTTTCTTTGAGGCCCGACTACCGAGCAACACCCAGTAAATCGGAAGCTAGATCATCTCGATAACCGCTCTTTGGAGTAAGGCCTGTCCCATCCGTCTGGCTCACCAATCTCCGACGTCCACCTAACAGCATGCCGTGTCTCAGCATCAAACAGCCGCTTGAACCTTATGTGATAGGCTGGATAGCGTCTGGAATTGCCGGCTTGGCAAAGAAGCCCGCACTCTCTAGTCCAATTTGGCGCAACGGGGTCTTGACTTTCTTCGTCCATGGCCATGACTACATCAATGCTGCAACGCTCGTCTCTCGTCCTTGCGTACACGAATTCCCCGGTCTTGCCCATCTTGTTGATCTGGACACGCTATGAGCCGTCTCCACAAGTCTGGCACTCAGCCACGAACGGCAGATACCGGGTTGTCTGCCCCCGCCTCCAGTAAAATCAATGAAAGCACAAACACCCATGAGCCGCGGCTCGGCAATGCATTCCTATCAACGGCTACGGCCCGCTCTTAGCTCAATGCCTCCTAGCCTCTCTGGAACCGCCGCATCGCGTCCATGTTTGCTGCACTGCGCCGTTGGCATTCCGCTGGCTTTCTATTTCACGATCCTCTGGCACCTGCGCACTGCATCATCCACTTTACCGGACGCTGCTTCTCCGTGTTTGCATCGGCACTTTTCGTTGCAGCCCCCGCTCAACAGAATACGTGTATCCTCTTGAACCCTCGCTTACCGCCGATCCCCAGCTTATTTCGCCGTCAGCCTACCGGGTCAAGTCTACGAGATGCTTGTCCCAGACTCGCCACATGCATCCACGAGGTTGCTTTCAACCTAACCAGGCACTTGGGATGCTCGCTTTCGCGCCGCACCAGAAAATATTTTTCCCTCGCGGCTTGCAGGTTTCTACGTCATGAGTATGCCATTTTCTTGCTTAGTGCAAATCTAAATGCCCCTAGACAAGAACATTCCGGGCGTAATGATACGTCCCCTCTTTGCATCACCCGTAGTAGTGCTAGCGCCAATCAAGGCCAAGTTGCTCGCTAGGGTATGAGTTCTTGCGCATCCAGCTGCTGGCGAGGACGTTTGCTTTTTCAAGACCAGCAGACGGCCTATGGGCCTGGAAAGGATCCAGACGCGCGTGAATCTCACCATCTCGGAAACCGGAAATCATCTCCGATTGGTTTACCTGGATGTCTTGGGCGTCATGCAAGCAGCAGTATTCGGATACGCAGGCTACATTTGGGCCGCTGGAAGAATCAGCTCTCGCTGTCACTTGCAATTGAATGGGCAATGGCATGACTTCAATTGAACGTGATGCACAGGAGCTCACCAAGCCAGCGATCGATTGTCGTCAATATGTACCATGCCTCGACGTACCCCTGGGCCAAACGCAACTCTTCCTGCGTTTGCACATGGTTTTACATCAGTGTGCGCGGCTAGGAAATGGGTTGGGCTGGAGGGACCCATGACGGTAGTGAGAAAAACGAAACCATGAGGCTGGTTGATCAGTTCCAGTCCTATGACGACAATCTCGACATCGCGCATGCGTCAATCTTCGTTTCGAAAGGCATTGAAGGTGCTATACGTCATGTCTAGTCCATATCACACGTTCCGATCACGCTCTCATTCTTTGATTTCGGTAAACGTTCTCCCCGACTCAATTCACGTACTACGTAGGTCCAGCCCAGCCTGCTCATATTCACGACTCATGGCAGCCATCAATTCACCCCACCACCTACCCCACTGATGCCCCACCCCTCTTGCACACTTTTTGTTCATCCCGCATGACACCCCGGTTACTTCGGGCCACGGCAAACACGCCCATCGTCAGCAGACGGTGGCCCACAGCAATCGGTCTAGACCTGAGTGGTGAGCAGCAAGGCACAGAGCCTCTGTTGTGCCGCGCGAATAAATTATCTCCGGAGCAAGGAAGAGGGCCATCGTAGTCTTTATTTCCGAACGAAGACGCCAACTGTTGGTGGGCATGCACATATGCATGTGAAGGTACGAAGATAAAGGCAGGGAGCACATTCCTCAAGGTGAGGATCTACGCCTCCCAGGTTTTCCCCCTCACCTTTGGCTAGAACCACGATTGTCGTGCTCTCGCCCGATCTCCGTCTTGTCTCAGATCCTGATTTACTGTTTGCAGTCATGCACCCATGATTCGTCTGGCGTCATGTCGTTACAAGGCGTTCAGCCTTGCTGCCCTATCGTCGCCCCACAAGCTACTTCCTCAATCTGTGCTAGCGTGTGGCGCAGATCACTTCTTATTTATCCTTTGGCACCTCTCACCCAGTCAGATCATTCCCAGTGAACACTTCTGGAGCTCAGTAGGCCAATGCCAGAGTGTGTTGCTGCAATTCTAGGTCGCAGCTGGGGATTGCAACAGTTGGAGAGGCATACGAGGCGCAGCAAAAGGAGAACGGCATGTGAGCCTCGAAGGCAGTGCTAATAACAAACGGCGCAAGCCGAGGTGCAATAATCGCCAACGTCCCTGCAAAGATCAACAAAGTGAGGATTGATAGTCAGGTGGATCCAATGAAGTGGTCGATCCCGCCGGGTGGATCTTGTACTAGTCCTACGCGTAAACCGCGACCATCACCCGAGCTCGCATCCTGGGTTATGTATGTCTATTGAATCGTCTCCACAATTTCATAACGTTAATATTTGTGGCTCTAGCTGTATTAATAGACTATGGTTTCACTGTCTTGCCCCCCTAGCGATTAATGGGCGGCTATCGCGGTTAATTGTAAATTCACGGATTGGTCAATTGACGTCGATTGCCTTTTCGGGAAAGTTTGAGAAAAACTTCCGGTTTGCCTCGGGTCGTTCGGATCAGAGGCTGGAAGAGGATGGTCGTCGATGTCACGACAGATGGCATCTTTGCGGGGCCAAGACCGTTCAGTGTTGCTGGCCTGTATCATTTTCAAACCACACGCGTAATGCCGCTGCAGGACCTATGTTCTGTTCTCCTGGTGTAGGTGGTCGAACGCTGATTCCGTTGCCTCCAATGATACAAACAAGATACTTCCATGTTGCGATCCGTCTTATCTGCATTAGCCTGACCCAGTCTCTTGGTGTACTACCGTTCGTCGAAAGTGTCTCCCAGTCAGCCTCGACGCATCCCTCAAGACCACAGTTCAACAAAACAATCGCCTCCGCGATATTTCCCCGCAGCAATCAAAGCATCCTGCACTCCCTTCCCCCCACCAATCTCTGCGACATCCAGCTCCGCAATCCTCCATCATGCAGGCCGCATTCTCCCCGCTCTTGCATTTCCAAGACGCGGCGCCCGCATGAGAAGAGCCTCCAAACCAATCAACACCCACCGCCGCGGCCGGGAAACGCCATGGCCCGAGCCGCTGCACCGCCGTCATGGCCACATCACATCGACATGATATGCCTGCCTGCCCCCCCTTTATCCCGCATGTGCTACTGTTCTCTTTCGATCCTTCCCGCCAACCCGAACAAGGAAAGCCGACGACGCCGTGAGGGACGCACGGCAATTTGTAAAAAGCCCGCAGCAAGCCAGCCCCCTCTTTCTCGCCTCGCTGGCCAGAACAAAAAAAGCCTAATAAGCGGAGCTTGCTGTTGAATGCGGAATCCTGTCACGTAGCACCCCCCCTCCCCCTCCCCGGCTGTCCCGGACGGAGATGCAGTGCCCTAGACGGCTTGAGGAAGGAAGAAGGTGTGGAGTGAGTGATAGCTTGCCGCTCCATGCCCGGGTGTGTGTGACTGTTGGATCCCGATGCATGCGGTTCCATGTTGCTGGGACTGTTGGCAGCTCGCCCTTGCCGACAGGTTCCGGCCAAACGCGAGGGAATGTGGAATCCGGCTGCTTTGGCATCCGAAGGTGTTTGCTGGTGAAAGGGGTTACGCTTTTGCTTGCATTCAGTACCTCTCGGTGATACTTTTGTTCGTTTCCACATATGTTGTAATGATGAAGCGTCGGTATACTGGATGAGGCACATTTCTTCTCGGAACGAATTGCTGAAGAGGTTATCCACTGGGTACAACTCGTTGAATCCATATAAATAGCTATGATGCGTATTTCCGCTTATTCAATGTGTTGAACATATGTAGAGTGATGGTGAGTCAACATCTCGAACGGGGAGTGATCGCACCGCGGGGTGCTCGGTCCTTTAGTGGGTTTCACTGAGTGATTGAGTGATGAACCGTAACCCTCTGGCTGTGCGATGGCATCTTAGGCGTATCTTTTTATTGATTACAGGTGCAAGAAAGTGACTGTGTCGGACTCCTTCCTTACTGTGCTGTGTACCCCATCTCAAGCTGAAGGAGAGTAGTGGCTGCCACATCTCGGGTACCAGTAATAGCTCAGTAAGGAGCCACTCAATTGGGATACGTGATGGGGCTATGCGGACAGACTCTTTTCTGATTGGAAGCCATACACAAGTCTAAGGATACAGCCTCTGGATAGAATACCTTGATGTCTGGAGTGAAATGCCATAAGAGGTGACGGAACGTACAGGTGAAAGATTCAGTCGGTTACGAAATTAATCCGCCTACTTCCATCTTACGCATGAGCGGAGTTCTATGACTGAATGCATCTAGTCATTGAGAGGGCCCTTAAACCGACATCTGCGTCAACATACTTGCTTCAACTGCCTACACAAATGATCGCCGCAGGTCAATTTCTCTTTTAAGATTTGGGCTGGTACTCTTGCCTTTCTACTGTTTGATTGTTCGTAGTCTCCACCACCTCTCGATTTCAAATGTTTCTGTGTGGTTTCGCAAATTGCATTGTATTGAATAATGTACAAATGTACTGATCTATAATATCGGCGGCATGTCATTCCTTCGTACTTAATACTAATGAATGTCTTGTGGGACATGCAAAGGGTTTCGCCAAGTTCGACGATCCATCAAATGGATCGGACAACGACGCCAAATACAGCCAAAAACTCCAGCTCTTCTTGATACTCCAGGGCCCATGCATTGTATGCGATTCGTTTCCCTGGATCTCGAACGCCGGCCACGGTCTATGCAAATGTGTACACTGCTAGTCAAAACGAATGTTAATGCAACCTTGTAGGCTTCGCCCGAGTCAACTGGTTGGGTATCACTCGAGGATTTTTTTCCAGCCATCTTTCCAAACAGCTCTACGGCCATCCTCGGCGATGCCAACTCGGAACCTTTCCCAGCGCGCATCTTGTCCGGCGCCTATGACGAGCATCTCCGAGTCGTTGATCCATCCGATCACACCCTTCGGTGGACGACCGCCAGCAACACCTTGGATAGGAGTGTTCCAGTTGAGACCGCCTCCCATGGCGGCCGATGTGTTTCCGATAGCAGTGCTGTTGGTTCCGCGGCGCGTAGCGTACAGCTCAGGTTCATCCCCGATTTCAAATTTGGCAGAGGCAGTGGAATACACGTCGGAGAAGATGCGAGGGACCATGGGTATCTTGGAGAAGAAACCCCACTTGGACGCATGCGCCGGCTCCGCGGCACCGTTGCCGGACTCAAGGGCTCCAGAGAAGTCGCTGTTGACACTCGCGGGGCGACCGCCGGACGAGGACGGACGAGTCGCATGGGGCAAGTCGAATATGTGCAGGGTCCCGGTATCTGACGTCACCGCCATGAAGGCATTGGACGGCGAAAGCGCGATGGAGAAGATGGTAGCACTTTCAACGCCGCGCCTGTACTCACCGAATTTTGCGCCATTGTCAGCCATCCACAAGCGGATCAAAGTGCCTTGCTCGCTGGCGGTTGCAATTACCGTCCCGTCCGGGCTAAGGGAAAGGGCGCGGAGGGCGTTGGAGTGTGCGGGGATGATGTTGATGTTCCTTGAGGCGAGCTCGAGAATCTGCACCTGGCCGGGGGTGCGTCCAGGAAAAACCACGATGTCCTGGTTCAAGCAGCACAGGCCGAACGGGTTGTTTGCCGTCTCGAACTCCTTCAGTTTCTCCGGACGGGCGGAGAGCTTGTAGACGTGTATGCTGTTGAGCAGCACTGCGACGAGGTACTTCTGGTTGAGGCGGACGCGTTGGACGGGGGTGTTGAACTCAAAGGTCAAAGTGGGCTCCTGCTTGCCCTCGTTCCAGAAGATGATCTAGATAGCACCGGGACGGACCTGTTTAGAGAAGCCCAAGCTGGTCAACTCGAAGGGGACTCGGGGCGCAGGGGCTCACCTTGTTCTGGGCGAACTTGGGGCTCTTGCCACCGCCGACGAGGGCGAGGTAGTTCGTCTTGCCGACCATCTCGACGCAGCCCAGGCCTTGGCCCAAGTCGCGGACCTTCACCGGTCTGCAGTCCGGGGCATCGTAGATGCGGAAGCCCGTCTCGAGAGCGACGCTGAAGTGGGAGAGGTCGCTGTTGTAGGCGACGGACAGGGCCGGCGGCGGCGGGGAGTCGTTGATGGCAGCGCGCGTGTTCATGGCGGAGCGGTGGGCGGGGCGGGCAGAGTTGCGGGCAGCGTTGCGGGCAGCGCGCAGGCGGCGTGGACTTGTCGGCGGCGAGCAGACCCACGACCAGCAGATGATGCAGCTGGCGCACGGAGCAGCGGGCGTCGCTTGGGCGCGAGCTTGGGCGCGCGCCGTGACACGCAGCTCCTCCACGCGTCGGCCGGCTTCTGGAACAACGTCTCGCCGGGGCGCGCATCCCTGCCGCTTCCAGGAGCAGCGGAGGGACCCTTTGGAAATTAGGGGGAAGGAGCGGCCGACGACTCTCCACTGCCTTCTCCATCACCGCGCCCTCAGCGTCCTCCTGTCCCTCCGCCCACCGCACCCGACCAAGCCACACCCTCAATTGACGCCGACAGTCGCTCGCTCAAGTGCAGTCCTCGGCTCATTGACATTCTCCCCTTCTAAATACTCCGGGCTCCGCCTGTCTCCGCCCAACATGAACGCCGTATGACCATCCCTGCCCTGTTCCGACCCGCGCCATCGTGCGCCGCATCCTGCGCGCGACCCGATTCCCAGATTCCCGCTGACCGGTGCTTCGACAGATCAAGATCCGCAGGAAGAAGAATGTCAAGAAGGGTATCCAGTTCTGTCTGATGGTCTGTGGCGCATCAGGCACTGGTATGTACCTCCACACGTGTACATTGCCTGCCCACCCGCAACCCGCTGACCTTGCCGCCCAACCCAGGCCGCACCACCTTTGTCAACACTCTCTGCGGCCAGGATGTCCTGAACCACAAGGACTCGGACGACCCGGCCAACGCCCACGTTGAGGAGGGCGTCCGGATAAAGCCCGTCACCGTCGGTACGATCCCATATCCGACTATCTCGCGGCCAGCCGCCCATCGAGGAATTTCACTAAGCATTGTTCACCAGAATTAGAGCTTGACGAGGAAGGAACCCGCATCTCGCTCACCATTGTCGACACCCCCGGTTTCGGTGACCAGATCGACAACGAGGCCAGGTACGGACGCGACCACACCAAGCCAACGTGCTTGCCCTTTGTGCTAACGCGCCCACAGCTTCGGCGAAATCGTTGGCTACCTCGAGCGCCAGTACGATGACATTCTGGCCGAGGAGTCGCGTATCAAGCGTAACCCTCGTTTCCGCGACAACCGTGTCCACGTCCTCCTCTACTTCATCACTCCCACCGGCCACGGGTAATATCCCAGCTCTCCCCCGACCATGATGGCCAGCGCTGACCTAGATGCTGCAGTCTCCGTGAGCTTGACATTGAGCTGATGAAGCGCCTTTCGCCCCGCGTCAACGTCATCCCTGTCATTGGAAAGGCCGACTCTCTTACCCCCGCCGAGCTCGCCGAGTTCAAGAAGCTCGTCATGGAGGACATTGAGCACTACCGCATCCCGGTGTACAACTTCCCCTACGACATCGAGGAGGATGACGAGGACACGGTCGAGGAGAACGCCGAGCTGAGGGGTCTCATGCCCTTCGCCATTGTTGGTGCGGAGGACTTTGTCGACGTCGGTGGCAAGAAGGTTCGCGCGAGGCAGTACCCTTGGGGTGTTGTCGAGGTTGAGAACCCAAGACACTCCGATTTCTTGGCCGTGAGGAGCGCACTTCTCCACAGCCATCTGGCGGATCTCAAGGAAATCACGCACGACTTCCTGTACGAAAACTACCGTACCGAGAAGCTGTCCAAGAGCGTCGAGGGTGGTGCTGCTGCGTAAGTTTTTCCCTTTTCGGAGCGAACCCACAAAAGAGAGGACAGAAATACTGACAGGCCATAGCGATTCGTCGATGAACCCCGAGGATCTGGCATCTCAGTCCGTACGCCTAAAGGAAGAGCAGCTCCGCCGCGAGGAGGAGAAGCTCCGCGAAATCGAGCTCAAGGTCCAGCGGGAGATCCAGGAGAAGAGGCAAGAGCTGTTGGCACGCGAGAGCCAGCTCAAAGAGATCGAGGCACGGATGCACAGGGAGCAAAGCCAAGCGCTCGGCTCGGAGACGCCCGAAATCCCCGAGGAGGCGGCTTAAGTGCATGCAACGACGTTTGGGGGCTAATGGCTACGGGGGTGTACCAGTACTGGTCTTTTTCTCTTTTTGCGGCGCGGATTCCCCCAATAATTGCGAATCCGACAAAACTTCTAACGCAGCAGGTGCAGGGAGCAGCTTTAAGAAGATCAGGGTTTCTTATTTCTTGCACGAAAACGGTGAAGATGGGGAGACTCTGCTTGCCAAACCACGAACGTTTGTAGATCAACGCAGACGCTGGCTACCTTCCCTTTTTGCCTGTTTTCTTACGCCACCTGGCCATCGTTGGGACACAACCCCTCAACCCCTTCCTCTCTCTCCGGCTCTTGGCTTTTCTCTCAACCTTAGTACCCTCTTCTTGACTTATTCCCCAAGTTTCTTAAGTTCTGATATGTAGCTAGCTTTTTAGTAATCGGTTGAAGTAGCGAATGAGTCTTGAGTTGACGCTTGAAAAAAAAAAAAAAACCAAATAACAAACGTGGTGTATGCGGACTGGTGGAAATGCGCGAGAGATTTTGCGCGAACCCCTGCGCCTGCAGGTGGTCTGATTCCATACCTCTTCGTTGTTCCGTCGATTCTCTTTGGCTACTGACACTGGCGTGACCTGTCGCTCTGCGAAAAGCAGTAGTACTACTGCCCGCAAACGATGCGCATATCCGTGTCGGCGCTCGAGGCTCGGTAAGGTTGTTGGTTTTGCTCGGCCCGTTTTTGCGACGGGCTGCCAGCTGCTCTTAGGTTTCCATGGTCCGCCGCCGCCCTGCCCGGTTTTGCCGTCTGCCCTGTCCCGTCCGTCGTGCCGGGCTTCCAGGGTCCGCCAGGTATGTGCTCGGGCCGGGGCTTCTTTTTTTTTTTTTTACCCTTCCTGCTTCTTAGGTCCTAGGTTCTTCTTCTCTTCTTCTTCCTCTTCTTCTTCTTCCGCGGCGGCCTTGGATGCTGGCAACATGCGAAAATCGGAAACGTGTTTGCAACAAGGGGTGGTGGTGATCGTCGTCGTCGCTATGTGCTTGCCTGCTTGCCTGCCTGTCTGTCTGTCTGCCTTGCCCGCCTGTCTGCCTTATCCTCCCCCCTCTTTGCAACCTCGTCAAGGCTGACTGTCAAGGCGGAAACCTTCCATCTATCTCCAAGACAACCCTGATCTTCTGGTGCGACTAATCTATCCAGTCGATCGGTGGGCGGATCAGCGATCAAACGCGAGGCCGCATCAACGTTGTTCTAGTGTTCTGTTAGATAAAATGCGCGCGTGGGGTTGGGTGAATCAGCCTTGCATAACGCGCATGATGTCTTGTTTCGAAACTACCAAGCTTTTCAGGTCTCACGCTTGGCGGCTGGGTTTCTTCAGATATGTTTCGGATGGGGGGATGGGGAGTCGGGACGAGTTGTGCTTCGGAGCTGTAGGTAGGTTGGTCAGAGCACGCTTCGGAACATGGCGAGGACGGTGATGAGCAGGAGACTTGTATAGCCAGCCCCCTCTGCCCTTTGCGATTTCATCGATCCAAAAGTTTCATGTACAACGACCGTATGTCGAGGTTTTTTTTTTTTTTTTTGGTTTGGGGGGAGTGGATGTCGTGACCCATTATATGGTCTGTGTTTGAAGCACACCATTTTTTTTTCTTCTTCGAAAAGACGTAGCAACACGCTTTTAGAAATGAATTAGTCCATGCCAGGACCACATGCGGATCACGAATGCGCTGGGTGCCTGATGGGCGGGTGGGGGCCACCACGGACTCGGGCGTTGTATGTATGTATGTATGTCCAACGTACGTAGGACTAAATATAAAGTAGGATGTTGGACTATTCTTTCCTTGGTGAACGGTTGCCCTGCTTGCCACGAGCCTACAGAACCGTTGTCGTCGCGCGAGTAGTTCAGGCCAGCCGTGATAAGAAAAAAAAGGGGGGAGGAAAGAAAGAAGACAAGAGAAAAAAGGTGACGAGAAATCTGTACGCAGCATGTACCTCCGGCCCCACGGCCTGCCGTGCGGGGAGGGAGATGGGAGGATGCACGAAACACCTAAGCACTCTAAATTCTTACGCGCTGCATGTATGCGTGTGTATGTGTGTGAGTGGTCTGGGACGCTAATGACAAGGGCTGTGATAATCCTACGATGCAGAGCTACTTTGTGCCACGGATGTGCTGGTTGGACAGCCAGTGGATGCGTCAGAGTGACGAGAAGCGGGAAGGCGGGAAGAGAGAGAGAGAGGGGGAGCGCAAGAAAGAGACAAACCGCTGCGCTTTTTGAATCATGCCTTGTCATGAGACAAGACCAAACATAGGCGGACTACGAGGCAGACATGAAAAGGAGCCCGCCCGAGGCTGATCCCAACACTAGCGGCGGACGAAACACGTTATGCCGTGATCGCCGCTGGTGTTGCCCCGTCCGAGTGGCGCAGCGTACTGTGTTGTACCCTGAGTCGTTCCAAACTATTCTCGAGTCCTGGTCCAGACTTTTCTGCACGTTGCTTGTTACGCCACATGATGTTCGGTAAATCTTTTGCAGGCGTTTCAATTCGTCGTGATTCTCATTTCATCGTCACTAGTCTAATCTGGTGATATCTGTAGCCCTGTACCCAAAACCCTTCTATGATGTGATCCATTCTAAGCGCCCTCGTTAACGCCGCTAGCCAATGCTCCATATGCTATGCAATAAACAATATTTTTTCCGCGCCGCTTTCACTGCCTCAGTTGCACTCCCATGTCCATCAGCTCGGCACACGCGTCCCACTGGTCCTGGTCCACTGATTCCATCTTTGGCGCCAATGGCTTCGCTTTCTTGTCTGAAAATAGCATGCGTCTCGCAACCCATTGCCGCTGAGCGTTCGCGCTGCGTTCCCAGGCAGGAGGAGTGATAGCATCGGTGGCTGCGTACTTCGCGGCGGCAGCCGTGGGATCAAGATCAGTGATGAAAGAAATCCAGTAGGCTTGGATGGCAGTTTGAAGGGGCTTCAGGGTCGAGTTCTTGCCGGTGTAGCCGTTCCAAACGCTCCAGCTCTCAGCTACGTGGGTCGCTGAACCAACGTCCCATTGATAGGTCCATACGTTGTTGTTCTGGGAGCGCGATGGTAGGACCCAGGACAGGAAAAGGTTTGGGCATACGTAGCGGATGTCGCCATAGAGTTGAGCTGCGAAGCCACGGAAGTTGCCAGCCTTGATGAGAGGCTTGTACTGCGGGTGGGAGTGGAAGAAAGTCAGGTTCGCTGGTGTGATTTCGGGAAACTGGCTGGCGACGAAGTCATCGGCGGCCTGTAGCGATTTGCCAGCGCTGGAAGGTGTGAATACAATGCCTTCGTTGGTTGTGTCGCCCACGAGCACGGGGACGTCGTGTTCGCGATTAGTATAGAAGCTGCTGTACCTGTAGTCGCGCACCACGTCGCCGTCCAAAACCGGAGAGTACATGTACACTGGAGCGGCTGTGCCGCCAGGCAGTGCATGGGTCTTGCTGCGGGTATTCGTCTGGAATGCTGCGGTATCGAGTTCCCGCAGGCATGCGAGCGAGTCCCATTCGCCAGCGCATCCTGTCGCGTTGAGGATGTTGTCGTATTGCCACTGGGCTTGCTCGGCTGTCTGCATGGCGGGCCAGGAGGCAGACTCTAGTGTTGCGCCGACAAAGGATGCATTGTTCGCGGGATTGGCCATGTGGAGAACGACTGATCCGGCACCTGCACTGGCGCCACCAAGGACGATATGGTCTGGATCGCCACCAAACGATGCAATGTTATCCGTCACCCACTGCAAAGCTTTGAGTTGGTCCTTTAGGCCGTTGTTGGCGCTGAAGTCAGGAGCCGATTTTTTCGACATGTTTGGCTTCGACACCACGCCGCCCAGGAAGCCGTAGGGGCCAACTCGGTAAGTGAAGGTGACGACGATCATGTTGCCTCCACTGGTCTCCACAAGCGATGTGCCGTTGGGTGGCTTGGCTGATGTGCTGAAACCACCTCCTTGGACGTAAAAGAAAACAGGCAGCGCATCGCCCGCAGATGCCGCGGATGGGGCATAAATGTCCAGTGTCAAGCAATCCTCAGACACACTGGAGTCGCCTGGCCGGGAGTCAACACCTATACAGGTGGGTCCGTGCTGTGCGGTGCATTAGCCATAAGCACCTAAAAGCCCAGTAACCCGGACGCGCTAGGTGTACGGGATAGAGAGAATACGAAATTAGATGTAAGCTTACCGAACTGGCACGATACTCCTTGTTTTCAATATCCAGATCCCTGGGGGCGGCAAAACGCAGTTCGTCCACTGGCGGAGCGGCGTAAGGAAGACCCATCCATTGCGTGACGCCGCAGCCCAATTGCGTGCCGCGATATGAAGCGTAGGAGAGCTTGACCAATGGGTCAACAGCGGCGACCTTGACGGCGCAGAGAGCAAGCAAGCTGAAAACAGGGCGCATGGTTGGTTGTAGACAGAGGATGTGCTGGGTGTGGGCGGCGATAGAGGGTTAAATGTCTGCGAGGAGCACAGCCTCTGCCGGGTGGTGTTGGATGGTGTGGCAGGGGCGTTTCAATACATTTGCAAAGGAGTTGTAGATCGGCGGGCTGAGAGGTCGAAGGCAGAGGGCGGAGTTATAGGATTCCCCCAGGTTGGTCTTTGTTGGCGGCGAGACAGAAACCATCAGACGCTCCTGCGGTAAGCTAAGCCCGGTAGAGGGAGCCCTAAACGAAGGTGCGTGGAAGGAACAAGAGGCCAAATTTGGAAAGCACGATACGGCGGTCCCGGTGGCTTGAAGTAAGGCCCGTGCTGACTCCAGCGCAACACGACCCAGAGGCAAAAGAATGTGAGCCAGAGTCCGAAACAGCGGCAATAGGAGAAGCGCGCGACACGGCAGGGAGAGTCGAGGGTGCGCCGGTGAGGTTATGACACCCGCTCAAACACCGGGGCGCGTCACTCGTCGCTGATCAAACGCGGCAGAGGCTGTTTGGCTCGACACGGCTGCGTCATAGAACAAGTCCCGGTGCGCTGCGGCTGAAGAAGCAGCGACGGTGCATGCTAGTAGTAAGCGGTTTCGTCAGGCGCAACGCGCGAGTCGAGCCCGAGTCACTGCAACGGTGTCATTTGAGCCATCGTGCCCCTTGTGTCTGGCCGGGCTGGCGGGGACAATTGACACAGCACATCCAGGGACCGGCAATCCGTTTAGCTCGCGGAGCATGTGCTCGACGGGGTGCGGAAATGGACGTGTCTGGAGCGCGACCAGGGCTGTCAGCACACATGGCTAGTCGGTTGCGGGTTGGTCGCGCCAGGTACGGGCGGCGGAGGGGACCGCTAGCCCGGACCGGTGTCGGGGCTGGGCTCCATCGCAACAGCAGGAGTCGAGAGAGAGGAGGGTGTTGGCTGGCAGTGGCAGTGGCAGTGTCGCGGGGGCTGATTCGCTCGCGGCAGATCTCGAGCTATTTTTTCCAGGGCCCGGGCCAGCCCCTCACCTTGCCCTAGCATCGCGCATAACGCTCCGTGGCCCCCTCGCCTTGGCCTCTCTACCCGAAAGCTTGTCGCTTGCTGCCTGGAGTCCTTTCTTCATCATCACGCGCAGCTCGTGTTCGACCCCCGCCTTGCAGCTGGAATGCACTATGTCAGCCGACCTGCTGTTCTCCTTTCGCGCCTGGTGACACTCGGTCCCTTCTGGAGTACTGGAGGGCGTCGGATCCTTCACCGCTGGCCATGCATTGTCATCGTCTCGCAGCCGAAGTCCATGGATATCTCTCCTCGTGCGATTTGTGCGTCGTCGTGGCCTTGCGATGCTCGAGCTACCGCTACCGCTGGCTGTATCCGTGCCGGACGTCGTGCCCAGGGTCGTGGTGTCAGCAACTGTAGCCCAATTGATCGTCGTAGCTGTTATGTCCCCGGATGGTCATCGTCCCTATTCACTGAAGGCTGTAGCGAGTCGCAGCTGTAGCCGTAGGCCGTCATAGCTGCGGCAACCAGCTGTAACCACTAAGGGCCGTCATAGCTGGCGCTGAGAATCGTAAAGAAAATTAGTTTTTGCACATCCGGTTGAAGGTGAACCGTCTTACCTAGAAGGTAGCCGAAGCACTTCACGACTGCTGAGCAACTCGCCTCTCGAAGCGGTTCCACTCCCCTGTCAGTGCGGTTATCTATATTCCAAGAAGAACAATTGTCACAATGTGACGTACCCTCAAGTTCGTCGTTGTCGTCCACAGCCTTGTGCCATATCATGATCTTAGTGAACATGTGCCTCTCTCTCGCATGGTACCACTGGGTCTGGTTTCCCGAGTGTTTGAACGACTCTCTAGGGGTGGAGAGCTGTCTGGCCCACACATCGGCGATGTCGTGACCTTCAACAAAACGCCGGCCTTTCAGGAACCGGACGACGACAGGAACGCCCTGTGCAGCGAAGAAGTCATCATACTTCTTGAGGCGCTGCAAGACGCGCTCGTTGGCGCCGCCTTGTCCAGGGACCCTGAAAAAAGCAGTTATCTAAAAAGGGTTCAATGTCTGGCAAGCAGAGAACGCTCGGGACTCACCAGTCCCTGATGACCTGCAGGGCTATGATGTTGTCCATCAAGACAACCACCTGGCTCTCGACCTGCGACCACCTCTCGACGAGCGCAGTGCTCATGCCCTCGTTGACAGCGCAGATCTCCATCTGGTCTGACTCCATCGGCCGTGGGATCGTGCTGCCAGCGACGTGGTACAGCAGCTCATCTCTGCGCTTCCAGGCGACTGCGACGCCAGTCCACTGCGGCTCATGATGGTTACGGTAATTGCCAGACCCGTCGCTGTACATGACTAGCGTGGACGAGTCACCGGCTGCCTGGTTGGCAAAGGCGACGGAGGCGTCATGGTTCAGCCGGCCGTTCGGCAAGCGGTCAGCGTGAACGCGCAGGTGGAGGGAGCGGGCCTGCTGGGTGCCGATGATGTGGTTAATCGGCAGGCCGGCATTGGCGGAGGCGGGACCGGGAGCGGGACCGGGACCGGTGGTCTGCATCTTGGTGTGTTTGTTGCACTTGATTCAAGCTGGAAGGTAAGGAGAGAGTCGGCGAAGAATCAAGGTGCTGGTGGGCAAGTGTCGGGAGGCTCACGGTCAGTTGTTTTCCAAAAGTCATCCACAACACTAAACCCAATTCGGATCGTAACTCATATTGGGAAGGCACGGTAACAAATATCTAGCCAAGCGCACAAAACCGGGCCACGCGCGACCACGATTGGTATATTTCCTACTACATCTCCTGCACAGACCTTTTTCCGCTCCATTACCAACTCTTAGAACAACCAAGAGACGAATCTCGAGTAGAATGTCTTCTCTCCCTTATTGTTCGCCGCCTGCTGGGCCAGGAATTCCTGCTCCTCGCGATCAATGATGTCCTTTCCAGTCCAGAGGTCGGCCTCCGTAGCCTTGATGCCCTCCGTCTTGTGCCACCACTTCCAGCCGACAATCATGATGAGATAGAGAGGGATGCCAAGGTACCCGGTGATGAAGTTCTTGTAGTCGAAGTCGCCATACTCCTCGCTGTGAGTAAAGACGCTGAAGTTCTTGGTGAGGGCGATCAGGATGCAGAAGCCGAGCGAAATGTAGCTGCCCCAGATGCCGAACGGCGACACGTACGCAAGCGACTCCTTGGGCACGTTCTGCGCCTCGCGCGCCTTGACGAAGTAGATGTGCGTCACCAGGATTGATATCCACGTCAGCAGCCCGAAGATGGTCACCAGGTTGACAAAGTAGCCGAACACCTTCTTCGAGTCGTCCGAGACGTTCATGTACGCCAGCAGGCAGAAGCACGAGGAGACGCCAAGGGCGTAAACCGGAACGCCGCGCTTGTCGGTGCGGGCCAGGAACTTCGGGGCCTTGCCGGTGCTGGCGAGACCGTAGATGGTACGCGAAGCAATGTACAGATCCGAGTTGGATGCCGAGAAGACGAAGAGCAGGATACAACCGTTGAGGATACCCGGGAGAGCATCGATCTGCGCAATCTTGATGGCAACGACGAAGGGAGAAGCAGCAGCGCTGTTGGACTTCTTGTTGGCGAAAGCAAGATCATCCGAATCGGACGGGACGATCATTCCCAAGAGCAGGACCGACAAGCAGTAGAAGAAGAGAATACGGAAGAAGGTCAACTTGATGGCCTTGGGAATGGTGCGCCTGGGATTCTGGGCTTCGCCAACAGTGACACCGACGAGCTCGGTGCCAAGATAGGCAAAAACGGCGTTAATCATGGAGCTCCAGAAACCGAGGAACTTGCCGGCGGAGCCCTCTTTGAACACGGTCAGTTTACGATCGTACACTCAATACGTATTTTCACTTACCGTCAATGTACGGCTTGAACGCGCCGGGATTCTTCCAGTACCTGAAGCCAGTTCTGTCATGGGTAGGGCCGCCGCCGAGTGCTAGGATAAGCGAGAGGATGATCAAAGCGATGATAATGACGACCTTCAAGCTGCTGAGCCAGAACTCGAATTCACCGAAGAACTTGACGCCAAAGTAGTTGATGCATACGATGGCGACGAAGAAGACAGTGATGAATACACCAGGGTTTATCTTCTCGGGCGATACCCAATACTGGATGACCAGCGCAGCGGCCGTGAGCTGGTTAGGGGTGACAATGATGTACTTGAACCAGTAGGTCTGCACCTTCGTTAGCCTCCACTTGGGGCACAAAGTGTCTCTCAGCTTCGTTCTCAGGACTTACGTAACCAAGGGCAAAACCAAGGGCGGGGTCGACAAAGCGGTTGGCATAGCCAGAGAAGCCAGATCCGAGCGGGAGCCATGCAGCCATTTCACCGAGACCAGCCATGACGGCAAACACGAGAAGGCCAACGAAAGAGTACGAGATCAGGATGGAAGCAGGTCCGGATTGGGCCAGGGCCTTGCCAGTGCCGATGATCAAGCCCGTACCTGGGCAATTGTCAGCTCCGTTTTGTTCCACAGCGGGGGCCGCCTCATACCAATTGCGCCACCGATGGCAATCATAGTGATGTGCCTAGCCTCCAGGCCACGGTGCAGGTTCTGCTTCTCGCCGGTCTGCTGGTGGACTTCGCCCTCGGCGGGATCGTAGGAGGCATTGGCCTCATAGTCGGTCTTGCCGAACTCAGCATCGCGGGCAACCTTGGGCTCGTCGGACGAGGAGGTGCTGGCACGGTTCCAGATGGCCATGTCGAAAATTCTTGCGACGCCGGCGCTTGGAGTCGGAGGGGCCCTTTGTGTCGTCGTCTTATCTCACGGCCAGGAACCTGATGTTCTCGTGACGGCTCCGGGATTGGTCGTAGGTGCCCGATGCGGGATGCAGGCAAAAAGGGCTAGCCTGGAGCGGATGACAGGATGCCACGAGCGAAAGCGATATACTTTCTAGTCGCAGCCACCAGAAGCTGAAGAGGCGCGAAGTCAGGGAAAGGCCGGGATTATAAGGGCAGCGGGCGGCAAACAAGAGTGGACCCACGTGAGGAGATGCAGGAAGGGTCGCGCCCTGTGATGACAAGACCTAGGGCGATGTCGTGAGCGGTGCAGCAACCGTTTCGGCAGCTAGCACGCAGTGGAGCGGCAACGCACGATATTTGGAGCGGCGGAGATGGTCAGGCACGGCAGGCCCAGGCGACACGCCGTGGGCAAGGTCTTATACATGCGCCGAGACATTGCTTGCGCTGTGCAGGCTCTTGTGCGCGACGCCGACCTACCCATTCGGACAAGGGCCGGCTCAGGACCAAGAAGTAGCATTGGCTGCGAGGGCGGCCAGGGCGGAATCAGCTTTCGCCGCACGCAGCGCTCAGCCTTGAGCATGCCCGCCCGCGATCCTTGTGGAGGGCCAAGGCTGCCAAGTCGCTGCACCAAGCCCACGGGCTCATGGGTGCGACTCCATTTGACGTGATTTGCGGAGTCGGGCGTTGATAAGAGCGGATTCTCTTAGCGGTTGCGCTCTTGTCATGATAGCGGCGCGAGCAGGAGATACGCCGCCAGCGCGGTGGTTTCCCTGCGCTGCCACTGTCTCGTTCGCGAGGCAGCAAGGCGCACCGGGAGCACCGAGGCTGACGGCTGCCTTGCGCGCAGCCCCGGCCGTCAGCGGCAGCAGTCGGCGGTCGGTGATCAGTAGTCAGTGGTGGCACGCGGGCGACAGAAGAACAGCCCGCAGCCCGCAGCCCGCAGCCCGCAGCAACAGCCGGCCCTAGCCGCCGCGCCAGCGCCACGCGGCATATATTTGCTCGCCGTTTCTTCGCTGCGCCAACTTCCCGCGCACCACCATGAAAACTCTTTCTATCTCTGCTATCGTGCCGTAATTGCGTTTTGTGAGATGCTGCGCACGGACTACGCTCGGCATATGCCATGCCGCTGAGTCGCGTCTGGGGTACTCGAGGGATACGACCCGTGCGGCACTTCACGAGACCGGCCGAGCCGCTCGTGGTGCTGCGCGATCTGTCGCTTCTAGAAGATCTGCTTTCTGCCGTCAGCATGTGCTGTGCTCTTGGCCCCTCATTTCGTTTTTTTTTAATCTTCGCGTCCCAAGCAGTCTTTGCTGCTATGCTCGATTCCAAGAAGGCCCGACCCAGACCCTTCGCTGGTTCGGGTTATTCTGGCGCGGGCCAGGGCAGTAGCTATAACATAACGAAAACCTCATTTGACGAATCGTGTCCGGGTGGACAGGCGCGGGGACCTCAGCTTCTCCGCAATCCTCTCCGCAACAAGAGCTTTCCCCGCAGTGTTGGCTGCGCTCTTGAGTTCCTGGTGTGTCACTTGTGGGTCTGACGTTTGCTCACCTTCCGCTATTGTCCCCGACCACGCGACGGATTGGTGTTTCCGAAGTCTGGGGAACTTCGTATATTTCCCGAGACCACCAATCCATCGTCTCGCTGCCAAGAAGCGGGCTCAAGGCCTACGACGGTGGTTTACATAACGTGTTGAGCGTAGGTTGATGCCAAGTTCGAAGTGCACACAGACCGCGGAGGTAGCGGCTACCCTACAAGAGTGGTTCTGGAGGAAGGCGAACTCGACCTCACAAGAACTCGGTGTTGAATGGCTCTCGAATGTCGCGGAACTTGGAAGCACAGCCTCGTGCACCCCAATCCACGCGAAACCGCCGCTCTCTTTCGATTCACCCATTGAAGTCACATGGACCTCACTCTGTCATTCTCACTTAGCTCGAGCTCTTGGGGACTTTCTGCAACACCTACAACTGGATCACCTCACTTGACACCGGCATCATGGTTCCAAGGCCTCCTTGGGCCCAACAGTCAGACATTTGGAATTCCCTTTCTGAAGCGAAAGATGACCGGAAGCCCCGAGGGCTGCGGACGCTTGACCAGACTAACGGTGGCGAAGCCAATCAGCTACTGACCGACGCAGAGCGAAGGATTGCTCTGGAGCTGTACGAGACCCATTGCGGCGGACCTTATCCAAGGCTTGAGGCTTACGCCTACGAACAGTAAGAAGAACTAACTGCTTGCGCGACTCACCGACAGCGATGCCAACTCGAGATCCTCACTTTGATGCCATAATCCTCACGTGAAGCAGTCCGTACTCACCTTCACATAGGTTCATCTCACCCTCCGCAGAGAACAAGGTCATCTCATCAAACCAGATCGGCAGCTGCACCGGCCAAATCTTCAACCGCGAGCACGCCCTGAGCCACTGCTTCAGCATATCATCCCAGAACGCCGGCTTCCAGACCCGAACCTTCCTCCTCTGCGCCTACGACGAGCAAGTCCCCCCCACCCCTCCCCCGTCCCTTCTCAGACCCTCCACCTTTCCGCAACCAGAAAAAAGACCCCCTTTCCACACACACTAACAAACTCCCCCACCCCCAAACAGCGCCGGCACCCTCCTCCCCCAACTCGTCGAGCCAGCCGAACACCACTTTCCATCCGACCCGGCGGCCCCGGCCTCCTCCCTCCGCCACGACGACGACGCCACCCCCCTCACCAACCACCACCTCGTCTCCGAGCACAGCTTCATCCTCATCGAAAAGCTGCACGTCGCACCCGCCCACCGGCGCCGCGGCGTCGGCCGCGCGCTGCTGGCCGCGTTGCTGGACGAAGCGACATCCGTCCTCCCGTCCATCCGCTTCGCCGTGTCGTGGCCGTGCGCCAGGGACGATGTCGATGACGACGATCCGATGGCGACGATGATGATGAGTGGTGGCGGTGATGGGGGCCGATCATCATCTGAGCACGAGCGTGGGCAGAGGAGGGCGGAGGCGTTCCATCGTGCGGCGGGGTTTGGGAGGGTGGGGTTGACGAGGTTTTGGGGGAAGAGGGTTGGGTGATGAGTGATTGATGGATTTATTTGGGGAGGGGGGAGGGTTCGAAGGATGTTTCTTTTTTTTTTTTTTTCCTGGAAAAGGCTGCGGGTGTTGATGGGAAAGCTGTGGCTGACGCCGATGCGTTATTGCCAAGCTTGGGGGCGCGCGGTCTTAGGGGGTTCCATGGGGTTTGGCGGATAAGAGACTGGGCTGGTGGTGGTGTGCGTGAGATTTTACGAGTAATGCCCGGAAAGGGAAGGTGATGCTGGTTGGTCCAGAGTCTGGGGACGATGCACGGCGCCCCCCGAGCCGAAGGCGCTAGATGGTTTTGCGCCAAACTTTCGGATCGAGTGCTCTGGGTTGGCTATGGACATTTCGTGGAAATATCTATTATTGGCAAGCTAGGCGGTTGCCGTCTCATGGTCTAGTGAACCGGAAGTCTGATGTACCTCTTGTGGCTCAAACTAGTTGGAACGCCCCGCCGGGTGGCTTTCTGGTGCGTACCTCGGTTCCAGCCGCTTAGTCAGGGGGCGGAGCATTTGGCTAAATGTCGGCGACTGCGGCCGCCATGACATCTTCGCGCCGCAATATTTCGTGGCGCGCGTCATCCCCATCTGCACTGCGCGTGTTCCTGCGCCGCTGCTTCAGCTCTCGCGCTACCGTCCCCCAGCTCGCGGTGCTGCACGAGCTTGCGCCTTCTCTCCGCTCTACTCCAATCGTCACCACCGCACAGGACTCTACCCTGCACATCCACCACCACCACCATGAACAAGATCCGCCAAGTCAAAGAGCTCAACAAGCGCGAGCTTGAAGCGGGCATCACCCCCGAAGCCTCATGGCATGCCGACTACAGAGACACAGTGCGTCACCCGCACCCTCGCAAACTCATCATCCGGCGCACGGTCTTGCTGACACAAAACCTCCCCCGCGCCAGGCATTCATCTACATCGGCGGCCTCCCATACGACGTCTCCGAAGGCGACATCGTCACCATCTTCTCGCAGTACGGCGAGCCCGTCTACGTCAACCTCGTGCGCGACAAGGAGACGGGCAAGAGCAAGGGCTTTGCTTTCCTCAAGTACGAGGACCAACGCAGCTGCGACCTGGCCGTGGACAACATGAGCGGCGCGCAGATAATGGGGCGCGTGGTAAGCGTCGATCACACGCGGTACAAGAAAAAGGAGGGGGAGGAGCTGCGGGATAACACGTACGGAGCGCCTGAGGAGGAGGAGGAGGGTGCGGTGGCGAAGGCGGTGGAGACGGAAAGTGAGGACGAGGAGGAGAGCAGGCCGGTGTTGAAGGAGGAGAGGGAGTTGGCCGAGCTGCTGAGAAATCATGACGATGATGATCCGATGAAGGCGTATTTGATCAAGGAGAAGAAGGAGGAGGTTGAGGAGGCTGTGAGGGAGTGGAAGGCGAAGAATGGCGGCGGCAAGAAGGAGAAAGATGAGAAGAGGAAGCACAGGCATCACAGGTCACGCAGGGATAGGGATGAGGATGGTGAGGAGAGGGTGCATCGCAGGAGACGTCGCCGGACCCGCTCACCGTCGGAAGAAAAGTCGAGGAGCAAAGAGCGCAGGCGGCGTGACCGCTCAGAAGACCGAGATCGGAAGTCTAAGAGGCGCGATGGCTCCGAGGATAGAGATCGTAAGAGTAGGCGGCGGGACGACGCAGAGGATGACGAACGAAGGAGCAAACGTAGGGATGATGGCCAGGACAGGCGGGATCGCCGTCGCGACTATTCAAGGGACAGAGAGCGGAAAAGCAGACGCCGTGCCGACTCGGAAGACGACTATAGGCGGCGTGACCGATCAAGGGATGCAGATGTGAGACAAAGTGACAGGAAGCGGGGGTCGCCGTCCTGAGAAGTCAGGAGCGACCATGGACCACACGATGCTCGCGATGCATACTCAATTGGCCGTAAATGGCTTGTTGAGTCACGGACGATGGTATCCAAAAATGAAATTCTCAGCTGCGTAATCCCTCTCGTGATGTATGCAATTGGAATCATTGAACGCGAGATCGCAGGAAATCTAAGTCTACATTTCAAGGGGCGAACAGACAGGGTAGTACCTGGGACGTCTGTTGGGTATGTGGTTCGTAAACTTTCTCGTTAAGAGCCCGCCAAAGACCAGATGGTAGAGCCACAGAGCAATGAATACGTTCCCACCATTCGATCAGGTAATCTTCAAACAAGCTCCTTCTATTTGGTGGATTAATAGGCACATGAGTTGACAATGCAGCGTAGCAACAACAGGATGTCAGGTCCATTTGCGCAGCAGCGTATGGGCCACATCTATTATTCTAAGTATATATATGGAGGTTTCAATCTGGTCCTAAGGCTTGCGCTTCATGCCAGGCAGATGACTACCAATGGACCGTGGCCTAGCTAAAGCACATCACTAGGCGTTTCTGACGCCTATGGAACGTTAGCTCTTAGTTATACGGGCAGGTGTACTTCCCTCCAAACTTCTCCATTTAACCGTGTCAACTACGGCAGGATCAGCCAACCTCACCTGCTCTGTCTTTTTTTCTTCAACTCGCCAGAAACCAATCACAAAAATACCAGCATCATCACCTTAGTCTACTATCGGGGCGATTATCAGGGCTCCCAGTCAATCTAAAAATTCATCATTCTAAAACAATCCCGCAATTCTAATCGTAATTCCGTTTTACTTGTTCAATTCACCCTCCAAATTTACAATCAAATCTCGCAATTTAGGAGACAATTTCCAATTCCAGTAAACCAAACCGTCAATAAAGTACTTATAATCCAGTACTCTGAGAGGCTTGAATTGGTTGAATTACTTTACTGGAAGCCCTAGCGATTATCACGAAATGCAGTGGGGCGCGTAAGAAAAATAACCATACCAGAAGCACTACCACTGTTATTTCTCATTGATAACCACCACGCAGATAGAAGGGACGCCCAAGCTAGCGTTGAGGAAGAGGAGATGCGTCAACCGTTCGTCGATGCCCACCTTGCCCTGCTCAGTGCTCAGCCACCTCGGTGTGCCGCCAGCAACGAGGAGTACACATTGTTTCGTCCGCTCAATCGCAGAGGAATCAATGCCAAGCTTGACATACCATTGCATTCATTACGAATCAGAACAATCGACGATATCTTGTCATCAACCAAGAAGTCATTCGTGAAGACGTGGGACGGAAGGAAACTGCGCGAGCGTGCGTCACGGGTTTTCCTTTCTTCAACGTGAACGGCTCGACCTGCTTCGATTTACCATCGACTAAGCACGTACAGGTGCATGCTGAGGCTCGGGTCTCTCCTCATTCAACTTCTTCTTGAAGAAGCGCTCCGTCGAGCCCATTGGAAACGAGAAGAACAAGGCCTCCTGGCACATCAAGTGGCCCAGTGTGTAGTAGCCGCACAGGCCGGACAGAAACGCAAATACACCACCGGCTTTCTTCAGCGCCACCGACGCGTCCGCATACCCATCCGCTGCGGCAAAGTAGCTGGCGGCGACAAGACCGAAGGCAAGCTCAACCGTAGCGAAGATGGCGATGTAGACGAGGTTTCTATCTTTGTATCAGACCAAACTTCTTGGAAGGGAGGAAATTGGAGGACAGCTGATGAGCACTCATCACTTACATTGGCAATGCGCCTATCAGGAAAAACGTGTTGAACACGGTCCACACTTTTTGTCCTTTGGTCAGCGATTCCGCATGACCACTGCGAGGCGTCTCCCTCACTTACGTAGCATAAAGAATCCGAGCGCGTTGTTGTACTCGACCGTGTCGGTTCCGTAGGATTCAGTGACGCCGAACGAGGGTGTGATGATGGCGCCGAAGCCCGCGTAGAAGAGACCTAGAAATAAGAAAAGAAAGGGCACTCAAGTCAGTGCACAGTGTTCGCCACCGCCAATCCGTGGAATCGCCCAGCATGCTTCGCCTCTTCTTCTTCTTCTTCTCCTCCCCCTGACCGCACGGGGTGTGGAATTCCAACACACTACTCACCGAAAGCGCTCAGAACAGTATATCCGTACGAGTTCCCCCTCACGATTTCCCATTGCGCGGAGATGACCATGCCGATGCCGGCGATGAAGAAGAAGTTCCCGATGAAGACGTTTGTCGTTGTGACGCCGCGCCATTCCATGAGTGAGCAGGACAGAGTCGTCAGCGTTGTTGCAAAGGCGCCGATTGCGAGGGCGGTCTGTAGAGAAATATTGTCAGCTCTGTTCACCGCTCTGAGATGCCTTCTTTTCGATTTTCTTTTCTAACAAGGTACTTACCGGGCTGCCCAAGTTCTGGCCAACGGCTGGAGAAACCACGATTGGTCGGGATACTTCCGAAAAGGTGTGTTCATGCTCAGGTCTGGATCCGTTGGTGGCTACTTTCAGGTCAATGGTTGGAAGATCACCGTTTGACCCTTCTTTTGACATGGTGCAAGTCGATTTTGGGGGAGCGATACGGATGAGTCGTGTTTGTCGTTTGGTGGCGGGTAACAAGGTGCGTGGAGCACGTTCAGGAGTAATAGAGAAAAAGAGCGGGGGAGAGGGAACTGAGTTTGATGTATGTAAACCATGAACAACTGCGCCATTGCAGACTACGATTGCGTGTTTCTTGGTGTATGCCCCTCCAAGCGCTAAAAAGTATGATTCAAGATGGACGATCAGCCTGTGTGAGCGCAGAGATGGATCTGCAGTACTAAACGCCTAGAACCTTGGATCTTCTTGACATGAAAATATGCCTGGTACCTTACAAGAGAATCTCGAAACAACGGATAGGTGAATTGTCCAATGCGGGGCACCTGGCTGATCTTGAAAGGGTGCAGTGCGGCCTTAGATGCTCCAATGATATGCATACTGTACACGCAGCTGCATGGGGGTCGTCGCAAATCGTGGTGATCGGATTGTCGAAGTCCGGAGCACGGCATCAGCTTCCCCAGTCACGTCATCGTGGCCCCAGGACCCGCAGCGGGGTAGGGCTCGCAAACTGAATCGTGAGCGCGGGAACAGCTGTAGCTCTATAAATGCTGGAGATGTGATCAAAGACTAGATCCTAAGCTCGGGCGATTTGGAAGTATGCGTTTGTTGAAGCCAGAGTCTGTTTGACAGCCACTCTGTGGCTCGGTTCCGGGGCTGGTTTTGGTTCACCATGAATGCGATTTCAGTTTGAAACTTGCATAGCGTCTTGCCACCTTTTATGAACGTATGTTTCTAATTCATGTTTCGTTGGTCAAGATCAGCAGAGAGCGCAACTTTCAAGAGACACAAGACATCTATCCGTCGAACTGGTGCCAAAAGCAAATCGAAAAACACGTGAACATACGGATAAGGCTTGCAAGAAACAACGTCCACCCTGTACGCGCATCATACAAAGGCGGGACGGGGCCGAGCATTGATGTGCCAGCTTTCGAAGATTCGGCCAAGTCACCTGTGAGCCGATCAGTCGCGTTTTGCTCGCGTACTTATGGGAGACCAGTCCCTTGGTGGTCCAGTCTGTATGTTTAAACAATGCTAACGCAGCATTGGTACTGAAGTAGTATACCGAACCACACCGGCGACTGCCTTCTGCCATGGTTGCTTCACAAATTCCGGCTGCAGTCCCCTACGCGTGGCCGTCTGACGCGTCCTTCTCGCGAGAAACGACCGCATTGGTCATTATAGATATGCAGAACGACTTCTGCACTGATGGCGGTTACATGACGCACCAGGGGCACGATATCTCTGGTGCACGAGCAATCATTCCAGGAATCCAAGCACTTCTGCATGCCTTCCGAGAGGTCGGCTGGCAAGTGTACCACACACGCGAAGGTAGCGCCCTCCTTGCGCTTTCTGACCCGCACTGACCTGATGGTTTGCAAGGTCACCGTGCCGACCTTTCAACCCTCTCCCCTCGAGAGGCTTTCCGTTCTCGCAACAACCCCTCAGGTCAAGGCATCGGCGCGCCTAGCCCCCTCGGAGGACGGCTTCTCATTCGGGGAGGCAAGGGACACGACATCATCCCTGAGCTCTATCCAGCCGAGGGCGAACCGATAGTCGACAAAGCCGGCAAAGGAGCCTTCGCAAACACCGACTTCGAGCTCTTGTTGCGCAACCGAGGGATCAGGAATCTCCTGATCGCAGGAGTCACGACCGACGTGTGCGTGAGCACCACCGTCCGCGAGGCCAGTGACCGAGGGTTCGACTGCGCGGTACTCAAGGATGCATGCGCCAGCGTGCATGTGGCGCTGCACGAGGCGACGCTGAGCAGCATTGCCGGAGAGGGAGGCATCTTTGGGACCGTGCTGGCGGTGGAAAACGTGCTCGAGGCAATGGGCCAGGCTGCTGCGTATGCAAGCTTCCTGCGGGCTGCGCCCTGGCCGGGCCCTGGTGAGACAAAGATAGCAGAGCCGCTGCAACAATAATAGGATTGACCGGCGCCGTTGGAGCGGGAGCGTGCAGCGGCCGCCTATGCGCCGAGTGTTTGGCATTCAAGCTTTCACAAGCTCCTCTAGTGGGAGATCGTCCCTCCTGTCTCCGGTGAGCACAGGCGGTCGTAAACGGCTCCACACAGGGTGCCGTGTCGCGGACAGAGTGCCCGCTGATGATGTCCCAGGGCGCGGGCTCAGCAAAGGCACGGCCGGCCAGCGGGTGACGGGGCGGACAAGACGAGGGCGCCAGGGCAGCTAGGGCAAGAGCCGGCAGGTACGGCACATGGACGATAGGCGCAGGGCGTGCCGTGGTCGCAGAAGGCGTGCATGTGGCCGGTACAGGTGAGCAGGCCGGCTCGCAGCGGAGTCGTAAGCTGCGGGCTAGCCAGCGGCTAAAAATGGACGCGGTTGAGACGCCGCGCAGGCTGCTCCGCTCCGCACGGCGCCCTGGCCAGAGCCGATCGCGGCGCGTCCCCGCGAGGGCGGTGCGTTGATGAGCCGTGTCGGGCGAGGAGGGGTGGTGTATAACACAGTAGGTAGTAACGCGTGTTGGAGGCGTGCCTGGCTGGGGTGCGGCCAGGGGCGCGGCCAGTCGGGGCGGCCGGCCAGTCGGGGCGGCCGTGACAACGGGCGGCGGCGCTGCATGGCCACGCAAACGCGTGGCCCCCGGCGGCCAGATGGCGCGCATCGACGAAACGCAGGCAGAGCATAAAACCCGCGCGGGAAACCGTCATGACCCGTGGCGCTCGTGTTCGATTACGACAGGGTGGTCGGCAAGGACGTTGGCCTCGCGCAGCCGTCAGAGCAGTCGTGAATCTGTAACACTAGGCCTGAAGCGAGGGGTTCGAGAAGGCAGCTCACAAGCAGTTTAAAGCACCAATCAGCCCCAGCCCGCGGCTTGCACCGCCGCCGAGCTCGCCCTCAGCCCAGCTGAAACAACGCAAAGATCCGCTTGGCAGGGTCGCAATCGCTCCTCACGCCCGCCTGCTATAACAGATCTTCGAGCACCGACTCGCCCAACCCTATTTGTCTCTCCAACCCAAATCTCCGCCTCGCTTTCTGCCCCCGCCGGGCTCCACCGTCCGCCAACAGGCCTCCACCCAACCCAGCTTTCTTAAAATTGACCGCCAGCCGCCATTTCACCCCTTCCAGATCCGCAAGCTCCAGTCTGCGCTCCGGCGGCCCCCCGTCGCCCACCATGCTCACCTTCCGCCGGGCCCTCATAGTCGCCGCCACCCTGCTCACCTTCTTCATCCTATTGAGATCATCGCACACCACCGGCCCGTCGGCCAAGCTTGCGGTGCCTGAGCCCAAGCCCGCCTCCAACGCTGCACCCCAGCCAGATGCGATCGACGCCGCTGCCGCCGCCGCCGCCGCCCAGGCCGGCCAATCCTCCGAGCGCAAGACAGAAAAGACGGCACCGCAGGCTGTAGCAAAGAAGGAGCGCCCGCAGATAGCGCTCGAGGATCTGCACACCAAGCCGTTGCGCCAGCAGCTCGAGTACCAGTTTCCCTACGACCCCCAGGGCAAATTCCCCGCCTACATCTGGCAGACATGGAAATACACGCCCGCGTCGGGCGAGTTCGACGAGATCTTCCGCGAGCCCGAAGCCAGCTGGACCATCCACCACCCTACCTTCGTCCACGAGGTCATCACCGATTCCGTCGCCGTGCATCTGATGCGCCACCTTTACGCCTCCATTCCGGAGGTGCTCGAGGCGTACCACTCGCTTCCGCTGCCCGTGCTCAAGGCCGACTTCTTCCGCTACCTCATCTTGCTGGCCAGGGGAGGTATATACTCAGACATTGACACGGCCGCGTTGAAGCCCGCCACGGAATGGGTGCCGTCCGACGTTCCACGGGAAGCGTACGGGCTGGTCATTGGCATTGAGGCGGATCCCGACAGGGAGGACTGGCACGAGTGGTACTCGCGCCGCATCCAGTTCTGCCAATGGACCATCCAGTCGAAGCCCGGCCATCCCGTCCTGCGCGAGATTGTCGCCAACATCACCGAGGAGACTTTGAAGCGCAAGCGGGAGGGCACCCTGGTCGCTGACGTCAAAGGCATCGTCGAGTACACCGGGCCCGCGCTGTGGACCGACATCATCTTCGATTTCTTCAACGACCCGCAGTACTTCGACATGAGCACGAGCACGAAGAACATCAGCTGGGAGGATTTTACCGGAATCACCGCCGCGAAGAAGGTCGGCGATGTCATAGTACTGCCGATCACCAGTTTCAGCCCTGGCGTTCGCCAAATGGGTGCCGGTGAGGACGACGATCCGATGGCCTTTGTCAAACACAACTTCGAAGGTTAGTCTCAGTTACACGCCCCTGCTGTGTGCTGTCGCGCAGGAATTTACTGATATCTCCCAGGGACGTGGAAACCCGACAACGAGCGTCACATAGGCGAGGTCTACTAGTCACCGCCGCACCGTTCACGATCGACACGATTTTTCTTCAGCAGCAAAAGCTTTCAGCCCTAATATCCTCGTAACCATCCGGGCGTGGAGCGCAATCGGTCCTGTCGCTGCGTGTCGGGCTCTCCAAGTTGTTGCCGTTGGACAACCCTCCCTACAGGAGCTCAAAGTCATTCGAAATGTCTCGTTTGACGGGATGGATTGCACCAGAGCTGACGTCCATTTCTATCGGCCGGCCAGCATCGAACGCGCCTCCCATCCCCTCCTGACATCTGTTATATCGTATTACTTTTGAATAATGTGAATATTGCTGCTTATCCTACAACACGGAGCGGGATCTTTTGTTTCCTCTCCAGGCATCAGCAAAAGTTTCGGCGAGGCGGAGTTTGGGATAAAGTTGTGCCGCTTTTTCTCTTCAATTTTTTGGTTCGATTCTAGAATTTATGGGCTCAAGTGCTGAGTCTTGCGGCGGCCATATTTCGCGTTCCGGCGGGGAAGCTCTTTTGTTCGAGTCACTTGTACGCTGAGTGCTGTTAACTATCAAAGACGGAATGGAGCATATACACAGCTACTTGGGGAAAAGCAAATCGACATTATGAACTCGATAATCATCGTATATCCGTCCTCTGATTGCCTGTCTACTGTACGTCGACAGTTTCGAATATCGGGTGACAAGCGTCGTAGAGCACAAGCGCAACGATGAAGGGTAAGTGTTCGTTCATTCATTTCAAGACGTCGTTTAACAGCAATACACTAGGAGAGTAACGCCGCCTTATGTTTGGCCCCTCGAGGCCTAATCCATGGCTATGCTGAAAGAAGGGAAACAAACAAACTCAGTCTATGAGTCGCCCAACCCTATCTAACCCGTAAACCGGAACGCCTCAAATCTGAAATTACTAGCGAAACTTTCATGACAGATGTTTTTTTCCTTCCTTAGTCCCTGGGTATATGCTTTCCAAAGTTTTTTTTTTTTTCAATTAGCCGGTTGATGCCTCGCAACGATCTTCTTCTTCTTCTCCTCCTCTTTCTCCTTCTCCTTCTCCCTCAACGCTTCCCAGACGGCGACCTCACCGCATCCCACATGACGCCCCAAAACGCGAACAGCGAGTCGCCCATCGTCGGCCTCTTCTCGCGATGATGATGCTTCCTCTCGTGCTCCTCGTCGACCGACCGCCGCGATCGATGCGAGCGCTGCGACCGCTGCGACCGCACCGACCGGTACGAGTCGCCGCGGTGCGGCGCTGCTGGCGGAGCCGTCCACGGAGCGAGGCTCTGGTTGTTGTTGGTGGCGGCTGCACCGCCGTCTTGGTAGTAGCGGGAGAGTTGCTGTTGCTGCTGTTGTTGTTGTTGTGGGGTTTGGTTGACGGGGTGGGGCGCCGAGTAAGCTTGAGGTGGGGCCATGAATGGCGGCTGGGCGTTGGTGGTGCCGGGGCGGTAGGAGGGGTTGTAGTTGGCCATGGTGGTTGGTTGGTTGGTTGGTTGAGTGGTAGGGGTTGTTCTTGTTTTTTGATGGAAGAGCTCCGGTTGAGACGAAAGCGATGCTGGTTCTAGGGTCTTGTTCCCCTTATCTTTGTTTTTGACGCCCTTGCTTTCCGCGGTGCGGGATTAAAGTCTGCCTTGTGAGGGGGACAGCCCGGCGGGGTGAGAAATGATGCAGAGGCTATGTAGTGTAAGCCAAGCCAGCTGGGATCGGAGGATCGAGGCCTAGAGATGTGTGCTGTGAGGAGAGGACAAAGACGGTGGCATGCGTCTGTGTGCACTGGCACCAAAGCGGTGCGAAACGAAGCACATTTAAGCAGAAGGGCGACGGATCATCCGTCATGCTCTAAGTCAGCTGCACGGTGTTGTCGGCGAGGTCACTAGACTTTGGCTTCGAAAAACTTTCATCCGCCCCCCGAATTCTTCCTATGTATCGTCAAGTGACGGACGAATAGCATGGTATCTGAAGAGACTCCGGTGACCCTGCGCCAAGAAAGGGCCACAAATTTTTGGGATGTATGACGTTTAGGGTGAGTCAGGCCTCCGCGGCGTGGAGGCGATGGCGGAGAGGCGGACACGCCTTGGGCCGTGAGACGTGCATCGGCTGCGGAGTGCAGCAGGGCCACAGGGCTGGGGCCGGGGCAGAGTGCGCGGGTACAATGGAGACAACGGCGGGTATAGATACCTCAGGCTGCGGTCTGCTTCTTCAGCGGGGTGCCTGGCGTGCAGCGAACGGTTCACTGCATCTGCAGCCACCCTCACCGACTGCACGCAAGGCAGACGCCAGCGATCGGCCGCATTCACTGGGCAGCATTTACGCGCACTTGCACAGGTGGCGCCTCGGCCTTGCGCCCGACCGCCCGTTTTGGTAAGAAGGGGACCCTGGTCCAAGAACTCACTGACGGCAGCCGGCAGGGAACGCCAGCAGATCCGGCGCCGTGCAGACGCCCGCGGCGCGGCAAGAGGCGAGGGTACCAGCGAGTACTTTCTTGGCCCCCACCCCAGAGGTATTTCAAAGCGCAGGCGGCTGCGCCTCGAGGAAAAAATCATGTGGTGTGCAAAGCGTGAGGGGCAGCCCAAATTGCAGCGGCGACCACGCGACTTTTGAGTGGCTGTGACCAACTCAGCCTCGCGCTCCTCGTCAGCCACCGGGCGCTGGCGTCATCCGTGCTCGTCGCGCCCTCTCATAACTCGACCTCACCCGGCAGTTCGGCCCATTGCCAACGCTGCCAATTGCTCCTTCTCTCGACCGTATCCTGCAAGCAGCTAGTGAGCCATCCGCCATGTCGTACTATCAACAGCCGCCACCATTCCAGCAGCCCTGTAAGTCTCATTGCGCCCCAACAGCCCCCAAGGCTGAGTACTTGGCACTGACGTCGCCCCTTCCTCGTTACTTTACATAAAGACTCCCCTCAGCCTGGCTACAATCAGCCCCCACCAAGCCAGTCATATTCGCCTTATCCTCAACAAGGCTATAACCGACCACCACCGCCACCACCACCAATGTCGCATCACCAGTACCCTCCGCAGGGCGGTTACCCGCCCCAAGGCTACCCTCCCCCTCAGCAGTACGGCGCCCCCGGCTACCCGCCGCCGCCACAGCAGTATGGTGCCCCTCAAGGCTATCCGCCGCAACAACAGCAGTTTAGTCCTCCTCCCGGCCAGTACCCGCCTCAGCAGCACGGCTATGGCGCGCCTCCGCCTGGCCAGTATGGAGCCCCCCCGCCAGGACCTCCTCCCGGGCAATATGGCGCGCCGCCTCCGGGCCAGTATGGCGCGCCGCCTGTGCAGGCCTACGGCGGCGGCCCGCCCGCGCCTCCTTCGCTAGGATACTCTAGCCAAATGCCCTTTGTCGATACAAGCATGGATGCTGAAGCCCTCCGAAAAGCGATGAAGGGCTTCGGCACCGACGAGAAGGCGGTAATCCGCGTGCTTTCCAAGATGGATCCCGTACAAATGTACTCGGTCCGCCAAACATATAACCAGCGCTTCATGAGAGACCTGCTGCGTGATTTGGAAAAGGAGACGAGCGGCGACTTCAGAGAGGCGCTCCTAGCCTGTGCCCGTGGCCCTCTCCAGCAGGATGCCCACACTCTGTTCCACGCCATGAAGGGCGTGGGCACGAAGGAGTCGGACCTGAACGACGTCCTCTGCGGCCGTAGCAATGCCGACATCCACGCCATCAGGGCGGAATACAGGAAAATGTTTAACAGGGACTTGGAGGCCGATCTCAGAGGAGATCTGTCCGCCGGCACCGAAACCCTCTTCGTGATGCTTGCGGCCGGCACCCGGCACGAGGAGTCGACCCCGATCATCCCTCAAAACATCGACCAGGCCACAACGGAGCTCCAGAACGCCATGGGAACCGGCCCGATCGGCTTGAACAAGAATGCCGTTCACGCTTGCCAGGTCCTGTCGCAGCGCTCGGACGGCGAGCTCCGCGCCATCGCAGACGCGTACCAGCGCCGCTACCACCAGACGCTCACCAAGGCCATTGATTCCAAGTTCTCGGGCCATATGAAGGATGCGCTGCATCTTACCCTTACACGTGCTCTCAACAGGCCGATGGCGGAGGCCGAGCTGCTCGAGGATGCCATGGCGGGCGCTGGTACTCATGACAGGCACCTCATCGATCGCGTCGTGAGGGTCCACTGGGATCGCGGCTTCAAGGAAGCCGTGAAGCAGGCCTACCGGGCGAGGTATGGAAAGGATCTCAGGAAGAGGATCGAAGGCGAGACAAGGGGTGACTACGAAAGGATGCTCGTCGCCATGATCGAGTAATTGGGTCGCTGTCAGCTTTGGCGTTCATGATTTGGGTTTCGCTCGGTTGTTTCCTGATATTATACCCCCCTTGTGCAGACGGTGGTTATGGATGGATGGGTATGCTATAATGCTATAATGAATTCTTCGGACCTGAGTCGGCCGCCTAGTTTTCCTATATCGATATCAAGTATACCTGAGTCATACGAAGGCGATTGGCTTGTTGTTAAGCCGTGAGTGCAACGTAGAAAGGACAACTGAAGTGATAATAGACGTATTCATGCGGGAAAAGTGCCAAAAAAGTGCCCTGGCTGCGTAGCATGTCGTAATACTAGCGGTCAGCCTCAGCTGAACGAGAACGGCATCCAGTAGGCGTGCGGGGTGAGGTGGAAGTTAAGACGGCGCTGGCCCATGCGGACGAGCTGTCAGTTAAGATCCGCGCGTTTGATCAGCGACTAAATTCGGCTAGTGACCCGCTATTTTGCACCAGCAAATTGTCAGCCCTCTGCCAGGAGACCTTTCCGATTGCTCCTGATCAGTCGACGGGAGCTGTCTGTGGGCTCAAAGGGGATCGCGCTAAAGCGGTGGCTTTGCTGACGGAGCGCTGAGGATGCTGCTGAGTAGCTGGCGGGGGGATGGTGGACGGGGGTGGCTGCACGCGTCTGCCCGGAATGGCCGCGCGGAGGCCGAGCGAGGAGCGCGAGGGAGTGGGCAGCAGGTAAAAACAAGGCGCTAAAGTGACGTAGAGCAGCCACACGTGGCGCCCGAGCGCCGCATCTGGCGCGGTCCAGAGTCCTTTCCGGGGTCGCAGCGATCTGATTATTTACCTTCCGCCTCTCCATCCGTCGTCTCCTTCGATAGCGGAGGTAGACATGGACTCCCCCTCCCCCAGCCGTCGCAATGGCTCGCCCATGCGCCGCTCTCGTCGCGCTTCCGCCAGCTCCGCCGACCGGCCCGTCGCCACCAGCTCGCCGTCGCGCGCCGCCCAGCAGCAGAACAGTCGGCTGTATCCCGTAACGTCGCGCCCGAACCTGCAGCCCCGCGAGTCCGCCATCCGCCTGCGACGTCTGCCATCGGGCCAGGTGGGCCGGCTGGAGACGATCCCGAGCCTGCGCCAGCAGCAGCAGCAGCAGCAAGAGGAGCAACATGAGCAGCTGGAGCAGGACTTCCGGCGCCAGGCGCTGGAGAACGAATGGCAGGCTAACCGGCGACGCTCGAGTTCTGAGCCGCAGCGGCCCACATTTGACGTTGGAGAGCTCACTCGCGCCCGCACCGGGATCAACAACATGCCCTCGGTGCCCGAGCTGCCGCGGGATACCGACGCCACGACGTACGAGCCCGTCCAGCCAGCACGGCCGGGGCTTGCTAGTGGATCGGGTCGCTTCCGGCGAGCCAGTGTCGCCGCCCTCAACGGGCTCGGCCTGCATCGGAACGCAGACGGCGCCCAGCAGCCGCCCCACCAGGCCCTGCCCGAGAATCTGTACGATTCCCGCATCGTTGATCTGCTCGATGTTATCGGTATGTCGTGGCCGCCACTGGCCAGGAGTCAGACGGTGCTCACCGCGTTCGGATGCTGACTTCCCCCCCGTTCGACAGATCCCGAGGTTTCGGCGTTGTCGTCCTTGACCAACATCCAAAACTCCCTCTTCGTCCCGCAGCTGGGCCGCTTCGTGAACAGGCGCCCTACCTATGACCTGTCTCGCCTTCCGGCCTACCCTGCCGCCGGGGGGAGGGAGGCGGGGTCGAAAGAGAAGCAAGGCGAGCTCGAGGTTGCTGCAGCAGCTGCTGCTGCAGGCCAACCCTCCGGCAGACCGCTGCAGCACATGCCAACCATGCCTGAACTGCGACCGATGCGCAGTGCAGAGCGACCGAGGACCAGTGCGGACCGACCTGGAACTCCGAGTGAGCGTGCCTTCAGTATTACCTCGGCCCTGAGTGAGTCACGCTATGCGGTGCTACCGCACGGAATCACGCTTGAGGGCTGGACCGAAGAGGACAAGGCTGAGCTGAACGATTATGTGCGGCACATGCTTCACTCGCGTCGCTCCAGGTTCAAGCGCAGCTTGAAAGGCTTCGGCAAGTATGTCAGCAAGCCATTGGGGTTCCTGGTGACTTTATATGCCACGCTCATCACTCTCTTCGGCTTGGCCTGGGTGCTTTTCTTGATTGGATGGATCTATGTCGGGGACCGCCAGCATTACATCATCAACGTGATCGATAACGTGTTGGTTGCCCTTTTCGCCATTGTGGGCGATGGTCTCGCTCCGTTCCGTGCCGTGGACACCTATCACATGATCTTCATAGCCCACTATCGTACGTTACCCCAAGCTCGAACTGACTTTTTTTTTTTCTCTCATCTGTCGATGATGTGCTGACTCTTTCACAGACCGCAAGACCTGGAAGCTGCGGAAGGAGAAGGCCTTGCCGAAACTTCAGGACAAGAACGACCTGCCCAACGAGCCGGTGCCGCCGGATACCGATGTCGAGGCTTCGAGACACGAACAAGAAGAGCTGAGCGTGCTCAACCCCAAGCAACAGGCTACTCTAGTGCACCACCAGGAAAAGTTCGCCAAGTCTCATACTTTCTACAAACCTCACGAGACCGACACGCACTTTGCATTCCCCCTCCGGCTCCTCATCGTCATCGTCACTCTTTTGGACTGCCATTCTTGTCTTCAAATTGCCCTGGGAGCTTGTACCTGGGGCATTGACTACCATACTCGACCTGGAGCGCTCACCGCGGTTATTCTGTGCTGTTCGATTACCGTTAACATCACAGCGGGTATCCTCATTTCCGTCGGTGACCGAAGGACGCGCAAGAAGGACGTCATCGAGAGGATGTCCCGGCAAGAGCTCACGGAGGAGGCCATCCACAAGATGCAAAGACGGCAAGAGAAGCACGACGAGCGGTTGCGGCGACTCGAAGAAACGGGCGAGGAGACGGATTTGGAGGACAACAAGGAGAAAAAAGGCCGGATCAGTTTGGACATTTTCAGACGCAGCGAGGATCGCCCGCGCAGGAGCTTCGACCTGCTCCGGAAGACGACTGGAGACGAGTCACGCCGGAGTCTGGATGTGCCGAGGAAGTCGGAGGATAGGCCTCGCAAGAGCCTCAACATCACCAGGAAGACCGATGAGCTCCCGCCTCGTATCAGCGAGGCGGATTCGAGACCGGACTTGAGCGATGTCCCCGTGACCACTGCCGCCGAGGACCATCGGTGAAGCACCGAGGGAGGGTCGAGGGTCTTTGGGGTCAGGTGATGAGAAGCGCGGATTATCGCGTTTCCTTGTCTCTGGCCTTCGATATCGGGTACCGTATCCTTCTTTGTGGAAACCTTTGTGCCTGACCGATCGGACCACGGTAAATGACTGTCTAGGGCCGGACATTAAAATTGGTCTGGGGACGACGAACTCGGAACAAAAACACGCGTATGAGCGGAATTGCCATGTTTTCAAGGCTTCTTTGGTATTATGACGGGATATTTTAATTTTTACTTCGATGATATGGTTGGCTTACGGGCGTTGACACGAATGTTTGTTTGATGGAATACCCTTCTGGTTGCATCAGTAATGGCGGCTTGTCTCAGCCACCGACAAAGGCTTGGCTCAACGAAGAAGCTGATATAATGAATATTGAACACGTTTGGATCCCCCGCTTCCGAAAGAATTGATTGCTCAAGCGCATTCGTGGAGTTGTAGTGGGTCTTACTACCTTAGGCTTGTGGGAATCGCCTGAGAGGTGAGTGTAGTCTTCAGGCTATGGCGATATCAAGACGTCCAACATTTAATTGCTTCCCCGCAGTTCCACTAGTCATGACAGATACCGGGCGTCCCGGCTAAAGCAATACGTACCGGCCTACCCGGTTTCCCTTGGACTAGCCTAAAGCAGACGCGGTATGCTTGAAGGGCAAGAATGGCGTCCGGCACGTACCGGCGCATCTTAAAACCGTTGGTGATGGCCGAAAGCGGGTAAGGTTGACTTTTTGGCTAAATGCAGCACGCACGTTGTCGCCCCCTTTTTGCTAGCTACGTCCTGACGCATGTCATGACTCCGCTTTCAGGGCACCGCGCTTGGCTATGCGGCCCGTTTAAAGTTTTGTTTCAGCACGACTCGAGCAGTTTCTGCGTTTCGGCCCGCTTGCCGACGTCCGCTCATCCATATGATGCGGCCTTCAGCGGATGTTTAGACAAGCGAATATGGTCCACTAACGGGCAAACAAGCAAGGCCAGGCCCTTGGAGGCCCAGGTCTTGGGTTTATAAAGACTTAAGCCGGGGAGCATCATGGATCTGTTGTTTCGCACCTCTGTCCCCATTTTTTTTTTAGTCCGTCGGTCTATCACTGCCACCGTTAGCCATGGCGATGTTCGGCTTGCTTCTGGTGCTGGCAATCGCCCTGCTTTCGGCGTGCACAGATGCCGTCGCAGGTAAGAAGGAGAAACGTGCTTCGTTGCAGCTGGTCCCGAACTATGGCGACAACCCGGCCGGCGTGCCCATGTACGTGAAGCAGTTCCCCATCCGGCTCTCGATTGAACAAGCCAGCTGACCACATGCGCAACAGGTACGTCTACGTCCCCGACAATCTCGCCGACAACCCCGGCATCGTCGTCGCCATGTAGGACCTCCCTCTCCCAAACCCCACTGATCCACTCGTTCCCCAATGACGGATGGATGATGCGGTTTGCAACTGAACTGACACTGACCGAAATGTTCGGGGATACAACAGCCACTACTGCACCGGCACCGCGCAAGCCTACTACAGCGGCTCACCTTACGCCACGCTCGCGGAGCGCTACGGCTTCGTCGTCATCTACCCAAACAGCCCGCACGACGGCACGTGCTGGGACGTCTCCTCGCAGGCAACGCTGACACACAACGGCGGCGGCGACAGCAACTCCATCGCCAATATGGTGACGTGGGCGATTGACGAGTTCAGCGCGAATTCCAGCAAAGTCTTCGTGACGGGATCGAGCTCGGGAGCCATGATGACGGTAAGCCGCCCCTTTCCCCTCCACACACTTTCCCCCTCCCTCCCTCCCTCCCTCCTTCCCTCCCTCCCTTCCCCCTCTCTCTCGCCTCCTCCCCACCGCACCGCACCGCACCGCACCGCACCCCACCACACCGCACACCCATCTCACACCCCGGGGGGGGGCGCCCGCCGCCCCCTCCTGACCCACAGAACGTCCTCGCCGCAACCTACCCGTCCCTCTTCGCGGCCGGCATCGCCTACTCGGGCGTGCCCGCGGGGTGCTTCCTCTCGACCGCCAACGCCGTCGACGCGTGGAACAGCACCTGCGCCAACGGGCTATCCGTCGCCACCCCCACCCAATGGGCCGACGTCGCCCGCGCCATGTACCCGACGTACGCGTCGCCGCGGCCGCGCATGCAGGTCTACCACGGCAGCGCGGACGAACTCCTGAAGCCGCCGAATTACGCCGAGACGCTGAAGCAGTGGGTGGGCGTGGCGGGGCTGGATTGGGATAACCCGTCGAGCAAGGAGGAGGGGCAGCCGGTGGAGGGGTATTGGCGGACGAGGTGGAACGGGGAGGATGGGGTGGTGGTGGTGGAGGGCGTGTGGGCGGAGGGCGTGGGGCATACGGTGCCGATTAGGGGGGATGATGATATGGTGTTTTTTGGGCTTGCGGAGTGATGAGGGGGGAGTTTGCAGAGGTCGAGTGGCTGGCGTAAAGCACGTGCGGTACCGGCCGAGCATTTGCGGTGTTGGACGGCAAGCCGTGGTAGGTGAGGATCGTCGGTGATTCAGCTCCAGGTGCGGCAGATGGTAGTGTACGGAGCTGAGTGTGACTTTGTCCCCCGCCGGTCTTCTTGCAGAACCTGTTTGAGCTGGAACGCAATCATAGGAATGACGTCGTATGGGAGGCTCTACACGATTTCTTTGGATGGTGTTGGATATAAGCGTGCGCGGGCAACATTCGCTAAGTAACGCTCGAGAAAGCTTCCTCTGTTTCCGCCGCTTCCCTGTCCCATCCGCCAATTTCCTCCAAAACCCCCGTTGCAAAGTCCCGATCAAGCAAAGGCACGGCCTCGGCTGGACGTTGCGCGAATCAGACGCGGGCGGCTGACAATGCTCACCCCCAACCGCGCGCAGCGGCTCCACGCATCGGGAGTTCGACGACGCCACTTATACTCCACAGCTTCTTCAAACGACCTTTCGCTCTCATATATCCTCCTCCCCACCTCTCTTCCGTCTTCTCCTCCACCCTTCACACACTCTTCCCCCCTCCCGGCGCACCCCCCTCCAACCAAAACCCCGCATTCCCCCACACCTCCACAAACGCAAGAAACAAAAAGAAAAAGAAAGCGCCAACACCAACATCAAAAACAACACAAAATGCCCTCCCACCCACCACCCCCACCGTCCCCCCGCCACACCCCCGTCCTCATCGTCGGCGCCGGCTCCGCCGGCCTCGCCGCCGCCACCTGGCTCTCCCGCTACCGCGTCCCCTTCGTCCTGCTCGAGCGGCGCCAGGCAGAAGGCCCACTTACACAGTCGACGGCCGCGGGCCACGCCGACGGCGTGCAGTGCCGGACCGTCGAGGTCTTCGAGAGCTTCGGCATCAGCGAGCCGCTGCTGAAAGAGGCCTACCACGTGCTGGAGGTGGCGTTTTGGGTGGCGCCGGATGGGGAGTCGAGTATCGTCAGGACGAGGTGGGCGCCGGATGCGCTGCCCGGGATGTCGCATTTGCCGCATGTGATTTTGAATCAGGCGCGGGTGAATGGGTTGATGCTGGGGGCGGTGGGGGAGGCGGGGGGTGGGCAGGGGGTGGTGTATGGGGTGGAGGTGGAGGGGGTGGAGGTTGTGGAGGGGGAGGCGGCGGCGAGGGAGGATCCGGAGGCGTATGCGGTGAGGGTGAGGGCGGTGAGGGGTGGGGTGAGGGAGGAGTGGAGGGCGAGGTATGTGTTGGTGAGTGTTCTTTCTCTCTTTCCTTTTTTCTTTTTCTTTTTGGGTTTGGGTTTGGGCGTGTTGGCTGACTGGGTGTTGGGGAAAGGCTTGCGATGGAGCACATAGCGTGGTCCGCAAATCGCTGGGTATCCAGATGGTTGGAGACAGCACCGACACCATCTGGGGAGTCATGGACGTCTACCCGCAGACCAACTTCCCGGATATCCGCAAGAAGGCCATCATCCGCTCCAATTCTGGGAGCTTGATCATCATTCCGCGAGAAGGCGGGTCCCTCGTGCGCTTTTACATCGAGATTCCACAAGGCGTCGCGGCCAAGGATGTTAAGCTCGCCGATCTGCACGATGCCGCCCGCCGCGTCTTCAAGCCTTACAGCATGGAGTTCGCTGAGACTTCCTGGTGGTCTGCCTATGCTATTGGGCAACGGCTGGCAGACCGCTTCTCGCAGTCTGGGCGCGTGTTCCTGACCGGAGATGCATGCCACACGCATTCCCCAAAGGCTGGTCAAGGGATGAACGTCTCTTTGCAAGACGGCTACAATATTGGGTGGAAGCTTGGATCAGCTTTGACCGGACAGGTCCATCACTCCATCATCGACACTTACGTCTCTGAGCGCCAGAAAGTCGCCGCCGATCTGATTGCCTTTGACACCAGCTTTGCAAAATTGTTCAAGACGGGTGACAACGCGCCTAAGCCCGAGTACGTCAGTGAGCAGTTCATCAAGGCCGGGCGTTACATGGCGGGGTTGACGGCGCGGTACGACGATTCCATCATCGTCGACAGCAAGGGCAGCGCAGAACACTTGGCCAAGAACCTTGGCGTGGGAATGCGCTTCCCCAGCGCGCAGGTCGTGAGGTTCTGCGATGCAAGGCCGATGCAGCTGGCCAGGGCCTTGGTCGCAGATGGAAGATGGAGACTCGTGGTATTTCCTGGTGGTACGGAAGATAAATCCACCGTTCCAAGGCTGGAGACGGTAGGAACATTTCCTTGCTCCATCATGATAGTGGGACATGGAAGCTAACCCAATTCCACAGCTCGCAGACTTCCTCGGAGGCCCACATGGTCTGGTGGCAAAGCTCACGCCGGAAAGCGCTGATATCGACAGCTTCATCGAGCCTATCGTAGTTCTATCAGGGGCACGTCACGGGGTTGAGCAAGATCAAATACCTGACTACTTTCAGCCAATCACTGGCAAGTGGAGGATGAGAGGTGAGTATCTCGAAATGGCGATCAAAGGCGGTCGTTAACATGAGTTGAATGCAGATCTCCACAAAGTCTTCGTAGACGACGAGGATTATAACCGTACACATGGCCATGCCTACGAGAACTTCGGCATAGATTCTGCTCATGGTGCACTTGTCCTCGTGCGACCAGACCAATGTATGCAGCGCTTCCGGTTTCAGACGTTTGTAGCTGACCTAAGCAGATGTTGCGGCAATTCTCTCCATATCTGATCTGCAGGCTGTGCAAGCATTCTTCACTGCCCTCAAATCCACAAATGGGTGGGATTCACAAATCGCGGCCCCAGCGAGACTTTGACAAAAGGCTACGTGGCTTTCGTCTGCCAGCGCTACGAGCAGCTGCCGAGCCAGCCTTATATATACATTATCAAAAGTTGATCGTTGATTCGTCATACCCTTACCGAGCCCATGGCTGGAGACGAAGTGTGACAGGGAATCTCGGCCATTTGGATCCTTTAGAGCGGTCGGGTTTCCCTGTCCAAGATGTAAAAAGATGCAACGCAAGTACGAAAAGAAGCTGCTAGTCATTTCTTTACACAGCCGAAACTATGAGGCATCTATAGTTTTCAATGTTAATATTACAAAAAGACTTAGCCGCCATGTCCACATAACACTTTCAAGAAAGAAGCGATGCTAAGACACAAAAACAGCCCAATGGCCCCCTCTATGCCCTCATGACCTTCTTCCTCTGGCTCCTGCGGAGATCCTTTTCCCTCTCCTTCTCGAGGTATTTCCTCTGCTCATCGGCGCTCAGATTCTTGAGCTTCCTGTCGCGTTCGACCCTCTTGGCCTTGTCGGCCTCCAGCTTCCTCTCCTCGGCCTTACCCTCCTCATCGGCCTTCTTGATCTTGCGAATCTCGTCCTCACGCGTCTGCTTGACACGGCGCAGGGCCTCGGGGCGGAAGTGGGCAACGTTGACGAGCTGGTCGGGCATGCGCAAGAAGTGCTGGAACAGAGGCTGGACGTGCGAGTAGTCGTTGTTAGACGGCAGGGCGAAAGACAGAGAGACGCGCTTGCGGGAAACAGTGTCGTCAAGCCTGTTGCGATATCGTCAATAAAACGAGCTTTCTCGAAACGAAACACTGGTCTTCACTCACTTCTTGGGCTGGTCCATCGGCTGATCGGACACAACAATGGCCTCAAGCGCATCGCCAGCTTGCTCGATGGCCTTCACGAGCGCCGGAGTCAAGAGAGCCTCGGTGATCTCGGCGCTCTCGCTCATGACGGTGTACGAAATGGGGAGCTTCGGGTGATCCTTGGTGGAGGTCAGGGAAAGGTCATAGCGGTCGTCCCTCAGAGTCTTCATCAAGTTCTTGTGCACAACAGCCCAAACGAAGCCATCGAAAGTCGAGTTCGAGACCTTGGCAGCGCTGGGGATAAGCTGGCTCTCCTTGCCGTCAAAGGCATAGATGGTGGCCTCGACGCGTTCAACGGGGGCGGGCATGGTCTCGAAGAAGAGGCTGAGAACAGACTCGCCGTAGCGGATCAGAGGGTTGTAGCGCTTCAGCAGCGACAGCTTGATGTCAACGAAAGCCGCGTTCTGGCGGCCGGTGGCGTAGATGGAGTACTCGTTGGCCGAGACCTCCTTCAGCACCTCGTTCGAATTGCCGAGCTCTTCGGCGCTGAGCTTGGCGAGACCGCTGGCCTGGACATCTTCGACGGTTGGCGCCTTGCGGCCGGAGTAGCCGACGCTGGCGAATTCCTGGCGCAGGAGGGGCGAGTGGGCCTTAGCGAAAGCTTGGGCCTTGCGCCTATTCGCCTTGGTGCCCCAGACATGCAGGAGGACAATGACTATGATGACAGGCAGGATGAAGGCCTCCTGGTAGAAGTCGGCAAGGGTGGTGCGCTCCCAGACGCGATACCACTTGGTGTAGGGAACAGCGGCGCCGGTCGCGAAAGCGTCCTGGGCAGCCTCACCGACCACGCTGGCGGGCGAAATGGAGACCGGGCTGGGGTCGGGAGCACCCGCAAAGTCGGCGAAGTCTGGGGCCTGGGGGTCAGTCTTCAATGGCTGACGATGGAGTACAGCGAGCTAAGCTGCTGCAGGCCGACGTACCAGCATCGCCAGCGGCGCCCGAAGGCGAGGGCTTGGAGCCGAGGATGTTGTTGAGGAAATTGGCCATGGTGGCTGCGACCTGGGGAGCCGCCCGTCGATGGCTTGAGCTTGAGTTGGCGGTCGGGGAGAGAAGGTCGGGGGATGGGGGAGCAGCGTGAGGCGGCGGTCGAACAAGGTCGTCTGTGTCGCCGGCGCAGCTGCGGCAAAGCAAACTTGGCGTGGGGCCGAGGCGTCTGTGCGGCCACGACTATGAGACAGGCCTATCACCACCCACGCTCCACAAGCCACACATCAGAAGCCACCTGGCGACCAGCACTCTCCTCGCCCAGGGTTTCGGCACGACCACAGCACCCGGCACGTTTAGCAAGGTAAAATGCCGATGAATTACGTGTATTTGTTGTCTAAGTCTCGCTGCAGAGGGAATCACTTGCGTTGCTCTGCAACTTGCGTTTTCAGGGTACCCTCCTGCACTCCTAATCTCAGGTTCTCCAGCACAAGAAGCTCCATATCGCGCTGTTGACAGAGTGGTCAGTGAACGTGCTGTTTTGAGCAACAGTTGCGGACGTACCTGGGTCTCGAATGTTGCGGTGCCGATGTGAGGCAACAGCACAACGTTCTCGTTCTTCAGCAGTCCGGGGTGGATCTTGGGCTCCTCTTCGAACACATCCAGGCCAGCGCTCCACACTTTTCCAGAATCCAGAGCGTCAACCAGCGCCGCCTCATCCATGACAGGCCCTCTTGCCGTGTTCACGATAACAACACCGTCCTTCATCTTGGCAAACTCCTTGGAGCCAATGATGTGTCTTGTCGCGGCGCTCAGGCCAAGGTTCAAGCTGATGACGTCCGACGTGCTGAGGAGCTCGTCGAAAGAAACGTACTTGGCGTTGCCGGCGGCGGCCTCGGTGCTCTCGGGGAGACGCGAGCGGTTGTGGTAGTGGATCTTCATGCCGAATGCCGCCGCACGCACGGCAACAGCCCGGCCAATGCCGCCCATTCCCAGGATGCCTAGCGTCTTCTGGCGCGGGTCGTGGCCAAGGCCGAAGCCAGAGCCTCTCCACTGGTCTGAGTCTTGTCAGCACCCTGAGAGATGTTTGTCAGATACCACTTACTTTGGCGCACCGCGGTGAACGGAATGGTGATGCGGCGCAGAGCACCGAGCAGGAGGAAGAGGGCTACATCTGCTGTTGCGTCGTCCACGGCTTGTGGCGTGTTGGCAACGGAAATGCCTGGACCCAGAGTCAGCATCCATCGTCCGTGTCATGGTCGGGCAACCCACCCTTCGCAGTGCATGCAGCTACGTCAATGTTGTCGTATCCAGCGCCATTGTGGCAGATGTATTTCAGGCTGCTCGGCAATGCCTGAACCAACTCTGCGTTGAAGGGACCGGTGAACTATGCGGCTGTCAGCGCCGACTGCCGAAACGGCCCGTGTTGCTCTCGGCGTACCTTGGTGGAGTCGTTGCTGCGGTAGATGGCAACGACATTGTCGTACTTGCCGCTCTTCACGTTGGCAAGGAAATCCTCGCGAGTGCCGGTGGGGAATTCCTATTTTGCCCGGTTAGCAGCTACTCGCTGGGGACTTCTCACATGCCGAGACCTACCAGGAGCTCCACGAACGAGGAGCAGTCCTCCCACTCCTTGCGAGCGTGGGTGATGTCGCCAATTAGCAGGGCTTGTTGAGGCATTTTCGGCAAGAGAAGAGCAATTGCAAGCACGACCGGTACGGGCAGCGCGTTGCGAGGCGGAAAAGGCGGGCTACTTATTCGAGCGGAAACGCGGGAAAGCTTTCGCGGGGTCAGGGACCCAGACGTCATTCGCCGAGACCAAACACCGCTCGGCTGCTTACCGGCCAAACGTCCCCCAGACTTTCCTCACCCACGCGCCTGATCCATCAGCCACAGCGCCCTCGGACCTTTACGATCGGAATCTCAAGCCATGGAGCCAACGAATGGGCCCACAGACGGTCCCAGGCCACGCGAACTCGGCCCACTTCTCCATTTTCGTCCTGCGCCGCATCAGGCTCGAAGCGGATGCCGTAACGCCCGGGAATCTCACGTGGGGGTGAAGAGGAAAAGGTCTAGAAGTGTTGAAGATGGTCGGCGTTTGAACAGCACTCTAGGTCTTGGCGAATCTCCACGCCGCCAAGCTTTAGGCTTAGATGTTCTGGGGCATGATGCCATACCTCGGAAGCAGCAAAAGCTTGATTACGCAGCTACACAGCGGGCTGAACAAAGTCGAGATGGGACACCGCCCTTTCTCAGCTACGTGGACATGTACATGGAGTTGACCTACAATCCGTGGACATCGCCGAAGAACGCAGACTTGGATGATAGCAGACATCTCGGCCATGATAATTCTTCCACTACATTGCCGATGCGCTGCTCCCAAGTTAACTCCGACGGTACCTACAAGGGGCCATTGCTGGAGTCTTACCGCCGCCAGTCCGCTCCCGTAACAAAGCTGCCATTACGCCTTAACAACCGAGAGCAAACCTTGTCTACCAAAGACGAGAAGCAAAGTGCGAGCTCAGATGAATAGCATATATTTGGAATAATCTAGTCCTTCTGCGGCGGGGCTGCAGTTGCTCAAGTGGGTATCATTGTTCACTGCTAATCGCTCGTATCCGATGTTGCCCCTCGTCCGATTCTTTTTCCTACTTATGCATGAGTCCGCCAGCAACTACCACGCTCTGTCCGGTACAGTACGGCGTCTTCACAAACATCTCGACTGCATTTGCCACCTCATCTACAACTGGTTAGTGACTCCCCAGCATGAAGCATTGGGATGGTATGCTTACCCGGTTTTCCAAGTCTACCCACTGGAATGGTATCGACAACGCCGGGAACGGTGTCGGTAGACGGGAACATGCCAGTGTCACCAATCATGGCCGGTGCTACGTCATTGACGGTGATTCCGTACTCTGCGAGCCTCGTGCTCAGGTTCTTCATCATTCCAAGCTGGCCACCTTTGCTTGCAGCGTAATGCGCACCATTCACGCCTCGGATAGCCGTCAGTAAGAAACCCATTTCAGTTTGAGCTCATGGCGACATACCAGCGCCGTAGGCGGCAATGCTCGAGATGAAGACAATTCGGCCCCATTTCTGGTCCCTCATGCCTTCGGCAACGCCCTTGCACAGCAGGAACGAGGCTTTCAGGTTCGTTGCAATAGTCAGGTCGAACTCGTCGACTGGGATGTCCCAGATCTGGGGGTAGCGTTTTCCCCTCCCGGCATTGCTGTATAACGTCAATCGTAACCCAACACTGTCAACGCACGTTACTTACCTGACGAGGATGGAAATGGGCTTTCCGTGGGCCTTGGCGGCTTCCTCACATAACGCGAGTGTCTGCTCGGTGTTGGAAAGGTCCGCCTGGTGAGTAGTGATCTTCACAGCCGGAAAATCCTTCTGGAGCTGGGCAACTAGCTCGTCAATTGCCGCCTTGCTCGATGAGTATGTGAGGGCCAGGTCGATCCCGTACGGAGCCAGTTTGCGAGCGCAAGCTCCGCCAATTCTGCAGAGCTGTTATTACGCAAGGAAGCACAATGCAACGCGAATCACTGCAACATACCCTCCAGAGGCTCCGGTAACGAGAGCCACGCGGCCTTTCAAGTCGTTTTCGGCAGACATGGTTTGCTCAATCTGTATGTTCCGGGGGCTGTTTGACCGGCAGATATGCTGGGGCCAGTAAAGACTTTATGAGAAATGTGAAGCGGCCTTCGAAACCGCGCGAGATTCAAACGTGACCGAGCTGCCGAAGCATACGCTAGCGGGGCGGGGTATCGCGTGCACGGACTGGCGCTGTTCATTACCGCTTGCCCCCTTGACTGCCTATCCATGCACACATAACCGATTACTTGGGCCCTTTGGCTACGCGCCGAACCAATCACCCAGAGAAAGTCCGACAGGGGGCACTCGTAAACATCCCCACACCTTCTAAAGTCGATTCACCTTCGGCAATTGAGCGGCGCCTGTCGTCGGCAACTGCATCCCTCGTTTCCCTCTGCACGACCATCATGCAAGCACCACCGCCACCGCCGCCTCTGCCTGAGCCCTCATCTCCCGCGAGGACCGCCGACAGCAGTGATGCCAAGTCAAAACGCACTACCATCGCTTGCCTGACCTGCAGGAAGCGAAAGAGCCGCTGCCACCTGTGAGTCCCACCGTGCCACAACCCGTCGACCCAATCGCGAGCGAGCATGCGGCGCCCAGCCCACCGCTTGTGCCCCGCCTCCCGCACACTTCCTCGGTCGCGGTGAACTGACACTGCGAGTAGCGAGTATGAGAACGACAAACCGAAGCTCCCGTGCGAGCGCTGCAAGGCTCAAAACCTTGACTGCGTCCTCGGAGGCTCCAACCGCGGTGGCCGGCGAGTAAGAAGGAAAACGCTTACCGACAGCATCGGCGCCACGCGCAACCTTACAAGCGCCTTCGCTGTTCCCAGAGACAATGTAGCCTTCCATGGCCTCGGGAACATGGGCACCACCACCACGCCACCGTTGGTCCAGCGGATGAGCTTCCCGAGCCTCGAGCCCAACCCCCCTCGGCCGACTCAAGAAGACGCTTCCGCCCAAGCCGCAGACACGACTCCTATGGAGTTCGACAACCTTCAGAACCCCTCGGATGCTCTAGGCATCCTGGCCCGCGTCGCCGAGGAAGACACGCCCGCTGCTGCCCAGGATCGGCCCAGCTTTGCGCGCCCAGTCGACCCGGGCTTGCGCGCGTCTCCGTATCGGCTGCTTGCTGATGGCAAGCTCTCGGTGAACCAGATCGTCCAGCTCATCCAGCGCTACCGTAATCTGTACCATCCATACTATCCCCTCGTGCCTCCGCATGTATTCGACCTGTCGCGGCTCCACGAGATAGCCTCCAAGGAGCCGCATCTGCTGACGGCCGTCCTCGTCATCGCATCCAAAGATCTTGTGGAAGAAACACACATGTACGAGATCTGCGCAGACCACATGAAGAGCATGATCTCGGATCTCGCTGCTGGTGGCCCTGGCGATGTCGACGCCGTCGAGGGGTTGCTGTTACTAGCCGAGTGGGCTCCTTTCACGCAGAGGGCACAGTCCGGCAAAGTCGGCAAGGGTGAAGAGGATCGGGAAGCCTGGAATTCCAGTGGACTGGCCCTCAGGTTGGCGTACTTCATCGGCCTGGAAAAGTACTCGTTCAAGGTGACGGATGATGGCAAAGACCCACAATTCAGTCGCAAGCTTTTGGTCTGGACGGGTACGTTCGTTTCCCACGCATACGACGTGACTTGATGTGCCGGGACAACAGCGCTGACTACCCTCGAAGCGTGCTACATAGCAGATCGCACCATTTCCATCAGAATCGGCAAAGCATTCTGGTCGCGAGGACCTGGGCCGCTGACCAGTCTTCGTCGCGAGCACTACCCTTCTCTTCTACCACAGACTCCCAATGATGAGGACTACGCATCTATTTTCCAAGTAGGCAGTCCGTCTTGAGACGGCATTAACCTGCTAATTCAACAACAGGCAACACTCGAGCTGACCTCTCTTTTCAGCAATGTCCACGACGTGTTGTATTCCAATGTTGGCACCTCCTTCCGCTCTCACTTGAGCGGATCTTACATCAAGTTCATTGACGACTTCCGCGCAGCTAGCTACAGCTGGAATGCGGTCTGGGGCACGTTGACATGCTCGCCAAATCTGAAAGCCATGCTCCTGATGTCATACAATTACCTGCGGTATGCCATCATGCCGAACTCATGGCATTCTAAAGCTTACGGTTGGTGTTCTGTCCAGATTGTACGTGAATGCATTTGCATTCCAGGCGACAGTGCGCAGGGTACAAAGCACGTTAGCAGAAGAGCGAACTTCTGCGACGAGCCCGATGATTCCACAATCGCCTTCCCGACTGTTTTATGTAAGTGAGACCAGACCACAGACAGGTGTGAAGGCAAACATATAGCATGCTAACTATTCGGCTTCAGAACAACGTCGGGGCTGTCGGAGACGCACGCTTCATATACGAGGGTCTCGACGCAGCAAAGGCAATCCTAACGACTTGCAACAACTTCATCGACCCAGAAAAGGCGCTGCGGTTCATGCCCCTCCGGTTTTTCCTCTACCTCGTGTACTCCGGAGTCTTCCTATTTCGAGCGAAGATTGTCGGCGTAATCGAAGGCGAAGAGGAGCGGGGCATCCGACGCATGATCGATGAGACGATTGACCGACTGCAACGATCAGCAGTTGGAATGCAGCACCTCGGCAGCCGCTACTCGCAACTTCTCAAGCTGCTCTGGGAAAAGGCTGACAACCACAAGCCGCCGGGACGCGGCAGCAGAGACAGTCACATTGGACCCCACCGCAGCCACTTTGGCGACGGAACTGCAGCGGCGGGACTGACGCATGCCACGCCGGCGGCGTCGTCACAGGCAGGCAGCGGCAGCATGGGCGAGAGCCCGATGGCAAACGCAAACAATAATGCAAACGTCGAGGGCATCGGCGACTTCACCTGGACCGATTTGAACACGATTGGCGAGTTCGCGGTTAGCCAAGGGCAATTGACGGGGATGGACGTGTTTGGGGGCTTCTTACCGCTGGAGGTGGGAAATGTGTGGGATATGGGCTCGTTTGAGGGCGGTGGAGAGATGGCGGGGATGGCCTTCTGAGGAAGCCACAACGGACGATAATCTCCTACGACTTGCGTCATTCTCCCACACGTCTGTCACAACACTGCTAAAGTGCTTCTACAAATAGTTCTCCCTAATGCTCACCTCCATCTGGAAGAATCCATCACCGAAGATCAAGAGCATGTTCGACGGAAGTTTTCCTATGGGCAGACGCGTTTCACACCCGCAGGCACCCATTAATGAATTCCACCATAGAGGTTAATAATTGTTTAGGCAAATGACCAGACGATAGTACCAGGATGGTTGAATACCAGACGAATCGAACTGCCGAAGAGATATAGTGGCGCAAGCACCCTACGCCCAATGATGGCCAATTCGCCACCATTTCCGCTCCCAACAGGGCAAGTACCTTGAGTGGTAATAGAAGGCTAAGACAGCTTAGCAATCAGAGCCTTACGCCGCTCTCGCCTTCGCGCAGTGCAACGTCTACCGCATTATCGCGGCGTTATCGGCGGAGATAAGCTGATACGCAGAGGTGTTACAAAAGTCATGTCAATGGGCTGGTGATGAAGCGTTGCAGAGCAGAGAGGGCGAACGAGAAGCGCAAGGAAGAAGATGACGCAGGGTGTAGTCAGCACCGCGGATCCAGAAGGAGGCCTCCGGGTGCCATTCACGCCTTTTCCGAGACAATGTCGCGGGCCTGGGCTCGCCGTCGTGCGACAGTGTCGGGAGAGCGAGGATTGGGGAAAAAAGACCCTCGCAACGAACGGGCGACGTCACCATTTTTTGCAAGTTGGTGGGGCAGATCTGGAGCTTGGGCGCCGGACCCGGTCAACAATCGCGCAGCCGGCACGGCCATCGGGGCGCCGAACGGCATCTCGAGCGTGAGGTGAGTAATGCTTATGTGCGCCATTGGCTGCTCGCGCTCGGTCGAGAGCGCGCTGCTGAGGTGATGGCGTTCGCCCCGCAACACTCGGACCTGTGGCCCGGATGGATCGAGAGAGGCCTGATTGTTGTCCAACATGGCGATACGGATCTTGTGTATATAAACCGGGGGCCCACGGACGACTGCCCTGGCGCTTCTTTCGCAAGTTCCTGCTCTTCCTCTCTCGCCGCACCCATCGCCTGAGACTGTTTCTTTGCGTTGAGATTGCCCACGCTGCTGCAGCCCGGCACACAGAAACTAGGATGGCTCCCGGCTACCAGGTCAGTCTCCCTCCCGTGCTCATCGAGAATGTCGTATTGACGGCTGTGCAGATGCACGCGGTGGATGGCCGCAGGAACGGCGACCTCTACAGAGACTACAATGGTCGGCGACGCCTGCCCAAAAAACTCGGTGGCACCAATTTCGGCTGACGAGGAACAGACGACCGCAACGCCACTTCCCAAGACACGCTCTACACCACCAGCAACGGCGCCCCCTACCCGCACCCCTACGAGACGCAGCGCTGCGGCGAGAACGGCCCGCTGCTGCTCCAGGACTTCCACCTCGTCGACCTGCTCTCGCACTTCGACCGCGAGCGCATCCCCGAGCGCGTTGTCCACGCCAAGGGCAGCGGTGCGCACGGCTTCTACAGGACCACCGCCCCACTCGACGACCTCTCATGCGCCGACATTTTCAAGCAAGGCAAGCAATGCCCCATCACCATCCGCTTCTCCACCGTCGGCGGTGAGCGCGGCTCGCCCGACTGCGCCCGCGACCCGCGTGGCTTTGCCGTCAAGTTCCGCACCGACGAGGGCAACTGGGACATGGTTGCCAACAACACCCCCGTCTTCTTCCTGCGTGACCCGGCCAAGTTCCCCCACTTCATCCACACCCAGAAGCGTGACCCCGCCACCAACCTCGGCGGCGGCGATGACTCGACCATGTTCTGGGACTACCTCTCCCAGAACCCCGAGTCCGTCCACCAGGTCATGATCCTCATGGGCGACCGCGGCATTCCCGACGGCTACCGCTTCATGAACGGCTACTCGGGCCACACCATGAAGCTGGTCAATGCCAAGGGCGACTGGGTCTACGCCCAGTTCCATTTCAAGTCGAAGCAGGGCAACAGGTTCCTCACCCAGGACGAGGCCGCCACCAAGTCGCCCGACCACTCGCAGAAGGACCTGTACTTCGCCATCGAGGACGGCAACTACCCCGGCTGGGACTGCTACGTCCAGACCATGACTCCCAAGCAGGCCGAGGACGCGTGGGAGCAGAAGAAGATCAACGTCTTCGACCTGACCCACGTCTGGCCGCAGGCCGAGTACCCCCTGCGCAAGTACGGCGAGTTCTTCCTGAACGAGAACGCCAAGAACTACTTCGCCGAGATCGAGCAGTCTGCTTTCAACCCATCGCACATGCCGCCGGGCGTCGAGCCTACCGCCGACCCGGTGCTGCAGTCGCGCCTCTTCTCCTACCCGGACACGCACCGCCACCGCATCGGCGTCAACTATCAGCAGCTCCCCGTCAACGCGCCGCGCGTGCCGTACCGCATGGCCAACTTCCAGCGCGACGGCGGCATGGCCTTCTACAACCAGGGCAGCCGGCCGCCCTACCTCTCGTCCATCCAGCCCATCGCCTTCCGCCAGCGCACCATCGACCTCAACAAGACGCACGGCCACTTCGTCGGCGAGGCCGTCACCTTCCTCTCCGAGATCCGCCCCGAGGACTTCGTCGCCCCGCGCGCGCTGTGGGAGCGCGTCTGGGACGAGGGCGCGCGCAACCGCTTCATCGCCAACGTCGCCGGCCACATGTCGACCTGCCGCAAGGAGGACATCATCAAGCGCCAGATCGCCATCTTCCGCGAGGTCTCGAACGACTTGGCCACCCGCCTCGAGCAGGCGACGGGCGTCAAGGGGTACCCCGGCATCGCCGGTCTGCGCTTCAACGGCTGCCACAACGGCATGGCGACGAAGCCGGAGCTCCGCGCCGCCAACGGCCAGACCGAGGCCGTCACGACCAGCGCGACGCCCAATAACGGTGCGCCGAGGGCGGGCACGCACAAGGAGGAGTTGCTGAATGCTACGAACTGAAAATCTTTTTAACTGGGTAGAGCTGGGCTTTTTGGGACACACGGCGACGGTGGGGATGGGGTTTCATGTGTTCGATTGAAGCTATGTGTATATATAGCCTTTTATTCTTCTTTTCTTTTTCCTTTCCGCTCTTGTGTTATATATCTCTGACCTCTGGGCGTTGTGAACGATGAGGATGAGAATCACGGATATTATGCATAGACATACTCACACTTCCGGACACAATACTAATCCCACGTCAGATTGTGCTGTTTGTGACATCTGTGAACTCGGCGTTTTCTTCGGAGCCTCGCGCCCTTTGCCTTGTGCGACGGACGGGTTTCTCGGCGCTCTCTCTTTTTGGATTTTGAGATTACTCCGTGCTGTGTTTGAGACACGATACACATGCGGCGTTTCAGGATCGTCAGCTCGTGACATACATACGACATGGTCGGCCGGTCTTACGTCGATGATGTCATGAGCGAAGGCAATTACTGAATAGGGAGATTCCGAAGGGGCACGAAGGTCGAAACTTTGACGGTCAAGTAGGGGGCCCTGAGTCCCTGACTATCGGATGCCCGTGATCTTGACATGTTGTTGTGAGAAGCATTGGTGAGACGGTAGGCTCGGTTTACATCACTCTTTCCCTGGGGCACAGTGGATAGCGAAATCTCTTCATATGTAGTTGTTGAAGTAATTACCCGGATGTATATGCGAGTGTTGGAGTCATACGAATACATCCAGACACAGACTTCCACTACCTACGTGAAACAGATCAAGGTAGGCCCGTTTCTTTCGTGATCCCTTACTGTAAGGGAAAATTCTGGCTGGACTTCCGCTCCCGCTCCCGCCATTTCCCGGAAGTAGCTTATGTTTCGTTCCAGAATCATCACCCTTTTGGAAAATATGCACTGGAGAAAATCTCAACCACCCGTTATGCCGTGAGCGAAGTGAGACATACAACTTCAACGCATAGCGGAATTGGGGTTGTTGGACTGTTTCCTTCTAAGATACACATAGCTGATCCATCTTAGTCCTTCAGTCACGCTCAAGTGAACAAAATGTATGAGCAGTGAAAGGGTTCTGGTCGGCTGATGAGCGGCCTTCTGGTATATCTTCCGAGTGAAGACTATTCCAAACATGATATCATCAGGCAGAGGGTCGTGCTTCCGATCATCACGGAAAATGGTGCGATTAAGGGCCACCATCGTCCCATCCCGGCCTCCCGTAGCTCAGCCTTCAGCCGGCCCAACCAGAGCGTCAAGGCCATGGCAGCCATATATGCACAGAGGCATCGTCCCAGTTGGTCGTCTAGTATATGGCCATCCTCGACTCTCGTACCCACCAGGATAGAGAGAGCGACGAATGCTGTGAAGATCAGGACCCACGATCCGATTGTGATATATTCAAGAAGAGTGTACGGCTCTGGGACATCTACCGGAAAAAAAATCAGCAAATGTACCAGGAAAGCAAATAAACAAGCAACTTGCCGTGATATATGTCTTGCCATTCGTCTGCATATGGTGGTAGGGAATCGGGCAAAGGCTGGTAGGAGTGCTCGGGTTCGTCCATGATAGCAACGTGGTAAAGTGTGCAGCTACGGCGTGGCGACGTGTGCAGATACGACCGTCAATAATGTTTATATGGGCGTGGATGTTTACCATGGTCGAGGCGTTCCGGACTTTATGTTCTCCCATACGTATATCGAACACGTTTCATTAAACTTGGACAACAAACCTTGCTCATGATATCGATAGCGCGTCATCCTCAACTCTAGATAGCCCCGGATAACCTCAACGTCTATCGTTATCTCCGCCCTTTCCTACCACACACCACATCACGAGCCCCTCCCCCCTCCCCCTTTGTGTCTCCCTCCCACTTCGCCGTCTGATACCCCTCCATCACTCACTCCAACACGTAATTCGACTCCGCCAAATATGCCCCCTCCTCCCTCCCGATCCCCAACCCCGCCACCGTCCTATTCCGACACCCCTTCGCGCCCGGCCTGCCACCCGAGGGCCAGTTGACGTTGCTGGGGAGATGGTAGAAGTTGAGGCCAGAGAAAGGTTTTCTATGCGTTAGCGGAGATGCGGGTGAGAGGTGAAGCGGAGGCTGACGGGCGGGTCATTGGTAACGGATGGGGTTGCCCAGTTGGTGCGGGAGAAGTTGAGAGAAATCTCGGCGATGAGCTTGTAGGAGGAAGCGAAATCTTGGCATTGAGACCTGGGAATGGCGGTAGCCTCCTGGCAGGTGACGAGACGAGAGGTATGAGGAGGACAACAGTCAACCATCGTATGACGGGAGCGATCATTGTCATACACCGGCGTCAATGCACTGTACCCCTGCACTTACACAAACTTATTGGCCTTCTGCAGTGACGGATTCCAAATCCGGAGATATCAACATAGATAGGCTTACGCCAAGACGTCGAAAAGGCGGAGGTGGTACCATGTAACCGACAGTATTCAGCCTCTCAGTGCCAGGTGCAAGGCGCCCCGCACGAGGCAGGCGCACTCAAGACCGAATGCGGTATCTTGCTCATCCGCCGCGGAAAGCCTGAGCAAGTGTAATTCGTCAGCACGTTGACCATACTTTAGTGATTTTAGCCTTCCGGAAGCCTTATTTTAACAAATTGCCGGATTGATGATCGGATACCCCACTTGACCTGAGCCTTGAGCCTAAGTCCTGTATGTTATGTCTAGACCTCTTGTGTAATAGCGGTGCAAATCACGTAATCGTTGGTGTTCAGAGAATATATGAGATTGAATGCGCCCAGAAATGCCAGACCCGACGATGACCCCCGTCAAAAACGCCCCCATGTCAAAATGCCGGACCCGCGTGCCTCAGCCCCCACGCTGCAGCGTTGCCAAGATCTTGAGTGAGTAAAAGAAGCCCACCGAAACTGTAGCAATGCCTTTTTTCCCCGCTCGACTGTGCGATGCGCTGCTGATGCCTAGCCCATCAGGCGGGTCGCGTTCATGCGCGGAGCTGTAGGCAGATGTTAGCCTTGCCATGGCACGCACGCAGCTCACAGCCCTCGTGCTACGTACCGGACGACAGCAGGTCAGCGTTCATAGCCCTCTTGGGCGACGGATTGCGGGACGAGTTGCGGGACGAGGAACGGGACGAGGCAGGCTCGGAGGGGGCCTTGCTTTGGCCGGCGGCATCCCCTTGGCTTGAGCCAGGCTCGCTGGCAGATGCAGCCTGGCCGTCCTCGCTTGCGGCACGACGTGTCGGAGGGTGGGGCTCGATGATCTGGGGCCCGTGTTCCTTGTACAGAGCGGTGGATGATGAGTAGACCGAGGAGCGAGGACTGTAGGCATAAGAGGTGGGCTCGGCAGCCGTCAGGAAGCTGGCCTCGAGGGAGCCATAGAAGCGGAAGGGCATTTGTGGAATCATGGTGGCTTGGTTGGTCGAGGTGCTGGTAGAAGACGAGATGTGGTAACAAGGTGACTTGGATGTGAAGGCTGAGGTCTGAAGCAAGCAGACGGTGCTCTCAACTCAAAGGGCATTTTATAGACTCTGGCAGCGGTGCTGAGGTTGCTCAAGATGGGGCTGCAAAGATACGTGTTCCATTTCTGGACACGGGGCTCCGCACGACGGCGCTCAGCTGGGTCAGTCAGCAACAGCACACCGCTGGCGGGATAGAACATGTGCGGCTGCCATTCGCCGGGTGTGCGGAGAATATCGAGGCTTGGTGGAGGTAGGGCTGCAGTGTGTAAGCAGTTTGGCGGCGGGGGGAGGGCCAGAGAGCCGGCATGTGCGGGCCGAGCGAGAGTCTGCCTGATGGCTGTGTCTGGGGGCCCAGATGATGCGGTGGCGACAGCGGCGAAGGCGGCGAAGGCGGCCAGGACTTTGGGCTCAGGCGGGCAGCTGCGGTCGCGCGGAGTATACGGCGGCCCGCAGCGACTGCTCGCGTCATGCGGTCGCCCCACCACTGCCACCTCCACTGCGACACACGTCCCCAACTCCGATCGAACTCCGCTGTTCCCAGATTGCGCTGCAGCCTTCGCCTGGCCCAGCCCCTGCCGTCATGTCGCACGCTTGAAACGCCTCCTCCCGTCGTTATGTAGAGAACCGATCCCGTGCTCACTCCTCTCTCTTTCGCACTGTTCTGTCTCTCTCTCGCAAGTCCCTGGAAACGCCGTCTGAAACCCGGCTGCACTTCGACATCGCCATGACTCGATTCTCGATACCCAGGCAGTTCAGTAGAGACTCCGACACCCCCAGGCTCAATCCCTCCTATCGCCGGAATGGAAAGCTGCAGTCGTGTGAGCCATGCCGCAAGGGCAAACTCCGCTGCGATCATGTCATGCCAACCTGTGGCAGGTGTGCTCGTCGCAACAAGCAGGACCAGTGTGTCTACCACCCCGCCCCCTTGACTCGCACTCGCTCTGCTGCCACTCCCCGCCTGTCTGAGCCTGTGCTCAGCCCGCCCCAAACCGCTTCCCCGGGCCAGCCCTCTCCTCGTACCGCCCAGCTGGAATCCCGCTCCACCCCACTGCCCGCCGTCGACGATGATGCAGCCGAAACGGAGCTTCAATGCATTGCCTCTTCGGAAGTACGTCACCACGCCGGCTTCCTTGGATCCACCAGCTATTCCGCTGTCTTGACTGAAAACGAGGGTAGTCTCGGCTTGGGCCAGGATGAAACCGCCTGTCATTCCGGTGCCAACCCGAGAATCAGTCCTGAACACGTCCAGCGGGGCGTCGAACTGCTCAGTCTTCTGAAGGACATGCCCATCTTCGACCGCTACATACAGCGATGGTACACCGTTACCCAAGGAGTAATCACCATTGAGCCCATCGTCAAACAGTGGATGGCCTCGCTGTGGTCCGAGTATGCAGAGATCCTTCAAGACCAGAACGTGGCACAGCTCAAAAGGCTGTCGGAACACGTCTGGCTCAACACCGATCAGAAGCTACGAAGCGAGACCGTCAAGACGTCCCGCGACTGGATTGAGCTGTCGACGGCCAAAAACCTCCGTTGGGAGGTTGTGGGCATCGTCTTGTGCCTGGTGGGCGTGGTTGCCACAACAATGCCAGGTAAGCCCAGCTCTTGCGTCGTGTACCTGCCAGAGCGACGGCTGACCCTTCGTCAGAGTGGGACCCGCTCTTGGCCTTCAACCGCAGGTACAAAAGCAAGAGAAGCTTGATCGTTGCCATGTATCGCGCTTCCGATACGTGTTTGAAGTTTTGCGAGGAGACATGTATCCCGAACGACATCGGCATGTGGCTCATGTACGAAACCAACTACATCTATCTTTTCTTGCATGGCGACTCCTGTAAGCTTTTCCCTCAGATTGACACCACTGCCCATCGCTGATGTGGCATCGTCAGGCTATGACAGCTGGCAGAGATCGGGCCGGATAATGAACGCCATCATGGCTCTGGGCTGGCATCAAGAAGTCAACTCAAAGGATCTGCCATTCTTTCTCGTCGAAATCCGAAGGAGACTTGTCGCTTCGGCATTCGCCCACGACAAATGGTTGTCTGCGTTCCTTGGCAGGCCACCACGTCTCAGCTACCGCTACTGTGTGGTGCAGCTCCCCCTTGACCTTACGGATAAACAGCTACTCTCACACGGTCCTGAACTTGAGGCTGCCCTTGCGACTCTCGACAGTGACGGGTGGTCGAAAGGCACACAGGTGCAAAGACGGACTTGGTCCCGAGCTTGGGTGCAATACTGCGTATGTCCATTCCTCTCCGGGTCGATTAGGAATGTTTGTATGCTGATCTTATACCCTAGACAATCAGGGAAGATATTCTGGAGCTCTCTATGGGCTCGCAAGTAGGCAACATTGTCGAAAGGGCAAGGTGAGAAGCTGCATCCACATATGATCCCCACTTCAGCTCACCGTAACGACACAGAGACATTCAGCGCAGAGCAGAGCAAACATGGGACGCACTCCCTGAGTATCTTCGCCAAGAACCAGAGCGCATCTGGAAGAACCAAAAGCCACCTATCGAGTGTCTCTACCTCGTTTTTATCCATATCGAACACCTATACAACGAATTCCTTCTTCAGCGAGCGCTGATCAAGCGGGCCGGTGCAGATACCAGGGATCTCCTGCAGGTGGCGGTCAGATTACTCGCGGACATTATCACGGTCGCTGGGAAGCGGGAAGTCCTCGGCGAGTTTCAAGACGCCTATCTAATGGTAAGTGCTTGTCGGTCGCTTCGAATTCGATGCCTCTCCTGACAATCGCACCATCTAGCTCTCCAGCCCTGGTCTTCCGGCCTCATGCGTTGTTGCAGTCGAGCTTCTTCGCCAAGAGCAATACCCACACCAGCCCATCTCTTTTCCGCTAAACCGATCTCAGACCATCCAAGACCTCAGCGTTTTTGCGAACGCTCTTGCATATGTGCCTGCAGATGAGCCCAGCTCCTCAATATGTGCACAGGGCCGGAAATTCCTCAAGCGTATTCTGGACAAGATCCTAAGCCCAGAATCGCGTAGCGACGTCTACATGGCAGAAAATGGCTCGTCGTCGGTCAATGTCGATTTCTCAGTACCGTTTTCCGGAAACGACGCCGAGTTCATGCCTTGGTTGGAAAGCGTTGACTGGGATAGTCAGAGCTGGACCATGTTCAGCTGATTGGTGATTTGCTTCACTATCTCGCCCAGCAAAAAAAGAAGGATGTTTTGATCATCTCTTGTGGCGATTTCGAATGCCTATCTTGTGTCCTGCGTCTTCGAATGTTCGGCCGCACTTTCCGCGACCGATACTGATCTTTTTGACTGTGTGTCAACCTCGGATATGACAGTTATGCCGTTACTTCTTTGGTTTATCAGAATGTCTTCGTCGCTTCCTTGGCGCTTGGTCTGGTCCATCCATGTGTCCATGACTGAGCCGCCAATGGACGTCTCATTAAGACCCATCTTGGTCGAGCCTTTCCTACGCTTGTTGCTGCTGTTTCCCATGTTGTCAAGGGATATGCCCTCGGCGGGAGTACCTCCGCTCTCAGCTTTGTTGTATGGTTCGGAGCCATCGGTGCTGCTTTTGCCCCGAATCTTGTTGTAGAGGGGTCGGAGCATTGGAATGCAGGCGGTACACAAGGTGATGCAGAGCTCGGTAGACGACCACAGGATCGGACTGACACTTTCATCTGCCAGACGCCGCCCCTGTCAGTGAGGAACTTTCTAACGAAAGCTGGTGCTTACAAGTATAGTCGGATCGTCCGGACAGGCGTTTTAGTTCGATGGCACGGGCGATACCAGATGCTCCGGCACTCGGAGTGGATTAGCCTTAGCACATGGCCAGGCGGCTTTCGATGTACTCACAACACTCCCATGCTCATGGAGATGCCGATCAGTTTCTTCTCCTTTCTCTTCATGTTGAGATTCCAAAGGATTGCCCAAGGCAAAAGGGCCAGCACAAAGTCGCATATTACAGACGTCACTGCGGCAAAGTCAGCAAGCCCAGTCTTCTGCCAAGTACTGCATACTAACCTCCAACACCAACAGAGAGATCGGTAAATGCTTCGGTGCCCATCCAACAATCTGCCTTCAGCGTGGGGTTCCAGACTGCGGCGACGGGGTCGCAGCGTATGAAATCAAACAAAGCGCACAGAACGCAGATGATGGTCACGGCGACGACACAGACCCACAGGACTACTTGGTGCCATGTGAAAACGACAATGCGCAGCAAGAAAAACGCAACGGAGGCTTTGCTCGACGCAATGCCGATGATGCCTGAGAGGTCAGCAGGAGGTTGTGGGCCGAAGGGCCGGTTTGGACGTACAGAAAGTCTGGCCGATGATGGTGATCTTCGCGGCCACAGCGGCTTGTTCACCACCCAGTACTTGGGCATGCCGTCCATATCCCTCAGTTGCCGCGTAAGAGCATACTGCGGAATAGAGCAACAGCATCACCTGGATCGGGTTCGTCATTGCTCCCTTTGGAGTTCCAAGCGGCATGATTTACCCACGAGAATGCCGCCATGTGGTCGTCCCACCCCAGGGATCGGTTGATCCGCGCCTTCGTATACATCCTGGGAAAAACAAAGATCATGGCGAGTACCGTCTGCCCAAGCATGACGCCGATAATGGCCGGCCCAAGGCCGCCTATCGTCTTCATGGGGCGGTGGTGGAGAGGGGGCTGGGGGGAGGGGTCGGTGCCGGAATAGCCAACGGCAAACTCTGATACTTGAAGTGTGAGGGGGCCATGGCCGGAGTCGAATCTCGCTGACGAGGGACGCCAGGCGTTTGACTCGGGGCCAGTAGGAAAAGGCGGCACACCTGGAGGCCATGTCTCGGACACCCGACCACAGACTCCGCACGTGGAGACAGGCCGAGAACGTGCATAAGCGAAATATAGCGATCGAGGGCCCCCTCGTCACCGAGGGCTCAAAAAGTCTCTAAGCCGCGCGGAAGGCGGGCCGCACCGTTTCCTCGGTTCCTTTACTAGCCAAATCGGGCAACGGGTCCACAGAATTGGGCGAGTTAGATGCCTTCGCAACGGCGAGCCAACCGTTACAATTATGCGGGTCTGCTCCACCCTATATCACAATCAGCCCACAGCCTCGGCACTTGCGATCAGGCTGCCAGCCTCGCTCTGATCTTCCAACCTCAAAGGCAATATGACTACCGCCGTGTGCGCGCTAGGCACCAGTCGCGTCGTAATCCCCGGATCATCACCCTTCCTCCCGCCCGAAACGGTCAGGCACTCCTGAGGCCGTTAGCCACGCTCGAGTAATGGCTGCGATAGCTGTGCCGCAGCACCAGCCCGCCATCCCGCGTCCATGGCGTGGTGCCCCTTGAGGGAACCATGGGTCTACTGTATTAATTGCATTGTCGGGTCCCTCGATCCCAACCGCTTCGAATCCAGCTGCTCCCCACGGCTTCTCTCTTACCAATTGCTGGAAGCGGACGGACCCCTGGCCCATTTGCAGAGCATTTGCCATTTTCGCCTCACTTTTGCTGTGCCCTGAAACCCCCGCCGCAGCTCATGGCCCTCCTGACCTTGGTCCTGGTGCTCGCCGCCACCTTCGCCGCCTACCGCTACTACTTTCACCCGCTGCGCCGCGTCCCCGGCCCGCTGCTGGCCAAGTTCACCGACGCCCAGCGCTTCTTCGACACTGCGGGCGGCCGGGCGGAACTGACGCACCGCCTGTTGCACGCCAAGTACGGCCCGGTCGTTCGCATTGGCCCAAACACTGTCAGCTTGAGCGACCCGCAGTGCATCAAGCTTATCTATTCCAACAAGGCAAACTTTCCGAAGGTGAGTGGGGAGAGACTTTGCCATTGACCCCGCCATTATACATTTCCTCTATGAACTGTCTCAGTGCGGAATCTGGTTTTGGCTGACCGAGAGGTGCCGGTTTTGGGGAGATAAAAGAGTGACTTCTACGCCGTCAACGACATAACCCAAGGCGATCAGCGCGTCTGCACCCTCTTCGGCACCCGTGACAATGGCTTGCACCAGAAGCTGCGCGCCCCGGTGCAGAAGTATTACAAGGTCTCGGCGCTGCTGAAGCTGGAGCACCGCGTCGACAGCGTGGTTGAGGATTTCTGCGCGAAGCTGGAAGAGCGCTTCGCGAAGCCGGGGAAGGCGTGCGATATCGCCGAGTGGTTCCTCTTCTGTGAGTATATCACCTTTGTTTTTTCTCTTTTGCTGCGGGTCTGGGAATTCTGGATGCTTGAGGGGTTTTTTTTTCTTCCCTTTTTTCTGTGACACTGCTGACTTGACTGAATTAAAGATGCCTGGGACGCCATCGCGGACGTCACTTTCAGCAAACCGATCAAAGAGGGCTTCTTGAACAAGGGAGGCGACATCGACGACCTGCTTTCCACCGCCGAGCAAGCGCTCGACTACTTCGCCGCCGTACGTTGATCGCCTACAGATCCAATCCTTCTCCCCTTTCCCCATCCCCTCCTCCCATCGAACCACCCACCAAGCCTCCCCCCTTCTAACCAAAACACAGGTCGGCCAAATCCCCCTCCTCGACGAGCTCCTCGACAAGAACCCCATCCACCGCATGGGCCCGCCCTCGTTCCAAGCCGCGGCCGACTTCTGCGTCAAGAAGCTCGTCGCGCGCACCACGGGCGCCGAGACCAACGACACGGACAACCAAGACTACCTCGACCACTTCCTCGCCATCAAGGCCGAGGCCGACGCCGCCAAAGCCGCCGGCCACCAGCAAGAAGAAGCAGCAGCGGACCGCGACGCCGACATCACCGACGCCACCGTCGTCGGCTGGATGCTCCTCAACATCCTCGCCGGCGCCGACACCACCGCCACCACCCTCGCCGCCGTCCTCTACCACCTCCTGCGCAACCCCCGCGCCCTCGCCCGCCTGAGGCGCGAGCTGGACGACGCCGGCCCTGCCACTGCTGCGGTGTGGCGCTACGAAGACGCCGTCCGCTTGGAGTACCTCGACGCCGTCGTCAAGGAGGCGCTGCGCGTGCATCCCGGCGTGGGGCTGCCGCTCGAGCGCGTCGTGCCGGCCGGGGGGCTGGCGCTGCCGGAGGACGGTAGTAGTGCTGGTGCTGGCAGTGTCGGGTTCCTGCCGCCGGGCACGATCGTGGGGATGAACGCGTGGGTGGTGAACAACGACAAGGCCGTCTTCGGGCCCGACGCGGACAGCTTCGTGCCCGAGCGGTGGCTGCGGGCCGCGGCCGACGGCGAGGACGAGCGGCAGTGGGAGGAGCGCGTGAAGCGGATGAAGGACGTCATGTTGAGCTTTGGCGCGGGCAGGCGCGTGTGTCTGGGGAGGGAGTTGAGTCTGTTTGAGATTTACAAGGTCGTGCCCACGGTGTTGGGGCGGTTCGATGTGAGTTTTACCCCCCCTTTTTTTTTTTCTCTCTTTCTCTTTCTCTTTTTCTTTCCTCCTGTTTCTTTCTGTTTCTTTTGGAGGGCTTTCCTCTGTGCGTTTTGGGGGATGGAGGAGATCGGATTGCTGACGCTGTGGTTGGTGGTAGTTCGAGTTGGTGGATCCGAAGAAGGAGTGGGAATTGACGAATTCATGGTTCGTGAGGGTGAAGGGCGTGGATGTGAAGATCAAGCCGAGAGTGACGCCGAACTGAGGATTGGTTTGTGGGAGGTTTTCGTTGATTGGTATCAACTCTTTCAGGGGAGAATTTTGAGGATTGAGGAGGGGAGTGGTTGTTGTTGTTTTGGTCTCGCTCGCATTCGCCGAGTACATGCGTCTGCATGTTTACTTCTATCCCACGTGTCTGGTAGCAGTAATGTTCATTGCCACGGCACTGAAAATTAGTATCATAAATACATGTAATTGCAAACGTGCAAACCAGATAGCCAAGAACTCATCATACAATCTGAACGCCACTGAAACCACGAACAGACCGATCAGACATAAATCCGAGAAACCCTGTAGATGATCCTCCGCGGGAGATCCGTTTCGGTTCCCTCGCCTCCGCCATTTTCCCAGTCAGATCGAGTGCCCAGCAATGAGATTGTCCAACAGCCAGCAATGCCATGCGCATCATCAGCTGACTTCCCAGCAATCGGATTGCTCCGAGATCGCAATTCCCGTTTTCCTCCGTCCGAGGTTCCTTCTGCCCTTCTTCTCCGCATCCCTCGTCTCGCGATATTCCGCCAGGTCCTCAATACTTTACATAAGCTACAGAGACTGGTTGCACCATTGCAGCATTTCGTAGAATTGCTTGTTACCGGTGTGGATGCTATGGTGATCAGCTGACTCGAAATCCATATCAAAGCTGTCTCTTAATAAAAAGACTGTCAGAGGTAAACGCTTCCCAAGTGGTGACTTTAATACCCAAAGCACGTAGGATGAGAGTGTGGCACGATATGACAAACTAGGGCAAGTGTGGAAAGGATTCTGTCGCTTTGTGTACCGATGAGGGTGTTCTCAAGATCGTCAATCATCGTACAACGTTCTTAGTACGATAGAATCCCATTGTCTTAGGCGGAAGGGTATCGCGCGGCAACGATAGAAGCAAGATCCGTCTGCGGGGCCACTCAGTGAGAAACCTCTCACTGAACAGGCATACTTACCTAACGGGAACCAGCATATCTTACTGTCCATCACAATAAACATCTGTAAAATCAAAGGCCCCAACGAGCGAAGCACTTTCCAAAGCTTCAAATCTGCAACCAAAAAGCATCGGACTTTCCAAAGTCAAGTAGAAGAAACATGTCGGGCATATCGACCCTTTCGGGGAAATTCGTATTTCAGCAGCTCCAAGCCACACGCAGCTTTCGGTATCTAGCCATAACACATGCATAAGAGCATAAACCAAAAAAAGAAAAAAAGGGAAACATCGGTCCTTCGTTCGCGAAGGGATAGCATCCGCGGGTATCGTGTGTTTCGCGGGTATCCGAAAGGCTTGAAAAGAAAAGAGAGGAAAACATTACAGGCTCCGTGTAAGGAAGCCCTGCATTAAATTGTGAAAATGGAGGAAAGACGTCACTGTATGATGAGACAGGGAGAAAAGGAAGCATAGCACGGCGCTTTCGAAAGCGACAGCTGCGGACGGCGGATAGCCAGGAAGGAAAAGAAAAACCTGAAAAGAAAAAAAACTCCAAAGCACTCGTCTAATCCCGCAACAGATGCCCACTCTTTGGTATCAGAACTCCGTCTTCGTCCGCTTTGCAAGAATAAAAAAAAGGAAGGTGTGGTGAAGGAAGAAAAAGGAAAAGTAAGGAGGGGACAACAGTCAAGATGATCGAGAGATTCGACCTCAAACAAATTAAACAAAAGTCTGAAAGTAAATGAACGGACCCGGGCTCCAGCTGAATTGCATATTATGCAGCGCCGGGAAAAGGGTAATTAACCGCGGTTAAGACCGCGGTAATGCATTACATTTAGGTTCCTCAATCCTTGAGGCGGAACGCCTTTCTCAGCATTGGGAATTTCTTCTTCTTGCCGCTGCGCCCAACGGCAACATTGCCCACCGGCTCTGATTCAGCGGTTTCGCCTCCAGTGCTCCGTCGCTTGTTAAGGCGCGGTCTTGTTGGCGAACCGTCAGAAGTCGTAGGCCGTCCAGCCACCATACTGGGATCCTCGTCCGGAATGGCAGGCGGGAGTGGCCATGATTCCGAGGTGCGACGGCCATGTGAATCGCGTCGCTGAAGCTTAGCGCGTGGTGAAGCGGCGGCCGCAGGGGCGGCCGTCTCTGGAGGTGTCTTTGGGGGTACGTCTGCAGAATCGCGACGTTTCTTGCCCAGACCGAAAAAGCCCCGCTTCTCTTTGCGGGTTGGGCTGACTGGAATGTCGCGCAGAGAACTTTTGGGCTCTGCCGTTGCACCATTGGTGTTGCCATTGGTGGCAGCCGCAGGACGTTTGACTGGCGATGAAGGGCCATCCGTATCACTCAGTTCGTCCTCGAGCTCAGTCGAGTCTCCGTCGTCATCGGCACGTCGCGGGATACCCCGAACAGGCCTCAGCTCGGAAGGAAGCTCGGTGACATCGTCCTCCTCATCCGAGTCAGCGAAGCGTGAGCGGAACTTTGGCAGCCTGCCAACATCTTCATCATCGCTAGAGTCTTCGTAACGCGATTGGAAGCGCGACGAGCCCAACTTAGGTGAGCCTTTGCCCCCGGTGGAAAATCTGGATGATTTAGCGGGCGGCGGACCCTGTGCCCGTAAAGTGGGCTGCGGGGATTCCTGGTTGTTGATCATCGGTTTCCGTTTGCCGAAGAGGGAGCCGGTCGGGGACAATGACCGAATACTCAGTCTCGAAGACCGAGGTGCCGGAGCCGCGCTAGGCGGAGTTGCTCTCAACGTCGGAGCAGGAGCAGACGCATGAGGTTTCGGCGATGGTCCGGAGCGCATACTTCGTCGCATCGAGTATCTTCCCTCCGCATAAGATGATGCACCACGGCGCTGTCTTTTGAAACTGCTGTCAGACGCATCCGAGTCATTGGACAAAGTCCGACCAAGAGCAGGTGTGGCCGACACTCGATTCGAGGTGGCCGGAATGCCCGCAGGCGCGCTTCGCCGGTTCTGCGCCGGGGCCGCGAGTGGGATGTTCCTCTTCTGGAGTGCACCCTTTGGTTCACGTGCTTCAACCGTTGCAGGCTCGCTGTATCGCGCAGTTGCGTGACCTGCCGGGGAGTCTCGCATTGAGGTCCGCATCGACTTCCGCACAGCTGGCACAGAAGTTCCCTCTTGTTCCGTTGCGGGTCTGCCCGCACGCATACTCGTTCTCAATGCTGGCTTCTTCGGCTGTGGTGCTTCACGCGCGTGCGGCAACGGCGCTGCCTTCTGCGCAGGTCCAGCGGCCACCACGATGGGTTCAGGAACCACCGTCGCTTTCTTTTTCGGCTTGGGGGATTTGAGTATTGGTGCCGCATCGTATTCAAGCGCTGCCGCTTTTACAGTGGCCTTGGACTTGGGTCTAGGCTTGTTTGATACGGGTTTATCCGGTTGTTCTCCCCGCCTCATTTCGACTGTACTGGGTGTTGCAACCGAGTCTTTTTCAAGAGAATTGGACTGCTGTCCCTGTTTGTCGACGATCGGGCTCTCTGGAGGTGAGACGGATTCAACCTCTGACGGCGGCGGGATGACAGGGCTTTCGACAATAGCATCTAATGACGCGAAACCACCTTCCAGTTCAGAGGGGTCTTCGGCAGCGTCGCTGTAGACGCTGCTGCCATCGCTCTCATCATCTGAACTTTCATCCGCAGAGTGATTGAGATAGCGGTCCACGCTGCTTTGGTGTGACGTGACTGGTTGGAGATCTCTTGCGGAAAAAACATGGAACTGGCCACCGTAGCCTGGATCATTGGTACCGGGATGCTCTTGTGATGTCAATGAAGCAGTCGTAGCACCTACACTCTCGTCCGCCGACCCTTCATCCAGGTCGGACCACGCCCCAGGCATCTCAAACGGAGGGTCCTGGTTTTCAGCATCTGTTCCTGGCGTTGCAGGTTGCACAGCGATTTGAGGTACTGATGGTACATCAAGAGCAGGCGACGGCTCGGCTGATTTCTTCTCAGGGATGGCAGGGAGAGTGTTTGTGCCGGATCCAACGCCATTGGCTGCTGCCTCATGGTTGCTTGCTGTCTCCGATTCATCCATGCTCGATTCCGTGTCGTCTGAGGCATAGCCGGTGCCTTCCACAGAAGTGACGTCAGGTGCAATTGGTTGATTTCCGCTCTTGGTCCGCTTTTTGGTCTCAAGGCTCTGTGCGATAATGCCGCCGACGGCGTGGTCGCTCGATGCCTCAAGTGGCTCGGCCATTGTACTTGTTGAATTGGACATCGATGGGACAGTTTCTGTGACCTTCTCAGCAATCTCCTCGCCGACAGGACGACGCTCTCTTCTGATGCTTCCAAAGGAGGGCAGTTCAGGTCTGGGTTTCATGATTTCATCCAGGTCATCGTCCATACCCTGTAGAGTCCGACCGCTCCAGCGAGAAGATTCTAAGCCGGCGGGGGAGGAAGGAGAAGATGACGAATCTTCTTGAGTAATATTCTCTTCGAAGCTGACTCGCACGCCCTTCTTTTTGCGAGGACTGGGCTTGTAGCCGTCATGGGATCCAGCCTCCGAACCACCATCCGACTGAGCTCGTCCAGCTGTATGAGGTGCAACGGGCGAGCCAGTTCGAATCGAGGAAGAGGGTGAGTGCTTCATTGCTGATTTCGCGGGCGATATAGATCTTGGCGGCGGTTGATGTTTCACACCAGTTGAGATGTCCACGGCGGTTGGCGCAAAATGCGCTGAACGGGCTGGGCTGAGGGAAGATTGCCTTTGGTGACCTTTTGCACGTCCAGTATCAGGTTTCAGCTTTTCCGAATCCGCACCACGACCCAAGCGCTGTTCGACTTGTGGGCCCACTGTTCTTTGCTCCTGCTCTTTCGACACCATGACTTTTGCGGGCACCTCAGACGCAACTTCCGCACGGCCTCCCGCCTCAGCTCTCTCCGCCTCTTCCTCAACTTCAGGATTCTCCATAACAGTTGAAGGTTGCCTGACAAGTGGAGATGGCCTCGATTGCGGGCCGGGAGCTTCGGACTCGCTCGAGCTATCGGACAAGATCGAGCTTTGGGGACTCTGAGGACTAGGCGGAAGCTCCGGAGCTGGAGCTGAACGTTGTGGTGATTGCGTGCGCGCTGGCGGGGAACTTTCCGGAGATATGGCGTCTCCTCGTGGCTTACTGGCCATACCTCCTTCTGCCAGATGCCGTCCTTCTGTACCCACTGCCTTCTTTTTCTTTTTCTTGGCTACTGGTGCGTTCGCTGCATTCTGTAACGATAGACCCAAACCGGTCACACTCGTAGTCGAGCTTTTCGAGACAATAGGTGCTGTCGTGCGGATGTCCTGCCTAGGCTTTTGGTCGCTCGTGACGGGACTGGTAAACCACCCACTGTGGCCCTTTTTGGGAGGCGGCGGACTCGCCGGAGGGGTCTCCCGAGGCGACATAGGTCGTGAGAAATTGATCGAACCCCTTTGAGTCCCTTCTTTTGCGTCCGGAGAATTACGTGAAGCCCACTCCCCCGTGCTTTGATCCCTTGGCTTGCCTGATCCTAGCACAGCTTCGCTCGCGGCTCGTCTGTGCTTGGAAGCTGGTGAAATGTCCTTTGGGATTGCTGGCACTGGAGGTGCATTAGCATCCGCAGGAGCTGGCGCCCATGCTCTCCCCGATGGTGACGGCGAACGAAAAGTTCTCTCACTCATAGAACCGGAACTAGGCTGTCGCCGCATCCCAGGAGCGCTCGCGCTACTCCCCGAGGACCCCCTCCTCTGCATGCGCTTCGTTTGGATGCTGCCGACTGAGACCGGCGGGGGGCTGTGGGTGCGCAGGGCCGCCGCCGCTGCAGCGGAGGAGAGGGATGCATTGGAGTTCGCATTCTTCAGGAATGCCTGGCTGGCAGCGAGGGCAGCGGTGGGAGTCGGGGCGCTGGTGTTACGGTTTGGAGGCTACACAGCACAATGGAGTCAGTCTCGGGGCAAGCGCATGCGCGAATGAAAGGCGGATGGGGGTCGCGGCGCATACCGGATTCGAAGTCGCGCGCCGGCGCGACCTAAACATGATGGACGGATGTTGTTTGGGAGCGTTGCTAGCTAGTCATAGCAGCCGAGGGATGTAGGAAGTGGTGTCGTGGAAGCAAGGGCTCAGCGGGCTGATGTCATGGGGGACGCGGATGCGCTGGACAGGCGCCAGCGGACGCCCTAAAGGAGTGGAACGCGACGGGCGCTTCGTCTGACACAGGCAGCCGCAGCTGAAACGCAGAGGACACGCAGCGCGCAAAGGGTTGGAACGAGGAGCGGGCGAGTCGCGGAGCGGAGGCGAGCGGATGTGGAGGAGAGGGTCTCGGTGGGCGATCAGCGGCGACGTGTGGTGTTGAAGTGGGCTCGCCGGAAAGAAAGGAAAGCATGCGCCCCGGGATCGTCACCAAGGGTGCTCGCACTGGCCGTGTCGTCATAAGCGGCCGGACCGCAGTCGACGCCCATCGAAATCACTTTTACGGCAGTGCTCGCCCGTCACTAACGGCATTTGTGCGCCGGGCGAAAAAAAGAGACGCCGGCGACGCGGTGGGCTGCGGGCTATCCAGCGCATTGAAACATTGGAGGCCGTGGCAGGCAGGACCCTTTGAAGGGAATGGTTGGCACGCATCCCCGACGACTACCGCCCTGTGGCCCGGCTTCTGACACGCGGGCACCCACCCTTGTACCTGTACCGGTACCTTGCGTGGACGAGGAATCAGGATGTGCTGCAGCCGGGAGGGCTGAGACTGAGACCCGCCGGAGCAGCGTAGCGTTATTATTAGTTAAAGTTTGATGGCGCTACTACGCCACCCTCGAGCCACAGACATGCGTCCTGGCAAGTCATCGGCCGGCCTACGACGACCGAGCACTTGGAACCCAGAAACACCAGAGCCGGTGCGTGCCACCATCTTCTGGAGGACTGTGCGCAGTCTTCCACGCGCCACCCATCACAGCGCTGGGGATTGCTGCTTCCGACCAATGCGAGACGATTGCAATGCAGATCGGGTCCCTGCCGTGTCCGCGTGCTCTACCTGTTAGGGTCTTGCTTTAGGCACGTTCTGTTTCCCCGCAGTTTCGTTCCCGACCTGCCATGCTCCGTTGCGACCGACTGCCTCTTCTATTTAAGTACCCAAACAGCTACTTCTCTTGATCTTGGTCCACGACCGACTCGTCCAGCGAGATTGCCTCGGCTTGAACGACCCCACGTCGCCCGACTTGTTCCATTCCCTTGCCTCATTCCCCTCTGATTCTCCAAACACTGCACCATGTCCCTACCTGAAGACGGTGTCGCAGATGGCTCTGTCGACCTTCCACCGCTCCCTCTTCCCGAAGGCATCACTTCACGCCAGATTCCTGACACTGCTTGTGGTCTCTCCTTCCACATCCTGGAGGCTGGCTTTGACCCAAATCGTACCAAACCACTCATTCTCTTGCTTCATGGCTACCCCGAGCTTGCGTATTCGTGGCGAAAGGTCATGCATCCACTATCGTCGGCTGGCTTCTACGTGGTTGCCGTGGACCAGCGCGGCTACGGTCGAACGACAGGTTGGGACCACTCGCCATACTCTACCGTTGATTTGTCCCAGTTCACCATGACGCGGCTGGTCGGAGACATGTTGGTGCTGATCTCTGCTCTTGGGTACACCGAGGTCCGATGTGTCGTTGGCCATGACTTTGGGGCTGTCAGTGCAAGCCTCTGTGCGTTGATGCGGCCTGACGTGTTCAGGAGTGTGGTAATGATGAGCCATCCGTTCAAGCCTCCGCCATCTCTTCCATTCAATACCGCGAACCTATTGCCATCGGAGCAAGCCCAAGGAGATACCATCGTCGGACGAGACGTTCAAGGCGACCTCGCATCGCTCGATCCGCCCCGAATGCACTACAAGTGGTACAACAGTACGCCACAAGCGGCGCAGGACTGGGACAACCCACCTCAAGGATTGAAGGCGTTTCTGCGGGGATACTTCCACCTGAAGAGTGCGGATTGGACGGCCAACAAGCCACACCCTCTCAGCGAGTGGAATGCGTCAGAGCTGGCCAAGATGCCCGAGTACTACGTCATGCCGCTTTCGGCCAGTATGCCTGACGTTGTGTCCTCTAATATGGCCAACGAGGACGCACGCGCAACCGAGAAGTGGTTGTCAGACGAAGACGTTGCGGTGTACGCGGGCGAATGGGAGAGAACCGGTTTCCAAGGCGCACTCAATTGGTATCGGAGCCAAACCGACCCAAAACAGACACGGGATCTTCAGCTTTTTGCGGGGAGGAAGATTGACGTCCCGAGCAAATTCGTGACGGGGAAGGCCGATTGGGGGAATTACCAGGTGCCTGGAGCACTGGAGAGTTTCCCAGAAAGCTGCAGCGACTTCAGGGGAGTCTCTTTTGTGGACCATGCCGGCCATTGGCCCCAGCAAGAGCAACCAACACTGGTGGTCGAGAAGATCCTGAGGTTTGTGACGAGCTTGTAGGGGAAGCTTGGACGCGCTCGATCCGACGCTAGTTTGAAAGTAATGACCGAGAGAACCAAACATCGATCCTACCTTGAGATACTTCACGACCGTTGTGAGGATGGGTTGGGGACTCAGGTTTTAGAATTGCGAAACAAGACTTCACCTGATAATTCACAGCAGCCGGCCCAGTGCAAAATCTTCGCACGTGTTCTTGGTGTCTCTGTTGTACTGTGTAGGTCAAAGCGGATCGGCGGGCTGAACGGCGCCACCGCAAGTTTAGCTGCTGGACTGTCGTGGTTATCTTTCGTGTTTTTCAGCTGAGCTGGGATAGCGATTCATGGCGTCAAGCGAGGCCAGAACACGCGTCGCTCGGCCGGCGGCGGCACAAAGGCTCGCTTGGACGAGGCAGGCAGCTCCGAATTTAATGGGTCGGTCGAGCGAGCGTGATTTATTTACGGTTGCACATGCAACAACACCCAGGACCGCTTGTGCAGGGGGCACACCTTGCAACCCGCGAGCTCAGAAGCTTCTGGACCGCAGGACAGCCCGGCCAGGCGGGCAGCAGCAGGGCGCTTGCGTGGGCAGAGATGACCGTTTCGGGGGCCTGCAGCGACGGACAGGCGTGCTGCAGCAAGGCCGTCACCCATGTGAGGGCGAGGCTGGCGGCTGGAGCTGCTGCCACTCTGCCAGCCATCTGCGGCCGTTGGTGCGGCGTTGCGTGGAGAGCAGTCGCAGAAGCTGCAAGCTGCAAGCCACCGGCCAGCCGCGCAGGCATCAGGGCGCCCCTGCGACCAATGGCGGGCGGATGGTGCAGTCCTGGAGGCTGGGGAGCTGTGGGCATGATTAACGGATTTGCCGTCAGAGCTCCCAGCGCGTCAGCGTGCGCGCGACGAGCCCCGACTCTGGCAGCGGCTGCGGGTCCACGCCAATGGCACCGCACCACGACGACCGGGAGCTGCTGCAGCGGTGGAGTCGCGCGACGACGGTCGGACGGGAGGGCTGCCTGCGATGGCGCGGGCGGCCGGCGTGCCGGAGAGGGCGAGTGGTGCGTCGTTGCGCATGCGGGCGGCTGCGGCATCTGTGTGCTTATTGCATTGGCGTTATGCAGCGCGTACTGTGCACAACGCGCGCCCTGGGCAGCGACACTGCCCGCCGACACACCGCAGAAGAAAGACGAGCTGTCGCGCCAGCGCCCGCCGTCCACCGCGGGCGCGGAGACCTCGGATGTTGGTGTGGCAACAGCGTGACGGGCGCTGGATCGCCTGCGAGCGTGCCTGGAAACACATGCAAAGGCCGGCGTGCGGCCAGTGAGCAGCTGCGGGGCTGGGGAAAGCTGTCCGGTCTGGGCATAGCTCTGTTGTGATCGCTGGCGCTGGCCCCGGCGCGTTGCCAGCCGCGTGCATTAAGCTCCCTCGCCGTACCCACTTCGTACCCAGCGCCCTCTCTCCGACTCGCCGGCCTACTTCAACAGCCCAGTCAATTCCTCGCTACCACTCATCTCACCGTCTCCATCACTCGCTCCCGCCTCCCGCGCCTGCAGCCAATTGCACACCCTTACGTTTCGGCGCCCGAGCAAGCCCATAAGATCGTGACGCTGGCAACCCCAGAGCTCACCTTCTTCATCCCCCCACCCGTGAGATATCCTCCTCACATACCCTCTTAGGAGCCAAGAAGTTCTTTCTTGTCTTCCTTTCGAATTCCGGTTCGGAAGGGCTTCAAGAAGGAACGCCCGACTCCAGTCAATCTGGACTTTGAAGCTCGCGTCCCGATCCCCTTCAGTGTCTTCCCGTCCTCGTATCGGAGTGACGCTGCCAAAGAAGAGGATTCTCAGGTCAAGGTAGAGAGTGAAGTCCACCTCTCAGAAAAGACTTCGCGCGTCGGACGGGAAGGTCACGAAGGTCGCTACTCCGCCTCCGAAGCCCCCTCTGCCGCACCCAGTCGCAAGGAGCAACGCTTCGAAGAAGAAGTCCGCGTCTACGAGAAAGACCGCCACCGACCCTCCGCTCGCCGCGAAGAGGACATCCGCATCCACGAGCGCGACGACCGTCGCTACCCTCAGAGCGAGCGCATTGAACGCGACCGCTACGAGCTAGACATCGAGAGAGAGCGGTAAGTCGCGCGCGTGTTTCTGTTCGCCACATTTCGTCGCAAGCCCCAAAAACAAACGCACAGCACAGCTGGACTCAGGCCGCCAACGGCTCCGCTCGGGTCGGTCGGGAGCCAGGTTTCGTCACCGCGTTAGCGGTGGCCCACACCCGCGGCCCCGTCCGGTCCATCTGAGCTGAGCTCCCTTCGCTTACCCTTTCTGCCTCCCATCTGCCATTGATCGTCACTGACATCTTCCTTCCACACCCACAGCTACCAGGAGCCCTACCAACGGTACGACGAAGCCCAGATCAACGTCAAGGATCGCACCTACGACGTCAACGACTTCCAAGAGCGCACCTACGACCGCGACTACCGCACCGTCCAAGGCTCGCCCAACAACTTCGCCCAGTCGCAGCTTGACGCCACTGAGCGTGACTTCCGCGAGCGCACCCGTCCCATTGCTGACGAGTCCCGCTACGGTCGCGACTTTGAGGAGTCCCGCTTCTCGCAGACTGCGCAGGAGCAGCCCCGCTACGGTGGTCGCGCCCCAGAGGTTGCCGACACCCGTCACCCCGAGTCGGTTCGAGTAGAGTCCACGACCTCTCGGACGACTGTTGACCCGCCCAAGCACAAGCGTGACATGGGATATTACGACGACGAAGGCCACTACCACAGCTTCCGTCACGGTCTTCACAGAGCCGCCGATCGCATTCTTCACCCCATCCACGGCCACAGCCACCACTCTCACCACGACAAGCACGACCACCCTTCCGACAAGGAGGAAGTAGTCATCAAGGAAACTTACACCGCCCCCTCTAAGCCGCGCGTGTCTGCCTCTGCTCCCCCCTCTGCTCCCTCCTCCGCCTTCTTCCCTGCACCCAGGCCTGCCCGTTCCACTTACACCGAGACCGCCCGCACCAGCGCCATGTCTTCCGCCAACACCATCACCGTCCCTTGCCACCACATCCGCATTGGCGACCTCCTGATCCTTCAGGGCCGCCCTTGCCAGGTCATCCGCATCACCACGTCTGCTCAGACTGGTCAGCACCGTTACCTCGGTGTCGACCTCTTCACCAAGCAGCTCCATGAAGAGTCGAGCTTCATCTCCAACCCGGGCCCGTCGGTCATCGTGCAGAACATGCTCGGCCCGGTCTTCAAGCAGTACCGCGTCCTTGACATCCGCGAGGATGGTAAGGTCGTTGCCATGACCGAGACTGGCGACATCAAGCAGGGCCTGCCTGTGCTCGATCAGAGCGGTCTGCTCAAGAAGCTCACCGACTCGTTCGACGACGGTCGCGGTAGCATCCGTGTCCTCGTCATCAGCGACTCGGGCACCGAGCTTGTCGTCGACTACAAGGTCGTCCACGGCTCCAGGCTGTAGATGTCTTGTCAATGGTAAGCCAGCTCGTCACCGTAGCCCTCGGCGACTCGTGCTGATTCAGAGTGCAGGCTTCGACTCAAACTTCTAGACAAGAGTCTTGGATCGCCTCGAACCGAGATATCATTCAACTTGTGTTTATACACCCTTTCTGATTTGCATCAACGGGAGCAGAGGACCCATGCTGCCAAACGACGGCGACTTGGCGTCGTCTTTGGGTCTCGGCTTCTTGGCTACTCGTCGTTGCCTTCTTTCAATCGACGCTTCTTCTGGCTCATTCCTTTAAGACAAAAGAACAAAGTCTACACGGCGTTCCGGCAGCCCAGCCGGCTGCTCATGGGGTAATGACTGGACGGGGGGGGGCCATAACGAAGCACATGCGATGACGGGAATCGCAGGAAACGATCGGCCTGTGGATAGTTAATGAACCTGATGCCTCTATAATCATTTTCCTCTTGTGCCATTGGCCAGTGACGTGGTCGTCATGTGAGAGCGCACGTGCTTGCCCATCAATGCCCATCCCTTCACCGCTGCGGAGGATTTTCGCGGCAACGACGTCAGGGCTACCGCCGCCCGCGTGCTGCACTGGGGAAGCGGCGCAAAGGTCATCGGAGGCCGGATCCCACGGCGCTCGCTACGTATCCGTGGTGTTGTCGGCGTTGCTCGTTGCAAGATCCAGATGTCGCCGTCAGCTCGCCGGATTATGTAAGTGCGATAGCTCACAGCTTGCCGCCCCAGCTTCTACCTACGGCACAGCAGGCGAAGACTTCCCCGCAAAAAGGGCGTTATCCACTCGGCCGCTAAGACCGCGCTACACTCCGCACCATCCCGACCTTTGGTCATCCTCCCTCCAATCGCCGCTGGGCCAATGCCGGAACGCCTTATCCGATGAGCGCCGCACAACTCTTTTCTGTGGTGCGGGGCAGGGCGGGCCCCAGAACACGTCGGTGTGGTAGGATTGTGTTGAGATGGTGGTGGCTTGTGTGCCTTCTTTGGAGTAGTGGGAGACTGGCTGGCGTCGATTTATTGTCGCGCTGATCTCGCTGCCATCTCCGACTGTCGTTAAAAGCAGCTGGCACCGGGTGCCTTGCTCTACAATCTCAATCCACGTCCTCACCTCCTTCCCATCTCGGTCTACCTTCCTCATTCACCCGCCGCATTGTGCGATTGCCTCGCAATACACCACCGCGACTCGCTCCTCCCCAGATACTTTCCCCCAGAAAAGCAGCCGCGGAGCCGCCTCCACATCCCGGCTAGCTCCTCCAGCTCCGCAAAGGCAATCCCGAGCCCAGCTTCCACCTGCCACTCTCCGCTTCTGTATCCCCCGGATTCTCCGGGAGAAACAAACCTATCCAAGCAATCACCACCAGAGAGCAGACGAGCGAACCCGAACACACCACCACTGCCCGAAGCCATGGCACCCGCCCCGGATTCCTCCTCCGCCTCCCCCTTCCCCGGCGACAGCAGCCCTCTCCCACCACCTCTCGCGGCGAAACCTTTCTCCTCCTTCCCGGGCATCCCGCCCTTCCCGGCCGACGTCCCCACCTGCCCGCTCGTACGCGTGTCGCTCGCCCGCCTGCTGCACGGCGATGTCGGCGAAGAGGACGCGCTGTGGCGCGCGTGTTGCGACCTGGGCTTCTTCTACATCGACCTGCGCCCCGAGGAGATAGGGGACGACGACGAGGATGAGGATGAAGCCGAGGTTTTTGTTGGCAGAGGCGGTGCCAGTGGCGCGGTGAGGAGGAGCTCGCGTCAGGTGGAGGTGCATGTGGATGGCGAGCAGCTGTTAGAGGACGCGGATACGTTGTTTGACGTGCAGGAGGGCTTTTTCGATTTGCCGGTTGAGGAGAAGGAGAAGTACGATCTCAGTAGTCAGGGGAGTTATTTTGGGTGAGTAATGGCTTGAGTCTCTGTCTTTTTGAACGCTAAGGTGTGGTTGGTCTCTGTTTTGCTCTATGGAGGGTTTCGCTTGCACATTTGTTGGGACATGTACCCCGTGTCTGGAGGAAGAACACCATACACTGACAGCTATTGCTACAGTTACAAGGGCTACGGCGCTGGCATCATCGACAAAGACGGCACGAAAGACCGCAATGAGTTCTACAACGTACGCCTTCCTCCACTCCCCACTCCCCACCCCCCCTTCGCTCTCGCCAAGCTCTCAGCACCACCCCAACTGACCGCCTTTTCCTTGGCAGATCTCAAAAGACGACATCCTCGGCCGCTCGGCAACGCCGCTACCCGCGCCCTCGATGCTGCGGCCGCACCGCCCCTTGCTCTCCTCCTTCATGCGCGGCTCGCACTCGCTCGTCAACCTCATCCTCCGCATCCTCGACGCCCGCCTGGGGCTGCCCTCGGGCACGCTGCCCGCCCTGCACCGCCTGACGGCCCCGTCTTGCGACCAGGTCCGCTTCGTGCGGGCGCCGCCGCAGCCGCGCGACGACGCCCGCGTGGCCCTCGGCGAGCACACGGACTTCGGCAGCGTGACCGTCCTGTTCAACCGCGTGGGCGGCCTGCAGGTGCTGCTGCCGCCTGGGATGGAGCCGGCGCAACCGTCGTCGTCGTCGTCCTCGTCGTCGGCCACCGCCGGCGTCATGGTCGACCGGGAAGACCTGCAGGACCAGAGGCGAGACAGCGCCAACGCGGTGCCGCCGACAGCAGCAGCAGCGGGCAAAGCGGCGGCGAAAGAGACGTGGGCGTACGTGCGGCCGCTGCCCGGCCACGCCATCGTCAACCTCGGCGACGCCCTCGTCAAGATGACCAGCGGCATCCTCCGCTCCAACATCCACCGGGTGGCGGCGCCGCCGGGCGAGCAGGCGCCGTGCACCCGGTACAGCCTGGTGTACTTTGCGCGGCCGGAGGACGACGTCGTGCTGAGGGTGCTGGAGGGCAGCGAGAGGATCGAGGAGAAGGTGAGGGAGACGGGACAGGTGTTAGGGCGGGAGAGGGAGGAGCGCGCGGTGAGCGCGAAGGAGTGGATCTTGAGGAGGGCGTTGGCGAGGAGGTCGGGTGGGAAGTGGGAGGATAGCACGGGGACGGAGGATATCAGTAGGAGGAGGGGGAATGGAGTGTCGGTTTGATTTGATTGATCGGTAGTGATTTGATGCTTGGTGATTGACGGGATGGTGGTTTGTAAGTACGCTTGCATCGCCGTTGTTTTGCTTACGGCGCATTGTATGTACGGCTGGCTTTTCTGTAAATTGAGTAAATATCAGCAAGGAGCTGTGTATGTATGTGCATGTACATCGAGCTTGGTATCCGCACCATCGTGCTCTTCCAGATTTGCGGATTCAAGGACGGGCTCCACTCTTTTAGACAACGTCAGAGAGAGTACACACACCCGATTACTTACTTCTCTTTGCCAAACCAGCTTCATCCTCTCCTCTCGCTCCCAGCCTCAACCACCCGAAGTCCTTTGTCGCCTTCCACCACCTTACCAACCCGCTCCACGCCAGACTCTCTCCAGGCACACAGACAGACGTCCTCGCCGTCCCACTCGAGGGGCACGCACGTATGTACATACGAAAGATTCATGTGCGGTGCGGGAGGCGAGGGGCGGGCGGATGATAGGGCAGAGAGAGAGAGTGTGTGTGTGTATGTGTAGAGAGGGAGGGGACGGTGGAGGATAGTCGGTTGGCGGATCAGTATCGCTGGCATGCTGGGAAGGAGGTAGGTAGCAAGGTGGTTGGTTTGATGGTTGGGCAAAGCTTGTGCTGAGGTTTGGAGGAAAGGCGGCTTTGTTGTCCGTAGCAATCGTTACGATGCCGTCAAACACTCTGTCTCCTGTGGTATATAAAGGTGGGCTCCTTGGTTTTGTAGTGGAGTATCCAATAGCACAGGAGCAATTCTTCTACCCAGGCGACCCACCATGGCTACCCAAGATCAAGACATGCATGACGTCACTGGGGACACTACCCAGAACACCACTCAAGACGTACCCAACCCCGAACGCATCAATGTCAGGGTAGCGATCGATGTAACCAAAGGCGACGAAAAGAACCGGTATTGGCAATCCCTCAACATTGCTTTCCCAGAAACGTACTTTGACCTTTGCGAAGAGCTAAGGCTATCGCACTGGCGGGTGCAGGCCGTCAGGCAGGAATGGGGGTACAGGGAATCTCAACCTTTTGTATGCTGGGCAGATGTGCCGCGTCAGACGGCAATGAACGCGGATAACTGGGCGAGCAATTTGCGATTGATGTGTCAGCGCAGGAAAGGGGACTACATTCGTCTTGATTCGACGTATTCCTTGGGGGCCGCGGCTTGACTTTCAGAAGTCTAAAGAGCATAGGATTGGAAGGAGATAACCCACCTTGCGTCTTCAAATAAAGTTGCCAACGCTAATCTGTCCCTTCCAACGAATCACCCCCAGCCGTGACAGACTTCCACCACACTCCAACTTGCTAAGCTCTAGCAGGACAAATCATACAAAGGGATTCCATCGCGTCCAAAAACACCGAAGCTGGGCTCCTGGGTGTAGTCTTGGTACGCGTACCAAAAGGTGTTCAGCTGCTGGAACCTATAGGGACCATCAGCTCAGCAAAGCACCTCTGTTCGAACGATAATGACCCACGAAGCGCAAGCGACGGCTTTCCAGTAAGATTCCGCGTTGCCGGTAGAAGCGAAACTGCGCCCGAAGGTCTTGCCCGTGGCCGGCCAGCCCGTCTCCGTGACCCAGACCTCAAGGCCCGTCTTGATCGCGGTGACGGCGGCCTTGGTGTCTGCAATGGCTTTGAAGTAGGTGCCGAGACTCTCCGGAACAGTGACGCCCTGCCAATACGGATACGCGTCGCAGCCGACGAAATCGACGGCGACGACGACAGGCTTGTTTGCAGGATCGACCCTTTTTTTTGTGGCAGACCAAGTCAGCCAGAGACGGAAAGCAGAGAAAGAAGAAAGAAGAAAGGATCAAAAGAGTAATCGATGGCCGCCGAACTCACCACGCCGTCCACGTATCCACATGCCCCACCGCGACGCCCACACCCACGCTCCTCACCATGCCCCTCACGTCATAAATCTGCATCGCCAGCCTCTGCGGGTCCGCCTCCTTGCGATACAGATCTTCGCTGCCGACGCTGATGGCCGTGATCCACGCGCCGCCGTGCGCCATGATGGCGGCGAGCAGCGCCTGCTTCTCCGCCTCGAAGTGCGCTTCGTCCTCGGCCCACACGCCCGCGAGGAGCCGTGTGTCGGTCGCGAGCGCCGCCGGGACGGCCCGCGCCAAGGTGTCGCAGTCGGATGCGGCGAAGACGCGGACTTGGTTGAAGGGGCCGCTGGAGGGGGGGAGGGACGCGAGGGCGCGGAAGGCGGTTTCCCAGTCTGATTGCGTTTTGCAGGAGCCGTCGGGGTTTTCGGCGGCGCTGGAGGAGTGGGGGAAGGGGCGTGAGCTGGTGTGAACGGCGTGTGGAATGGTGAGAGGGGCGGGGGGAGAAGAGGCGGTGGTTACACGTTGAAGCCTCTGAGGCAGGCGTAGCTGGTGGTGGCCATGGCCAGGATTGGGAGAGTTGAGAGCTTCATTCTGGAAGTTAGGGGTTCAAAGACAATGGATCTGAGGTAAAAAACTTTGATTATAGGATCGGACTCGAGAGGATGCTGAGTAGGATTGCTGAGGCGAGGTCAGAAGGGGGGTGCAGTGAGGGTTGGAGATATTGATGACTGCGGTGCCTTAAGAAAAGAGAAAGTGCTATGCTGCATGGTGTTCATTCCTGACGCTCCCAACTCATGGCTGCTTCCCCATAGAATGCCAGCGAGATCGCAACCTGCACTTAAATGGAGCCCATGGTAGGAGCTACCGAAGGGAAATACGAATGAGGCGTCTTGTCTGTCAAATGTCAGTCGTCTTCTCACCTACTGGTAGCCGTACACAATGCAAATCTAATAGCACATGATTAATACATGGGATATCGGATATGACCGAAGATCATAAAGGCAGGAGCAGCAACACAGTATGACTATTCTTGCGCACGGCCCGACGGATGCGGAGTCGGCGGCGGGCGGAGATGGGAAAGAGGCGGCAGAGCGGCACTAGGGCGGCGATAAGATAGCGGCTGACCACGGGCGTCATCGGCCAATTTCCCCACGGCGAAGACTGACTCCTCCGCAACAACCCATTGCGCCACCGACATGACCGCAACGAACGCCAGCCCGAAGCGCCAGGTCACCGTCGGCGTGCTCGCTCTGCAAGGCGCCTTCAGCGAGCACGTCCAGCTGCTGCGCCTGGCCATCGCGAGCCTGCACGCCCGGAAAGTCCATGACGCCGCCGCCGCCGACTGGTCCTGCATTGAGGTGCGCACCCCCGCAGAGCTCGCAACCTGCGATGCTCTGATCCTGCCTGGCGGCGAGAGCACCACCATGTCTCTCGTTGCAGAGCGCTCGGGCATGCTGGAGCCGTTACGGGATTTTGTCAAGTAAGAATCCTCGGCCCTCGGACGCAACCATGACTAACGGATGGCAACCTGCAGGGTGCAACGCAAACCCACCTGGGGAACCTGCGCCGGTCTGATTCTGCTCGCAGAATCCGCAAACCGTACCAAGAAGGGCGGCCAGGAGCTCATTGGTGGCCTTGACGTCCGCGTATCCCGCAATCATTTCGGCCGTCAAACCGAATCATTCACCGCAGACCTCGACCTCCCCTTCCTCCGCACTGCTCAGGCGGTAGAAACCCAGACCGATGAGATGCCTTTCCCCAGCGTATTCATTCGCGCGCCAGTAGTGGAGAAGCTGCTGCCACACATGGATGGTATCCAGACAGAAGAGGCTGCCAAGGAGGAGACCATCGTTGCGCCTTCGAAGGTTCCCAAGGATAATGTTGCACGCGCCGACTTCAACGCATCTGTCGAAATTCTGGCGAGGCTGCCTGGCCGTGCCAAGGCTCTTGGGAAGCCTGGCGTTACTGCCAGCGAAGAGGGCGAGGCGGGCGACATCATTGCCGTTCGACAGGGTAACGTTTTCGGCACAAGCTTTCACCCGGAGCTGACGGGTGATTCCCGCATCCACGCGTGGTGGCTGGAACAAGTTGTCGCAGCATTGGCAAAGCGGCAGAGTCTGGCAGTACGGTAGGGCATTGTGTGTTAATATAAAAAGATAGAACTGGTTTGGCTCACGGCGTTCATGGAGAAGACCTGGGTAAGAACTGTGAAACAAATAGATTTCAGAGGAACTTCTTCCATCTTATACTTGCCGCCCCTGGTTGCTTGGGAAGGAAACGATTCCGACCCCTTCAGGTAGTCACCTGCCGCATCCTCCTCGTGGCTTATAACTTGCCATCTGGATGTAACCCTTATTCCTCGGTAAATGGAGTCGAACCTGCTTGCTGAGGTAAACGCGCACGCACTTGACGCGTGGGCACCCAGCACTTCCCAACCGTGGCCGACTGTTAGATCATAATAGCCAAACCTGAAAAGACTTGACTTCAAAAAACGCCCCAGTGCCCCAAAGATCGCTGGTAGTCTTTGCCAAAGACATTTATCTGTAGTCGTCACGGTAGGGGTCATTGGCCCTTCCCCAGCCACCGCGGCCAGGATCATACTCGTCACGGTACTCGTCGCGGACCTGGCCACCCGACTTGCCACGTCTGGAATCCCGTCAGTAGTATTCCACCGAGCCCAAATGTGATCCCACGTACCCGTATTGACGGCCCTCGGCGAATCCTTCGTCGAGATCGGTACGAATGATGCGCTCATCGAGTTTGGTGCCACCAATGTACTTCATGCAGTCGAGGGCATCCTGATGGCTGTAGTATTCGACGAAGCAGAAACCGCAGGGGGTCTTCTGGTAACGATCCAGGCCCATGACAAGGCGCTTGATCTCACCGCATCTTGTGTCCAATGTCAGCACTGGGGCTGTAATCAGGGCGGTTCGCTACTCACTTGGCAAAAAGCTCATGAATCTGCTCCTCGGTGGTGTAGAAGGACCTGCGCAATCTCAGCATCTGCATTGACGCGGCAGCGGAAACAGTCTCTTACAGGTTACCGACATAGAGGGTAGTCGCATCCTTCAACTTGTCCTCGAAGTCCGGGGTCTTCTCACGCTCATCACGACCCTCATCGTCGGCTGGAACGTATCTCCTCCTGCGTTGCTGTGATAGTCGTGAGCTGAGACGGCCCGGGCAAGGTGCGATTGGGGCGTAGAGGGCGTACCTTGCTGGCAGCGTAAGAGCTAGGCTTGTCGAGCCGGTCGACAGTGTTGCGCGTGGTCTGGCGCATGGTGACGGCACGGTCGGCAGTGTTGCGAAGTGTGTCGGCGCAAGCTTGAAGCTCGCGTTTATTTGAAGCTCAGGCGCCGCAAAGTTTAGCCGCAGAAACGCCGCCGCGCATCACCGTTGCAACTTTCAACAGGCGCGTCTCGTAGAGCTCCTCCGACCACGTCTCGTGCACTGGGCCCACAACCGCAGTCCATTGGAATCCACCATCCGCACGGGACCCGTGACGAGTGCTCGCTCGAGCTCCGCGTTGCCTGACGCGTTGTAGGAGCATCACCTGGACCCCACCTCGTTCGCGCCGCATTCCTGACCTCCGCCCCGACACACCTTCACGCAGCCGCCATGCCCAGGGTCCTCAGCCATACCCCCGCGTGGCTCTCACGTGGCGCCCCGGGCTTCGATGTTTTCGATCACACGTCCTCAAAGTCTAAATCTCCGCGCAAGCTCACCAACGGTGCGAACAAACTGCAGAAGCCCGGACCCAAGCGGACCATCGCGCATCGCGGCAATGAAATATTCGTGGTGGTAGGCGGTGAGATACGCTGGGCGAATCTGCTGCATCTGCGGGAGCGCGGCCTGCCCAAGGACAGACGCGACTTCGGCCGCAGCTGGAGGAGCGCTCGTGGCGACCGCGAGACGTCTGTAGACATGGACGAGGGCCAAGCCTACAGGGTAACATCACGCCAGCATGCTCGACGTCGTGTTGTTACTGACATGTTTTGTAGATCCTCAAATCGAATGTTGCTGGAGCAATCACCGAGCTCTCTATTTCGCCCAATGAGGATTACATGGCCATCTGCACGTCGCACACCGTTCACATCGCCCTGCTCCCCGACTCAGCCCACCTTTCCGCCGAAGATACTGGTCCGATCAAACTCAAGACTTTCCAACTCGGACCCACGGCCCATGTTCTGGATCAGGCTCCCTTGGCCTCCGCGCTATGGCACCCACTCGGAAGGCATGGTCGTTGCTTGGTGACCGTGACTGCCGACGCAAACGTGCGCCTTTGGGAGTTTAGTCGGGAGAACCGCGTCTCTTTCAGCGAGCCTGAGCTGGCAATTGACCTCAAGAAGCTGGCCAGTGGCGTGGATTCGATGGAGGATTTCAGGGCTTCCAGAATCGGCGACAAGACTGGATTCACTCCCGACTCCTTCGAGATGGCTGTCGCTGCCGCTAGCTTTGGCACCAGCGGAAAGAAGGCAGAGCGTGGATGGGGGCCCTTGACACTTTGGATCGCCATGAAGAACGGAGACATCTATGCGCTCTGCCCGCTTCTCCCTAGGAAGTGGCAATACACAACGCAGCACGCCGCTCCGCAGTACTTGCGTAGCTTGGCTTTACCTATTCAATCCCGTGTTGAGACATTGGGAACTTCCGAAGACGAGGAGTTCGAGCAGCAGACTCTCGACCAACAGGCGGAGTGGTTTGAGGGCATCAGGTATGAGCTTGAGGATGACCCCAAGTCTGATGAAGTTGTTGAGGTCTATTCTCGTCCTGCCGCTCCCGGACCCATTCCCAGGCTGCAAGGTCCTTTCATTCCTGATCCAGACCTCGATATCGATCATGAGCTCACGGATATCATCGTCATTACCTCCGGAGAAGGCGATTCGGATGAGCCAGAGCAAGTTGATACCGCTGGCGACATGGAGGACCCGAATGTCACCGTCATTGGCGTCGTCACTAGCCAAGGGAAGATGCACATTTTCGTTGACTTTGACGGGGTAGAGGGGCAGTGGCTTCCAAGAGAAAAGGTGATTACTTCAGCAGTCTATCAATGGCGCATATTTGCTGACTTATCAAACTTAGGCCACTACTATAATCCCGAATTACGACTGCCCGCCTCTGGTCTACTTCGAGACGATCGAATTTCAGACGTCAGAAGATGGAGAGCCTTCCTGCAACCCAATCATCACTGGGGACGCTAAAGGTGGCTCATCCGTGTTTGTCTCAACCGAGACGGGCGTCTATTATGTGAGCCTGACAGCTTGGTTCCGACCTTTGCAGGATGAGCTCAGCAACCCCGCATCAGAAGGTGCGGGTATGAGGATTGACGCAATCATGAGGGGATCTGGAAGCCTTCTCGAGAGCATCATCCAGTACCGTCAGGATCAGCACGGCGATCTGTTGCAGTCCACATCAGCCTGCATCGCGATCTCCAACTCGGAGCTGGGGTACTTTCTGCTCACGTCTGAAGGGTCTCAGCCGCATTCCGTGGTCCTCGACTCGCCCGACTCGGACTACTACGGGGACGGCTACGGGCTGATTCCATACGGTGGCGACTACGAGGCAGAGCGGCTTAACATCCCGGAGCCGTGGCCGGCCTATCAGCCTCCGCAGTCGCTGTTCGACTACCAATCACAGCTACCAAAAATGCTCGACGCCGTCCCTGAACGCCACAAGTTCATGCTCAAGCAAGAAATCCGCCTTTCGACTGCTACGCTAGACATTCTGACCAAGGCTCACCGCGTGCTTGTCAAGGAGACTCAGCAGCTAGGCCAGGCCGCGTCCAGCCTGTACACGCGTTGCCAGCGCCTCCAGGACGAGCTAAGAGATCAGATCCGCAAGGCCAACGATGTCGCGAATCAAATCGAAGACGTCACGGGCGAGGATGACGAGGTACCGGAAGGCGAAGACAGAGAGACGGGCAGCGCCAAGCTCGACGGCAGGATCGAAAAGGTCCAGGCAAAGCAGAAGGAGCTGATGGAACGGACGGAGCGGCTCCGCAACAAGCTGAACAAGGCGGGCACCAGGGAGCTCAGCGACAAGGAGAGGGCTTGGTTCGTCGAGGTGGACAAGATGAAGCAGGCCATCAACGCCAACGCGGCGGCGCGCAACGGGGCGGACGAGGGCGAAGCGGAGCCGACGCCGGTGAGGCGCTTGCAGCAGGTCAAGGAGCTCAAGGACGATCTGCTCCAGCAGGCAAGCGAGCTGCAAGACACGGTGGCGGAAGAAGCGCCCAGCACGGGGGTCCAGGTGCCCAGCGAGTTCCGCAAGGCCAAGGTGAAGCAGATTATGGAACTGCTGGAACGCGAGACTGCGATGGTGGAGGCGGCTACGAAGAAGCTGAGGAAGCTGACTGTGGGTGCGACGGGATACTGAGGAGAGGGAGGCGATTGGTGTACTGCTCGGGTTTGAGCAACGGCATTATTGGATGTTGGGAGGCGATGTCGCTTGGAGCAGAAAGGCCGTCTGAGATACCTAAATGGGAAATAATACCAAGCTGTTTGCGCCCAGAATGCGGCTGATTGGTGCTAGCAGCGGAGTTAAGAGCGACACGTAGGCGGTGGACGCAGCTTCTCCGAGCTGGGGTGGTGGTGAGTGCTGGGATGGCGGAGCGCTTGGCCGAAGCTTGGGCGCCGGCGCCGTGCTCGAGGGTGGCGGTAGATGCGGTACCTACGTAGTAGATGCGGCCATCAAGGCCCAAGGTCACATCACAATGCCGTGACACGGCGGAAGGCGCGCGGTAAGGCGCAAGATCACACGGCGCTCAGAGGGCGAGGCACGGGAGGGCAGAGGGTGAGAGGTTCGAGATATGGTGGGTGCCTGGGTCGCACGCAGGCCGGGCAGCCGAAGCGCCGGGCGCTTAGAAGAGCAGCGACCATCACACTTCCCCGGGCAGGCGCAGCGAATCAGCGGGCGCAGCGGCGGTGCTCGCTCGACGCTAGCACGGGCGCGGACTGGCGCTCCCGGCGGGCCATGACGGCGTTTGCAGACGCGCAGCGCTCGTTGGCCAGTCGCTCTCCACCGTCCCTGTGCCGGCAATATGCAGGGCGTGCGGCCATTCGCCAGGCCGAGCTCCGCTTTGCCCAGCTGCGCCGTGCTGACAGCTGCAGAACAGCGTGCAGCGCTGCCAATGGCGCCGCCCCCCGGGAGCCTGGCCGCTGCAAATCGATGCGCAAAGCTTGTTGCACCCGCGCGTGCGCCAGCCGTTTCCATTAAGACGCTGGCGCCCAGCTTTCTTACTTCTTCGCAGCTCAAGCATCGAGGTCTCGAGTCCAAACGCCCCTCCAGCTGCCTGCCTCGCGCATTCCGCCCCAGGATCGCCCGCCTGAAACCGCGAAACCGCCTTTTCTCTGAGCAATCGCCATGCTACGGACGCCACTTATCGCCATCGCGGCGCTGTGGTGGAGCAGTCTCGTCGCCGCCCACGTCGTCATCACCTATCCCGGCTGGAGGGGGAACAACCTGCACACCAACGGCACCAATGCAGACGGCTCTATCCCCACCGGCTCGTTAGGCATCGACTTCGATTCGAACAATGGCACCCGCGGCTACCCCTATGGCATGCAGTGGATGTATCCATGTCAGTACTCGCCACCCGCGCAGGCTTCCGTGTCGACTGATGGCTGACTTCTCTCTCCAAAGGTGGCGGCCTGCCCACGAGCACCAACCGCACAAAATGGCCCGTCAGCGGCGGCGCAGTTGGCTTCCAGCCCGGCTGGTTCTCCGGGCACAAGACTGCGCTCCTGTTCGTCAACCTGGGCCTGGGCACCGAGCCGCTCAACATGTCGCATAACATGGTGCCCATGTTCTCCATCAACGGCCCCACCAACGACATGTATCCCGGATCCGTCTGTCTCTTGCAGGTGCCGCTGCCCGCGAACGTCTCGGTGAACGTGGGCGACAACGCGACGATCCAGGTCGTCGAGATCGCGCAGCACGGCGCCGCCCTGTTCAGTGTAAGTACCTAGAGATGATGGCCGGAACACGGCCCGGGAAGCATCATTCTAACCGGCCTTCTCAGTGCGTCGATATCACGTTTGCGGAACCGCACGACGTTGCCGAAGTCAACGAAACCAACTGCGTCAACACGACCGGCACCGACTCCCTCATCACGTACGACACCGTCTTCACCGCGTCGAGTCTGAGCGCCGCGAGCTCTCTGTTCCACACGAACGCCTTCATCGCGGCGCTACCGACAGCTGGCGCGCTCCTGTTCGCGTTCCTCATGCTGTAAATGCCTTCTCCACCATTCTAGGGCTGGACCTGTTAGGAATGGGGGGAACATAGTATCTCCCGTATTGTTTAGTGCGATGGTGGCGGAAGAAAGAGAAAGTCGGTTGGGGCACGCCGACGCAAGATTTGATACCTCTTTTTTTATTATCAGTATCTTTTCTTTGGTTTTTATGTTTGGCAACGAAGCGGCCAGTTTCGGTACGCTTGGAAAATACCCGGCTCAAACTGTACATACGTATGCCCGACGACGGCAGGGCGTCAGGGTTCTGATGGTTGCGAAAAGATGCGACGTTAACGCGGAACGGTCTCGAGATAACATGGACATCTCGTTAATTGATATGGCGGACACTGCGTCCGCTCTCCAATCACAACCATGCCAAGAGAAAAGATGATTGACAAGCCGGCGGCGAGGCAGGGTACCACAAGCGCTGCGGGCTACGTCATGGGCCATGGAACCGGTCCCGAAAAGCACATGCACGGTGCTCGGCGCTTCCTCGCCGACGCCGCCCTTTTGTTCCGCGATCTTCAATCCCTACTGCCCCTCCAACGAGCTTCCAGTCCGTCCGTCCGTCCGTGAGCTGTCGCGTGAGCGAGAAAAAAAGCTTGTTGCCCACACTACTGCTGCTCTCTCATGATTCATCCGGCCACCCCGCATCCACGGCGAGAAATGCGCGGCAGGCGGCCTTGAAAATTACACTTTGGAGAAACGCTGAAAGAAAGGCCGGCACGCCCTCAGACACGCCGCCAGACCCCGGGAAGGAGATCAGTTGGTCGGGAGGCAAAGAAGGCAGCAGCGTTTCCGGAAACAGCCAGGGATCCTCGCCGTTTGGGGCAGGCAACAGCACCGTTTTTCCCCATCTTTGGACTCCGGCGCCAACGCGATTGTAGCACCAAACATCGGCCATCCCCGCCCTGGTGCGATCTAAACACCCGCTCCGAGATCCGAAATCCCGTCTGCTAAATACGGCACTGCAGGAGGGGAAACGAGTCCGCTCTCGGCTTTTCGGAGCCACCCTGCACGGCGATACCTTGGCCCCCGTTTCATTATCATTTGCTACTCTACTCCACTTTCCTCCGGGGGGCCCAGACCATCGTGGGCACAGAGAGGATTATTGAAAAATAAGACCAGGGAAAAGATAAAGGAAACTCGGCCGGGGTTCGCCGCACGTACCCTCTCTTTCCCTGCGGAAAGCCGGCAGGGAAGGTAGCATTCCAAGACATCCACCGCCTCTTCACCCCACGCACGCGAAACGCGCGGATAACTTTCCCTCCTTCTCATTCTCCCCCCTCCTCTTCCTCCTCCCCCGCACGACCCGGATCACACGCCTGGTCTTTCTTACATGGCTACGATGCCGCACAAGATCGACGACGCCGACAGCAAACCTACCGAGGGCATCATCACCACCACCGCCGCTACGACAACAGCAACAACAACCAAGACGACAACAAACGACACCACGAGCCCCACCAACGACATCCCCACCACCCCGACGCCGACGACGCCAACGCCAACGCCAACGCCGACGACGACGACGCCCGCCAAACCCTCGACAGCCCCCTCCCCCCCCTCCTCCACGAGACCAACCCCGACGACGACGACCACGACCACCACCCCCCAAAACCGCCACACCACCAACGCCAACACCTCTTCCTCCTCCACCGCCCCACCCAAACGCACCACCATCCCCCTCGCCGACGGCTGGACCCTCGTCAGCACCACAAAATCCCACCACCACCGCCAATTGAAGAACCGCCGCAGACAAAACCGCAAAAACAAAGACGGCGACGACGACGACATGCAGCAGACGACGACCACCAGCACCACCACCGGTGGAAACGGAGGAGGAGGAGGAGGAGGAGGAACAGGACGCGGTGGATACTATTCCAGCCCGGCGGAGCGGCTGCGCGCGGCGCACGAGCCGGCGGGGCCGGCGAAGCGCATGCCCGGGGTGGGGAAAGAGCGGTTGCTGGAGCGGCTGGGCAAGTTTCGGGAGAGGTGGGGGGAGTGCGGGTGTAGGAGGGGGATCGGGGGGGTGTTGGGGAGGGCGGGGGTTGTGGTTGGTGCGGGTGGTGGTGGTGAGGGCGAGGATGGGGAGAAAAGGGAGGAACGGGAGGGGGAAAGGGAGGACGGGGAGGACGGGGGCGGCGGCGCCAGGAGGAAGCCGGTGGGGATACGGAATGCGGTGTGCATCGGGTTGGGGAGCTTGAGCGTGGATAACGTGGCGGCGGGGGTGAGGAGCATGTGGCAGCTGGTGTGCTTTTTGGATATCGTGGGCATGTTGAATGCTGGTGGTGGCGGTGGTGCTAGTGGTGGTGGTGGGGACGGTGACGGTGGGGTCAAGATGTATGCGGAGGATCCGGTCTTCAACGATCTGGACGTCGAGGTCTTCGAGGAGCTGGGCATCACGGTCGTGCAGGGGTTGAGGAGCACGGATGGCAGCAGGCAGGAGGGTGCGGCGCAGTTCATCGAGCCCGACAGCTTCGTCTTCGCGCCCTTCATGCCGAGTTTCATGGTGCTGGAGGATTTCTTGGCGGACAGGGACCCCGCGATTTATGTCGGGAACGACGTGCAGGCTACGCTTGAGTTGGCGAGGAGTCAGGTGCGGTACAGGTGAGTCTTTTTTTTTCTTTCTTGCTGGATCAGCGGCCACCACCGTGGAGTCACGGCTGCTGACGCAAATTTTTTTTGAGCAGCGGAGACGTCGATGAGCGCACCAGGAGGTGCATCAGGGTTGCTGAGGAGTTCCTCGCACAGGGGAGGGAGGTCGTGACGCTACCCGAGTTCGACCTCCACGAGCACGCTCTCGCGGGCCAGATGATCTATTGGAGAAAGCCAGCCGAGGAGTCGTAGGTCTCGGTCAGAGTGTGCATATTGAGTGTGCAAAGCCCAAAGGTTTGTAGAGACGATTTGCAAGTACGGACGTCAACGTCTCTTTTTTAGTTCCAGCTCGCCGCATATACCCCCCCCCCTCAGCATAGCAATACGGAAAGGTAAGAATCTCCGTTGGTCACGGTGGTAGTCTGGGCTAACGATCTGTGTGTAGAGGCGATGATCAAGATTGAAGTACGACAAATAATAACTCCAAATGAATCATAAAATCGTCAAACATGAGCAATCCGGCCTCCGGTAAGGAAGAGAGTGCAGACTTGGGGAAGAAAAAGAAGAAGAAGAAGACGAAGAAGAAGAAGCTCTCTGGACAAGAAAGCCATTCACGAGACACCAAGAAACAGGAACGATCAACGCGTGGTCGGGCTGCCGTCACTGGAACCGTTGAAGTTGGAGATGAAAACAACCAGCACGGCGCAGTACGCAGCAGAGGCGCCGAACAGCTCGTGGCGTTTGGCTTTGGTCAACAAGGACATGGCCGCCGAGAAGAGAAGAGTAAAAACCACGAGAACTCCGATTGCCCGGAAGGTCGAGGGGCGATCCCCGATACTAGTAAGCTCGTACATGAGGACGACGGGCAACACTAGCAGAATGAATATGATGAAAGTGATGATGACGGCGACGAAGGTTTCGACTCTTTTGGCGTCGTAGTAGTGGACGTGTTTGTCTTTTGACTTCTCGGACAGGAGACGAGGCTGGAAGATCCACTGAAATGGAATAATCAGACTTCCGGCCGGCAAAAAGACCGATCACTTACTCTGATGGGTTTGCAGTCGATTCTCGTCAGCAGCTTCTCGATCAAGCCGTCGAAGCCCGCCCATTCTCTGCCCTGGCGAAGGGTAAGCATGTCCTCTTGGTGCTGCAGAGAGCGCCACTCTCGCTTGATCAACGGCTTCCAGTTCATAAACCACGTCGTGACGCTCTTGTAGTCGCGCTTGTTCGGACGCTGGAACGTCGCCGTCTCTCGGGCTTTGATGAGGACTTCGTCTGCATGCAGCACACACCACGAATTCGTTTTTCGTCAGCGACACACACACACACACGACGACACAAGCGAGCATCAATCGGGCAGAGTCACGAACCATAATCTACCAATTTCCCCCGGATCTCGGTCAGTATCTGCCGCCGGGTTCGGACGCCGTCGTCCTCTCGCGCTTCTTTCCCTGCTTCCACGTCATCCCTCTTTCGTGATGTGAGACGCCTTTGCCCCTTGGCACATGTGGCGTCGTTGTCGTCCTTGGTGCGCAGCTCTTGCTCCAGCTCCGAGAGCTCATATTGGAGGTCCAGGAGCACGCGGGAGTGCAGGTAGTCGAAACTGCGGTAGATGCTGAAGGCGGGATCGCTCGATTGGAAGGCTGCGAGCATGGGATATCCCTCTGGATGGGCCTCGACTATAGGGGAGGGGAAAGAAGTGTCAGCGCATAATTTTTTGCGCGATAGAACAGCTCTCTGTTTATTTCCCCATCAGGAAGCCAGCTGGTGGAAACTTGCCTTGATGATGGATCGTTTCGAAATCGGGTAAAGCCTGTGCAACGACAATGATTTAGTAGCCTACTTTACGCTCGAGCTTCCGTTCCAAGATCGTGATGAACCTTTTCACTGCTTTTCTCGTTTAGGATAGGCAGATTCACGACAGTGGTGGCTCGGCTTTGGGGGCCGTCGATGTTCAAAACGCAGTCGCCGGCGGTACAGGTGGCGGATGATCGTCTGGGCTCAACCTCCGACGAAACGTCCGCCTGATTGGCTTCGTCGGCCATCCTGAAACATTGAGCGGGAAAAAAGGAGGAAGGCCAAAGTGGATTCTGATTACTCTAGGTAGCTGAGGCTGTGCCTACTGATAAAGGTCCTTCGGCCTTGTGCAGAAGCTCCGGCTGAGGGGAGCCTTGTCCCATGTCGCCTGACCGGTTATGCATGTACCGCGGCCGGGGTCTATCTGTGCAAGGGTGTACAGCCCGATTGTTGCGCCACCAACCAAGAGCAGGCTACACAAGCTCCATATCCTTCTCTTTAACCCATTCGACCTCCTCATTGCCAACCATCTGCTTGTAGACTTCCTTTTCGCCCTCCTTGATCACCTGGTACTCGTACCCTCCATCTTTCTTGTTCCACCGGTCATCGTGGACCGTGTATTTCTCAGGCTTTCCGTTTATGCCCGTCGCCATAGTCACTTCATCGCCTTTTTCGAACTCTGGATTCAGCTCCTAGATGCGTTCTCAACATGCGATTTTTCAGCCATCAAAGTCGACATTTGTACTCACTTTTGGATTCTTCGACTTGTCTACATGCGACTTTTGCGGGCCATCGCTCTCCTGATACACAACGGATATAGTCAGCCCTCCATTACCATAAGGTGTGACAAACGCGGGTATCCGAAACGATAGTGTACCTTGTCAGACATTGTCGATCCGGATGCAGAAGGCTATGATATGCGGTTCGGCTTTGCAAGGCGGATTTGCCAAGTTTGTGTGTTGCGCGAATTTTCGTGAGTGGATGGGAACAAGGCTGGTCTTGACCTTTCGCCCGGATGTTGGAGCCTTCACTGCCCTTTCCTTCAGGATTGGACGGAGCTTGGTTTTGCACCAGCCTTATGGGAGCTAGCCCCCCTTCTTATAATGCCGGATGTCTGGTCGATGAGGCTCAAACGCCCCACAAACGCGGCGGTTGGACACATCTTGCACGTGGGTGATCGCCTTGCGTTTGCATGGATCACGATGTGCGTCTGGTTAGATAGATCTATTACGCAGGCCCGTTTGAGTAGCAAAAACAAAACAAGTCGACGCCATGAGTGATCGTAGATGGCTGTGTTGCTGCTTCTTGTGTGCCAGGTCCCTACCTCCACTTGAGGCGTGCGCAGCCTCGCAGTGGCGCGACAATTCCAACGAGGCGCAGTCCCGTGCATCGATCGGGACAGCCATAAAATTTGAGAGCTGAAAGGAGCTGAGAAGGTTACTTGGTGTTCCCAAATTATTCGGCTGAAGCAACGGTGGAGGATCGAGTCTTTCTTTTCGGCTGCAGAAGACGAACCCCGCATATCCGTTCTCCAGCCTTGTGTGGACAGGTGGCCAACGTTACTGCCTCCATTTCCAGTCAGGGGCTGTTATTACTCTAGTGGCGAACGAAGAAGAGTTAATACAGCCTCATGCACTTGTGCTCGCTTTAGCTATTCTCGCGCCTTGATGAAAGATGTGCGAGAGACGAGGCACTGAGTGGATTCGACCGCTTGCACCCGATATACATACGGAAGAATGGCTGGCCCGAATGCTACTTCCACATGACGGATGCGCAGCAGCATGTGGGTGCATCTGCACGAGACTGATGTGGTAGTCGCTTATGGATGGTGGTTGGCGGGAGATTGCCCTGATTGGTGGCCGCGGCAAAAGCAGGCAGCAATAATGGTAAGCAAAAGGCAAACAATGTGTAATCAAGCCTTGTCGGGTTTCCTTCCAGACGCGGGGTGGTGAGGGCATATGTTTGCAGAAGCGCGAAATGCTTTTTCCTCTGACCACTTCCACCCATTTCGGGCGCAGCCACATGTTCTGTGGCTTCCTTCTGCAGATGACGTGAGCGGGGGCCGTTCCGTAGTGGGATGCCATCTGCGCCTCCTTCGGCTCTGTGGATTGAGAGACCAATGGGGAGCACGCGCTCAGCGCCTTCTAAATCTATGCCTTGTGGGCCAAGCTCAGAGCCCGTCCGAGAGGGTGTGCAGCAAACTCACGAATAGACAATGGCACGGGATGCCTTATCCTTTGGGGCTTGAGGCGACCACCATCAAAGAAACGCTGGTCAGGCAAAGAAGGCTTGGACGTGACGATTCCTTCTAGAATAGAAACGCCTGACCTTGGGCTGCGCCATTCACCGCGCCTCCACAAACCAAAAGCTGCTGGGTCCTTGCAGGGGCCAGCGAGACTTTGCTTAAGTCGTCAAATAAAAGTGCTGTCAGGCGACGTGGTTGTATGCCTTTCAGATATCGTTTGTCTAGCATAGGTCAGCCCTGCCTTTCCCTACTTGTGCACTTGCGCGCAGATACCGCCAACCTTATCGTTTATCCACAAATCATGATCCCCAGAAGAGGTTCACCATACGCAGCCGCTAATGCACCTTTGGCCATGCTCCGCCGACGCTCCGATACCCAGCCCATGGGACCGCAACGGGCTGCTTCAACCCGAGAGGCTGCGGCACCTGTGGCGCACAAGCCATCTGTATCGAAAACGGAAGAACGTGAGACCAACGAAAAACTCCAAGAGCAGTGGAGCGATGCGATATGTAGGAATATGAATTTGCCCAAAGGCTATGCGCAGGTTGCAGTGCTTATCGTCAAGTGGGCCGAGCACCTTGACGAGCTTAGAACTGCTGAAGAAGTCAGTACCGTTCTTTCAGTATCCCAAGATCTATGCTTACATCTCATCCGTAGGTGGAAAAATTAACGGAGGTCTTCCGCGATGACTTCCACTACGTCACAGTAACGGTTTCATTGGACGACAATTCGTCACCACAACACCAGCTTGTCCATGAAATCACCGGCTTTCTCAAGCACTTTGACGACCCGAACAACTTGCTGATAATCTATTACACCGGCCATGCCGGCTTCGACGAAGACACTGGTGAGCTGGAGTTCTACGCGTACGTCGATCCGAAATCGGAAGAGGCCTTGCTCTAACGAATGCACAGAAGGAAAACGTCGGAAGACATACCAGGAGCCCGCTATGCCGCTCAGTGTGCAGGGTGGAACTCGGCGGAAAGCCTGTTCTTGCAAGGCACACAAGCCGATACCCTCGCGATTCTGGACACGTGCTATGCAAGCAACGTCACCAAAGGGGCACAGGACACTGGAAGAGCTTACCAGCTACTTGCCGCCAGTGGGCCTGGTAGAATGACAGCAGGTCCGGGCCGCAAGTCTTTCACTACCGCCATGATCGAATCTCTCAAAGAGTGCCTCAACGAGAACGGACATAAGCCCTTTAGCCTGTGGAAGCTGAGCTCCAAAATCAACGAGAAGCAGTACCGGCGGCAGAATCCTTGCTTCCCGCATGACAGGCTGAAGAAGCACGACCGGCAGATAGAACTGGCGCCCCTCAAAGGGAAAAGGTCGGAAAGAGACGAGAACAAAATGGCCCTGATGCAGAGGACTAGCGCCGCTGATCTGACGTTGCGTTTTGCTCTCGGCTCCAAGTCATTTACCCGGGAACACATCGAAAAGCTAACGAGGGAGCTGCCCAAAGCTTATGAATCTGCCGGACTCAAGCTGCAAAGAATCGATTGGGTAGGCCTCGAGGAACGGCCGCCCATAGACTTCAGGAGCACGGTCACTGCCTTCAGCGTTGCGCATCGTTGGTTGCAAAGGGCCTTGCCAAACCGGAAGAGAAGTGCCAGACTTCAAGAGGAGCCATTCAGGGTTGTGACCGATGATCTCCCACCCCCCCGAGAGCTTCCACAGCCCCATGGCGCTTCGACCAATGTTGAAACGGCCGCGCTCAATAACACCGAGCTCGACAGCATGCATGCCGAAGCTACCCCGCCGGCACTGGAAAGAGGAACCCACCGCCAGGATCCTGATGACTCAAACTTGGATGCAGTCCCCACGCCGCCAAGGGAGCAGGCCGTGTCTGATAAGATTGGGAGCGTTGCTCAAGTTACGGCGGCAGTGATCGGGATGGGCCTCTTGTCCTGCGTGACAACGGTTCTCTGTACACGCGCAGCGCTCAAAAGCTTTCGGCTGTGATGTTCGGTCGGGCCGCTGAGGTCAACTGGCTTATCTCTGGCTTGAAACTGTGTGGCTTCCAAAAGATTTAAAGGATTGGGTTCGATTCGTTTGACGCATTGATTGCATAGAGAACGGTAGACATGGTCTTGCGTCTCTGCGATTACACCCTTGGATAATGTCTGCCTTGATTTTTCTGCTGGTGGGTCTCGTCTCAGGTCTTTTATCGGTGCTTCGCTGGCGTTGGACACCCCGGAAGGGGAAGGGAATTGCATGCTCTCTATGGAGCTTAAGGTTAGTGTAGGAGGTAATTGAGAAGCCCTGCAATGGAATGGGTAGGCGCCGCACGCATTGCTGATGAACATCGTCCGGTATTTCCCTGCCTTGGGGGCTGATGTCCGGCCAGGCTCGTCTCAGGCCGATTTTCTTACCTGTGCTTCGCCTGCATTGGACCACAAGCGCGGGCCACCGGGTGCTAAAGCTCTTCCGCAGGCCGGCTTGACGCTGTGACCGGCGCGCTAAGGCCACTCCAGACAATCTCCGTCTACAACGGTATCCTGACAGCGCGTCAGGTGAGAGCTGCCAAACCTGTCGCTGTGGACGGCCCAGACCAGTTGGCCGTTGCGTGCCTTGTCTCGAGGGGAGGAGGTGTTGCACCGTCCTCAACTCTATTCTGCTCGCCTGAACTCGGCCTTATCGGCGCGCGGGGTGTCTTCGCGGCCGGCGGTCCACGGCATCGGCGCTAATGGTTGCTGTCAAGTGCGGAGAAGAGACGGCGCAGCGCTCACTCGGGGTCCGGGAGGACATGCATTGCCGCAGTCACCAGCGAGCTTTGACGACGATCAGCTTCCTGAGTTTCGTTTCGAGTCAGCGGGGCCGTCTCAAGTGGAAGTCGGCGCAGATGCTTCGTTGGCGTTGGAAGCCCCAGGCAGGGGCGAAGGTGTGGGGTCGGCGTCTTGAGAGAGCGAAGCAGACGTGAACAAATCAGCAGGCGGTTGACTCACCCTCCCCAAAACGGCAACTAGCTGGAGTTTATTCTTGCGCGACCCTAGATGGGGAGTGTAGTGACCATGGATGAGGCGGTTACTGCAATTTACTGGCCGTGTTGGCGGAACCCTTAAATGATTAGCGCGTATGACGCAGGGCGCTGCAGCGGGCGGGAGCGGTCGGGGAAGCAGCGGTGGTCCGTGACTTCCCGGCCGACGAGAATGAGAAATCCTTTGCCTTCTCTCCGCGTGCACCCTCTTGTCGTCACACCACAACTCTCCCTCCCCCATCTTCCCCCGTCATCCGGCCCACCGTTCCCCAAGGAGCTCAGCCCTAGCTATATTGCCCGACCAGGCCCCAGAGTTGTCTCGCCTCAGTTCGCCTCCCATGTCCAGCGTATGACATAGCTCCGACAAACCCGGCACGCGACCTTGTCCACCAACCTCTCGTCATCCGCGCACCGGCCTCCGACAGCGCGAGACCCTTGAAAACTTCGCGCTGCCCTCTCTCCGTTCCCAACCATGGCTTTCAACTTCAACTGGTCGCCGCTGATCGCGGATACCTCGCGCGCACGCGAGATGCTGACGGCCGCGCTGAACAAATCGCCCAAGCCGCCCATCATCGTCGACGACATCATTGTCACGGAGCTGAACCTCGGAGCCGTTCCGCCCGAACTGGAGATTCTTGAGATAGGCGATCTGGCTGAGGATCGCTTTCGTGGAATCTTCAAGATGACCTACTCCGGCGACGCTTTCCTTACCCTGAAGACGCGCGTGCAAGCGAATCCTTTGAACACCTACCTGTCGACAAAGCCGAACTTCGCATCACCACAACCTCTCGCTGCCTCCACAGGCTTGACCATCCCTCTACAAATTACCCTCTCCGATATTCGCCTCTCTGGATTCGTAATCCTCGTCTTCTCCCGCCACAAAGGCCTCACTCTGGTCTTCCGAAACGACCCCCTCGAGTCGCTTAAAGTGTCTTCCACGTTCGATACCATACCTTTCGTGCGGGATTACCTACAGAAGGAGATTGAGAAACAACTACGCGTGTTGTTTATGGAGGACCTTCCTGCGATCCTGCACCGCCTGTCCTTGCGCTTGTGGTCCCCGGAGTACAGGGAAATGGATGAAATGATCAACAACGCAAAGCGCAGCGGAACCGACACTCCCGCTCCTGTAGACCCATTCGCAAGCCCTCCACAGGACCCTGTCGACTTGTACGGCAACCCCCTTGACGATGGTCAAATATCGTCCTTTTCCTTGGACTCGTCCTCCGAGCTTCATGCGTCCTTCTCGCAGAAGAACCTGCTTCGGCTTGCTACACTCAACGACTCACACCGGACACTGTCTCTTTTCACTCCCTCGATTCGCGACACAGTTTTCCGCGCTTGGGCAAGCAGCGCGGATCGGGCCGAGACCTCAGGTGCACACACATTCCACCCGCTCACCTCGTCGACTCTTTCGCGCGTGCATTCTTCTTCTGGCGTCGCGTCGCCGAGCTCGGCCAGTGTTTCGGATGGGACAGACAACGGAAGCACACTCTCGCGACCCACTCTCTCGAGCTCAAACTCTACATACTCCGGGTTGGGTCTAGGAGGTGGCAGGTCGCGCGCGCACGCGCAGAGGAAGGCGAAGAGGAGAGTGGTCAATCTGCGCCGCAACAAGAGTGCTGCAGACACAAACAGCGTTGGAACCGACAGCCCAACGCCAGAGCCGAGCGTGGGAGCCTCGGAGGGTTCGTCGGTCATCCCTGAGGAAAGAGAGGAGGACCTCATGACGCCCCCGACGACGCCTCCGCGCGAGTCCGGGCGACGCACCCGGGAAAACAGCATGGAAAAGTCGCCAGCGCCAGCGACTGTCCCCTCCGCCGCGGCGTTGTCGAAGCTTCAGGAGAACGAACAGGACTGCGCATCTACTGCCAACGCTCCGTCATTTTCTCGCCCTCAAACCCAGCACTCGGCTGCGTCTTCGCTTCCGCTCCGGTCTTTCCCGAGAGACGTCAAGGCGCCTTTTGCGCACGCTTACAACCCATCGGCGCCATCCAACGCTCGACTCCAAGGCTCGGCGCTTCCGTACAGTGAGGCGGCGACGTCGGGTGGCATCCTGGAGCAAGCGTGGATGATGAAGATGGCCAATGAGATCGCGCGTAAGGTGCGCGACGAAAAGGAGCGCGAAGCCCGCGAAGGTAGCGGTAGCACCAATCCGATGACGGGTTTCTGGGACCGTCGCGAGGAAGAGCTGGGAGCACCACCGGCCTACGCGGCCTAATTTCTTTGCATATCTCCCTACGCGGGGGCTCACGACTCACGATCGTTTCCTAACATTTTTGTACTTCTACTGTTCGACAAGCAAGCAAGAGACGGAAAGAAGAGGCCGGCTTGTACAGGACAAAAGTTTGGGTGGAATCTGTTGATCAACATTCGGGTTAGCGGGTGGTTTCACGCGCGAGAATTCTTCTTGGCACCGCGCGATTGGCGTTCGTTTTGCAAGTTTCCCTGATTTTTTGATACCCTTTGGGAGAACGGCGGGAAAGGAGGTGGCGGTCAGTAGCGCGCGGACGGCGGGTGAATACATAGTGCAGCATAAGCACCTAGACTGTATAATCACATTCCTTTGTCGACACAAGCTCAAACAACGACAGGTTTGTTTCGCGTGCAATGTGCGCGATCTGTGACGTTTGACGAGCGGGAGCTTGGACTGGCAACGGCCAAGTCACACGGACTCGGGCTGGGCAAGACGGCGGGCGGGGATCTGCCTCGTGTAGAGTAGGGGTGTGTCGCGGCAGCCGGCAGGGGTGGCACTGCCGGCAATGACGCGGCAGTGCCGACAGCCGTTTCGCGCTGCCGGCAATACGGTTTTTACCCCTCACCTAATTTGGCAGGGCGTCTGTAAATCGGCGCAACTCCTAGCCGTCTTACTAGAACGGTTTGTCTAAGCGTGTGCCCTGCCTTATAAGCGGATATTCGCATATAAGCCGATTATTTATAGTATTAAGAACTATTATATATAATCCTTTTCTTATTATCTTATTCTTTACCGCTTATATAACTTATCTACCTACTAAATATATTATACGTTATTATCTTATATAGATTACTACGATAATAGTACCGGCGAGGGTACTACTTACCGAGAAGGCTAATATAGCGGTAGTATCTACGGCGAGGACTACGATAAGGGCTATAGCGACGCCTATAACGCCTACGAGGCTTACTAAGTAGATTATAAATTCGCTAGAACCTCCGTTTCTCGTATAAATTACTAGAAGCTACTACTAAATTAGCTAAGACGTATAGAGTTAGATAAATATTACTACTACGTATTCTACTAGGGCGATATATACGCCGTCTTACTAGCTTAAACGACGGTAGCGGCGATCGCCTATAAATCTATATCTAAAGCGGCCTCTTTACCGCCTACCGTAGTATTAAATATCTTATCTATTATAGTATTAAGTCCTTTATCCTCCTTCTAAAGCGGCGGCGGCGTAAGAAGCTCCTCTAAGCCCTTCTCTATATTATCCGCTATTATATTATCGATCGTATACTAGATTCGCGGCTGGCGTAGCTAATTCTTCTATAGTTATAGCTACTCTAACTACTTCGCTCGTTATTTATTATAACCCCTCGTTATAAGGACCTATAGCCGCGTCTCGTATACGCTTCGTATACGAGATCTATAGGAGTTACGTACTAGTTACGTAACTCTCGCTTAGCTATATATAAAAGCCCTTCGGCCTACGGGCGAAGGCCGAATCCCTTAAGAATTCGTTTATTAATTATAAGCCCTCTTCTTATATCTATCTTAAGCTCCCTATTCGTGTCTTATATCTTATATTCGAATCCTTCTCTTTAAACAGCCGGTTTAGGATGCCTTCTAAGCGGACCCCTCTTTCCGTACGCGACGCGTATACGTCGCGTACCGAAAACGCTACGGTCGTATAAGACCCCTTAATCGGGTTAGACTATCCGACCCCTAGCGAATTAGACGATAACGCCGACGAAATACCCCCGATACCTACCGCTATAGAAGAACCCTCCTTTATAACGATTACGCCCGAAGACGTTATTACGAATCTAAAGGCTGAGATCTATAGACTCTCTATAGTAATCCCGACCTCCTCGGCTTAAATTATCGAATTAAACGCTTTAATTAAGGGTCTATAGGAACGTATTAATATACTCTCTTAGCTAAGCGCACCCGAAACGCATACTCCTCGTATATATCTCGACTCCGAAGCGCGGAAGGCGATCTAGCGAGAAAAAAACGTTTTTAAACTATAAACCGCGACCTAGTACTATTTTAATAAGTGGATTAACGAGTTAAATAATAAGTTTAATATACTTAATCTATAAGACTAGGATACCGAGAAGTAGACCCGCTAGGCCCTCTAGGGCCTCGCGAAGCACGAAGTAATCGCCTAGTACGTCTATCGACGCCTAGATAAATCCGTAATCCGGGGGGAGCTCCTCTTCGAGGAGTTTAAAGTAATCGTTTAAGATTAAGTAAGGAACTCTATCTTACGGTGGTACGAGAATGCGGTTATATTCTATCGCTCTCTAATAAAGCCTAGTACGTCGTATTAGAAGTACCGCGCCCGCATAAAAAGCCTATATAAATAGCTTCTATACGCGGTAGCCGATAAGGACCTTCTTATCGACCTCTTCTTTATAAACCTCCTAGAGGTCTATCGTAAAGAACTCCTTAAACACCCTACGATAAAGACTATCTAGGGGGTTAAGGAACTCTACGACTTAATTATTAGCCTTAAGTAGACGCTCGGCTTGGTTAAGATAGCGTAGACGGAGGAATAATAGCGCTAGAATATAGGCTATAAACGCCCGCGTCCGGCCTACTCTACCGATAGTGGGCGAGGTCGGTCGAGGAACTCGAGCCGATATAAGCCGCCTCGCTAAGAAGACTTCTAGGAGTCGACTCGTAGATAAGGCGTAGGCGCTTCGTATACGAAGCGTAACTCGGGCTTCCGCCGGTTTAATAAGAATCCGGCTGGTAACTAACCCTCTTCTAGAGCTAATAGCTCGAAGGACGATAAGACCTCGAGAAAAGAATAGTCCTAGTAGCGGCTCTAAGCCGCCTATCTTTAGGACTAGTCGACCGAGGCTTAACCGGATAGATCGTTATAAACGTCCTCCTAGAGTCGCCGAAAGGGCTAGTAGCCTTAAAGGCCCTCTTAGATTCGGGAAGCGATATAAATCTTATTAGGTAAGATTTAGTGAGTATCTATCGCGTATTTTTCTCGTACGTTAAGCGTACGCTCCGCGCACGGTTCTTAGATAGCCACCCTATAACTATATAGAACTTCTATAAACTTACCCTCCGGGCTAAAGACGGGATAGGCGTTAAGCGAACTATCGGACCGCGCCTATTTTAGGGCGCGTCCTTCGAGGGTTACGATTTAATCCTCGGCCTAAACTAGCTAAAAGCGGCCGATCTTATCGCCCGCTTTAGTACGAATACCCTTAAATAGGGTAATCTATGCTAAGATCGTATCGAGCTTATCTCTACGGTATAATTCGCTAGTTAACTAGCCTTAGACGATCCCGTCTACTAGATTAATCTAGAAGGTAAGATTTCTAGTCGGGACTAGCCCCTATTAACGTAGGGAGGCGGAGATCGTAACCCTACGTACTACCCGCGACGTACTAGCGCCGCGTATACGTAATATATATACTTCGCATCGAAAGCGTAGGGTAATCCTATTCTTATAGCCGTAATAGTTACCGCGCTATAAGAAGGACTCCTAAGTTAATACTAAGACTTTATAGATATCGTATCGAACGAACTAGCCGGTAAGCTAGCCTAGAACTCCGAATACGACTATACGATCGACCTAGAGGACGGTAAGTCGCCGCCCTAGATGCCTATCTATAACCTCTCGCTAAGAGAGCTATAGATCCTACGAGAATATCTCGATAAGGCTTTTAAGAAGGGCTAGATTCGGCCTAGTAAGTCTTTTACTAGCGCGCTAATCCTCTTCGTTCTTAAGCCTAACGGGACTATGCGATTATATATCGATTACCGGGGGCTAAATCGGGTTACGATTAAAAATCGACACCTACTTCCTCTTATTAGCGAACTATTAAACCGTATATCTTACGCGAAGATCTTTACGAAGCTAGACTTACGTAACGCCTATTATAGGCTCCGTATTCGTAAGGGCGACGAGTGGAAGACGGCCTTTAAGATAAGATACGGCCTATTTAAGTATCTCGTTATATCCTTCGGCCTAGCCAACGCGCCGGCTACGTTTTAGAGCTATATTAATAAAGCTCTTAGAAGCCTCGTAGATATTATCTACGTCGTATATTTAGATAATATCTTAATCTACTCTCGAAACGAGGAAGATTACGTCTAATACGTTTGGTAGGTGCTCTAGCGCCTCCGGGACTGGAGCTTATATATTAAGGTGTTAAAGTACACCTTCTATACGATCTACGCGGAGTTTCTAGGGTTTATCGTAACGCCTAGCGGCGTTATAATAGACCCCGAACGCGTAAAGGCTATTTAAAAATAGCCGGAACCTGGCTTCTTTTATAATATATAAGTGTTTCTTAGCTTTGCTAACTTCTATAGGCGATTCGTATAGAACTACTCCTCTATTACTAAGTTTCTAAATAACCTCCTCCGGGACGCTGCTCGGGTACCTAAGGGAGCACCTACGAAGAAGTTCTAGAAGGGCCTAACTAAGTAGTATATTTAGTTCTACTAGCTAGACGACGCTGCGTATACGTTTCGTACGCTAAAAGACGCCTTTTCGTACGGCCCGGTTCTCTAGTACTACGACCTAGTGTTGCAGCTAATACTTATTATTAATATATTAGATTTCGCCTTGGCTAGCATTTTGCTCTAGCCCTAAGCGTAGAAGGGCGACTAAAAATATTAGTTGCCTATTACCTACTATAGTAAGAAGTTTACGGCTATAAAAGTACGCTACGATACGTATAATAAGGAACTACTAGCTATCGTTAAATACTTTAACGTATAGCGATACTTCCTCGTATACGCCTCGTACTCGACGCGCGTACTTTGCGATTATAATAATCTTAGATACTTTATAAGTACTAAAAAGTTATTAGAACGTTAGGCCCGCTACGCTAAAACGCTGGCGAAGTTCGACTTCGAGATTAAATATAAACCCGGGGCCTCTAACTCCGCCGATTCTCTCTCTAGGCGACCCGATTACGCATTAGGGTTTAAAGAGGTTGAAAAGAAGGCATACCTAGACGCTATATTACTAACGTTATAAT